GCTAGGTACTTATAAGAGTACCTTATATAACAACTTAACAAGATGCGATGTCGACCTATTTTTGCTTTGGATAATCGGAAATTCTGACTGAAACAGAAACGGTTTAAACTTATTATATCATTATGACTTCTATATCTAAGATTATACTACACATTTAATGTCCAGATAAAAAAAAGTTGTATAATCTGTATTTTTTTTTATAAATTGGCGCCTTCTTCCTGGTCTGTGACAGTTCCCTGCTAATATATAGCGGTTCTCGTGTCGGTCTAAGGTACTGTTTTCAAACGAACTGTTTTTATTTCTATAACTCATTCAACAAAATATCAATTAATTTTAATCGCTATATAATGTAAGCAATACGATATTACATTTGTTTATATACCAGATTGCTACCAATTATTGTAAGTCCAGATTTATCGATAGTAATTATACTTAGATCTTAATATAAGTACATATATTATTTTGGGCAATAACTTATTACGTAATACGTAAAAGTCTCTTAAATATATAGGTAAAGCTTCGTTGTAAGCTTCTGCGTTACTTAGCATACCTAACATACTATAAATCACGAGAAATCGTGAGTTCGAATCCCGGAAAACAGCTAGGAGTACCTGTGTAGGAAAACTAGAATTTCGCAGTAACTCAAATATTGGGAAACTTGCGTTGATTATTTTTTATTAAATTTAGCAATCCAACTTTGAGTCGTTACAGACAGACATGTCGTCTTCGTTATATTGAGTCAGCGGGCGTTTTGCCAACACACCCGAAACCTAATGACTATGGCATTCATGCTTTCATGCTTAATAATATTATGGGAATTTCATAATGTGACGTTTTATTTGGCAACTTTTGTTGTCCTGGATTTTAAAACGTTAAGTAAATAACGAAGGAAAACGTATCATACGTGGTATGGTCTATATAAATTAAAAATCATTTAAAGTTAAAAAAGTACGAAACTGTTAATATGGAAATTGCATTGCGCAAGAGATGCATGTATCAATAAGTTGAAAAAATTTGACGATGACGTGTAGGACACGGCAAAACAATCGGTTAGAGCAACAGCACGTTATCGTAAATTTTTATCAATTTAAACAAAACACTTTAACGGTTTACAACCGGTTGTTTGTTTTTACCTACGGCCCGACGTTTCGGATGCTTTGCAGCAGCCGTGGTCATCCGTAGTTAAAAATAATTTTCAAACAAGTTGAAGTAAGATATATCGCGTTTTAAACCGTTAAAGTGTTTTATTTAAATGTGTACTGCGAGTAGTACACATTTAATAACAGTAGTTAACAACAGAAAGTATTTATTGTTAATCGATTTTCATCTATGTAGTGCAATCATGTGCGGAAGAGGAATTTTTCAGTTCAAAGCCTTATAGTAATTTTTACCACGAGCTTAATATATAGATAGCCTTGAAATAAGTTTTTTTTCTGAAAATCTAAAGCGGCCCATAGACGATCAATAATATTGTGCAATATCTCGGGTTGTACAATAAAATTGATCGTGTGTAGACGACATTGATCGTCTATGGGCCGCTTTAGAAGGATTCTTGCTCTCGTTCATATGTATTAAATCAGAAGCCCTTCGTGTATACAAACACCAGTGCATTACATTTTCCTGCTATATAACTGCAATTGAACAGTGAAACAGTTTTGTCGCTGTGAAGAATAATAAGTTATCGGACCGTGACGCCGAGGTCGCCGGTTCGATCTCCTTATCCACAGTGCGTAGAAAGTACAGTGGTGCCGCATGTTGTAGTTGAAAACATCAGTTATTGGAACAGAGGTCATTTATCCAATTTTTATTGCTTTATAAGATTCTTTGTTGGGATTTTAAAGAATTATATTTAATATCTTCTAAGCCACGCTTACGCTCAATTGTAACTGAATTAGACTTAAGCACTAGTTATTCGATCGATCGATGATTAAGCAAATTTATAGAATGACCAACTGTTTGTGACTGTACTGTGGTACGTCTAATTTCCATAAAAACTCGGGATATGTGTCAATGTTACTTTTACGTTTTGAGCAACGCTGCGTGGGGTCGTCGTTTGGATGGGTAGTACGTATAAATTACGAGATATCATATAGCGACGTGAAACTACCTACAACGGTTGCATTGTAGGTAGTTTGATTACAATACTTTTTTTTCACTTTTGACAGTTTAAAACTCGAAATATATTCCCTATAATTATTATGACCCGACGCTTAAATAGGAGGAGATTTAGACTATTTTACACTGTGGTACATTGCCGCGTGGGTGAATTAAAATCATTAGGTGGTCGGTCAGTAGGCCAGCAGTGTATCGTCGAAGTATTTATAACTCAGTTTATCATCGTATAATTTTAGCTTGAATTTTAATGCACCTTGCATATTCTTGGATTGAGAAGTTCTTTAGTTGCGAGAATTTCGAATTTTCTAGATAACGTCCTGCAATGTTGTTTACTACAGCGGCTAATCCGATTTTGATGAAATTTATTGTGTATTTTATTTATTAACTTTATGAATTACAAACACCACAGAAATGGTTTACAACAATAAATTCTTATGTACTAGGTTATAACTTAAAGGCGGCCTCATCGCTAAACAGCGATCTCTTCCAGGCAACATGAAGTGAAGGGAAAAACAAAAAATAAAATAAAAGGACTATAAGTAGGTGGTGCAAGAAAGGATCATGAAAAAGAAAGGCAATTAACAGCTGGAAAGATAAAATTTGGTAACTGAGACTTTAAAAGTGTATTATTAGTATTGTGATTGAAAGAGTAGCTTTCATCCTTTGTTGATCAATTGTATTTTCCACTTCATTATCTCCAATCTTAACACACTTTTCTTAATAGAAAATTTAACCCAATTTCAAGAGCTGTCAAAACACAGTGTTGTTCGAGTGAATCACTTTTTTATTACACAGTATCTTTTATTAAATAATAATTAAAGTTATAATAAAAACTTACTTTTCAATTCCTAATTTCTATTCTTTAAAAAACATAAAAGTTACAAAACAATTTCTTTACCATTTCATAGCAAAAATAATTAATTATATTTCTCTATAGCTTAAAATATTAAAGTGCTAATTATGTAAACAAATTAAATTCAATAAAATTAAAATACTAATCAAAAGCCAGAGAAGTCAAAAGAAGCGCTTCTTAAATTAAAAGCTTCATTATGTCAGACTTCAAAGGAATACTAAATCGTTCAATTGATAAGATAAAACTAATTAAAAACTTCTTACATCTCGGTGTCTTAAGATGCTCTTCACAATTCAACTTTAATAAATAGCAGTTCATACAAATATTTTTCACAAATTATAAACTACAAATCTATGTCAACGGGGAGTTTATTTATAAGAATGAATGAATCTTATCTGTGTAATACCGTTTCCCTTTATGTGCACTTTTAATTAGAGGAAAGTAGTTGAAGAAGCTTTTCTGTCCTGCTAGACTGAATAATTTATTGTATCCGCAGGATTCAATACTGGACTTCCAATGCATAAATCAATGCAAGATGTGTAACCACTGAGCTGTATGATATATACAATTTGAAGTCTCCCCGTGACCACGGCTGCTGCAGAGCATCTAATACGCCAGGCCAAAGTTAATAATAGGTTCTTAATGTACTTGAAATGGATTTTTAAATAAAATAAATTAAAGTAACCTACTTTTAGATCTGGGTTTGTTATGGCAAGAAAGATATGGAACCCACATACTTTTTATACCAATAAGTGGATATAAGTGAGCAGGAACTAAGATATATTATTAATAATATGTTTTGTCTTTTTTTTAATCTTTGAGGAGTTTTTTAAAAACAAGGTAAACAATAACTGTCCTTCGCAAGACGCGCCAAAATATACGCTTTCAATATTGTTAGATAAAAACTCCGGAAATAAAGTTTCCACCTTGATGTACTATAAAACCGACGGAACACAGGCATTATACTAAATGGAAAGCCGAAAACAGAAGGTAAAGTTGGCTAAACAATCGTCCGGTTAACACGTAAATGTTATATACTTATATATTGAAAGATAGCACTCAAAAACAGTAAAAACATATCTACTAGACAACTGTTATTTATTTCGCAGGCTGGAGAAAAGCGACCCGGTACATACAACCAAATAAAGACATCGAAATTTGACATGTAGACAACGTGAAATAACACTCAGTTACTGACCTGGTTTCAAAAAATGCAGCGCCGCGGGATGTTTGATGCGTTTTCATTCAAAAGTTTACATAAAAAACACCACAAATAATAATAAATAGTTTATTTTTCACGCAATACTCACTAAACTCTTTATACGAACACTTTTTTGTGACACTCACGAGACGGCTGCGCGATAGAGCGCGTCAGTCAGTCATTTCATTACAGTCTGTAAGACAGTGTTGCCTAATTCTGAATAGTTGTCTTCATTGTTCATAATATGACGGATATAATATTATGTCCAGAAACAGAGTCTTTTTGGTAAATATACCGGCAATATCTTCAATATATATGGTGGATGAATCTTCCTTAATATAATAAAAAAGGGCACTAAGGAGAAAAAATAATAATAATCTTGGGGTGGTGAAAAAAACAACAACAATTTAATATATTTTTCATGAAATAAGAAAATATGCAAATTAGTAAGTGTTTTAGTCGAACGAAAACCATGTGCCGTGTAGTCAAGAAATCTAACGTTAAATTTGTCTACCTATTGGTAAAGAGAATTTACTGGTAAGCAGAAAGGAAACAGGTTATAAAACATTTTTACAAATTATATAATAATCTATACAATCATATAGTCAATTGTAAAGTCATCAATCTGACGTTGACACTATGTTCAGTGACGACTGACGACCAGTGTATTAATAATTCCTACGAGTTTTAAGATAAAAACTTTCGCATTTTAATATTTTTTATAGCCTCATGTTTTCTTTTCATTGTAATCCAAAATAAATGTATTTGTAGCGTTATTTAAATGTATATGATCCTAGTGTAATCGTTAGCTTTTTGTTTAAATTATTCAAAATGATTAAAGCTATTTTAGTGTTTAATAATCATGGAAAGCCGCGGTTATCGAAATTTTACCAATATTTCGTAAGTACAAGTCTTCATAAAATTTACTTGTCTTTCCTATATTTCATTTAGTTTAGATAAAACTATCCCCACCTTTCTCGTGAAAGTCTGTCACCAATATAAGGGTAAAATGGTTGAAACGTAAAATCAATAAAATGCATAGAGATTGGTTCTATGCGTCTGTTATTGATTTTTCATCGCTGGGCGTCTTTCTGTAGCGTCGACTTGCCCAGTCTTTGTTCTCAGCTTGCTAAAATAACACTAGTGTAGCTAAAAATACTAATAAGAATGTGTACAGTAAATGATTTTTCTTATTTTACTGTCATTATACCAACAAAAATACATAGGGCAGAATTAAATACTTTGCATAGGTAAGTCTTTGTTTTAAATGTATAAAGGCTATCTAAAGCCTAATGTCATAAAGAAACGATTAATTACTTGAAAGATCTAAGAAGGTTGATCTTATAGTTGTATTGTATTTTAGCATATATTTTAAATATTATTATTTGTGTAAATTAAAAAAAAATAATCATTTTACTGAGAGCTATTTACTTTATAATTTTTTTTACATTTTCACAATTTATAATACTTTTAATGTACATAACTCACAGACATATTGGAATTCTTTGTTATAAACTAAAATATGGTGTTGGGGGTTTTTTCCTTTTTTTTAGTAACATTTAGAAGGCCGGCTGATCAGATCACACCATCAGCTGACCATTTCACCTATTTCCCCATTTCTTCCTTGCAGAGATTTTTGGGTTATCCAACTCTTACTGTGTCCCCTTCAAATGTTCTGGTTTGCTTGCAGAATCTTATTATTATTATATTCTATCCGGGACACCTGTGGTAGGGCAGGTGATCAGTCCACGTTATCAGCCGACTATTTCACCCATTTCCTCCTTACAGAGGTTTTGGGTCATCCAACTCTCTCCGAGTCCCCTTCAAACCTTCACCGTTTGATTGCAGAATCTTATTATTTTTCCATCTGAGGTTCCTTAATGTCATCTTCTGTAACTTTGTCCGAACCCATATATGTGCATTTGTCTTAGTCTCTAGTATGCAGAGCATTCAGTGAGTAAATGGACGTTTGTTTCCTCACTTTCTCAGCACTCCGGACACAGGGGGTCGCTGCCTATTCATATCATTCTAAGATGTCTGTGTTGTGAGCTTACAACTTTAATTTTTAAAGTTGCCAGTTGCGATAATGCTGTGCTATTAGAACTATATTTTCTTGCTATTAAATTCAATTTGAGTAAAGCATTTAGCAATTGTCATTTATTGACTTTGTATAAATTCTTACCTTATTTATCTTAACAGAATGAGGACATGCAACAACAGATAATAAAAGAAACATTTCAACTGGTCTCGAAGAGGGATGATAATGTCTGCAACTTCTTAGAAGGTGGCAGGTAAGTTAAATTAAGTAAATAAAATCCTACAAGATCCTTTGTGGATTAGTTAAGGCAAACACACAATCAGTATCATTTAGTTTACACTAGTGGAGAAAATTTAATAAAACACTTATAACCATTTAAAAGGATAAAAAATACAAATTTAATATAAAAGTTACGGAATTATTTTAATTACGTACAGATTTAAAAAAAAAAAAAAAAAAAGGAAAAAAAAAAAAAAAAAAAAAAAAAATTAAAAAAAAAAAATTTAAACCCCCCCCCGGCCCCGGCCGGCGGCAGAAAACCCGGAAAGCCGGGGGGGAGGTAAAAAAACATTTTCAAATAAGTTTAACTAATATATCGCGTTTTAAACCGTTAAGTGTTTCTATTTAAACAGTTTTATTTAAATTTTACTGGTCTTCAGTCTTATTGGCGGTTCAGACTACAAGTTGATCTACCGACACTATGCAACACTATACTTCGTCTTTTGCGTGGATTCATCAGAGAGTGAGCTGGGCATTTTGGATTTAATACAGGTACATACTTAAATTATTTTATGAACATTCCTAGGTAAAACAATTTTTCGATACGATAAACCAAAAACATTTATCGTAGTGGGTAAGTATTTCTATATTATTCTAAAAAGTTGTAATTGTTTCAGGTTTTCGTAGAGACACTGGACAAGTGCTTTGAGAATGTCTGCGAGCTGGACCTGATCTTCCACGCAGATGCTGCCCACCAGGTCTTAGATGAGCTGGTGATGGGTGGTATGGTGCTACAAACGAATATGGCAGATATCCTTTGCAGGCTACACGAGCAGAATAAAATGCAAAAGGCTGAGGTAATCATCAAAATGTATTATTTTTAAATGAATGGTGCTTCATTCATTCGTCTAGGAAAAAAATGTAATTTGAATACTTTGTCCTAGTTATTTGACTAGGATAGACATCGCTACTTAGCCCACTTTTAATATACCAGGTTCTAGAAATCAAAATATTATATAAGTTTAAATCAAAGAATAGTTCTGACTAACTAACTAAAACTTAACTGAAACGGATTCTATTCAAAAAAAGAACAACAAGCCGAGCTATTTTAAAAAAATATTATTCTTCGTAAAATTGGAGCGGCAAAGGAACAGCTTAGACTTGTGGTCTGGAGGCCTGGCCCCCTGGCTCCAAAATGTTTCCCGAATAAAGAAAACAGTCAAGTTATTTAAAAAAAATGATATTGTGAAACCAAAGGGACTCTTTTAGTATTAATAAAGAAAATTAAATTTTAGTGTTAATTTATTCTGAAAGTACAAACGAATATTTCTAGTGTGGGGCCCACACTAGAAATTGTTTAGCAGTTGAGCAGCCTTTGAGCAGTTGCCTTTCCCTAAATTCGGTCCATAGCGTATGCCTTTCGACTTTTAACTCTCCTGTATGTCATTAAATGTATTTGGAGATTTCTCTAGACGATGTTTCCGAGATTTTGTGGCATGATGGCTGGGCCATCGTTTTGAAGTGTGCGTTATTGTCACACGACAAAACGATGGTCCCGATATTGTGTTCCCGAGCGCTGTGTGTTGGAAGAGCAAGATATGAGTTTGAACTCGTGGAAGAAACGGAGAATCGTTTTGAAAGAAGAAAAGACGTCTGCGAACAGGAAAGACACGAAAATCACTGTTGAAGAATCCAAATAACATATGATGTATTATTGTATTTATTGTTTCTGGCATTCATAATTTATTTATAAGCTTTATTTTTAGTTATTTTTGTTGCAATAAAATGTCGTTTTTTTTTTATTTTCTTTTATTTTTCTTTTATTACCTTACATCTTCGAGTGGACATCAGGTAAAATTTGTTCAGTCACTACAAAGTCAAAGTTTATTAATCAATCCATCTCTCTAAATTTACTATCAGTTCTCAAATGAAGGGCGTAGAACGAACGAAAGGAGTTGGCAAGAAACTCGCATCCCCTCCTTTTTTCGCCAAGTTTCATTTTACAGTCTTCGCGTACTTGAAGTACTTGTGACAGCGGTTTCCTCCTAAGGTATATATACATAGATAGTTAATATATTTGTACTGTACTGTTTCCACCCCCTTGTAGATTTTCAGACAAAAGTATTTATTGTACTAGTCATACAGATCTTCTAATGTTTCTTTTAAATCAGGCCGGCCTATCAGCTGCTCCGGCGAGGGCTGTCTCAGCAGTAAAGAGCATGAATCTCCCTCAGCAACTTCGAGATATGAAGTTACCCGATCTACCACAAGCCATCAAGGTACATAGTAAATAATGTTGTCTACGCGAGTAGTACACATTTAAATAAAACACTTTAACGCTTTAAAACGCGAAATATTTTAATTAAATTTCATCACAAATTATTTTAACTAAGGCCCGACGTTTTGGTTGTTCCCGTCCCGTTGTCCGTCACGCAACTAATATATTTCGCGTTTTAAACCGTTCAAGTGTTTTATCTAAAGGTACATATAATATATTTTGTTGGTACATAAGATTTTTCTCTCTTATTTTTTTTTTTGTGGTACACAAAAATCACACATAGTGTCACAAATCTATACTAATATATAAAGTTGGAGAGTTTGTTTGTTTGAACGCGCTAATCTCAGGAACTACGGGTTCGAATTGAAATTCTTTTTGTTAGAGCATCTAAGGAAGGTTATATAATATTATAAAGAGGAAAGATTTGTATTTTGTATGTAACGGATAAACTCAAAAAGGGGGGAAAGGGGCGGGCGAAAAAAAAAAAGGGGGGGGGGGGGGGGAAAAAAAAGGGGGGGGGGGGGGGGGGGGGGGGGGGGGGGGGGGGGGGGGGGGGGGGGGGGGCCGGAAGGAAAAGAGCCCGGGGGGGGGGAAGGGTTCTTGGTTTTCTAAGTTAGAAGAATGAAACTTTCTTCTTTGGCTTTTTGGGAATAAGAGTGGGAGTGGGAGTAGAAATAGGAGTGAGAGTGACTGTAGGAATGAAAGGGGGAGTTTGAGTAGAAGTGATGTGAGGTGAGAGTGTTGCGGCAAAGTTGCACTTACAACATAGATTGGCTGCCTTAAATGCGCCCTTAGATAAATTAATAAACAGCCTGAATAATAAAAACTCTACCCCTAAGTCACTATTCCACACGGACGAAGTCTCGTGCACAGCTAGTAATACTAGAAATCAATGTGTATAAAAAATCGTAGGTTTGAGTTTCCTATATGATTTACTAATTTTTAAACATTTATGTTTTTACCCACTATTTTTTTTTCTATTACATATTCGCGAATTAACTACAATTCTTAAAGTTTTTTTTTATTAACAGGACCTGAAGTTCTGACCAATGCAACAGGCGTATTCCGCCACGCCGGTCGCCATAGCAACGAACATACTAACATCGATCTACCCGCAAAACGACAAATATCAAAACATACAGAAACAGGACAACTTCAAATTCTTCGGCTCGGAATCATTAAGTGCGCGTTTCTCGGAGACGTTCTCAGAGAATTACCAGCAGACGGAGGGGGTGAACTTCCCCAATTATGAGAGCAACAATGCGGAGGGCTATCAAGATCTGCGTGGTACGGTAGCTGGGTATGACAAGAAAAAGAAGAAGAAGAAGAGCAAGCGTTGATTTATTTGTTCAATTCTTCATCCACATAATTGTTGACTGTTTTCTTTTTAAACGACTGTAAAAATATCAAATAAAATGAGTTTTGGTGTGTTGAACTTTACTGTTAGAAATTATAAGATTCTCTTTTTTTTATTGGGCAGACATATAAAAATGATAGAGTTTTAAAAGCCTATCCCAACTCTTCTATTGATGTAATTGGCAAAGCTAACTAATATATGAACATTCCTTAAAATATGTCGTTAAACGGGAGATTGTGCATTGTCGTTTTGTAACTTAAGAAATATATTTTATATTAAAACGTTTTAATGTTTTTTTATTAGAATTGCATCTTTCCCCACAATCACAACAATGATGGAAGTAAGGAGTGACGGGCCCGTTCGGGTGAAATGGCAATGTGTGCCCCCTCGTGGACCCCTGGTCTAACATTTTTCTTATCAATTTATAAGTTTTTTGTAACATGTTGGACTTCATCTAGACATAAAACGGGTGGTAGGGAATTTGAAATTGCGTCCGGGCCACGAACCACCGCTCACACATGGAAAAGCCTAAGTTTAATAGTGTTTCAATTTCAGTCTGTGTATTTCAGAAGATCCAAAGCCGAAATAGGCCCATACCGCATCTTCTTTAGATGGCTTATGTCGGGTATTTCGCCTACCATCAAGTAAATGCCAACTCTCTGTCTGTCCTCCAACATTAGAAAACAAAAATTCATTTAATAAGAAAGGTTTGTTTCTTAACGGCAGTTTTGATTTTGAAAGGAGTTAAGTTTAACGAAACACTAATTTCTTAATTTTGCGAACGTGTTTCACTCTGAGACATGTAACAATCAATATAGAATAATAAATAAAACATTAAATTTTTTTATAATATACACTTTATTGTAAAAACGGTTTATAAAACAGACACTCTATGGCGTAACACGTTTAGGATCGCGCGGGAACAAGGACGTTTTGCGAATGTTGTCCAAGCCGAGGTACAACATAACCACCCTCTCCATACCTATACCACCACCTGAAAAACAAACATACATTAAATACACGTCGCTACTAAGCGAAATAAAAATAAAATAAAAATACTTTATTCTCTTTAAAATTAAAATTTTTTTTCACATTTTTTTGTTTGTTGTGTTTGTGTTAAGTTTAAAAGAAAAAAAAAGCGTCTCTATAGCTTAATGATTAAATGAATTGCGTTAAGCGCGCGTGACGCCTTATAAAAATCATTTTCGGTCGGCCAGGTCACAAATGTCTAAACAACTACTTGGCTGTGAATAAAATCGATGAATGCAATGATTAAACTAATGTTCTTCTGCATAAAGTAAATTTTAACTTACTTTAACGTTACTTTCCAACAAACTAAAAATAATGAGATAAAATAATTCCGAAAAAACTTACCCGCGTGCGGTGGACATCCAAAACTGAAGGACTCTATGTATGACGCTATTTGTTTGATATCTATAAAAAGAAATAGTATATAATTATATAATAGGATAAGATCATAGACGGTTCCGGCTAGTCCGAATCATTTATTTAATTAAATTGTTAAACTAGCATTGTCAATAATAAATAGATCTTATGATCTATCGTATATACTTTTTGAGATAATTGTCGCCCTCACTACAAAAATCTTTGTTACTTTATTCATTTTGTACTTATATCAAATTCTTTATTATTACAATCGCGACAGTGCTGCCATCTTGTGAACGTCTTTAAAAGAAACACACTGACGTCAGTAATATTGTCTTTAACATAAATCAATGTGGAAGTTAACACATGGTTAGGTAACGCGTTACGGCGCTAGTCTGGATTACCACTTCAGTCGTCTCGATACACACTAAAAAGACTACTTACTACTCAAGCTGTTCCACTTACCTATGCCGTGATGCTTAGCACGCTGCGTAAGGAACTCAGGGTCGTGGATACGTTGGGCTCCACTCAAGATCTCTTCGCCCCTCATGAACATATCATAGGAGTTTGACACTTTCTGTAACAATCGTCTTAATGTATACATAGAACGCGCTGAATGTCAGCACAGCAACCATAGGATTGTCAGCATGCTGATTTTATACTAAACCTTTGTAACAGTTGTTTGAAGAAATGTTGAATTGATTCATACTAGGTATATAATACAGAGTTTCGGATTACCATTTCAGAAAAAAGGTCTTACTAAGCACTTTGAAACAATAGATGGCCGATTCTACTAATTTAATGACGTTTCGATCAAGTTGCAGTCACGCTGCGATTAGGTTCCGATTCAGCGCCGATGGTATTCTCTTAATTTGACAACTGCGCATCCAATAAGGTACGCCAGCGTATTTCCAAATACACGCTGGCGTCACGTAAACTTGACGCGAACGTGTTTGACGTTAGACGAGAACACCAAAACAACAAAACGCCACTGCAACTGCACTGCTGCTTAACTTATATTAATAGAATCAGCCTGCTGGTACATTACAACCATTGGACCAGCAAGCCATTTCGATTGGCTCGTTGTTCCAATAATGTTAGTTTTTCGAATTCCGAATTTCCAAAGCTAAAATGCCACCAGCGCATCTTATTTAGATTTGAAGTGGAACATAGACACTTAAAATAATATATACAGATATTGTTTGTGCAAGGCGGCCTATTCGCCAATGGTGATTTCTTCCAGGCAACCTTTGCTTTTAGGAAAAAGCAAATGTCAATAGGGAAAATGAAAATTTGCAATAAAATGAACGTTTAAACTAAAAATAACTTATGGACTTAAGCTAAAGACAGTACATACATAAAATAACACTCTTAACGCCATAAGAATAAGGTGCTAAATGTTCATTTAAAACTTACCGGGTTGTTAGGATCTGGCATGGTATAGAACGGTCTAACTGCAAGCGGGTACTTGTCCAATATATAGAAATCAGTGTCGTACTTAGCTCGGATCAAACGGCCTAGTAACTTCTCGTCTGGAGTAGATAAGTCATCTTCATCACCCACTGTTACACCTGAAATAAATTTATATTATTATGAGCTAATCTCTTTGAACCCTAATTTTTGTAGACATTGGTCAATATAATAAAACTTATGATAGGCCACTTTACAAAGTCTGCCCGAAGCTACCCGAGTGTAAGCTGAGTACATGGAAGTTAAAAGAAAAGTAGGATATATAGGTGTATGGGACCGTTCAAGTATAGCACTGGGGTGGGGGTCTTTGTTTTGCTTATTTTTGATGACATGGGGGAGGGAGGAGTCCAGATGATGATTACGAGTTTATTTACTTTTTGAATCAACCCTTCCTATTTTTAAAATTATACTTATAATATAAAAAATAACATTTTTAATTGAAAAATGTTTACGTAAGCACGGGGGGGGGGAAAAGCTTTTTACTTTTGCTGACAAGGGGGATGGGGGGTAAATAATTGTAATAAATTCTTACGTAATATGAACGGCTTTTACAAAGTAATCTATTTCAAACATGCGCGTTTTAAACCGTTTCAATGATTCTATTGAAATATATACTGACTGCCCCTGTACGTACAAATGGCGTAAATATAAGTGTTGCTTAGCATTAAGGTGAGCGATGTTGATCCCAAGAGAAAATAGATTGTATCTTCGGACAGAAGTGTGATTAACCACTGCCTGTAAAAAAAACGGGATTTCTCTTATACTACTCGCACAAACTGTAGTGTTGGTTTTGTTGAATTGTCTCTCTATCACAGCCCACGAGGAAGGGTCGCAATTTGATTGGCTGACAGCAAAAAACAGCTGATCTTGAAAAAAGTAGGCCTAACGTGATCTAGTCGTTTTTTCGCGGGCACAGGAATTCGAACCAGGGATCTTAAAACATCTGTTAGGTAACGTGTTTTTCAAACTTTACACTTGAAGTTAGCATTAGTATATACTGTTATGTTTATTATTACCAGCTTCTTTCAACATCTTGACAGCTTGAGGGAACTCCAGCCTCAGCGGAGGGTCGAGGAACTTGAACGGCTCCACTTTGTATTGCTGACCGACTATCTCTATCTCTGTCGCATATCTGTAACATTCAATGGAAATAGTATTGAATTAAATCTTTTTCTCTATAATAACAACCGAAGCTGAAGAGTTTGTTTGTTTGTACGCGCGTGGTTCGAATTTAATTTTGTGTTGGATAGACCATTTATCGATGAAGGCTACATAACATCATGCTGCGAATAGGAGCGAAAAGATAGTGGAAAATGTGAAAAATATGCTGGTGGTGGGTTTAGTGGTCCTGGTTGGCTACTGTCTCCGAGGAGGTTATAGTAAGATTGACCACACTCCTCACATCACTAATACCCGAAATGGGCGTGCATTAGGCGTTCACACCATCATTTAAAAGAAGGTGGGTATTTCACCTTCTATCCCCCCCAGTGCGCTAGTCTGTCCTTCTCAATATTTTTTGCAAGATTTGTTACCCAACGAACAGTAGGATATAAAAAGACAACATGTTGACTCACTGTTCCTGAAGACCTCTGAAGATATCCGTGAAGGTTTGCCCGATGGTGTCCACGACCTCATGGTAATGGTGCTTGAAGGACATCTCGAGGTCGAGGCCGACGAATTCCGTCAAATGCCTGTGCGTGTTCGAGTCTTCAGCGCGGAAGACGGCCCCCACCGTAAACACCTGGAGGGAAAGCAATAACAATCGTTTTAACGCGTTCATATGTATGCCAGATACTAACTTAAACACTGTCTATAGTTTACGCGAGTAGTACACATTTAAATAAAACACTTTAACGGTTTAAAGCGCGATATATTAGTTAAACTTATTTGAAAATGATTTTTATAACTAATATATCGCGTTTTAAACCGTTAAAGTGTTTTATTTAGATACTAATACTTTTCCACGATTTTCAGCCAGATTGGAGGTGTCATAGCAAATCATGCTCGGTTTCGCTCAATAAAAAGAGTATATATAGTAATATAAAACGAGATATCAATGAAAAATAATGGTACAAATATTGTTTGCAGTTAAACACTTTTAACTGTTTAAAACGCAAAATGTATTAATTAACTCCCCCGTGACCACGACCGTTGCACCCGAAATGAGGCCGTTGTTATAATAAAATTTTAAAGAGTTTATTTTTATTTAAGCTGTTAATGTTTTATTAGCGAACTACTAGCTGTTCGTTACCTTGTCGAAATCAGCAGCTATGGCCATCTGCTTGTAGAGCTGTGGGCTCTGGGCGAGATACGCGTTGGACTTGAAGTAGGAGACGGTGAAGACATTAGCACCACCCTCGGAGGCAGCCGATATTATCTTCGGCGTGTGGATCTCCACGAAGCCTGCAGACAAGTGGGTCCATTTGATGAAGGGCAAATCTCATCCTATATAACATCTAGATAAATGTGCAGTCGACTGATTTTGGCTTTGAATATCTACAAACGGAAACCGTAACGCGATTGAACTTCACGGCTTCTTGTGGTTCGGGGTTCGTGACCCGGACGGAATTTCGGTATTCCTTCCACTAATCTACAACTACATATAATCAAAAGAATGTCTTGTTTGTGGCTTACCTCGTTTAGTAAGTATGTCTCTGAACAGCCGGCAGACTCCAGCCTCTATCCTAAAGATGGCCTGGTTAGCTGGTGTCCTGAGGTCTAACACGCGGTTGTCCAACCTCGTGTCTTGGTTCACACGGATTTTCAGCGCTTCTGGGTCCTGGGAATTAAAAGAAATAATGATTAATCAGACTTAATCATTAAAAATAGCAATTCTAGAAGAACCTACTTCAAAGAAATGACCCTTTAATAAGAAAACGATTTTAGATTTTACGTCTACGACACGGGCGCGACCTGAAGGAGAATCGCTGTGGATGCCGGTTCAATTCCCAGTCGTGTCTTAAATATATGTCAATCTAAAATCAATGTCTAATAGATACCATCACGTACGTGTGATAAATATTAAACTTTTAAAAAGGACCCTTAACAAAAACAAAACCCTTTTCTTGATTACAAACAAATAAGAACTAAACCATATTTTTAATACAGAAGAAAATAAACTTGAAGTTTGAACCAAATAAAATGTGCCGTCGACCTATCTTCTGCTTTTTAAATCAAATATCCGTTGACACAAAGGGAAATTTAAATTTGAACTATACTCACATCAGTTTCTGGCCTGGATGCATCTTCTACCTGCAGCGGCAGCTGATTCTTCGCTGCCGAAACGACCCAAACCTCACGACCAGACAACTCGTGGTTCTTGATAGCGCACGATTCGATCGGTGAAGCAGTTTTCACCACTGTCGCGAGTACGTCGACTATGGACTCCTTTGTTATACTGAAAGGGTAATAAAATATTTTATGATCACTTTCCTGTAACACTTAAAGGAAGTATTGCAGGATAGGTTCACACAAATCCTATTTCACAAAAAAAGTGTATGCATACTTGTATATAACAGATATTTAAATATAACTATTAATGATAAATCGTATTATAAATAACGCGACATATTGTTAGTAAACTTATTTTTAATGTATTTTCATTAGGGGCCGACCTACTTCCTCGGGAAATGAAGATGGATCATGCCCCTAATGTCAAAGTCAAATGTGTTACACTAGCGCCATCTGTATCGCCGTTGTTGATACTTGAAACTGGCTGAGTCCTTTCAGAACTGACTCCGTTCTTTCGTTTTAAAATAGTAATTTAGGTATTTTATATCTTGAGGCCGTCCTCCTATTGAAATTGGGGTGTTTCTTGACTTTAATAAAAAATATATAATTAAATAAAAATAAATGGACAACTATATATTCTAGTTTCAACTCATTTAGTGTTTTATTTCAATGTTTACTTACAAGTATTTTTTGTAGTATATGCACACTACAAAGAATACTTACAGATAATTCTTGTTGGAGTACAACAGAAAGCAGAGTTTTAGGAGTATTAGACCAAGTGAAACAAAGACTATAATTGAAATACCAAGAAGTTAAGAAAATAATCTATTATTATATATGAGGCTGCTAGAGGCAGAGTGGCCTAATAACAAAAACATGATTTTCAATAAGGATTAAAATAAAAATGCGCAATTAACTAAGGCGAAAATGAATTTGTACTATTATTTGTGTAACAATTTTCAGACACTGTGCTCTTGTAGATTAACATTTTTATACTATGAAAATATAAAGAACTCAAGTCATAAACACTCACTTGCCAGTAAACTTGACCATTTGTTTGCTGACCTTCCTCTCATCATTAACACTGATCAGCAACTGAACAGTGCTGCTATTCTGTCGTAGCACTGCGAAACACTGTTTGCCCTTCGCACGAGTCGTATGGAGACGCGCTGCGAATTCAAACAAATTTTCTATCATTTTTTTTATAAATTTAACTGTATAATTTGACGTACGTTGTGCAATGACTAATAATAATCAATGGGCCATAAGTTCGATGTCCACTGTGTCGAACTGTTTGTAATAAATTTATAATTGTTCTGAAACATGAACTGAACAAAGACTTTGTCTGGAAAACTAAATATTAAATGTATGGTAGGAATATCCAAAATTCCGCCCGTGGCACCACACCATTTACAGTTGAAAAAAGGCGCGTTACAGTTTCAGTCTGTACAATTCCAAATAACCAAAGCCAAAATATGTTGAAAGTGGTTGTTCAGATGTTATATGCCTGGGGTTTACCCTCCATGAAGTCAAGAAGCAGTTCACTTCATGGAAGATAATTGAATTTATATTAGCCTCCTGTTCTATCATGAAAAAAACAATAATAATCTACAATAGTAGTAAGTACTAGAATAAACAACTGACTAACTGATGATTAATGAAAGACAACAATGAAGGATGTACTGTGGTACAATTGTGTTTCAATCATATATCCTACCTTGTGGCATTTTGTATTGTTTGCAATGTTAAAAAACATTATGTATATGCATGCAGTTAGACATACATGTTAGTACATAGAATTTTACACATATATTAGTCCGTTGAACTGTATGTATTTTGTTCTTAGTCTTTTAGTATTCTGTCTGATAATTAATACAATCCATACCCACTAATTATTTAATAAATAGATTGAAGAGTCATGATTTAATTCATATATACCTCTAACCCATACATCCTGGCCTGCCTTTTCACTTAAATCCTTTACATCAACATAGACTCTGTCCCTATATGAACCATCTGACTGTAACAATTTGTAGGAGCCATATCTTCCATCAGATACATCCACTTCCGAAGCCTCACTCTGCTCTTGACTCGCTCCCTGTGAAATTAATGTTATATTATGTTAATTGTTTCATTAAACAACTGTCAATAGTAAGCATACACAGACTTTTAAGTTAGCATCTTTTACATACCTTATGCTCAGCTTTTTTCTGCTGTTTCTCAGCTGTCTTTGCTGCTTTTTTCGCTGCTTTCTTGCTAGGAGCATCCCCTTCCACGTGGGGAGTCGTTTCTTCCGATACAACCATTATTTAATCCTGTAAATATGCCACGAGATTTGGATAGTTAGAAAAAAAAATCTAATAAAGAATTTATAAGACAGAGTTGTGACCAAATAGGTTGATAAACTGCATGGTAAGCCATTCTTGGTATTTAGATATAAAGATGTATTTATTGATAACGAACTTCCGTTCGCGGTTGCTTTATTATATTTCTGTGTAAGATAGGAGATAAAAGTTTGAGCTCTAGGTATCATACATCAATTAATATAAATACTTAAACTTAATACGAGAGAATTAAAAAAGTCTATAAAAGTGAACAATTTATTATTTGTTTAAAATAGAATAAGAAAAAATATCTAGGACTTAGTTACGTTTTACTGTAAATAAACTTTATCGTTTTGCTAACATCTTACCTGCGGCTTTCCGCTTATTGATATCACAAGTATTTCACTGTTTGCTGATAAAATAAAATGTAGTTATTTTAAACTTATCAATTGGGACAATAGGTTATATGCGAATTCCGATAACTTTTGGATAACTTTGGAGTGACATTAATGACAGTCGCCAAATCATAAATGTCACTGTCAATGTCAAAGACGATACAGGTTATATCAAGAACTTAAATTGAAACGTGGAATTAAATCTTTTCACTCATTTGTCTGAATTAAAATAATGTGTAAATTATGAACGAAAAATACAACTTTATGCGTTCCATACTTTCGATGTTTTTAGTCTAGTCATTCTTTCAGTTAATATATTAGTACATACCATTATCCTTTACAAATATTCTGGTCCAAAGATATCATAATATGTGACTTCAGTTTTTGACAATATTTGCCAACAATCACGTCAAAAAATCAACCCATTATTTTACAAATGTATAAAATTTTCGTTCAAAATGCTCAAAATTATATCCGGCCCTGATTTAGCTATATCTGGGGCTATATGTAAATATAAGTTTATCAATTTAAACGCACAATGCCTGTGTTTACCGCTAACATTCCCAGCGTACTTAAAATTGGCGATAGAATCGAAATAGGAGGCCGTATCAAGGAAAATGCAAGAAAGTGAGTATAATATTTAGCATAGGTAGAGTTTCAGCCTAGTTTCTATGTTTTGCTCTATCTTTAATTCTGGATTACAGAATGTCAATAAATCTTTGTGCACAAGAGGGGGAAGAACCGCGCGATGTTGTCCTACACTTTGACGTTAGATTTCATAGAGACAACATTATATCTTTGTCTCGCAGGAATGGAGTGTGGATCGGCAGTGGGAATCTCGATACAAATTATAACATGTTTGTTCCTGGTAGGCAATTTTATATAAATCGTAGAGGAAATGGCTATTTCAATAAAAAAAAATCATGTTTTTAATACAGGTACAATATTTCGTATTATTTTCGAAGTTAAGGACACGGATGTAATCACTATTTACTGTCAAGGAAAATTTCATTCGAATTTTTTACCAAAAATTCCACTGAGCATGGCGAGATTTCTTGTGGCATGGGCGGATGTGGAAAGGATCACGCACTGCTACTTCCATATTGGGGACAAAGTAAGTATCATCTTAGGAAGTAATAAACTCAATTAAATTTTATTTAAAGGCGTTTAACTCAGCATTTTTTAAATTCCCTCAACATTCCAGGGTGTTGGTGACGAAGCTGGTATCGGACTCATGGCTTCTCAGTCGCCTCGCCCAGGCCTCACACCTATTATAGGTGTAGAAAAGAGATGGTAAATAAATACGCAATTTTAAGATAGCTAAACAGTTAATACAATTTAGGTAACCCTCTGAAGGGCAGCATATATTCTGTGGTTCCAATAAGACATACAATGTACATTGCTTTTTATTTCAGTCCAAGAATACATAAAAAATCTTCACCTAGTTCTCCACACCAACATTCATCAAATGAAAGTTCTGACGATGAATTAAAAAACAGGCCAAAAGCAGAAGGCCGCGCAGATAGATTTTTTTACGATACCCTCATGTGTCAAACACCTGATATCAAGTTTCCGGAAACCTCAAGATACAGGCCAAATCCAGAGTATAGCAGAAAATACAGAGAATCCGACACAGATAAAAATGAAACGGAAGCGTCTGAAGAGGTCGCCTCAAAAAACGTGGATTCCTCCATCGCTGAATCGGAAGATATGATGGTTTTTAAAAAAAAATGCGCAGAGGCAAATTCGCGCCGTTTGCGCAAGTCGTCAATTTTATGGGAAAAGGCGGGAAGAGGAGTTAGCTTTGTGCTATGGTGGTCAATTGTTTTTTTGTTTGGTGATTTTTAGAAATTGCATTGTGTAATGTTTATTAAAAGTGAAATTAACAAATAATCTTTTATTTCTCACCATAGAATGCTTATCTTTATAAAACTTAACCTGTAGGTACATTATAAAAATACAATCATGCCAAATTTTACGGATATATAACTTTACAATTAATAAAATATTATAAAACTAGGTATTTTGTAAGCGATAAAACTTTAAAAAAAAATCAGTCCGACATTATGATGACAATAAATTTAAAATTAAACAGGAAGACGAAAATAAATACTTATATATCTACCCCACAATACACACTATTTCCGTATATAAAATAACACATGGTTGTAATTATAAAGAGTTTGAACATACTTTGAGCGTTTTGAGGCTTTTAGCATAATAACTTAAACAATAAAAATATGAAACTACCCTCAAAATACTACCTAATATATGCTTTAACTGTTCATAAACTCCATTATAACTTCGGCGTGTTCTTCTTTAACTCCAATTGTCATTAATTGAGATTTCGATACTAATTGTAATGATTCTCCATCTATCTCATGTTCAAATAAGGCTCCAGAAGTTTCCTTCCAACCGTGGTCTGATAGATGTTTCACTAACTGTGACATCTGTGTAAAAAGAGAGGGAATTGTTAAATAAATAAAAAATGTGTTACAGATTCTAATAATAACTTAAATATAATAAAAATATATATACATGTATATATGTGTGTACATACGACATTCGCAAAATTTTAAAGGAATAGATTACAATGGCTCATCAACGCCATCTAGTTTTTTAACAAGCTTTTCTAAAATCGTTCTTGGCTTAAAGGTCCCGTTACCGAGCCAAAAAAATTAAAAAAAAACTAAAATCTCCTCGGACTGCCATACACAAATACACAATACACATTGCGCACGGAAATGTATTTATATATATATCACCACAGACTTAAAAAGGTAATTTAATTTTGTGCTGGAAAATTCTTTTAAAAAAAGTAAATCTAAGCCATTATTCATTATTTTTATATTTTACATTGCCATGCCAGTGTTAAATATGAAAATAACTTAAATATCTAAAGCCTAATCCTTTTTGTGTAAAGTAAAAGATTATAAATATGCTCACCGGCCATGTCTTGACATCCGAAGGTTTCAGGTTTGCGAAAGGATTCAGGAAGTCTGTAAATATACAAAAATATGTTAGTAATTTTCCATGCTAATATGTAGAAATAGACAAGGCTTCTTTACGCGTCACCATAGTTTTTATAATCATTTCTATTAATTAATATTTGCTTTACATAGTAATGTCAATAAGAATGTATATACCTTTTTCGATTCCATTAGCACTCTCCTGGGTACTAGGACTGCTTTCCTCTACAGCTGAATTTTCTGATTTATTCGTACTAATGTCTTCTCTAAACGAAGTACTAGCAACTTCTGTAGGCTTTGTTTCTGTATCAGCCCTTTCGCTTAACTTAACTCTTCTAGAATTCTTGGATTTGGTTCTTGTATTATTTTCTTTAACCTTTTTGCTACTATTGTTATTACCTGTCCCTTCGTTTACAACAGCGCTTTTTGCAATTTTTGTGTTTTCTTTAGATCTAGTTTCCATATATCCTGTGTTTGTACTTTTAGTTCCTTTGTCAGTGTTTTTCTCTTTTGGCAAAACTCTGTCTTTAACTACTATAGCGATAGATGGAATTTCATCTTCCAAATCTTTCTCTTCGAGTGGATTTAGCTCTGGTGCTTCTGAACTGAGTCGGATGGTTCGTTCAATAGTAGGTTTTCTAATCTGAAACATAAAACAAATTGTCATTATTTAAATTTCATTGATAAAAATTGAAGTACCTATATTGAAAAAAAAATGTTTTTTTAGGGTATCTAACATTATTAAAAGTAAATAATTAATTAGACTCACTGGAAAAGCAATGTTGGACTCCTGAATCACAAATCCATCGAGAACATGCGTTAAAACAAAATCTTTGTCAGTCAATTTCATCTCATCGTTTACATCGCTTTTGTTAATTCCTTTATTTACTTTCCTTATATTTTTATCGTTTTCTTCTTCTATGAGACTATTTAGTGCTTCTTTTTTATCTTCAGTTTTAACGACTTCTACCATTTTTGTTGGTTCGTTTACTTTTGGTTCGACGAGTTCAGTTTGTATTTCCATAGATGTCGTTTCTTCTTTAATTTCATTTTTAACATTCAATATTCTGCCTCTTGCTTGTGTAAAAACCGTATTTCTAACAAGTTTCTCTTTGAGTTGACTTTGTGCTAAATTAATTTGATTCACTAGACCGTGCGTTGAATTAGTTTTATAACTTTCTAAGTCTTCTTTTTGTACTTCATTACTCACTGACTTATCATTAATTTTACTATCGTTATTACAATTGTCTGTCACATTATTGACCGTACTTAAGTGGCTCACCAGGACAGGATTATTGTTTATTGCTAAAACATTTAATTTGTTTTGTATTTCATCAGGCGATTCACTTTTTCGTTTTCTATTCACCTTATTTTCTATTGGTGATATAGAAGTCATAGAAGTAAGTGAATTTGGAATCATCGGGCCTAAGACGTTATTAATTGGAACAACATTGACATTATTCGTTAACTGCTGCAAATTAGGTGGAATAATATTAACTAAGTTAGTAGTTGTAGGTGCAGAGGCGACATGTATGTTTGCCGGCACTGAAGTAGAATTAGTAGTATTTGTAGATTGTACTCCGAATAGTTTTGTGTTTGTAAGATTATTTGCGATTGTATTTCCAACAGTCGGTGCCAAAATATTAGCATTAGGAGGTTGTACGTTAATGTTATTGTTTGCAGGTACGGTTCCTACATTATTCGTGTTTATAGGATTAGCAACGATAGTCATTGGATTTGGTCCCACGTTGCCAGTCGGTACTCTTCCAACATTGGCAGGTATAGAACCAGTGGTCGGGCTATTTAGTGAAGGTGACCCAACAATATTTGACACGTTTATTACATTTGGCGTCGTGCTCGATTGAACGAATCTCTTTTGCACTGAAACGTTTGGCACTTGATATCTAAGTCTAGGTTGAATTGGTCTATATGCAAATCTTTGTGGTCTAACATTTCTTACTGCTGGCCGTTGTTGTTGAGGACTTTGTGACATCTGTGGACGAGCCATCCTTGGCCTCAACTGTTGGATTGGCCTTGGTACATATTGGATGTTGTTGGGTGACTGTTGGTACTGTATTTCTTGCGTTGGTTGATTAACTTGAACGTTTTGCACTCTGTTATCCTTTACTTTTTGTAAATTTGGATCTATTTTGTCTGGAACAACTTGGCTTTGTGTAGGAACTACTGGCATTGGGACTTGATTTTGCAATGGCACAGTGTTCTGTATAATGTTTGGTTGAGTTTGGACAAACGTTTGTGTTAACATCCTATTTGGATCGTTTGGATCGGGATTCGGTATTTGCACCACGTTCGGTATGATTTGTATTTGTCTCATTTGGTCGTAGTTCTGCAGAAACATCTGGGGGTTTTGATACGCGTATTGTTGTAGATAGATTTGATTTTGATCTAATTGTTGTACATAGTTTTGTTGTTGCGGCTGTTGTTGAATGTAGTTTTGCTGCTGTTGGACGTAAATAATTTGCGGTTGCGCTGTACTGTTCTGTAGCCATGGTGGTGGATTGTGGGGGTTGATGACTAATGCCGGAACCACCTCGTCTAAAATAAAAGAACCATAAAAGATTGATACGCTGTTACGTCACTAACAAATCATTAAACTGAATAAGGGAAGAATACATAGAAGATAATATTACCTCTCGGCACTAGCATAGGAGTATCGTAGACGACACGTATAGACATTGTAGACTACCTGAAACAGATAGAAAAACCTATATCGTATCTTATCGGATTTCTAAAACATTTAAAAAACTCGTTTGATATCCAAAGTTCCATTTCCCTATACGCAATACAAATGGTTATAAGTATGTTTATATAATCATATTAAATAAGGTTTTCATTTTACGTAACTTAAGTCGAGTAATGGAATACCTAAATAAATTATATAAATAAGAATTTTAATAATAACATTAGGAAACGTTTATGCTTAGTGATAAAAAGGGAATAGAATGTTGAGAACAAACGGGGCTACAATCTCTGAGACCCCATGGGGCCACCACGAAATAGTGAAAATTTCATTTCGAAAAATCGACACTCAAATTTAATTTCTTGCTTACGATTATATTAACATATTGTGTGGTATATATAAGAATTTATAAGTTATTTATTAAGAACCTCGACGAATTTATGGAAAAATAAATTTTAGTATTTTATTTCGATTATATTTTGGGGTCAGGTGCCTTCAGATATAGCCCTGTCCAACTAGTTCCTATTTTATCTTATATATAATTTTTGACTTAACAAAGAGCTAATTAGGATCAAAAATAAGTTTACGACACGGCCAGGACTCTGGCTAATGTGATTGAGATATGGTTTTCAATGTTTCACCATGACGCGTGCATCATCAGATGTTAACCTCCTCTAAGGCGAGGAATAGTCAATTTAAGTAGCTTCTCAAAATGACCGCGAAAACTATAGATAAGTATGTATACAATTTATAAATAGGTATATCTACTTTTTAGTAAGTAGGCTTTTTAGTAATGTGACGTGTGAAGTAACTTGTGTATTTTTTAGTTTTACGTAATGTATATACAAGACATTAACAACTAAGTGATCCAAATTTGATATGAACATTAGGAAAGCACATAGTTAAGTTAGGCTGAGTGCCGGACACAAAGGCTTGATATTTAAAGCAATTTAGAAAAAAAATATATAAACCAACAAGGACATCCTCATCTAAAACTTTCTATGATTGCGATGCACAGCCAATAATCGACGGGTCCTGGATTCGACACCCACCGGATCCAACATGTTACTAAAACATGTTGCTTTTCGTCTGTGTTAGCGGTATTCCGTCCGATTCCAGGTCCGGGATGAAAAAGCTATCGAAACGCAATGTCTATTCATAAATGGCGTTTCGGTTGCAGGCTGTGGTGTCTAGAATATGAAGTGTTTTAATGTACTTAGGTATTATGACTGAGGTTTTTCAGCTTTCAGCAAGGGAATCGTACCTATATGTCTATCCTCCCAGAGGACAGATACGGTTGAGAGATCATTAAAAAATCTATAAATGATGTATTAAGCTTATTCCATAAAATATAAACAGTAAATGGTTAAACGTGTTGCCTAGCAATACATTTAGCGCGTGGGTCCCGGTTTCGAATCCCGGGAAACCATACATTTCTTAAGCCAGTGCACAGATCTGGTCAACTATTGTAAATAAAACCGATCAGCGAAACGAACACAGATATGAGTTCGCCCCATGCCCCACGAGGAGAGACGGGATTTCAGAATTTATCAGAAAGCAAAATCGCTTAGCGGTTTCTACTCACTGCTTTTAGTATTCTACTAAGCTTTTTACTAGTATTAATAGGTACTAATAAAATGTTTAAGTCATCTACGAAACAATTTTGTAACAAAAAAGTAATAACCTCCATTTTGTCCGGCTTGCCCACCATAAAGATAGAGCGTGACGTTTCCAAGCATGACCAACTAGATTTTACCATAGACTATCATTGTACACAGATGTTATACCTATAAACATTTTTAATAAGGAGTTCAGTTTGATATTTTGTCTATGACGGAATTGATTATGGTGAAATTTTTGTTCGTCGTATAACTGTCTCATAAATTGACTCTACCATACAGCTTACAGTTAAGCAACCTTATCTATAATATGCTGATATCGCAAAAGAAGTATTATAGCATATTCGCTTTCGACTTATCTTAATCTTTTTACGACCTATGTACGACCTTTTGTCTAAACGGGTTCCGATCCTAAACCAATACTCGGAAGGCAGAATAATTAACCACTGACCCACCATACAAAAAAGGGAAGTAATCTATCTCGCTCCAAACCTCTCTTTCTCTCGCCCTCACCAATATGCCAAATTCAAAATAGCAAAAAATACACCGCTCTTAATAATTCTTATTCCATCAAAATTCCATGGGAAGTCACTGTAATGTGAACTTTAAGACGATGTGATACAGTACAAAAGGACCTAAACCTATTAAAAGGTTCAGCCAATAACGTGCAATGAAGATTAGATCTTAATACAAGTAAATAAGTTTGTATTTCCGATGCACATTCAAATTATTATCTCGTAATGGAGAGCGGACCCTTCCTGGGACGGCAGACATTTTATTTTTATAGTAGAGATGTGCAGTGTAGAATATCGACATTTTTATTAATTTAATTATCGATGTTGCTTCACAATTGTTTACCAGATATTGAATTCATTGAAATTGGGGTGTTTTAGATAATCTTTGGGTAGACAGAGCATTTTTTAAATATGTAACTGTATTAATACTTATATAACTACTAATAATTTAAATACTAATATAGCAAAATTGAATAATCCATGTTGATGTAAAGGTACAAGCGTTTGCTATTATGAATAGTGTATATACGAGGAAATCCGCTCATTGTTTAAACGTTTGAACAATGACGTAATAGGATTATTTCTATTACATCTCTAGTTATATTCGTTATAAGGTTGCATAAACGGTCAATAAACTACACACCCTTAAAAACTTGAGTAAAGTGTGAGCTTAAAAACAGTATGCATTTTAAAACCCTCATATAAGTCTTAAATACAGACGTAATATTAAAAATTATAAAGTAAGATGGCAGTTCTTATAGAGCCTTTAAATTAAACGCAGTAGAAGTATTATACGTTATTAAAACAAATCAAACTTATGGAAAGTTAAGAGTATCGATAACTCCAACAGAAACTATCTCAAAGCGACCCATCCCTAGCAAAATTTATGAGCCGCCAATGGGTCGCTACAAATCCCGAGCTAACTCTATAAATAAGTAACAAGAGCGAATGAGACAAAACTATTGCGATATTGGCGCGTGAAAAAGAGTAAGCAAAACAGCTGTTGGTTTCTTGAAGTCATAATTTTGGTATTGTCATCAATATAATACAGATAACATATATGTAACAAGTAGTACTTGAGATTAAACGTTACCGCTACAGGTAACATACGAAGTTACGAGCAAATGACGTTGGTAAAAATAAAAAAAAAAAACTATAAAAAATAATCATGAGGATTCTATTTTATACATATAATAAAATATATGTAATAATAAAAAAATAAATAGAAAGTCGATAGCAATTAATAATATAAACTCGCAAAACACATTTAACCAACAAAATAAACACAAAAATCACAAATTTACCGACTACAAAGTCGAAAATTGCATAACAAAAATCGTCAATATCCTGTGACGTCAGAACATCACTACAATGCTATTTCGTTGACTACATATCTGTATAATACGAAGTGGCAAAACAATACTGATATCAGGATAAATCACCGACCAAGATCAGAAATGATTAATTAAAAACACAAACGGCACTCACCTACACCAGCAGTCAGCTGATGAAGTCTTCAAATAACGTAAAAAGTATAGTAATCGTATTAATACGCCCCAAATACACAGACCTAAGACATGTTACGCGACGAAATGGCTGCTCGGTCGACACGAACCGTCCATTCTAAAACCAACCGCTCCCGTACCACGAGACGCCTCACAATAAACGATAACGCGACAGTATCGCTCCGCTCCGAACAAAACTGCACCGTGCACTATCGATTTTGCTTCCAGCCGGTTTATAGTACGGAGGACGCCCGACCAATGATAACGAACTTAGCTCAGACGAATGGTATTGGACGGAACGTGTTTCGAAATTCAAACACGTGCCTATGACCCCGTTCCTCTCCTACCAACGCGCATAGACACGACATTTTTACATCTATCTCACTCTATCATATGGATTATTTCAATAACAAAATAAGAGAATCGATAATATTAAACGTCAAATAGGATAAACGGCTTTTGTCTAGTTGTTTTTGGGAATTTGTGTTATATTGCTTGTTGATAGAGTCGAGAATCGCGGCGACGTTATAACGTTAAATGGATGTCCTTATAAATAATTAATAATGTCCTGTGGAGACCCCGTTAATATCATTTAACAATTTTGCAAGTTACAATACATATGTATAATGTTTTATTTACTTTCATTTCTACAGGAAACTTAGAGCCAAATTACAGGTTTCCACAATTAGAGTAAGAATAAGTACTGTAAACAATAAAACAATATTGAAATACTAACAAAATAAAAACGACACGTATACAAGAACGATTATAAGCATAAACATTATAAACAACTTTTTAAAATTACGATAAAGATATAAAAACCGTTATTAATGGTTACTATTCGAATGCTAAGTACCTAAGTAAGTATATACTTTTTGCACGTAAATAATTATTTATATGAAAATAGCGAAGCATTATCAAAAAATATTGAATAAATTATACATTGCGCATATCTAATACTGATTTTAAAAAATGTCAGTAGGTAGTTTTCTTACATAAGGAAATATTTAGTCATACCAATAATTATATTGTTTGCTTCTCTACCTTATATTATGGCATGTCTTGAAAATGATTTGTATTTATTTAGGAAAACGTTTGAATGATTGAATTTGTGAATACTTTACTTACTTAATACTTTTTTTTTCTATTTATCTTGCCCATTCATCTAAAAGCTATCATCTATCTCTTCTTTTTCTGTTTAGGCTATCCGCCTATGGAATAAGCTGCCACCCGCGAAAAGGCTCTCACAAAGTATTAACTCCTTCAAGACCGAAAGTCAAACAACATTTTCTTGAAAGTATAGCCATCTTGACTTCGTTCGCGTGGAATAGTGACTTGGGGTAGAATTTTTAACTATATAGGCTGTTTATTAATTGCGCATTTATCGCAGCCAATCTATGTTGTAAGGTAGGCGCAACATTCTCACCTCACATCACTCCTAGTCTAACTCCCACTCCCACTCCTATTCCCACAAAGCCAAAGAAGAAAGTTTTATTGTTCTACCTTCAAAAACCACGAATTTCCATACAAATATTCACCCCCCTCTCCTAACCCCTTTACAGACCCCTTTTCGCAATAAAAAGTGGCTATGTTGTTTCTTAGGGTCTAGACTGTGTACCAAATTTCATTCAAATCCGCTCAGTAGTTTTAGCGTGAAAGAGTAACAGACAGACGGGGTTTCTTTCACATTTATAATAGTAAAGTGTGATCTTTGTAAGATCAGAATGTAATCTTAAGTTTTTACTATTTAGTGTGTTTACGTTTTTTGTTGTGTTAGTATTTGATATCATTGTATTTTACAATCTATTGCATTTTCTCCGCCTTTGCACTAACTTTTAAGTAAATAATTCTTTTAGTTTTACTATATTTGTATTTTATTTGTTTGTGCAATATAGTGTTTTATTATTATTATCTTTTATCCAGAATCACACAAATCAAAATTTCTTTTTAAAGAGGTCACGGGGAGACAATGGTCTTTCCTCATGACCACGGGCTGCTGCAAAGCATCCGAAACGTCGGGCCGAAGTTTTCAAATAAGTTTAACTAATAGATCGCGTTTTAAACCGTTAAAGTGTTTTATTTAAACTCGGTTATACTTTGTTATTTGATAACGAGGATACTTTGTTTAAGAAAATCAGTATATTTAGACAGATACCATTAAAAAAATAGTGTTAACCCAAAAGTAAGTATTTATTAGGGTCACGGAGAGACCGAAGTTAAAAATCATTTTCAGATAAGTTTAACTAATATATCGCGTTTTAAACCGTTAAAGTGTTTTATTTAAATGTGTACTACTCGCGTATACTATAGACAGTATATAACCGAGTTGTTCGGCCGAGTACGAGTGTCAAAAACCCGCCGAGTAGGTACCGAGTACTCGGCCCAACTCTAGTATGGATTATACGGTGAGTATAACATAGATGTTATCTACTAGGTACGTCATGTAAAAATATACATATGCCATATAAAAGCCTATAATAATAACCTAAGTGTAATGTGGAAAAAGATTAATTTTTTATCCGTTTTTTTTTGCATTAAATCAAACCGATAGTAACAGTGATCATCGAATATTTAATACTGCTTGTAGTTTACGCGACTAGTACACATTTAAATAAAACACTTTAACGGTTTAAAACGCGATATAATTTAGTTGAACTCTCCCCGTGACCACGGCTGTTGCAAAGCATCCGAAACGTCGGCCCGTAGTTAAATATTCAAACAAGCTTAACTTAAATATATCGAGTTTTAAACCGTTAAAGTGTTTTATTTAATCGAATATTCATTTCGTTTACGCTAGTTTAAACATCTAATTAAACACTTTTAACTCCAAAAAAATAAAAGAGTAAAATATATTCATTAATTTATTTTAAAACCAGGTTTCTCTCCAGACCACGGCTATTGTACAAGGCAACTGTAACGTCGGGTTGTAGTGAGAAATAAATTATGTCTAAAAGCGTTAGATGGTTTAGATAACTGTGTGAAGAATTTATGCGTCAGGTTGGCTGCCTATAATGAAGATTTTAATTCGGCATTGATATTTTTATAGTACAGAGTTACAAAATTAAAATGTCTATGTAAAAATAATATAGTTGTAGTTTTATTGACGGGTGCGTTTGTCTAATGCAGAGGTCCCCAAACTTTTATGTGCCGTAGGTAGTAGTAATATTGGGTAGACCCTTACTTACCTGAATTTGATTCCCTGTAAATTTCTAACTGTAGTGAAGTTTAGTGTTAAAAACTTAAAGTAAAATTATTTAAATGTGTACTATTCGCGTAAACTATAGACAGTATGTAAAATCGTTAATTTATACATTTTTTTTTATTAATTTATTTTAGTAGAATTTAAATTAAAAGTAAAAAGTCAAAATAATTCTGTTTCTGTTATTGAACACAATTACTTATATAATATTTTTTACTTCATAATTACTTTTATAAATAATGTATATGTTTTGATATTATAAGATAATATGTTGGTAAGTAAATAGGTACTGTCAGAGTGTGTTGAGATCCACTATCGTGGACCCCCAAATTTTTTTCGCCGACGTAGACTTGTAGATTGTCATAGACCCCTAGGGTTCGATATAGACTTTGAGAATCACTCTTCTAATGGTATCCCTAGTGTGGGTACTAGGGACTATCTATTCTGCACATATGTATATGGTCTATACCAACAACCGTCCACAGATGAAAAAGCATTGAGGATTAATCTAGTTACTTAGTATAGATATTTAGTAGTACTACTCCATCATTTGTTATTCGTTAGTAACGAATACCGATTTAAATAGACACAGGCTATCGTTAGTCCTCGTTTTCTGTTAGTGTTCAAAATACCTTCCAAGTAAACTTCAAATTATACCTGTGAGTATTTATCATTTAGAGATGTTATAATAATTAAGATTAAATACCATCTATATTAAATAACTAGCTGCGTAAGCGACGTCGATCGCGTGGAATTAGTACTTAGTTGTTTTGGGCATCCAAATTTGTATCTTTATAAATTTACTGTACCCACGTCGGTGGCGTCTTGTCGTTCTTGTTTAGTTTATCTTAACAGACAGACATGATATAGTATCACTTACATTTTCTAGATCATTTGCTTTACACACTTTAACACATATGTTTTGGGTATCTTGAACCGTTTTCGCAGCGTGCGCATCGGAAACCCACAAGGAGGAATAAATTTCCTCGTTTTTTTCCCGCTGTTTCTATTAGTAGCCGCGCGATGTTTTATAGCTTATAATTATACATTCTTCTTCGATAAGTGCTCTAACCAACACAAAAATAATTTTTCAAACAGTTCGAACCATCAGTTCCTGAGATTAGCGCGTTTAGACAAACACTGATTCTTCAGCTTTATATATCAGTATATATTTACGCGTTTCGTTGACGCGAATTGCATTGGTTAATTGTTTTTATCTATTAATATCCATTTATTATTTCGTGATAATGAGTTTTATTTATATCTTATATAGGTATGTTACTTTTCGCTTCGACTAACCCCCTAAGGTTGGTCGTGTAATTCATCGAAGGAGTAAGTACGTAAATAAAATCAAATAAATAAAAACACGAATGCCTCACAAGAATCCGTACCATTTAACAAGGTACGTCTAACTGTAATTAAATTTATTTTTTACCTAAGCCCGTCAATAATTGCTAGTGATTTGAGCAATTTGCACAAAAAAATCTTTGATCTGTCAAAATAATCTTAACGCATATCTGAATTATATTTTCTAACAAAAATCTTATTATATGATATATATGTAAATTAATTGTAATGACATAATTATTAATAATTATGTACTATTATTAATGACTACTATAATTACGAAACATTACGTGCAAAACCACTTCATAAAATTCATGACTAAGAAAGAGAATCTAGATATTGAAAACAAGTTAAAATGGGTGGGTACTACTCCCCGTAAATTAGGTAGGTACTTACAGACACTACTTGTGGGTATTTAATTAAAAATGCAAAACACAAATTATAAAAGTTTAATTACATAACATATTTAATTTGTTGTTTTTACTTATACATCGATTTAATTATATTTGACAAATTCTTCACTTCTTCGGCTTCATCTTCGGCGCTTTGATGATGGAACCCAAGCTCTTCCTCTTTATAATGGAAGCACGCTTTTTCGCGTCACTCTGAGCTAGCGCTAAAATAGCGCCTTTAGTCTTTTTCGCCTTTACCTTTCTCTCTTTCTTAACTTCGTTACTGGTCTTTGGCGTTTCATTTAACTCATCCTTTTTAACTTTCCTCGTTTTCTTTTCGGTTTTCTTTTGTTTATCCTGGGCTTTATCTGGCCTTTCTTTAGCGGGCTTCGTCTTCGGCTTTTCCGGTTTTTTAGCTGGTTTTTTGGGCTTCTTTTCTTTTTCCTCTTTCTGTTTCGCTAGCTTGAAAGACCCAGTAGCACCGGTGCCTTTAGTTTGAAGGATAGTTCCGCTTTCTACTGCCGCTTTCAAATATTTCTTGATCAGGTTTGAGTTTTTCTCTGTGTCTATATTGTATTTCTCCTTTATATAGGTTTTAATGGCATATAGTGACGTACCTTTTCGGTTGTGTAGTTCTGTTAACGCTATTTTTATCATATCCTTCGTCGACGGTTTCTTCTCGGGATTTTGCAATACTTCCTTTTCGCTGGACGTAGACTCTGCTTCGGACTCGGAGGCGGACATTTCGAAGACAATAAACAAAATCAAACCTTTATTGGCTTAGCAAAAAACGAGGGTAATGCACTAAACTTGAGGGTAGTTAATTTTTGCTATTCAAAAAAGGTGTGCTTCAGTTAGTTACTTGTTCATTTGCATATTAATTTGAACATTCATTTGATGATATATATTCGCAAACTTAATATTTTTTATTGGCTGTAAACATATTAAAAAGTAAAATAACGTTTAATGTTTATGGTTGCACTTTGCGTTACAGCTGATGCGCGTTTTGTTTTGATGTTGACAATTGACAAAGGCGTCGTATTGACACAGTAATCTAGTCTGTAACAGACTATGCACACATAATTCTGAGATTATATATAGATTAAAAATATATTGTTAATATGCCAAAATAATAAAAAATAAGTAGCTTATACCATTTATATGTTATATTTTGAAATCAAATAACATTACTCCTAGTGAAATCTCTAAGCAGTGCATAAAATTACTTTTGTCAAGCACGACTTGAGAAATTTGGGTCTCCTGACCTAAGATACGATACTTTGAAGGTAACCCTTTCAGGACGATTAGATGGCTGAGACTAAACATGCGAATAGAAACAATATTTTAGCTACTTTGGGTGCAGATTAGGAAATATAGCAGGGTGCATAGATTTCCTATAATAATACGTTTTATTTTAAAGTTCATCAAAATAATATCGATTCAATACTACTTAATTGAGTAATTGATAACGATTTTTGTAGAAGGAAAAATATTTGAGCGTTGGTTGAGCTAGAAGGTCAGGGCCCAAGCCGGCCGTATAAATAAGACGCTATAAATTAAAGAATTTGAATTACCGTGTTTAAGCAGTTAGAGCGAGATAATATATTCTGGAGCATTTGTTATTAGACATTAATTGTTATAAAGCCTTTTACAGTATATAACTTTTATCTTATAAAGATACTCAAATAGCCATCATCTAAAGATCGTTTACATCGCATAAAGCCCTAAAAGGCCCGGATCGGAATCCTGGGAAAGCAATCGAGAGTATTCGACGTCGGGCAGTGCATGTAAATTTCACCAGTGGAACAAATACCAATTCACCGAACCTACTTTATTTATGAATTTCTCGTACTGTTAAATACTGAATTTAGTTTAGTTGGAACTAGTTAAGTATTGTAAAGTCTTCGTTAGATTTATAATTACTATTATGGTGTATGACACAATCAACTCTAGAACACGCACTTTCTCGCATATAACTTTCTATATTCATTTCTGATAGAGAAGAGTCAATCATGTGGTTCTTTGGATAGAAGGTAAAATACACCAGCCATATAACACCTCAAATAGATGCGGCTTTGGATATTCGGAAATCCAGACTCAAACGAAAGATTAACTTGATGGCTTCCGATCTGAGGACGGTGGTTCGTGGTGGTGCTCCACTAATTCTTCGAGCAACAAGACCGTCATAAATACAGGACTTAATAATAAAAAATGACAAAATCCAGTATAAAAAATGGTTTATTACTTAAAGCTTAGTTTACATATAGCACTATAATATACACTGAGTCTTAAAAATAAATGTCATGACTTGGTATCAAGCTAAAGTCTGCTAAAAATATGCTTCCGCTGTATTTGAGGGGGAGACAGGGGCAACATGATTGTTTTGAAAATTTTTAAAGATTTAACATTTCGATTAGAACATTCTAAAAAAAAACACTTATAACGGTTTAAAATGTGAAATATACTTGTTAGTTATATTTAAAATGACACCGTCACAGAAGCAAAGGTCATTGATGAACCCGGTCAAATTTCGTTAAAAGTGTTATATTTTATTGTATTTATTATTTAACAATCTTTTAACCCCGCTCTCCCCTATGTGGTTTGAAATCGAAGCTGTGTATGTAAGATAATTCAAAGTAAAGATATGTAAATACAGATTACAAAGATAATAAAAAATAAAATCTCTAATAGAGCAAAGTTCGTTATAATTGGTCGAGCCATTTAGTTAAAATATCTCGCGCTACATAAATACTTACACAAGATTAAAATAAATCTATTGATTTTCTTAAAGTTAAACGATAATAATGAAAACTTAACATACATAAAATATAGTTTGAAATGCGCTATACTTTAGAATTGGTTAATAAAATCACTATCTTAGTCATTAACGGATTTTGTGAAATTAAATTCTGAAAAATACAATTAATAATTCGGCTATACCAGTGTGGATTTACTGAAAATCTTGTACACTTAAGTAAGATTTTTTTTTAAATAAACCTAAGTTTAATATAATCTTAAATGCAAGATTAAATTGTCCTTTCTACAAAAATATAGATATTACAATCATATGCCACATGATGTTCAAATGATTCTAAAACACAATGGCTAGACAAAAACCCAAGTAGCTTAAATACACTTTCAACGGTTTAAACCACGAAATATATTCGTTCAATAATTAATAATTTTTAACTAAAACAAAACCGTTGAAAGTGTTTTATTAACTGTACAGTTGGCATAAATTACAGATTTTTGTCCGTGTCAAAAATGTACCATAATTTAAAATGTTTTTTTTTTTATTTTGTGATTGAGAAATCGTTTTTGACGTTTATGTGAAATATCCCAGCCAGGACATCTAAACAGGGCGCTTTGAAGCAGATTGAAAAATTAGAATGTTAAACCCGGTGGGGATGGAACCCGTTGATTACTCACACATTGCTAGTATTAGACCAATGAGCTCGTCAAAATAAAAACATATTAACAATAGTCGAATGTCACCTGGTTTAAAGGCATGGAAGGTAGAACGAGATTTTCAGTAAATAGCCATATTTCTTTCAGTCCACTTAGAACAAGCCCTTAGCTTTAGAATTCGCCGCGAACTTCCTTACGTGTACAATGTACTCTAGCATCACTGTTGCGAACGCCGCGTCTAGCACGAACTGTGGTATTTTACCTGAAAAAGAAAAGTTGGTTTTAGCGACATCTTGCGGACGACGTAGGAAACAGTTTTAATCTGTTTACAGGAGTACTACTTAATTCTTCAACCCGAGTAGATCCGTGTTCATATCTGCTGCAAAAGCAATCTAAACGTGCAGTCGCAGTTAAAATAGATGAAAAACCAGTTCACGAATGTATTCCGCCTTTTAAACCGTTGAAAGTGATTTGTAAAAAAAATTCAAAATCACTTCATTGAACTAAATAGAGATCATATTCTACAAAGACGACTTTCGGTACATATCAAAACGAACCACACAGTAGATGGAATATTTTACCTTTAAGATCACAGCACATGAGCCACTGGAAGACAGTCTGTTCGACTTTACCCGCCGGAGTCTGAACCCACTTCGGCGTAAGGCACCAGCATCCCACTTTATTGTGCCCCCTGGAAAAAAGTTATTAGGTATCCAGTATTTTTTCTTAAATTTTACGGGCCCGTTGGTGTATTCAATTTCCTGCAATGTATCATTAATCATCAACAGTCGTGGATTCGATCTACATTGTGTCCAGCATAAATCTAAACAAATTATAATTTCTCTTAAACTGTTGCACTTCGATACTGTCTATAGTTTACGCGAGTAGTACACATTTAAATAAAACACTTTAACGGTCTAAAACGCGATATATTAGTTAAACTTATTTGAAAATGATTTTTAACTTCGGCCCGACGTTTCGGATGCTTTGCAGCAGCCGTGGTCACGGGGAGACAAAGCATCCGAAACGTCGGGCCGAAGTTAAAAATCATTTCCAAATAAGTTTAACTAATAGATCGCGTTTAAAACCGTTAAAGTGTTTTATTAAAATGTGCACTACTCGCGTAAACTATAGACAGTAGTTAAGTATATGGTTTTTTTTCTACTCACCTAACCATATCCCTGTGCGGGGGATACCCGGGCACAGTGACACTGACCCCGCTGCTAATATAGCAGCTGGGCTCGTCCTCTGTCACCTTCCCGTCGCTGTTCAGCGCCGCCATGCGCCGGAGTATGACGAAGTCGCGCGGCGAGATTATGCCCCGGCCTCCCCCGGCCGTCACTTGGTACGAGAGGTCCACGCCCGGGCCTATTTCCTGAAAGAATATATTGCTTTGTTCTTTAATGAAAAATAGAAGTAATTCTTGTCTCTATTTAAGTAGTACAGTATTTGCTCTAGTTTACGCGAATAGGACAGATTGATATAAACTACTATTAACTGTCTTACACGCGAAACATTTTACGACAGTACGTTATTATTAAAGAAGGTTAACTAATATATTTCGCGTTATTAACCGTTAATAGTGTTTTATTTCGAACAGAACTACGGCCCAACGCTTTAGACGCTCTGCAGCGGTTCACGCAAGCACGTCTGATCGTAGTTAAAATAAGTGAATATATTTTACGTTTTTAAGTGTCAAAAGTGTTTGATTTTAAACAGATTAAAACGAAAACTACATAAGTTAACAGCTTTTTTAATTACGACCATAAGTTTCAATTGCTTTTCAAGAGAGGAGATCCCTTCTTCCCCCCGTGACCTTGAACTGCCTACTACATGGCAACATTAATTCAATTCAAATTAAAAACATTTTATTACCATGATAGCACATGAACAGTCATCTTGTAACAAATAAATTGTGTAAACCAATAATAGATAAGAGATGGCAACCGGTACCGGTCTAAGCCGTTGGCTTTCAGACTCGCCCGAGTATAGTAGGTAGGTGAAGAGTGAAGTTTATTATATAGTTAAACCAGAACGTACATATACATAATAAAAAAAAATATATATACCTTAATTAATTCACTCTTAAGTATAGTCGGGTTCCATTCAGGCAATCTTGAGATGTTGTCTTTGAATTCGCTGTACAGGAATTTCGCTGGACAATCTACTAGGCCCTGGAAAAGAATAAATTAAATTATGAGCAACGCACAGTTCTCTCTGGAATCCAACCCAGGTTCCAAGCGTCACGTCGCTAGGTAACGCTTGTAACAATTCAGATTACGAATGCTTACAATACTGAAAGAAAAAAAAGCCTGTTTCGAACCCTATCTATACTAATATATAAAGCACAGTTTGTTTGTTTGAACGCGTTAATCTCAGGAAGTACTGGTTCGTCGGTTGGACTTTATTGCGCAGTAGAAAAAAATACAAACGAGACTTATTTACTAAAAATATGGAGTGCGATGGGCGGCCTTATCGCTAACAAGCGATCTCTTCCAGGCAACTCAAGATGAAAGAAGTATAAGTTTACGGGAAAACCACAACGCAAGGCTGGCGAAACACAATAGATATTGCTGAAAATATCAAAACAGCACTTACAATTACTAAACTTATTTACGAAAACTAAACCAAAATAAGAAAGAAAATTGATTCATGTTTGTTTATTATAACTCCCGTGCTAGAAAAAAATACAATATAGATACTACTTACAGTGAACCGATAGACTTTGCCGAACCCCTCCGTCTGCGTGGACTCCACGATGTCCCCCTTTTGACTCCCCCTCTTTTCGAGCTTCCAGTTAGACGCGTGGATTACTCGCCACGCGTTCTGCATGCTCTCCTCCGCCAGACGTTTGTATTCGTCTATCTGGAAGAGGTATTAGTAAAGGTAATCAAAAAGGTAAGTATAATTTATTTTTAATGATAAAGGAGGACAGGACATGGGAGGTGAAATACTCCCAGCCGTATAACACACAGAAGATGTGCTGTCGATCTATTTTGGCTTTGGATCTATATTGGTACAATAATGTGACTTAGAAAATGTCAACCATTTTACACAGTCTTTTGTGTAACCATCTTAATTTCCTGAAAGTTGTATGCGGTTAGAATTATAAAAATAATGTTCATTTGTATTGTGTAATCTTGTATCTTGTTCAGAAACGAATGTTCAAATATTAAAAATCGAAGTAAATACTTCTTAAGAGATTATTTTTATTATAACAAACATTGTGCACAAATACAAATATAAGTCCCCATCCGAAAAACTACACGCCTCAAAATCCGAAGTCGGACTCACATATTCGATAACCAACGAAAATATTTATTATATTAAGTTATTCGTCAATGTAATGTTATTTGTAAAATAATTTCTGTTTTAGCAAATGCTACACATGGAATAAAGCACTTTAAACTGTTTGAAACGCGAAATGTATTGTTTAATAAAAATATGTGTAACAAATTTAGTATTACCATCCATCCTCAAAGGCGGGGAGTGAAAATAAAAACTTATATATTCTCCCCCCTGACCACGGCTGCTCAAAGCATCCGAAACGTCGGGCCGAAATTAAAAATCATTTTCAAATAAGTTTAACTAATATATCGCGTTTAAAACCGTTAAAGTGTTTTATTTAATTGTGTACTACTCGCATAAACTATAGACAGTTTTTTTATCTATTTTACTAAATACAGTCTGTAGTAAGAATCTGTGGTCGAACTATATAGGGTAAGCTCATGTTAAATTCACTCACGCTTAGCCATTCAGCCTTGAAATCCTCCTCACTATCCTTATTAAATATATACTTCATCCAACTGGATATGTTAATACCGAATCTGTTCCACTTATCCAGTTTTTTCTCCAGTTCCTCCTCATTGGGCACATTCTCCAATTCATTCAAGTGCTTTTGAATTTCGATTTCCGTTAGCGCGGGAGTTTCCACAGTTGCAGAGGCGGCCATCTTGTTTTTTATCTATGGTATCACTTTTTTTATCTGTATAAATAAGATAAGCGACGCGTTTTGCTATTTCTCGAGTCTAGTACACGTGCTTCTGAGTTTGGTTTACACGTGACATATAGGTAACATACGTTAACCTAAGAATATATATAGTTTTTTTTTATTATAGACGAGAAAAGACAAGTATGGAGCTAATAGAAGGAAACCTCAGCAACACAACATCTCAATAAGATGCGATGTCGACCTGTTTTGCCTTTCGTATTCGGAAATCCACAGACGGAAGCCGAAACGCGAAACTTCACGGCTTTTTCACCTGTGAACAGCGGTTTTAGACCGCGGATGGAATATTTTTTATTTAAAATCCAGATTTCCAGAAGAAGTCCAACGTATTTCAGAATTAAATATTGGGAGGGACTGTTGTACCCGCCGGGAATAAATTCACGACCCGATGACTTTTAGACAAACATTGGCAAAGAACCCTGTCAATAACAATGCAAAGTTGGGTAAAAAATTAACTTAGACCAGAAGTTCGAGTATTGTAAAACAATAATGTAAGAAATTGTATTTTTTTTATTATTATTACTTAGGTAGTTTACGGAAAGCAGTATCATATTTTATAAAAAAAATTTTTTAAGGGGGGAAAAATAAAGGGGGGGGGGGGGGGGGGGGGGGGTTTTTGGGGGGGGGGGGGGGGTGGAAAAACTTTATTTCTTACTATTGTTTACTTAGTGTCAGTTTACGTGAAAGCAGATGTCATATTTTATATAATCATGCCCCCCCAAAAAAAAAAAAAAAAAAAAAAAAAAAAAAAAAAAAAAAAAAAAAAAAAAAAAAAAAAAAAAAAAAAAAAAAAAAAAAAGAGGGGAAGGGAGGAGGCGGGGGGGGGGGGGGGGGGGGGGGGGGAAAAAAAAAAAAAAAAAAGAGGGAAAAAAGCGGGGGGGTTTTTAAAAAATTAAAAAAAAAAATTGGGGGGGGGGGGGGGGGGGGGGAAAAGGAAAAAAGGGGGAAAAAGGGGGGAAAAAAAAAGAAAAAAAAACAAAAGAAAATAGATTGCGACGCTGAAGGGGGTTTGTCGTTAAAAAGGGGGACGTTACATGGAGTTTAACTTATTTTAATAAAATTATATCTAAAGTACATAAATCTATGCCGTCCGCCTACTAATTGTACTTCTTGTCACTTTATTAAGTACCTCTGATCCTATCATTCGTATTATTTTCTGCCTCGTTGGCATAGCCTTCACGACGTCCAGGGTTCGATTTCGTTCGTTTACGTGAGTAGTACACGTTCAAATAAAACACTTTCAACGGTTTAAAACGCGATATGATTAGGCAAATTTATTTAACAATTATTTTAACTACTTCCCCTCGTCTCCCCGATGTTTCGGCTGCTGCAAAGCATTCGGTTGCTATGCAGCAGCTTTGCAACATCGGGGCGTAGGTAAAATAATTTGTAGATAAGTTTAAACTAATACATTTCACGTTCAAATGCAGTGTATATTAAGCCGTCGGTCCGGAATTTCGTCACTAATTTGTACATGGTAGTCTTTAAACCTTAACTTGAATTTAAAGGGCGTGGTGGGTCGAAGTGGTAGACCATACTATAATCGTCTAAATGTTAATTTTCAGTCCGTATACGCCAATATAACCGTCTGAATTTTATTATCTGACATTGCTTTTTATTACACGAGTCTTGATTGCTTTTCGGATTTGCAAGATATGATCAAATATTGATAAAGTGACGTATGAGCAAATGTTTATCGCACTACTGAAAATGTGCCTGTAATATTTTTTCATATGTGGGTAGTGAATGCTAAAAATAAGTTATAAAGCAAGACACGCTAATTTCCAATTCGATCAAAATTACATGCAAATACAGTAAAATCCGCTTAGAAGATTTCTTAGGGACCAAAAAGGGGACGTGATTTTTTGTCTTGTTAAAATTTATACTATTTTATAAAGCTGAAGAGTTTGTTTATTTGTTTGTATGAGCGTGCTAATCTCAGGGACTACGGGTTCTAATTGAACATTTTTTGTGTTGGGTAGAAGATGTATCGAGGAAGGCTATAAAACATCGCCTTGTGACTAATACCAGCAAGGATACAGCGAGAAATGTGAAAAAAAAATGGGAAAATTATACATCATTATGGGTATATATATAGATATCCAAAAAATATGTATGAAAGAAAGATTCTTCTTTAAATTATCTAAAAAAAAGTCCGCGACGCTATATGTCTATCTTTTAAGATTAACTGGCAAGAACGCGGGAAAGGGACGCGACCGATGTCGTGGGTAACAGTTAAAAGACGAACGAACGAACGAATTTGGATGCCCAAAATAACGATTCTCGCGGACGAAGTCGCTGCCACAGCTAGTAAAGAATACATTGTACGATTAACATCCGGCTTTACAGTGGTTTTCCATCGCTCACTGCGGATCACCAAAATCGAAAAACATCGCAATTTCATTTCACACTTGATATATTTTATCGTTTAGCGATAAGTTAACAAAATTGCACTCGACCGGTTTTTGCTGACATTGAAAAAAGTACAACTCCGATGTACTGTAAGGTCATCTACCCGAATCGACATTCGGTGCATTGACCTAAGGGCTTCTTGTTTCGACCGGAAATTACTCGAAAAAACCCAATTCAAAACCGTTACGATATATGTAATGATAAAACTGTCTATTATTAGTTGTTTTTATATTATACTCGCTCGAGTATGTAATTTATTCCTTATTCAGATGAAGAAAAGGCTGTATAAAGAAAATTGTGAAAACAATGTTGAAAACACACTTTGGTAATTGTAATACATATTTACACTTTATTCAAAATATATAACAGACGGTACTCCAACCAATATTAAATAATAATAAAGTGACGTTAAATAAAGCACATTAACCGGTTTGAAACGCGAAATCTATTAGTTAAATTTATTTACAAATTATTTTAACTACGGCCAAACGTTACGCATGTTTTGCAGCAGCCGGGGTCACGGGACTTAAACGTATGTACCTACCATAACCATATGGGATTAATAGTTTCGCGTTTCAAACCGTTCAACTGTTTTTATTTATGTGTTTTTTACTCGCATAAACTACAGACAGTGTTTTTTATAGTTGCGTTACTATGTTACAACTGTTATGTATGTCATTATTCTCCAAGGTTAACGCGCGGTGGACTAACCTCAAATGTTCCGATAGGGCAAAAGAAGAATTCTGTCTCACGATATAATATAACGCCACTAAAAAACCCTGCCTTAAATATGATACTTCATCAATGTCAACGTCGACTGTGAAGGCAGTTGATGGAAGGTAAAATTCCCCAGCCATATAACATCTGAACAAGATGTGCAACCGACCGATTTTGGATTTGAATTCTGAATATATAATGGAACGATAAGTTGTTAACAGTTCGTGGAAATTATTTCCTTGTGATAACGAAATTTCAGCAAAAAATTTACAATTAATTTTAATGCACGTTTCATTAAAATTATAGAACAAAATTTAAGTATGTACTGTTTTGTATTATAGACTTCTCCCCATGATCACGGCTGCTGCAAAACATCCGAAACGTCCGGCCGAAGTTAAAAAAATAAGTTTCAAATAAGTTTAACTAAACCGATCGCGTTTTAAACTTTTAGAGTGTTTTATTTAAATTATGGACTTGTTTTTAGGCAGTAATCGAACTCTAAGCTACCGTTAAGTAAGCATGGCTTAGCAACTGAACATTAACAGATAAATAAATGATTTCAAACCTTCAATATTGACGTAAATGGTATGACCTTGAAAAGGTGTCATTCGCGACTCGAGCATTTAATTTACAATTTAAATTTAGAACTGCGTTTTCCATTTTTAAACGCAAACATGAATTAATTCTGTGACATAGGCGCAAGTGCAATGCTAGTTGAGGAAATGACGACTTCCGCACTTAATAAGAAATAAGTAATTTTATTTAATTAAACGTAAAATTTTATATTCTGTTACAGGAGTTAAAATGAATAAGTATATTTTTCTTTTCTTTCACTTTGTACGCTACACGTATTCACAACCACTCTTTGTTTCGGAAGTACTTCGCGACAAAGTCCATTGTAATAGTCATAAATTTTTGTTTATTTCGATAAAATAAACAATTTATTGCTTATAAACAATGCTACTCTTGGTATTAATATCAAAAAGTTGAAAATCGAATTATACTATAGTCTATATAACTTTTACGTACTTAGTCACCTCCATACAAGGTAACTTTAGTTACAATAATTAACGAGATATTTCTGTACTTCTATTCAACACGGGGATTTCGCCTCTTGAGACTAGACTCGAAAAAAACAATAACGTTCCGCTAGACAACGCTCAAACGCACAGTGTTTAAACATAATTCTACTTTACACTATTTAAAACAAGAACATCTACCAACACACCGAAAACAAACCAATTCAAATAAAGAATAGAACACGAGCTAATTTCAAATTGAATTTCGAACAATTGTGATTACAAGTACGCGATATAGACCGGCGCGTTACGACGCGAACTGGCACGCGACTGAGTGCTTTGTTATTAATGCTGCGAAGTAATCGAAAACATATTCGATGCACAGTATATTGTACGTCTCTTATACTGATAATCATTTACGTACAGTTACGCGGTTTTTGAACATTAAGGTTCTGGTTTTCAACACAATACAAATGACTTAGCTAATACAATACATTTAAGGTACCTATATAATTAAGGTAGCTTCACACAGCAGCACGAAACTGGTGTCGTGGGTTCGAGTCCCTATCGTGTTTTGTAACTGTTTTTTATTTATTTATACACGCTCTATCTTGCTCTATATCTATATTACATGTGCATACTTAACAAATTTGTTAAAATTATAATGATTCAAAGGTACCTTTGTAACTTTTTAGTGCTAGTCTTGCTCAAATTTGGACATTAAACCGCAATGCGTAAATATGAAAGTTATATTAGGCGATGGATTGGGAGAATATGACGGTCACAAACGGGACGGTAGATTTAGTAGTTTGGAATGCTGTCCCACGGTGATTGTGTCGGTTCGAGTCCCGGTTCAATTAAAAAATAATTTGTTTATCTAGTTAAAACATGACTGGTTAAATAATGTATGATATTACGAATTGGTATTGATAAATGTAGATGTTCTATTCATAAAACAAATGTGGTATTACTAATTAATAAAGTTGAATAAATAAATAGATTTCAACACTTCTTTTGTAGGCTATAACGTTGGAGATGTTTAGTATATAAATTCGATTTATCGCGTAACAGTTATTATTATTAAGATCGAATAGCCTAAATGCGCGGCTTTAATACAACTCTCATATATAAAGATTAGCTATGTCTTATTGTATAGTAGATTATTGTCGACAGGTGCACTAATCCAATTCCTGCTAAAAATATATTTCAACATTACAATGATTAAAGCACAGATCTCTCTGTTCTTGGTATTTTTAATAATCTTTTTTGAATAAATTAAAAACAATATAACTTAATTTAAAAATAGAACAACCCAAAGCTACCTCCAAATATAATGCGCGCGCGCAATAATTTTAAACTTTTTTAAATATAGAATTAGATCCTCGTCCATGTTTAGAGCCTCAAAACTTAGGTCAAGCGCTTTTGATACAAAAATACCTTGCACCACGTGACTTCCAAAACATTCGTAAATCTATATTTAGAGCGTTTAAAAAACCAACGAAGGCGGAAAAAGTTCTGTATTAATTTGTATAAGCTGCAAAGAAACGCTAATATGCGAATTTCTAAAGGTTTTTTAACCGACTGCAAAAGAGTCGCTTATCAATCTATACTAATATATAAAGCTAAGAGTTTGTTTGTTTGCATGCGCTAATCTCAGGAAGTAATGTTTGGAGTTGGAAAATCATTTTTGTATTTTATTTTTTAAAAGTATGTAATTATTTATCGAAAAAGGTTATAGGTTATAAACCATAGCGCTATGACTAATAGGGGCGAAGAAACTGCAGGAAATGTGGTAAAAACGGGGAAAATTATTCTACGTTGTGAGTATCGATGCATGTCCTGCGAAAACGGTTCGTGATAAAAAATATGAATGACGACGTTGTGGGTAGAAAAACAAATTTGCATGCCAGAAATAATTATTCTACGCGGACGAAGTCGTGACGCGTAGTTCGTTTTATTTCAGCGCTAAACTTAGTCGTTTACGTAACTTTGATGATTCTTCCTTGTTGGCAAAAAGATAATTTACCTCCAAAATTGTAAGATAAAATATTTATTAAATCTTTTCTTAATACCAAATCATAATACAAATTACTTTGTGCAATTTCTTTGCCTTTTTTACTTTACTGTTAGCAGTCGGTTTTTCGTCGAAATTGATTTAATTTCGTCTCGAATCTCCATTTGTAACAGCACAAATGTGGTAGATGGACCACGGAGTCTTGGTATTGCGTGTTCCGTTTAACCCTCTGCGTACGGAACTCTAAAAACTAAATTCGTATCGTAACTCATATCAATTGACCTTTCTGTGGTAACTTTTAGGTCAGAGAGTTCTAGCTATAGATTAAAAAGGTATTAAGTGAAGTTAGTACTTAAGGAAAATTAATTACCTACATCAGATTAGTGTTTTATCGTAATTAATTTGATATTTGTAGACGACGAGCTTATCTTGATACTTGTAATACCTACCCTCAATTTATTGACTCAGCAATACAATCACCTACCAAATATAAATTTTTCGATAATAATGTTTTGAAATGGCCCTAAAACATCTAATTAAGATGCGTTGTCAGCTTATCTTTCTTCGATGTGCGGAGACATTTTTTTAGGAATACAACCACTTAATAATAAATAAAAAAGATACCTTACAAATACGTAAGAAACATGTGTGTTGTGTGCGGAAACAAGAGCGGAATTGTGATATGCATATACACATATTATCTTATATTGTTTTGTGTTATTGTATATGAATTTAATGTGATTTGATAATATTATTTTTCTCTAAGCCTTAAGCAGCATCGTCATGACATGACTTGCATAAGGTTTTTGAGTTATGCGTTTTATCTTATAAGGCTTAAAATACCTAAAGATTTGACTTGCCGTAATACGTTTTTTGAACTTCATTTAACAACGAATATCGATTTATATTTGTTGTTTAAAAATCTAACGTTTAATATATAAACACTAGATTATTTATTTAAAAAATGACGAAGCCATGGCGGCATTTTAAATTTAGCATACATTTTCATTTTAATAAACCTCTTGTAAAATAGTAATAATGTTTTCAACCTTTAGTAGTAAGCTTACGCAAGTAGTACCTACACAAATCAACCACTTCAACGTTTATAAATATAAACTAAAGTTTATAAGTAAAACTATATGTAATATTGCTATGTGCGATGTGATACATAAATATGAGTGAAATTACATATAGTGTATTTTTTTCCTGAAAATTGAACCCAGAAAAAAAAGACAATGTTTCGAGCTCATTAAAGAAATGTCAGATTCGCGATGGTTTCAAAACATATATCTATATTCTATAAATACATCTTCCTAAGAAATTCATGAAGTGATAAATTAAAGATATGAATAACATGTTAAAAATAATTTGTTTTCAGACGTCGCACATGCGTTGTATTGCGTTTTATAAAACAGAACAATTTATCCTTTGTGTGTCATTTCGTTTTCTTTGTCACTTATCGATTATTCGAATCGAACCTTGTCAAAATCAACTCGATTATTACAATCGTTGTTCTTCTAAATATTTTTTTTTTTGTCAACGATGCATTGAGTACGTCCTTAGCCCAAACAAGAAATGCATTGATCTTAATCAACCGATAACCGGCAATTGCACAGCTAATACTAATTGAGTGGAGTTTAATAGGTCAATAGGGGTATTTTCTGATAAGACGATCGAGAACACTAACCGTTGTACCTAATACTTGACTTCAATTGGGAGAATTCCGTACTGCCTGTAATTAACGCGAGTAAGATATAAAGAAAACACTTTTAACGGTTTAGTACGCAAGATATTTAAACGCTTTTAACGGTTCAAAATGTAAAATATTTAAACAATTTTTAACACGAAATATATTAGTTAACTTGTTTACATTTAATTTTAACTACGGCCCTGTCATGCTTTGCAGCAGCAATGGTCACGGGGGACTGAAGAAAGACGGTCCGCACGATGTCATAGCAAAAACTGCTACGCTAGCGCCATCTGTTTAGTCGTAGTAGCTATTTGGCAAAACTAGATGGAACTTGCATAAAGCAATTTTTTGTGTACCTTAAATTATCTATCTGCATAGTTAGAGGGTTGAAATTTTATTAAGTATGTTAATATTAAAGCCAGACTTTGTTTGTTTTTTTGTCTAAGATTTTAGGAACTACTTGTTCGAATTGAAAAATCCTTTTTGTGTTGGTTGGACCAGTAATCGAAGAAGGCTGCGTTGTTTTGGCTAAAAACATCGGGCTGCGTTGAACAATGTATGTTTTTCTCTCAAATATTCTTCTTCTCAAACAAGAATCCCGAAAAGCGAGGTCATTTTGTTTTGGCAGGGTAAGCACGGGTGGGCACTTTCCCGTAAATGATGTGTATCTGCCCCATTTCTCCAAGTGAGTGAAATTATCCCACATTACACAAGACGTTGAACTACTAACCTGGTCTTGCGTCAATATGACCTGCTCCCCAGGCCTCTGTGGCCTCGGGCTGGACTCTGGTGTCTCGACCGGAGAGAACCAGTTGACGGTTGAGTCGCCACGCGTCGAAGTGCCCCCCAGACGAGAAGCCAGGAGGGGGGTGCGTTCCGATGCACCGTGTGACACTAAGTATAAAGAGTACATTAGAATAACAGTATTACATACTGGCTGTAGTTTACGAGAGTAGTAAATGCTTAAATAAAAATTTTAACGGTTTAAAACGCGACATATTAGTTAAACTTATTTGAAAACGATTTTTAACTTCGGCCCGACGTTTCGGAGTGCTTTGCAGCAGCCGTGGTCACGGGGAGACGTCTTTGTCTCTGTCGAATTATTGTTATATATCGCGTTTTAAACCGTTAAAGTATTTTATTTAAATGTGTACTACTCGCGTAAACTATAGACAGTAGTATTTATTTAAACAACAGAATTGTGATGACTATATTAATTTATACAGCTAAGAATTTGTTCTAATTAAAGGAACTACCAGTTTGTATTGAACAATTTTGTATTTGTTAGAGTATTTATCGAATGACTTCCTTATTAGATAAATGTTATAGGCTATATAACATAGCGATGTGTTTATTAGGAGCAGAGAAACAGTGGAAAATGAAAAACGGTTATATTATTCATCTTCGTGGGTTTTCGTTGCGTGCGCTGCGAAAACGGTTCAAGATACACAAAATATCTCTAAAACAAAGTTTCCTCTTTAAAAAAAAAAAGAAGTATATGCCTATCTTTTAAGATTAAATAGACAGAACGACCCAGCTTGTAACACCTATTAGTCAAGGCATACTATTCATCTCACCAATGGTTTCCAAAATCTGCTTGGCTTGCAGTTCCTGTGGAAGTACCCTGAAGTCCAAGAACCAGGCCTCGCCCCACGATAGCGTGAAAGACGTCAGGATAAGAAATACTTGATACACAGGCTGTGGGGCGTTTGGCCACTGGGGAAATGTAATAAATATTACTGTTAAGACAGAGGAAGACACACAAGCATGAGGTTACTTGCTATTTTTGACCAGTTGACTTTTGGCCCCAATAGTCAACGAGAAATGAAACTTGGACAGAAATATTGAAATAAAAATATATTGTTGTAAAACATCATTTATATAAAAATACTTGGGTTCTAGTTAAATATATTTTTTAAATTAGAATACCACAAAAAGTCATTTACAATTTTGGATGTGCTTAGTATACTACAGTGCTGGTAAGACGCTTGTGAATTTAATATATGTGGTTGTAAAACAATATCAAAAAAGGCTATAGATTTTAATGAAATTTATTAAATGATATATAGCCCCCTATTTGGCTGTAAATAAGATCGAATAGTGAAACAGACACATAAATATTTCTATCATACCCACGTATTATAATATCCATTACCCTAATATTTAATTCTTTCGATCTCATTAACGCTGAAATCAAAAAACTTTCATAATACAAAAGAGAAAGAGAAGAATTATGTTTGATTCTTCTCTTTCTTGCATCACGTAAAACTACTGGACACACAAGCATATTGTTGGTAATCGGACCACATTTAGGGGAGGGCAACTGGGGCTACCACCAAAAAAGAAATATTTTAATGTATATTTGTTAAATACTATTAATATAATAATATAAATAATATATTTGGTTTCCCCATAAACAATAAATTGAAAAACTTAACAGGGGGATTTGTTTTATTTGGAAAACATTGAGGTCATGTGGCCACTATTTGTTGCCCCAGAGCGTCCGGGCTTTTAAATCCAGCTCTGGCTGTTAACTTGTTAAGGTAAAAATTGTAGTACTCACATCGAAAACGAACACTTTGGCGATTAGGAAGGCACATGTTCCACTCGTCGTGAGCTGAAAAAATGACTTTCGTTAAATAAGGTTCTTAATTCTAAGGCTTGATTAGACATAGTCTTGTTGAACCTGTCAGAAATCGGACTCGCGACCCGTTGATTAGCATATATTGCTACCATGACAAAACAAGTTCGTCAAAATATTTTTTGAAATTTTCTTATTTAAATTTAAAATAACTCACCAAGCTTAATTAGCAATAAAGTTATAAATAAATACTGCTAGAATAAAATGTATACTGTACTATATTGATACAGTAATCTGTTGTTAAGAAGTAAACTAGTATATTTTGAGCTTTATTTAAATAAATCTTTGAACAGTTTAAACCCCGTGGTCACTTAGAAGTCATTGAGGGGCTGTCTCCGAATCCGAAACAGTCACAGTGAAAATAAATTAAAATATAGACAATTAACTCATACATACTAACTGATTTTAAACTATTAAAACTGTTTAATTTAAATGTTGATTAATACTAAGTGTTGCCATATATATACTCACAGCAATAATACTCCAATTATTAATATATAATATAGCATAGAAGAGAATGAGCAGCAGAAAGCGTACAACAGCCACCAGCACGATGTCGAACAGGGAAACTTTAATGTCATAGTGAACTATTTCTCTAGTAAATATCTGTACAAGCGTTTCACCACGCATCTGGAAAAAACAAAGTTCTTCATTATCTTTTATTTGCAGGAAGACATTATAGAGGAGTACTGAATCTGGATAAGTCTTGATTGGACTTCTGTGCCCTGCCCTATCTTTTCCCCGGGATTCGAACCCAGGATCTCCCTCGCAATCATCGGCAACATGTTGCAAAAAGTTCCAAAAAATGTTCCATTTTTCTATAGAGAAGGCCCCGATCATAGAACTACAAAAATCTACATATTATTGGTACTACTAGACTTTTATTTACGGCCTTTTACTTCAGAATAGTCAAGTTAAAATAATTTGTTTTTAAATACAAATATACTTACAACAACACATATTAACCACATGAGACTCGTGAAGAGAAGATCAAATGTAACAAAGAGGCAGAAGAATCTCCGGATAGATGACATTCTGCCTTGCGGCCTGTGTCCCGCCACTAGATCTTCTGTTAGAAGGTTCACTGACTGCGATTGAGCTGTAATAAAAACCAAACAATGCATACAGGTGTGAGTACACTAAATTAATTAAGGATTTATGGTGAACATGCATTTTAAGTAAATAAAAACTTCTTAAAATTCATTAAGTTATGTTGGCATAAAAAAATATTATTGTCTGACATCAAAAACATTCAAAGTTCAAAAAACAAATTAATACTTAATTTTTAATAAGACCCATTAACTAGAAACACATACATGTTTAAGAACATGAAAGAGTATGCACAGTATTAACTTTAACATATCAAATTGTATAGCTAGGGACCAACAAACAAAGTTTACAAGTTTGAAGTATACTCACTGAAACTTCTATATGGAGGTTGTGACACACTCCCAAGCAAGGATTCAGCCGCTTCCCTAATATGATAATCAGCCATCTGAAATTCATACAAATCCTTGGTATACAATAGATCAAATTATCTTAACGATGCATAAAACAATAATATGAGTAAGTAATTAAGTTATCAATTGTAATTAGCTTTTATTGTTAGAGCAACAGTAAACATAGATTTTTAATATTCTTAATAATTTCAGGCTATCCTTTTCAACTAGCCTTAGCTACATATAAAACACTTTATTTCTTTAAAACACGATATATACTAATTAAACTTATTTGAAAGTTATTTTAACTACAGTCCGATGTTTTGGATGCTCTGCAGGATTCGTGGTCACAAGGAGATTATAGATGGCCGGTGTCTCTGAGACCAAGGCGACTATCTTTTCTGTTGAAGTTGGTATTCAGCGAAACTGGCTGGCAGAATTGATTGATAACCCATTAAAGTGTTTTATTTAAATATGAAGTATATTCCTACAGAGTCTCGTAAACTACAGACATTATTTACATATGCCTTGTTCACAATTAAATCATTCCAACACTATCACTCTCAGCCATGGTGCAACACACTACACTAGTCTTTTCAGCAATGAAATTTATAAATTTATGGCATGACCCCATACATTCTTAATCCTATAACCCAGTATGAAAACAAAATTACCATTTTATAAGGGATAATAAATCTATATGACTACAATAGCTTGGAAGAGTCAGAGTATGCTCTAAATAAACAAGCTATTTAATTTAATCCCTTTGCAGGATGTTTATTTAACAAAGTTCGTAACTTAATGCGGTTGACCTTAATAAAAAATTAACATATACAATGTTATCAATTCCAAGAGCCAAAATCTACCTATTGTTTTCGACAATAGTTCTTATCAAAAGTTTATAGAGTAAGAACCCTTTGTCTGCAACTTTTCTGATTATGGCTGCTTCAGCAAAGGTTAAGTGAGTTATGACTTTTTTAGCGTTATATAATAAAAATCGGAATATATTAGTTAAATTCGTAGTACAAGTCTCACCTTGTAATAATATTTGCGTACACGACTTAGGTCACATCACTTTTAACTAAACTAAATGCATCTGGTGGGGTCTTCGTTTATGTTAAACATTCATTCCATCGCGAGAACAAATATGTGATTATTGTAATAAAAAAAAAATGTTCTTAGCAAGTATTAAATAAAATTATAACATAAGAAAATAATTTACTTTGACTCAACATTGACTGTTTCCAAAACACAACAAAAGTGACAATTGAGAAGTGTGAAGTTTAGCGAACTGCCAAAGAGTACAAAAGCTATGTTGACAATTGACACTTACTTTTAAATTTGACATTAGGATAGAATGGCCTTTATTTGAATTTGGCGGGTACCTTTTGAACAAAATCAAAAGTCTCAATATAAACTTACTATAATTATTAGATTTACATAACTACAAATTACACGTGGTAGGTTTAACTTGGAGGATCTATTGAGAGTACAAATTAATAGACGAGCCCGTTAAACAAATCGTGCCTACATTTTGCATAAAATCTGGACATTAAATATGTAAGTATTAGAAATATCGAATTGTATATCATTATATAAATTATTAGATAATCTGTACTTCGGTTTCAGTCTGTGTCTTTCCGAATATCTCAAACCGAAATAGGTTAGGTCACCTTCTATCACGAAAACTTCGTGGTTGTCAACCGTAATCCATAATATATACTTAAAAAATCCCTCTTTTTTACGTTTTATATCAATAAAACAACATTTGTTTAATATAAAATGTATTTTATCTTTTCAACAAAAATTATTACAATAATTATATACGTTTCAGCCATTAGGAATATATTATTTCAATTGGATGTAGATCTTAATAACTAAACTAATTAGACATTTTTTTTTAATTTTGGTTACCTAGCAAAATAAACTATTGTTTGTAACCCTTTCTTCATCATTTTCAGTGTTTTTCTTTTGTCTATTTTATAGGATTCTCGATCTTTGTGAATTAATATTTCTCGTGAAAATTATCACTAAGTCTCCAAAAATGTAAAGCCTTTTAATACCATCTTGTGTTACCAACACCAACTCTATTATCTGGAGGGTCTCGTGCGCAACAGTATGAAGCTAAAATTCCAACTGTTGCCAACCCCAGTGATAACACACTAATGCTGCAAACCGCTCCAGAAGTTATATCGTTCAGGGCAGTACCAGATTTCGGTTGTATGGACAGCAGTAGAAGAAGACCGAAGGCACTGAGAAGCGAGAATGTGGATAGCACGATGTATCCTGAAAAAAGAGTTTACTTTACTTGAATATAGTAATTTTTAAAGTAAGTTATCTGTACTAAAATTAAAGTTAAAGAGTTTGGTGGTTGGCACGGGCTAATCATAGGAATATAGCTTTGAATTGAAAAACTCTTTTTCTGTTAGTTGGACTATTTAGCAAGGAAGGCTTTAGCCTACTAGGGAAGCAATGCGGTGCGAAAATAGTTCAAGAAACTAAGAAATATATAAGAGTGTAAAAGAATGATTCTTCTTTAAATAGTCTAAAAAATATCGGCGGCAGTATATGTCAGTCTTTTAAGATTAACTCACAAAACGACTTCGTTTCCCGACTGTGTTATTCTCAGTTTTGTTGTATCTTTATTTTAATAAACATTATGTGCCTTAACTAAGTATAGTAAAAATATATATATAGTAAAAATAAATAAGTTTTTAAAAGCTTAGTATAAGCTGCTGTAAACCAAAACGTCGGGTCAAATAATGAAAAGAAATAAAAAAATGTGTTAAAATAAAATGCGCAATATTTTTTAAAAGTAATAGGAAAGTTTAAATTAAATAATAAAGTGAAAACCCGCATAATTTTTTTTACAGACATTAATGGCCTATAACTATAACAAATGCGGGTCGATGGGTTACGAAGATAATTATTGTGTACGTAATTGTTTTAACGCAAAGAATACTTAATTCATTGTGGTTATATGGTTATAAGGATAGTTTGAATTAAACTAAACATTCGAGTAAGACTAAGTTATAAAATATGTCTTCGTTCGTCCCACAGTTGGGCACAAATTTGTTAGGATTATTATCCACTATGCTGCTCCAGTGCAGTTAGATGATTTTAAGGACCAGTTACTGCCACTAAATTAGTTGTGATAACCGGAATACCCAGTGAAAAGAAATGTGTGTTTACCTTAATTGCATGATAGCTACTTACCAGAAATATAATTCCTGTTGGGTAGCAACTGGTTCCTTCTAGACCTGAGGCCTAATAGACCTAATAAAAAGCAGGTGAAGCCAGACAACACGCCAAAATCTAGATAGTAACGCCGACCCACCTGTGAAATAAGAGGTTCATGAAAAATAGTTATTAACATTGATTTTTTTTATATTCTATTGAGGCGGTTTTAAACAAACTTAAAAAAAATAAAAAGAAATGTACGTTTTCGGCGAGTACAAAAAAAGATTTTCAAAATACGATATTATTACATTACTGTATTAAGAAAATACACTGATATTTATTTATAATAAACATATCTTTCTACTTACGCTATACATCATGTAAAAGCTCAATCCTGTAGTGAGACCTCCACAGAGAGTAAGCATCAAGGCAGCTATGGTAAGCGATGCTGCAGCAGAGCTCATGGTTTTTATGCTGGATATTGATTTGTAGGTGTCTTCTGAATAAACCGATGGTGAAGCTGCGTGGGCGACCCTGTAGGTGCAAGGTTCCTTGTGAGTTTTTACGACTAATACATGATTGATGCTTTAAAGAAAAAATATCTAGCGAATGTATGGCTGTAAATATAAAGCAAGAAAGATTTTCTACTCCAGATATAGAAATAAAAGAGATTGATAAATACCTTGGCATTATAACAGCAGTCGTTTTATCCCGTACTTTCCTATCTCTACTCATTTCTCTCTTCTCATCAAAACTCCTCTCTTTCTCCCTGCAGCTAGTTACAAAAACATCTGGCCTTTCAAACTCCGGCAACCCGTAGTTTAACTTCTGTTGTGCTTTTGGTGAAATTGGTGAGGTCGCATTTCTGACTAAGCTCAAATTTGCACACGATTTTGAAGGAGTAACATGGGTGGGTGTACTCGAAGTTATTTTCATTGGCGTCTGTTGTCTTGGACTTACTGACGTTGGCGTCATTCTCACTGATGGTTGACTCGCATAGCTCTTCAGCTTCCGAGGTGTCGACAGCAATTCGTGCAACTTCTGTGTTGCTATTAAATTCTTTTTCGTCATCATTGGAGAGGTAAACGTAACGCTTGGCTTCCTATCTTCGTCGTCTGATGGAACAATGGCGTACCTATGTGTCTTACCATTAACAGTCTTGACTATTTCTGTCGGTATTTCCTTTAGTTCATGTTCATCTGGTGCATCTACATTATATTCTTCTATTTCGCTTTCGTCTGCCTCTATTATTCTCTTCTTTGTTGGCGAATAGTCGATGTCATCGAGATCTTTGATTACTTCGTATCTATGTTTAAACCTTGAATCTTCTAAGCCGTCGTCGCTTTCTGCGTTCCTGTCGTATTTTATCTGCTGTTGTTGTCTAAACTGCGCCATTTCTAAATCTTCGCTCCTTGTTCTACATCTGACTACAGTGCGAGACGGCTTACACATTAGCGAAGCCTGTCTTTGGAATTGCCTTTGGTATTTTGGAGGTTTCGGCGGCAATTCTGGTGGTTCGTCTTTATATCTACCTGCTGGCGTCATCCGTAGAGGATTGTCGGAGATGTCTGTCCTCATTATTCGGTTGCTCTCAGTTTTTCTTGGAGAATTAGCGCCTAAGGGCGGCATTCTTTTGCGATCCGGTGAGACGATTCTTGTCATACATGATTTTTGTGCGAACACCACTTCACTTTGAGCACAGAAGGCAGGATTTGAATAGTATTTGTAAACTATCTTAGGTGACTCCATTGTCAAGCGTAGTCGTTCCCCTTTTAGTAATAACTTGTTTGCGTTGACTGTTAGACCATGACTCTTGTTAGAATAGGGTGGGTTTTGACCGAAACCGTTAAGGTCTGTTGATTTTCTTTAACCTTAAGTATATCGTACTCCTCAACACAGAACAATAACTTCAAAGAATAAGTGCATAGTTATAAATGTACTTATTGTTTATGTTTTTTTGTTAAAAATATTTAAGATATGAATATAAACAAAAAACTCTCTAATTTCACACACCATGAGACAATTTGTAACGTTGTATAAAATCTCACTAAATTAAATCTTTAAAGTTTAATATTAAATAATGAAATAAACACGTCCGATAGTTAGTTCAGTTAACCGTCAACTGACGAGGGAATTCCTTTTTCGAAAAAAAATTCTAGGGTCGGAAATGGCGCGCGCGCACCCCATGTTTAGCACGCGCTGCTTGAATTCTTTCTATTAACAACTTATTTTGAGCCTTATTCCTATGTATATAAAACCCTTATTTGTTATAAAACTCTTACATTAAAGACTTAACGGCCTAGAAATAAGGTCCACAGTATATTTTGGAAAATTCTACAATTCGAGGGCCCGGTGCTGACAGAAGTACACTACTTTAAACATTTATTCCCTACATGAAATGGCTCTTGTTTTGATTATGTTAATAAAGAAAACTACGATGAGTTCAAAGCAAATGTCTGTATATATTTTGAGCTGCTACGTATATACCTAGGTTGTACTATGCCAAAAAAAATTGTCTACCAAATATATTATGTAATAAAATTTTAACCACATGACCCATCCAGGTGTTGCAAACATTTTTTGCTGTAATGTCATATTCCCGCCATAAAATAATGCGGTCAGTTAGCACCTGTCTTAGCGAATAGAAGGTAAACATATACAAAAAATAATCGATTCTCAATAAGTTTTAGACAATTTTACTATGGTACCGCATCAAAAATCAATATTTAGTTTCGTTCTCAATCTGTATTATTATTACTATATTGGGTATAAAGCAATAGACAGCAGTATACTATCCCTTTCGTGGTCGTTTTTGACATTATTAAAGTTTGATTCAAACCGTTTTTTTTTTTACTTTAAATTTTTTTCTTTCTCAAAATCGAATATAAATTTCTTAACTGCTTCGAGTAATAGAACGGAACGCTTAGGATGTCGGTTCAAGTCCTGCCCAAGCCAGCTTTTCCAATTTATTTTCGATTTTTGCACCATATTATTCAAACCGTTTTCTAGATATTGTTTTGACCTTGATGATATTATGTGGCAAAAAGTAATAGACAGTTCGTCGTTACTATTTCGTCTCTTACGTAACGAAATTCCTTTGGGGCATTTTTTTTTATTTCATTCAATAAAGGGCGCCATAGCCACGTGCCGTAACGGTTAGCAACAGCTGTTCCTACGCAGCTGCGGACAGGGGTGGAGCACATTTGGTGCAAGGTATTGGTGTAAATAAAGTAACTAGTTTGAAAGGAAATGGCTGAATATGATTGTTCTTAATTTAAAGAAGACGATAATCTAAATTTTCTATTGTAAATGTATCTCTTTTAATATTTGCTATTTCTTGATGTATTATCTAACTTACAGATTCTAACAACCTTGTGAAAGTGTTTCTTTTATTGTGTATGCGGTAACTCTTTAGTAACGCCAAAATTGTTGGTGGATCAATATATAATTATAATTATTAAAAATAAATCTAAATTAATTAAGGAATGAAATAAATATAAGTTAAACTGTGTTAAAACTATAATGTGTGGCAAACCTTTATTTGTTTTATTGATATTAAGCTAAGTAAATATGTGAATTAAAAATCTTGTATCTTATTGTATCTTGAACCGCCATGTACAGCGAACTAATGCTGTAACTAAAGACACAGTAGCTCAATTGGTTCGAATTGCTATGGGCTATAAACAATGACGTAAAACAAAGTTTAAAAATTTGTGAAGCAAATTGTTTGTTTTGATATCATAAGCACCGTTATTTAAAATAATCTAAAATAATACTTACAAAATTGGTTTTATTATTTATCATCAATAATTGCATTTTGTATAAAATTAAAAAATGTTTACAATCTCTGTCGAGTACACATCAAATATCGACCGGTACCCGCATAAATAATACTATCTCATTTGTATTTCCGTCTCTGTTACTCACTTATGTGTGAAGAAGACAGAGCTACACATTATCTCTATTTTGACCATTTTAGAAATGACATTGACCTCGAGTTGCGATTTTTTCAAGTTCATAAGGATTTTATTATTAAATACTGTCTGTAGTTTACGCGAGTAGTCCACATTTAAATAAAACACTTTAACGGTTTCAAACGCAATGTATTAGTTAAACTTATTTAAAAATGATTTTTAACTTCGGCCCGACGTTTCGGATGCTTTGCAGCAGCCGTGGTCACGGGGAGACAATGCTGCAAAGCATCCGAAACGTCGGGCCGAAGTTAAAAATCATTTTTAAATAAGTTTAACTAATATATCGCGTTTTAAACCGTTTAAGTGTTTTATTTAAAAGATTTTAGGTATTATTATTAAAAAAAACCCAGACTACGCTTGCTCGGGTCGTGTAATTATCTACGGCAAGCAAATTTAACCACATGAAAAGCACTATATAAATTAAAAATCGAAAATAAATTTGAAATTTACGACTCGGGCTGGACATGAACCGACATCAATTTATTTTCGTTTTTATGTTTAGTGCTATGTGGAAAAAATATTAAAGATTTCACCGTATAAGCATTTTTTGCGATATAGGAGGGCAGACAGGCTAAGGGCTCACTTGATGCTCGGCGAAATAGCCCAGCCATATAACATCTAAGTAAGACACGCTGTCGGCCTATTATAGCTTTGGATATTCGGATTTAACTATAAATGAAAATCGCTGATAGTTTGCCACATTCAAGCTCCTGAATATTTTCTAACCAACTGCAGAGTCGGAAAATGTAAAAAAATTATAAGAATAATTCTACCTTCTATTAAACTTTTACGAGCTCGTTGGTAGCAATGCATGGCTAATACTCAACGGGTCGCGAGTTCGATCCACACCGAGTCTAACATTTTTCTAATCAACTCATAATTTTTCTGAAACATACTTCCATGAAATGAACCATGCTTACTCTTTGGTTAAAAAACCTTGATACATCGGATTTGGGTATACTTGACGTACTTAAGAAGGGACTTTAATGTTATCAATGATAATAAGTTATCCCGGTCATCGTCTTTAATACACACCAATATTATTGAGTATATGGGTCAATATCATCTGGTGGACGTCCCTGAAGACGGTGCGGACGTTGTCCGTGTCCGTGGCGGTGGTGAAGTGGAAGTAACATTCCCGGGATCTACTTGCTTCGCTTACGACGAATCGCTCAGCGGACGCTGTGAAGTTATTGCGACGTTCCCGTTTCTTTGTTAAGTCCTGGAAGAATGGTGTATGTTATGGGTTTTTTTAATGATCCTACCATCAAGGAAACCCAACCCCGTCTAAAGCATCCAAACAAGATGCGCTGTCCTATTTTGTCTTTGGATATTCGGAAATCCACAGACTGATACCGAAACGCGATTAAGCTTCACGGTGTTTTCATCTGTGGACCGTGTTTATTCCTACCGATTTAATATCCAGATTTGCAGATAAAGTCCGACATGTCTCAGAAAAAATGTTGGACTTTGTGGGGATCGAATCCACGTCCCGTTGGTTATTATTGATATTAGCAATCCGTTGCTACCATTGGGCCAACGATCCCGTCAGAATATCTCGAGAGATTTAAACATTATTTCTCGCCGCGATTAGAACCCGAGACTTCTAGATACTTACTACGAAAAGGCTCTTGATAAATAGTTTGGTCTTCGTATATTCGTCGCCGGTTGCGTCAAACTTCTTGTACTGAGGAAAGTAAGGAGCGATACTTGCTCCACGAGATATCTTACTTTCGAGTAAGTCTTGCTTGTTTAGGAAGACTATGAGACCGGCTTCTAAGAGAAATCTGGAAGTTTAATAGAACTGTTTTATCGGTGTATAACGCGAAATACTGTCTGTACTCTACGCGAGTAGGTACACGTTGAAATAAAACACTTCTGGTGACTCCCGCGCATGCTGCATTTGAAACGGCGGGTAGCAGCTAAAAATTAGTTAACTATATGATTCACGTTTTAAACCGTTGCTGTTCTATTTATAAACAAATTTATTTTTAGCAATCATAAAAAAAAAACAGAACCTAACGTTTGCTTACTGTAGTAATTAAATACCGCGTTTTATACCTTTAATAGTTGTAGTCAAAATAAATAGTAAATAAGTTTTATATTATTAACAATTTATTTTAACTACAACAGTCCCGGTCATAGCCACTGGAAAGCATCCGAATATAACGTAAATAAATGTTTTAAACCATTAAAAGCGTTTAATTTAAATATACGTACTACTTTAAGAACTACAGGCAATATTTAGTTAATGTGAAATCCCGTTTCCCCCTCGTGGGGCATCCAGGACCTCTTGCGCAATGCTAGGCACTACGTTTAACCATTTGGCTACAGAGGCGGTAAATGCTTAGTACATACACATACTTAAAATGTAAGCTACAATCTTTAGACAATTTGATAGTTTATGGTGTGTAAAAACACTAAAAATAAATATTCTGATTCACACCTTTAAATAAAACACTTTAACGGTTTAAAACGAGTTAAACTTATTTGAAAAATTATTTCTAACTTCGACCCGACGTTTCGGATGCTTTGCAGCAGCTGTTGCAAAGTGTTTTATTTAAAGGTATGAATCAGAATATTTATTTTTAGTGTTTTTCGCGTAAACTATAGACAGTGTTTGATTCATACCTACTCTGCCAGACATCTTGGAACAAAACTAAGGACTCCTGAAGACGATTTTGTGTGTTATCTTCCCTGAGTTTCTGGTCGAAATCGCTGCACGCCACGAGGAACCATATAGCGTGTATACCCTCGAAAACCTAAGGCATTAAATAAGTTTAGTATACATAATGAACTCCCTTTTGGGTCAAGTGTTCAGTGCACTCGACTTTAGATGAGGTGAGTAACGAGTTCGAATCCTATAAAATTTAATTTAACATGGTTAAAACTGTTTTTCTTAACTAGACAAAAAGAAGTTTTATTATCTGTTAATGTAAAAAAAGATAAATTTAAAATCGCTAAATATACATTGAGCTACCGTGTTTAAAGGATACGGTAGCTCAATTCGTTAGAGCAACAGCTCGGAACGCTGTGGGTGCTGGTTCAAATCCCGGCCGTGTCGTAATACAATCTCAAAAGATTTTTTATTTATAGAATGCCATCATGGATATGTGAAAAATACTAGTGTTTTGGTGAGTAAAAATTGGTCTTATCCTCTAAACGGACTAAAATTAAGCTAATCCAAAATCAAATTGCGTTTATTAACAGTGAAACATACTGGAACTTATTTTTACAACTGTACAGACTTACCTGAATCCACTTTTTCCGTTCGCCCCTTTGCCCCCCAACATCGAACATCCAAAACTCTTGCGAACCGCCGTGCATTGATTTTGGTACCTGAAACAGAAATACAGATAATCTAAATACTGTCTGTAGTTTACGCGAGTAGTACACATTTAAATAACGGTTTAAAACGCGATATATATTAGTTAAACTTATTCGAAAGCGGGGAGACTCCCCGTGACCACGGCTGCTGCAAAGCATCCGAAACGTCGAGCCGAAGTTAACAATATTTTTTTAAAGTTTAACTGATATATATCGCGTTTTAAACCGTTAAAGTGTTTCATTACAAATAATATCAAACGATCTGTCCAATTATTGACAAGCATCATAGGATGTTTTTATGATAGAGGAGGTGGTGGTTGGTAAAATACTCCAGCCATATATCATCAACAAAATTCGCTGTCTATCTATTTTGACTTTGGATATTCGGAAATACACAGACAAACCAAAACGCTATTATACTTTACGACTTTATCATCTGTGGACGTTGGTTCGTGACCCAGACGGAATTTTGATATTCTTATCCCTTTAATATCCAGGTTTCCTAACGAAGTCCAACGTGTTTCAGAAAAGTTATAAATTTATTACAAACGTTTTCAGACACGGCGGGGATCCCACAACCCGTTGACTAATAACCATGCATGTAGCCCAATTAGTCCCTCAAATTCTTGGGTCTTACCTTCACTTTGAACTCGATCTTTTGTATACCAGTGGTTTTCTGTCGGCACCGTAAAATGTCCGCGTCCGATGGCAGATAATCGCTCTTTGCTATCAGATCTATTCTATCGAGAAAACTGAAATAAGTACATAATAGAATCAAATAATGTCTATAGTTTACGCGAGTACACATTCAAATAAAACACTTCAACGGATTAAAACGTGATATATTAGTTAAACACATTTGAAAATGATTTTTGAGGGAGACACCCCGTGACCGCGCCTGCTGCAAGGTATCCGCAACGTTGGTCCGAAGTTAAAAATGATTTTCAAATAAGTTTAACTAATATATCGCGTTTTAAACCGTTAAAGTGTTTTATTTAAATGTGTACTACTCGCGTAAACTATAGACAGTATTTAAGACTGGGTTATCTTATCTATATCATCTACCATCTTGTGAGCTCCATTCTTTTTCTATCATAAAAAAATATCTTCTAAGTTCTTACTATTCAGCGCTGTCTATAAGTTGGTATTCGCTGGATCGTTTGAAACATTCTCTGACACCTGGATCCCGCCACAACGACCTGACGTGGTCAAAGTATTCCTGCAAAGACCAAGGTTATAAGCGAATGAAAATGTTATTAAAATAAAATAAGGTAGCAAGGTATATGTTTAAATAAAACACTTAGTTATATAACTAATATATCGCGTTTTGAACCGTTAAAGTGTTTTATTTAAATACGTTATATAGTTAAAAACCAAAAAACAGTGGGTTTGTAATAAAATTTAGCTTACAGGTTGCGCAGAAAATAATGTTTGATGACAATATAGATAATTATATTTGTAGTACTATCGTCAATTCTTATTCTACCGCTTCGTTACGTAACGCGTTATGATTACAGTTATTACTTTTGTCGAGTCATATTGTTTTTTTTATTATTCTAAGTATTTCTTTGCACGAACGACTTTTTTTTTCACGTGCTCACGTATTAACTTAAATTAATATGTTTGATATTTTTAAGCCGCATATTTAAGTACAAAGAAGGCAAACTGATGTCGTTATGCGTTACGTAACGTAACGGTGTACACTCCCATAAGCAAACTAATATTAATTTTACCTCAGTATACTCTCCAGGCCCAGTGGGACCAATCTGTAGTAAAAATTGTTGGCATTTAACATTTTTAGAATCCCGCGGTGAAATGTTTAGTTGCGTCATACTTTTGACGATTTCGTATATCGACTCGTGAATATTGTGGCGGATGTGTTTTATTTTCTCTGTTCGATCGCTGGAAAAAAAAATATACAGAACCATTTAAGTAGAGACTTTATCACAATCTGAATTCTTTATTCAAGTCCAAACCCACATATCTGCGTCCTTATCACTGATCGGTTCTTTAACAGGCAAGTAGTTGATTAGACTACTGTGCCTTCAAACTTCGGATATCTTGCGTTTAACTCAATGGTAGGCCAAGGTAACTCAAGGGTAGTAAATAGTTACATTTAGTTACGAGGCGGTCCTTAGCATGTTCCTTAAATTCCATACTTAATATTGTAAGGATTTGAATGAAATTTGGTACACAGACAGTCTAGACCCTGAGAAAGGACGAAGGACTTTTTATTGCGAAAAGGGGGTTGTAAGGGGTGAAAGGGGGAGGGGGTTAAAGTTTGTATGGAAATTCGTTTTTGGGAGTGGAAATGGGAGTGGGAGTTAGAGTTAGAGTAGAAGTGACGTGAGGTGAGAGTGTTGCGGCAAAGTAGCACTTACAACATAGATTGGCTGCGATAAATGCGCATTTGTAAATTAATAAACAGCCTAAATAATTAAAAGTTCTACCCCAAGTCACTATTCCACACGAAGTCGCGGGCACAGCTAGTGATAAATAACTCTTAGACATGTGACTTCTAAAGGATCGACCCTCGATCTCTGATGCCGTCCACGGTTGTTTGCGAAGCGTCGAGTCGACGGTATATTCTATTTAACCTAATATTTTATTAAAAATTAAACAACAAGTATTACCTCGCGCTAAATCCCTGTATATGAAGGATTTTCATTTGTTTTATTATCGTAGTCTTTCCACTTTCCCCCGTTCCGAGCAGCAGTAATTTGATTGCCTGAAATGATAACTCGTAATAGGTGATTTAAAAATCGGAAATAAATTGAAAAATATTTCGACTCGGGCAGGACTTGAACCGGCATCGTCAGCATTCCGTGCTGTTTCGCTACCGAATCCTACACCTCATCGTCGATTTTTTTTAACTTATTGATACAATCACGAATGCTTCGTAATAGATGATTTTAGAAGTATTTATTTAAATAAAATATTTTTAACGGTTTGAAACGTATGTACCTATGTACTAGTTACCCTTATTTACAATTTAATGCTGCAAACAGCAGCTGTGGTTACGAGGTTGTTGAAACATCGGGCTGTAAGTAGTTAATATACATTGTAACTAACAAATGCATGTCGCGTTTTAAACCGTTTAAAGTTTTTATTATAATATGCACTACTCGCGTGAAATACAGATGGGAGAACAGTATTTTCATAGTAAAACTAGCTAACTCGGCAAATGCCTCTCTTGCCATAGAAATGATTCTTCTCTCGATAACATTTTCAAAAAAAGTAACTAAATTATAACATGAGTGAAAAAAGAAAAAAAAATAGATTGGAAACCCTTTTCTTAGGACTGACAAAAGTATAATTAAATTTTATTTAAATCACTTCAGCCGTTTCAGAGGAGTTCGCTCACAAAAAAGGGTGACAGGAGAATTGTATATTTGTATTGGATTATATTTCATTTTGAATCAAACTTTTTATATAGTACTGCCTACGTGGTTTTGGTATTATTATTAGGTATATAAAAAACTTACGTAGGTTCTATATTACCATTTCTCTCTTTCATCTTTTCATATTTTTTTGTATTAAAACGAATTTTTTTACTTACTTCATTATAAGTCTTAATCCACTGTTTGATTTCTCTATCAATTTGCTTCGAGTTACTTTGTTTCTCATCATATTTCCTTAAACAGGGCAATAACTGCATGTTGCCACCTTTAAAGTTAAACAAATATTAATTAATATTAAATTAAATTAACTGATAACAAGCGGCAATATTCAGTAACCTATATTCTTTGATGTCTCAAGTGTACATTGCATTTTAAGTAGTTCTCTTAAGTTTGAGTGCTTTGATAAAAAACAAATCGACAAATAACTTCCTTTAGAAACTAAATGTTTAGATTTCTATATCCAGTCTTTCTAACGTTAATCTTACAAGGTAAACATATACTATATACGGATATTTATTCAAATCATTCAAAGAAGAAGCAGTAATTCGTACATATTTTTTTGTTTCTTGAACCGTATACGCAGCGGACGCAGAAAAATGACTAATTTTCCCCGATTTTCCCCCCATTTTCCTCTGTTTCTACGGTCCTATTGACCGCGAACTGGTGTCTTATATCGGCCTTCCTCAATAATTGGTCCAAACAACACAAAATTTAGAATTTAAACCGATAGTTTTTGAGGTTGGCGCGTTCAAACAAGCAAACTCTTCTACTTTATAATATTAGTATAGAAAAATTGTATTTCAAGTTATTAGGGTTTGATATTCAAGTACTAAGTCTCGATGCAGTTACATTGCTAAGTCTGTTTCACTAATCGTTATTATTTTCAGAAAAGAAGATGAACGTTTTAGTGTCCTATCCGACCGAAACAGTTGAAATTGTAATTCTAGTTTTATGACTAAGCCTGATAAGCGTACTTGAAATATGGGCAGAATTTTTTGCCCATAGTGGCTGGTTCGGCATACATTGTTTAGTTGTTTGTAAGATTAATATGTCCATACAAATTTAAAATAGTAATTGGTAAAACTACAATAATTTCGACCAAATTTGATTGATTAAATTTTGTTTCCTAGAAGTTAATCTCAAAAGATATAAATTTTACGACCATTAGTAGATGAATCCTTGTTTCTTGAAATTAGCGCGTTCAAACAAATAAGCCCTTCAGCTTAACAATATACTAGCTTGTGACAGCGATTTCGTCCGCAAAGAATAAATAATTTGGGCATGAAAATTTGTTTTCGCAAACCTCCTGTTCAAATCTAAATTTAAGCTGCTATCCATAACGTCAGCCGCGTCCCGTTGTTCTTGCAAGTTAATCTTAAAAGATAGACATATACTGTCGTAAACATTTTTTACATCATTTCAATGGGAATCATTTTTCATAGATATTTTTTGGATATGTTGAACCATTTTCGCAGCATACGCCACTGAAACCTGCAAGGATGAATGATTTTCCCCCTTTTTCCACATTTCTCACTGTTTCTTTGTTACTATTAGTCGCAGCGCGATATTTTAGAGCCTTTACCTTTCCCGACAACTAAACCAAAGTTTTCAATTCAAACCAATAGTTGCTGAGATTAGCGCATTCAAACAAACAAATAAACAAACTCTTCAACTCTTAAAGCTTTACATATTAGTGTAGGTTATTTTTAACAAATCTGAGATTCGTTTAAATGAGGTTCATCGAATTTGTACTCACATATGTTTAATTGTAGAATATGTTATTGTTGATAATATAGTGTTTCAGAAAAATATGACAAACAACGATTTAAAACTATGACCCGACGTTTTGCCTGCTTTCCAGCGTTTGTAGTACAGCAGATAAAGGTGATTGATAAATACTACTAGCCTAAATTTAATAAAGTCTTATGGAAGCACTTGTTTTTGACTTAAATCTTCTAAGAGAACATTTTTGTTTTAATTTAAAAATCTATAAATAAAATATTTACTCACTGTTATGCCAGATAGTCCGACGCACTCCACAAATCTCTGCCCAACTAAACGTAAGCGATTAATATATCGATTTATCAAGAAGATTACACCGCGATAATAATTATTTTATTTCCGAAGATAACGCTATCGTGAAAACAAAAAGGCATATTTCATGTTCGATCCAGAAAAGTAATTCTATTCGGGGGTGACCATCACTTCTATACGAATGATATTTTAGAAAATAATATAATTCAATATTATTATTGATTATGTTTTGATTTAGTGATCATACTTTTATATTAATAAAAATATAAATGTCCCAAACGTGTTTTTTTTAAACCTGTCATAAGGCTAGCCTAGGTACCTAAAATTTGTGGTGAGTAGGTTCAGAACCTTAGGGAGGACGAAAAACTTCTAAAACTTTTCAATACCTGCATGGTGCTTTGGAGGTGTCATGACTTCTATAAGGAGCGCGTAAAGCCAGTGGTCCAGGTTATCATTACCAGGTTACTAGGGTCGTAGTTAAAGTAAATAAAAAAAAACTTACCTGATATATTTCGTGTTTTAAACTGTTAAAAGTGTTACCGGTCGGTCTAGATCACCATCACTAAGGTCGTAGTTAAAATAAATAAAAAAACTAATATATTTCATGTTTTAAACCGTTAAACTTGTTTTGGGTAAACGTCATCATTTTTCATCATACGTTTAAATTTCTAGAAGAAAGTTCGCTAGACTATAAGAAATTGTAATATTAGTTTAAGATAGCGATAGCGCTATTTAGTTTCCTAAATAAATAAATAAGCCAGCATAGCAGTCTATATGTATATAATATAGTAGTAACCCCTAGGTCCAAACGTGGGGCAATAAAAGAAAGATTGCTATGTACTTAGGACTCTCATAAATTCTTTATTAAAACAGGTGTTACTAGTTTTAGTATTTTTATTTGTTACATAATAACATAAATAATGACGGTAGTTATGTAAGACCGTAGTCAAGTAGTGAGTACCTACATTTTCATTTTATTTACATGTAGTGAAACTTTGCGTCGAAAGAAATACTTTGTAACCGAAGGTGGAGATCTAAAATATGGTCGCTCTAATAATAAGGGAGGAATAATTTGCAAATCTATCCCATCAGGACATCGATATACGTCCGAGTCATACATTTGTACCCTCAGAATCTAGAAAATAGCGGGATAAAGTCTGTATGGGACCTATTCGAGCGAATTTAAATTTAGTCGACATTATGTATCTTGAAATTAAACAAGTATCAACTTTAAAAAAAATTAAGTTAAACGGTTTTTTTTGTGAAAACTAAAAAAAATAAATTTTGACTTAATCATCGTATTTTACAAGTGTAGCATTTGATAACCATATTGACGGGGTTAGGGAAAAATATGTAATCCGCCATTTTGTATCGGCGGCCATCTTGTATTTATAATGTTCTTGATTTTATTATATGGTATTGTCGGTTTCGGTGTATGCTTAAATTTCAATTTCTAACTTTGACCCAAATAAATAAATTCCGAACGGGTCAAGCTAAATAAAACCGTTTAAAAATAGACATAGGCAGCTATATAACAAAAATTACTATCTTAAAAATAAGGAATCCGTATTATACAATTTGATTGTAATATTGGCTGTTGGCTAGAGCGCCATCTTGCAGCAACAATTGGACGTTTATTGGTTGGTTCTGAAATTTAAAAATTCAAGTTATTAAGTTAGTTTGACAATTTTAATATTTATCGTATTTTATTGCAAACGATGGCATTATATAAATTGAAAATTGATTTTTGATTGAAAAAGTCAATTGAAAAAGAATATTGTCGCGCCCGCGTATAGGTACCGTATATGGATGGAGTTTCAAGTCCCACCGTGTCGTATTTTTTTTTCAATCTAAATCGAGTTTCAATTTATAGCAAGATTCAATTTTTTTCTTCTGGGTTCGATTCCAGGCTAAAAATAAATATTGCTGCGATTTAGAACAGCAGAAAAGTATTTCCAAGTACTTGCAAATAAAACCGACCAGTAAACAGGCGGGATATTTGAATAAATCAATTTAAGTTAACTTAATTGGCCACGGGGCACTGCTAATTATTTGGAGTTTGTAACCGTTAAACTTGTTTTATTTAAATGTGTAAATTATATAACTAGCGTTTTGTTTCTATTTCACCAGACACGTGAATTATTTATATAATATTAAAATGAATTGGCGTAAAACTATTATTATTTCGAAAACATAAACCAAAAAAGTATTCACCAAAACGATGCAATACTAATGCACGAGCACGATAAGATCTGATAAAAATCTACAAGGTACTTACATCGCTAGTACTAATTACAGGATAATTAGGCTCGCTGTACACTTGGCTATGTTGCAGTATGGTCGGTGTGTGCGATACTTTACACATCCTTCCGGTGGGGTATATTATATCTGTGAAACATCCTCTATTTTTATTACCTTATAAAAATCGGTAAAAAAACTTTTAAGTTAAACGGTTTATTATTGTGCACTGGAAACGACAAAAAAAATTCACATAATCATCGTGTTATACAAGTGTAGCCCTTTCATTTGATATCCGTATTGAAGAGGTGTTAGGGAAAAATATAGAATCCGCCATTTTGTATCGGCGGCCATCTTGGATGTATAATGTTACTGATTTTATAATATTGTATTGTTATCTAAATTAAATCTGTTTAAATTTCAATTTCTAATTTTGACTCAAATAAATTCCGTACGGGTTTAATTAAAGAGCTTAATAAAAGCATTTATAAAGAGAAAATATGTTGGATAACGAGTAATGTTATTTATAGTTCCGAGACTTATATAGATCCAGATACAACAGTATTATCTCAGCTTACTCGGGATTCGAAACCGGAACCGGAACTTACAGTCGTGAATCAACCACTAAACAAAGAAGAATGTATTTAACAAGACAATATTAAAATAAACTACTTAAGTATATTTATTAAAATAGACTAAAATACACATGCCGAATCATAAAATGAGGCTGCTAGAGGCAAAGTGGCCTAATAACAAAAAAACATGATTTACAAAGAGAAAAGTAAAAATGCGCATTCAACTTAGGCCAAAATGAATTTGTACTATTATGTGTGTAAGAATTATGTTAACAATTTTCGGTCACTGTTCTCTCGTAGATAAACATTTTTAGCCTTTTTTATTATTATTATAAATAAGTCGAGACATAAAAATTCCAGTTAGGCTACTCTGCCTCTAGCGGCCTTGGGGTGTATTCGCGTGGTTGTTTTGACCTCCTCACGAATCATATCATCATCATCATCTCCCGTCATTAGACACCAAGTCGAGCAAAAAATTTTCACGAAATGAATTCTACAGCGGGAAATATCCCAGTCATAGGAATAATAAGTATACCAATTTCAGCATCGGCGGGGGTGCTTGAATTACATACAACATTAAATAAATAGATAACATTTAGCACCAAGAATAAAATATTAACACACAAAGCATAAAGCTAGGACCTAGTCTAAATCCCTATTAGTACTAAAGGTTTGTTGATACTGACGAACTAGAAAACAATACCTTGTGCCCCCAATACTTGTTTCTCGAGTTTGATTTCCGTGCGCAGAACACCACTTAGTAGTGACAGAGCGCGTTGTGAGTTTGGCACAACATTCGTAGTTCCCTAGGGAAATGGAAACACAAAAATACATAATTTTGTAATCTAAAGAAAATAACATTATGATCAATCTAACATAGACATACTAAACATTGCAATATTTAAAATAAAAAATATATATATATTTACAGAGTATTAATTTCGAAGATTTTTTCGTAATACGTATACGTATAGATAGGGGGGAGGTGGAAGGGGTGATTTGTGGTCTACGCACCAGTTTTTCTTTAATTTTATTATGTGTATTATTATTTATTGTTTTGTTGTTGTTATTAAAATGTTGTCGGTCTTTAAATATATAAAATAATGTATAATCAATGTATGAACATATAACTTTTGTATATCAAAATCTACATGGTTATGTATATTTTACACACTTCACATTATACATAATAACTCACCTTAGCAAATGACATCACAGATACTTCAGTCACCCTATCTTGTCGGATGTTGTTGAGGGCCAGTTGCTGGATGACCTGTTCCTGAGTCAGATTTAACCCTTCAACCTTGAAAGTAAATTATTATCTTGATTATTACGTATTACCATATATTACAGAAAAATAAATAAGGGCCGCATGCGCATGTCCAACATAAGTGATTGGAGACGTTTGTCGAAAATATAGGACATATACGCTTTTTTATCGGAAAACCTTTTATCTATACTAATATGACTCATTTTTAAAAGAGCTTAAAAATGTCCGCGCAGTTATGTCTATCTTTTAAGAACAACCTACCAGAACGACGGGACGACGTCTTGGGTAACAGCTAATAATTTATATAACGACACGTGATGACGTGAAAATTAAGAAGAATTTAACACAGAATTTACCGCCAGAAACACTTAAATTTATCTCTCTAGGGAATAAAAATTTGAAAGATAATTACGACACGGGCAGGACCTGAACCTACAGCCACATTCATTCCGCGCTGTTGCTCTAACCAACAGCTACCGTGTCCTACGTTAAATTTCAATTTGAACCTATACATACATGCATGTCTTGCGCAATGTAATTTCAACCTTAACCCTTTTATGTTCAAGGAAAATATTTTTTCTCTTTTAACATCAGTTATTATTGAATCGATATCTGTTTTAATGAATGTCAAAATAATACGTATTAAATTATAGCCTGTACACCCTGCTATGTTGTTCTACTCTCTAACTCTACACCCAAAATAGCTAAAGTCTTGTGTTGTATCCACATATCTATGGGGTCGTCCATTAATCACGTGAGGCTTGGAGGGGGGGGGGAGGGTTTAAAAAATCACGAAAATAACACAGGTGGGGGGTGTAGTAAGATATCGCGTGTATTTATTTTTTCGTTTTCAATTTCTCGTTCGTCAAACGCGCGATTTTTAACACCTCCTCACCAATGGGGAGGGGGAGTTAAAAAATTAAAAAAAAAAAAGATCACGGGATTAATGAACAACCCCTATTCTATAGGTGAAAACTTTTCTAAGCTTCAGTGCTCTACACATCCTGTTACTAAATTGTTTATTATTCTTAGCTGTTAAATTTTGCAAAAATAAAATAAATAATAAATAAATAACCCTGTAAGGGTTCTCTACTTCAACAATAACTCTCTAGACATATTACATTCTGACCTCTATAACAGCGACGTAAGCCGGGTGCTTTAGTCGGAGATGCGCACGCAGGTCCGACCTCATTCGAAATCTCTTGGCGCAGTGGAGACACGACCACGAACGGCTTTCTGAGTGCATTGGGCGGTGAATGCGGATCGAGGACGGGCTGTCAAACATTCCAGCAATACTTATTGTAATAAAACTAACTTTTTTATAACATAAATGGGTACATGGGTTCACCCATTCCCCACGTTGGGGAAAAGGAATTTCATTTTTCAAATACTATCTATAGTTTACGCGACTATAGATAGTATTTGAAAATAGACTTTAACGGTTTAAAACGCGAAATATAGATATAAGAATAATTAGACAAATTACTTTATAATATATTTTAACTACCGCAAAAGGTTTCAAATGACGTGAAGCAGCCGTAGTCACAGGGAGGCAGAAGATGGAGGGTGTCCCTAATTTTAAATTCAAATCTGCTACGCTAGCGCTACATGTTTCCTCGTAGTTGGTATTTGGAGAAATTAGCGGGGGCCTCTGTAAAACTGACTCACAGTGTCTTCGTTCGACGGTATTTCGAGATTTTAAAAGTGAAAACTCACTGTCCGTATCTGTCATTTGGGTGCGTGCGCAAGTGCTCGTTGCGTAGAGACGTCGAACGGAAGGTTCGCGAACAAACAGGACATGACAGTTTATCCTGTTCTATGTCGTGGACTTCTCTAGACATCGAAAAACAAATTTTTAGCTTTTTTTTACTAACTTAAAAGGCTAAATTAAAAAAATCGATAGAGGCTTAAGCCAGCATCAATAGCGTTCCGTGTTACCAATTAAGCTACTGTGTCTCACACGTAGGTAAGTTTGTTACCTGTTTTCAAAATTTTACACAAAAATATATTTTTTTACATTTACTGGTTATTACCACGGCTACGTGTCAATACCAAACTGTCTTAGATGGAATTTTGACAGGCAATGGTAGTAATGTATAATAACAAACTACAAAACTAAATAACAAAGGCTCGTGGGTTTGATTTCCCTTTATGTCCAACACGCCTAAATTTGTAGTTTACAATTTCTGTATACCATGTTAAATTGTATTTGGAAATTTCGAGGTCTAGATGGTAAATGGTGGTACAAAAAGGCGAAATTAGGTTTGTATGAAAACTCACTTCATGTGTTTATGGAGCGCATTCACGTTGTGCAAATTGTGGCCACATTTGGAACAAATTGTCGTTTCCTTCTCAGTAAGTGAATCTAGAATGACAACTACATTTGTAGATCTTAACAACTTGTCAAAAGGTCTTTGAAATGAAAGCTTTCTTAGCGACTCCTGTTATGTGTGAAATATTTAGTTGTCTGAGTAAGATCCTTTCTTACAACTAGCACATAATATTGTTATAAAGCTATACTGTTAAAATTAAGGTATGGCATTTTTTTTAACATGCTAATCTATTTTTTTCTATTTAATTATAAGTATTTAGAGTGAATTCTAAATAAATCATTCATCCTTCTCTCTTATCTCATCTTTAATTCACAAAAAAAGAAGAAAAACAAGAATATCGTCGTAAAATGACATTTCTTGAAACTATATAACTGTCATCTGTCAACATACATGTGTTCAAAGCGTTAGATAACAGCTTATACATGGGATGTCTGAATGAAGAAAACATGGCTATATTTTCTAACAAAGGCAATAACTGCTTAACACGTCATTTCTGGAAATGTTTTTAAATATTATATGAGACCAAACCTTCAATATGATCCGCGTCCAAAGTTTTGTCACAATGCTCCTTTTGTCTATGCTTATAGAGTTCAACTTTATTTGGCAACAGTTGGTCGCAATCCCGACACGGTATTCTAAAACAGGATTAAATTCATACCCTTAAGATATAAATATTATGGTGGATATGACAGAATATATAATAAACAAAACCAGTCAAGTGTAAGTCAGGCTTGCAGAGTAGGGAGTTCTGTATCAATAACGAAGTAAACAACAGTTTTATATAGTATATACCTTTTATATTTACTCGGTGTAATATAAATTAAAATTAATAATCTTATTTTAGTTAAAAACATCTCACTTCGAATGTATTAAAATAAAACACTTAAGCGGTTTAAAACGCGAAATATATAACTTATTTACAAATTATCACGTCTCCCCGTGATCACGTCTAATGCAAAGCATTCGAAACGTTAGACTGGAGTTGAAATAATTTGTTAATAAGGTTAATTAATATTTTTCACGTTTTAAACGGTTGAAATAGTTTATTTAAATACTACTTGCGTAAACTACAGCCAGTATTCGGAGGTATATTACCTAATAAAGTGGTTAAAGCTTTTGTGGACATGAAAGCTTCGTTTAAGGTTTCGAGCTAGTCGATTACAATGGCCGAACAGCCCGAATCTTTTGGAAGACCCAAATAGTCTAAATATAGTTAATAAAATGGAAAATCTAACAAGATTTACCTGTAATAATCCTGTCTGGCGATCTTGGTAGTGCCTCCGTCCTCTTGCGCTGTTTTCCCGTGAATTTTCTTTCGATGGTACGCTACACTCCAGCTGTAAACCAGAAAATTTGCATGATATATTCTGAAGAGACTATACCAATTTTTGACGGAATCCTTGGTCAGTGGTGGTAGTAACGTATGGCTGATCATCGACGGGTCCAATGTTTCTAGTCAATTTATAATTTTTCCAAAACATGGACTTCGTCTGGAAATGTGGATTTTAAAATATGTGGTAGGTAGGAGAATCGAAATTCCGTCCGGTTCATGAACCATCCGTCACCAGATAAAAAAGCCGTGAAGTTCAATCGCGTTTCGGTTTTAGTTTGTGGATTTACGAATAACCAAATCCAAAATAGGGCGACCGCGCATCTTGCTCAGATGTTATATAGCAGAAGTATTTTACCTTTCATTAAGTGAAACCCCTTTCCTGTCCTCCTTTATTATAAATAAAAATAACAGGACAAGGCACATAATACTTATAAAATGTGTGTCCCTACAGACACCGGTCGAGTAACACGCGTACTTAACCATGGTGTTGCCAAAACAGGACAGTTTATTAAAAATATTATTGTCCCTTAAATACTTCTACAACTGAAGTCAAAAACCCAACCTGTTAGGAAAAGTCTGGTCGCACTGATTACATTTGAATAAGAAATTCTCATTTGCGTGTTTCGTGCGACGATGTACTTGCAAATACGTCCAGTGTAAGTAGGAACGACCGCAATCCTGGTATAAACACGATTTGTAAATAAAAAAGGTTTTAAAACTTTAATACATAAGTGTTAAGGTCAAAACTACATTGCGCGATATCTACTTGTAGCAATGGGTTGAAGAAATTGGATGAGGTCAGGTACACGGTAACTTAATTGGTTAGCAGCTTCAAGGGCGAGACATGGTAGCTCAATTGGTTAGCAGGTTCAATCTTAATAGTTTTTAATTTATATAGTGCCATAATGCGAAAAAAAAAATTTTAAAGCATAAGGTCATTTTCATGGCTGGAATATTTCAACTTCCATCAAGTGCTGATCTTCCCTTATCCAAGTTCCAATTAACAAGTATTACTTCGACGATATTTCGAGTGCGGTAAAGCAACAGTTCCAATTATAACTAGTAATTTTGTTGCGGTAGTGGTCTTAACCCTGCACAAGAAAAGCGTGGTGGGTTATAGACAATTCTCCACGCAAGAGAATACCTATAAGCACTAGAACATTAACAGGTTGAAACGAGCGTTATACACAGCCAAAATTCCTATGAAATTATTTTGGCCTAACTTTGCACCTCATCTTTTGCAAAAAACCTTTACTTACTTCACATAAAAAGTGCTTCACCACGGGAAACCCCCCATAGCCCAGAATCCCGGCGCTACTTGCACCTTCATCTTTTTTGCCATCAGCTAAATTCCTTTTGTAGAAGCCGTGTGTTGTTTTATGTGTTGTACATCTGTAAATAAGTATGGCTTACACTATTATAGCTTGGAGACAACTCATCCCGGTTTGAGTACCAAACGTAGGTACCTTAATAATAATTGCATAAATTTGCTTTTCATTTAAAAAAAAAATATTAAAATAAGATTGGTACCAAGGGACACATTATAGAAAGAGACAAATTGCTATTTCTTGTAATATCATCTCTGTCGCCCACTTGTTGTAACAATATTTGAAAATTTTTAAAAATTGTTTCGGTAAAGAATTAAAAATCTAAATTGGAAAAATTTTTTAATTGTTTCTAAATTGTAATTATTAAGTTAAAATTGAAAAAAAAAAAAAAAACACGACACGGGCGTTACGTGCTCTAACCAATTGAGCTACCGTGTACTTCATTTTTTTTCAATCTGTGGTAAACTTTTAATTGCAATGCCATGTGAAAATTATTAAAGTTTTCAAATTGTAGTTCTTTATAATATTCTTTTTTAATAAATCTTCGATTGCTCGTAGTAATGTATGGCAATAATCAAGGGGTCGTGCATTTGATTTCCGGATCCAACTTGATTCTCAAATAGGGTTTTTGTTTTACAATAAGTGCTATTTTACCTGGAGTACGTGGCAAAAGTGACTTTACAAACGTGGCAGATAAAAGGATTCTTCACGCCTTTATGATTAACCCTGTGTGAGTTCAAGGCCCCTTCCAGAAAGAACACGCTGTAGATAGAAAATATTTTTTGTTAAATCATAATAGTCTCTTAAATAAAAAAAAATAATTTATGTTGACATGACAAAAACTACAATTTAAGGTCACTATGTTTGTGGGCTGTAGTGTTTTTAACGAATATTTAATTTGAATCACACAAAAAAATTGCGCCCAATCTAAATAAAGAACATAGCTCCGTGCTGCTGCTATAGCCAATTGAGCTGACCGTGTCATAATGTATTTTTTTTGATTATATTAGATTTTTGTAATGCCATCATGTGCAAAATATTAAAATTAATTAATAAATTGATTTTAAAATGTCTATTTCTTTTAAACTCGAGGTTACTACACAAACTATTCTGAAAATTTCAACAGAGTCCTATTAAACTCTTGGAACCTAAAACAATTGAAAAACAAAAGACTAACTTTTCGATTCAATATAGATCGCTATTTAAAGACCTTCTCGATTCTCACGACGCGAATGATCGCCTTCAGCCCCATCATCTAAACTGGTTAGAAGCGGTTCGCTCTCCTCCTTACTAACTTCGCGTAAGACTGGCTTACTCAATCTTGACTCTAGTGAAATATTATGAATATAACATATTTATTATGAAAGGAACTGCTTAATATATAAAAAAAAAAGCTACGTTTTGTTCATTATAAAATATTCGTGTCCAACCAAGTCCATATTTTTAAGCACAAATTATATTTCTCAAACATGTTTGAGGTCGTCTTCGCACAAACATATCTCCAACAGAGAAGTGGAAATATCGAAATCTCCTTCCTAGGGACTTTACGAACCACTGGCTCACGTATAAACATCGATCTAGTTGTAGTCAGTTTGTGGATTTCCTAATGTCCGAAGTCAAAAAAGTAACTGGGTGGGGTATTGCACTTTAAATTTTGTAAATCTTTTAAAAATTCGAAAATACAATTGAAAAAAATTTTAACTCGGGCAGAATTATATTTATAAATATGTATTTATCCTCTCTTCATAAAAGATTTCGGTCAGGCAGGGCATAAAAGTTTGATCAACTTCTATGAAGTAACTTCCCCACGACACGAGCGGAACTTGAGCCAGCATCGCCAGAGTCTCGTGCTGCTAACCAATTGAGCTACCGTGTCTTTTAATACGGCGTATTTTTTTTAACTCTCTATAGAGCTTTAATGTATATAATACCCATCAGGTGAGAAATATTCCAGGTTTCTATTTATTTTATCTAATGTTTAGCACCTCACCCGGTTTAGCAGAGGGGGTAACGAGGCCGCTAGTGGGTGACAGTTGTTCAGCGCCATCTTGCTTCAACTTCGTTCGTAAACACTTCTATGCATTCCGTTGTTTTGGCAACGTGTTCCTAAAAAATTATATTAAAAATCCAATACCATGCACAGTCCCTTGAACGCTTATTAATTTAATAACACTCCAAATATCCAAAGCCAAAATGGGTCGACAGCGCATGTGGTAAGATGTTATATGGCTGGGATATTGCACCTGCCATCAAGTGAACCATATGCTCCTCCATGTCCTCCTTTCTGATAAAAATAACATGTATATTATTTAGGAATTTGTATTCAGTACAATTAATTAATAAATTCCGGAAAGCAACACAGTTTCACATTTTAAGGCTTATCTTTACTGAGAAAGATCTTAGAAATGACTTAACTTAATTATTGTAATTAAATAAGACGCCATTTTAAAGTCCTAATTAAGAATATCATATGTCAATGTGTCTAGACAAATAGATACTACATACAGCTTAGATTTTTTTTAAGAAGTGGGCATAATTAATGTAGCCAAAAATATATTAAGAAAAAGAATTAGCTGATGGTGTACCTGGGCTTCCACGTGATCCCTAAAGGCTCTAGAACAAATCCCGCAGACGAGCACCAGCTTTGGACCCAGCTCCTCTTCGTGCGCCCTCAAATGCATGCGCAGCCGAGACCTTCGCGTCAGCTGTTTCAGGCAAATGTGACATTGGAAGGGTTTTATCTGTAAAGGATTAGAAGAAGAAGTAAAAAAGAAATCAAAGACTAAACAAGACAAAAATAAAAATTCGTAAGAGATAAATCTTGAAAATGACTGAAAGTTTTTTTTTATTATAGTCCTTAAAAAGATATTATGATAAAATCATATTATATAATACGCCGCCCAACCCAAATACGAAGAAGAAGAAATATTTAATATGAAATTTATTGACGTTACTTTTACTTTTTTAATCTATATGTTAATATATTTTTTATTAATATAATTAATAATTTCAAGAATATGTGTATTTGTAAAGGTAATACTTATCTAAATTTTTGGTCGTAGTTAAATCAATTAAGAAGTTGACGGTCTCCTCGGTCTAATAATATTAATGTATGCCTAATAATCAACGAGTCGTGGGCTGGATCCCCACCGACTCCAACATGTTACTAAACAATGTATAAATTATAAAACATTCGAAACATATTGGTCTTCGTCTAAAAATCTGGATATTAAATGGATGGTACGAATATTGAATCACAGTGCGCAGATTAAAGAGCTGCGAAGTTTAGGTTTTCGTTTCGGCTTCAGTCTGTGGATTTTCGAAAGCCCAGAGACAGACTTCTTCTTACCTGTAAATGTGTGACTCCATGCTCATCCAAGGTCTGCTTGTCCAGGAATCTCTTGCCACAAGTCACGCACACATAGCGACGTGTATCTGTGTGTGTTCGACTGTGTTTGGTCAGCGTCGCCCTAAAAAAAACTTTTTTTTAAATAAATTTCAGATTGAAAAAAATACGACACGGCCGGGACTGGTACCGGCATTCACAGAGTTTCGTGTTGCTGCTCAAACTAACGGGAGATTTGGACACGGTAGCTCAGTTGGTTATAACAGCAGAAAGCAATGTTGTAGATGCCGCTTAAAAACGCTTTTGTACTGTTTAATTTATACAATACCACTATATGCTTTAAAGGTTTTAAAAAAAGACGGAGGCCGGCCTACAAAAAAATAAACTTTACATACATATAAAAAAAAAACCAAAATATAGATAAATTATATATATATATAAATATTTTAGCTGGAATGACTTTACGCTGTAAAGGGGAGAAATTTCAATAAGTTTCAGCTTAATATTTAATATGAAAACTAAAATAGTAAACTTCAATTTGTATAATAGATTATCAGGGAAAAAACAATAAAAGTAAGTAGATATGTTTCTTAAATACAAGATTTATAAAGAAGACTTATTAGGGTAAGTATAAAATTAAAAGACTAACTTCTTCTGAAAAGACCAACTTCGTTTTTGAAAGACTTAAGATCTTCTTTCAAGGTATACTTACTCACCTAAAGAAAAATGTCTTTCCACACTCTTTAACTGGGCACTGCCAGCGTTTCTTCTTGCTGTGTCTGAAGTGCACGTGGTCAAATAACTCCGTTTCGGTCGTGAATATGGTATCTTTACACTCGTTGCATGTATATTCTCCTTTTTCTGTTAGCAAATCAGTTTTGTCGTGGAATTGCCTGTAAGGATTACGAAATCATTGGTCAAGTAGGAATGTATGGCTAATAATCGACAGGCCGTGGGTTCAATGCTAGGTCAGTCGCATGTTCTAATTCTTCTTCATTCATCACTTCAAAATCAGTTTATAATTCTTCCGAAACATGTAAAGTTCGTAGAGTTAATAAATAAACATTTGTCCGGCTTACGAAGCACTTTGCTCGGATATTAACTGTAATCGCGTTTCGGTTTTTGGAAAATGTCAAAACCATAGTTCGAGATTTTTGGATGTTCCAAATGTGCAAACCAAGAGCTGGTATCTCCTTAAAAAAGCTTAAAGAATTATTTTTAAGTGTTATATATGTGTAACGCAAATTTTAACGACATGCCCACCAACCTTTATTGGGGTAGAGTGGCCTTTGTTAAACCCTCTATTGAGCTCAGTGGACAAAGTCGCGGGCACAGCTAGTGTTATAGTAAAATAATACATACATATGAAATTTGAGGCGAACTTTTGACGTAAAGGATTCGTTACAATTGTGACACGTCACTATTTGCGGGCTGCCTGGTCGCGTGCGCTTCTTTCGGACTTTCTGAAATATTTGTTTCATTTATTTAACTTATAAACTAGGTAGAAATTGCTTAGCTATAAAATTACATTATTCGTATGTATGTATGTGATATACACATGCCAGATAAGGTTTCAAATTTATCAATAAATAGTAAGGCATACAATTGAGATTGTCTCAAACGGCGTATTATTGTTTAAAAGATTTCTTTAATGACATTAGTTTGATATGTATTACATGTTGAAAAAAACCAGACTGAGTTTCTTGTTTGTTCTTCTCGGTTATGTTGCTCTTTTGAACATTCTGTAGAATCCAATGAACGGACACCAAAGAAACGAATTTTTAGACGAATCTTATTAATTTTATAATTTAAAGAAATAAAGTAAATTTTATTTTTATTTATTTAAAAAAAGAGACGAAACCAAGTAAAAACATATATTCGAACATTGTTTAAAATCAGTGCAGCCGTTGTGGAGGAGATCGTGCACGAACACTATGACAGTAGAATTTTATATATTTGGAATCAGAAATGGTAGAATTTAAACCTATTTTAATGGAAATACCATATAAAAATTCTAATTCATCTTAGTTTTTACCAGTTTAAAACAGTAAAAACCGTTTTATATTTTATTTTAATGATAATAGAGAAAAATAAATACATTATGATAATATTATAAACTAACCAATAAACTATTATCGTCCGTATGTTGTCTTCCTTGCGCGCGCTGCAAAGGTAAGAAATAAATTTAACACTTCACTATCAATGACCTAATGGTGTTTCTCGGGAAAACAACATTTTCCCAATATCGGGCTTTAATAGGAATCATAAATGCATAAGATTTAAGGTTGAAATTACATTGTGCGTGAGGTGCATGTATCGAGAGGTTGATAAAATTCGACGATGACGTGTAGGACTCGATAGCTCAGTTGGTTACGCAGCACGGTACACTTTGAAATCTTTTCAATCCAAGTAGATTTTTTAAATTCATATAATGCCATCAGGTAAAAAAATATTAGTTTAAATTTTTAAACATGTAAATAAAAACACTTTAACGGCTTCAAACGCGATATAGTTTAGTTAAACTTGTTTAAAAATTAGTTATCGTTTAAAACGTTGTCTTTTACATTGACGTCAGAGACATCCCCCACGCCTGCTGCATAGCATCCGAAACGTCGGGCCGTAGTTGAAAATAGTTTTAAAACAAGTTGAACTAAAATATATCGCGTTTTAAACCGTTAAAGTGTTTTATTTAATGTGTAGGTACTGCTCGCGTAAACTACAGACAGAATCTTAAAAATGTCTTATTTCACTTTAACTTTTATCCTCCATTCTTGCTGTCAACGGGTTAAAATTTTGTAACCAAAAATCGAAGTCCAATATAGCGTATTTTTCTCTCTTACTTTTAAAAAGTCCTCCTTAGACGGAATGCAGAGCTCGGAAGATTTTTCCGCGGGAAATTTTCTTTTTTTACCTCGTTTTCTACATTTGTGCGTGTCTAAGCTTTCAGCGTTCGGGAAAATACGACTGAAACACATTTTATAAAAACATTGCAGTATTTGTTGCAATAAATGGCTAACAAATAATGTTAGACCATATTTAGGCGTAAGACCAAATGGTTAAACGGTGGTTTGAATCGCAGGGAAACAAAAAAAAATTGTTTCGGTCGGGCAGGGAGGGCACAGAAGTCTGATCAACTACTTGTCCGTTAAAGGAACGGGCACAGAAATGTGCTCGCCCCATGCCCCACGAGGGGGAAACGGGCTTTAACACACATAATTAAGCGTCTATTCTAAGCGTACATTCAATGGGTGTTAAGTAAGAAAAACTGTAAATCCGATTTTCGGGTTTAGTCTGTGGATTTGCGGATATCCAAATATTTCGGCTGCATATTTTATTGAAATGATCTATGTCTCGGGTTTACCATGCATGAGGTGTTGACGTCATCGATCACTAATAAATAAGTTAGTTAGTGATCGATGGTTGAAGTATGGCCACTCTCCATAAGATGCAGGCCAAAAATGGACATCAGACAAAACTATTATAGATTTTTTATACCAATATCTTTATTTTAATCTCATTATTAGTCTGTGGTCCGTCTACTATTTCTACTTACTAAACAACTCACCTGCAATTAAAACATTTGTGCTTGGTTAGATCGCTCACTTTTTGAGATATTGTGTCTTCTTCGTTGTCGTTCTGAAAATAGTAATAGAAGTCGGTATTACTGGCTCTCGGCTATAATCTACACTAATATATAAAGCTGACGCGTTTGTTTGTTTGAACGCGCTAATCTCAGGAACTACTGGTTCGAATTCTAAAATGATTTTTGTGTTACTTAGAGCAAATAAAAAGAAATGTCGAAAATACGGAGAAAATTATTCATCCTTGCGGGTTTGTTTTATTGCGTACGCTTCGAAAACGGTTCAAGATACCTAAAAAATATGTATGAAAGAATTATTCCTCTTTCAAAGGTCTAAGAAAAAAAAGGTCTAAAAAAGTCCGCACCAGTATAAGTCTATCTTTTAAGATTAACTTCTATGAACAACGGGACCCGGACGACGTCGTGGGTAACAGCTCAAATGTATAGAGTTAAACGGGGGGAAATTGAATGGAGTTTGCAAAAACAAAAATTCCAGATATCCAAAATAACTATTCTACACGTACGGTGCCGCGCGACTCAGCTAGTTAATCATAGTCATAGATAATATAATAAAAAGGCAAATATTAAGGGTTCTTTTTTTCATAGAGAGTATATGAGAAGATTTCCGTTTACCTCTGTAAGTTTCAAGAGCTTCTGTAATTCTTGCTCCTGCACATCATCGCCAGTGTGCACTATCCAGATTGCTTCTTCATCACTGTCTAAGGCTTCCTGTTTCACTTCCGTCGTTAGCGCTATCGTGGCTGTCTATGATATTATTAGTTAGATTAAAACAACAGCTTTTACTAGGAAATGCTAGCTTAGCTGGCTAGCTCAGCTCAATTTGAGCTAATCCTTCAGAGTTGAGGCTGTCTAAAAGCACTGTTTATAAAACTTAATTGTATTAAATACTATTTGTAAACTAAATGTTTGTAGTTTAATGGAGTAGTATTTATTAAATAAAACATTTAGAACAGTTTAAAACGGGAAATGTGTTATTTTTTATCTGAATATCCAAAGCCAAAGGTCGACAGCGCATCATGTTCAAATGTTTTATCGCTGGGGTATTACACCATCCATCAAGTGAAACTATATTCTTTCTATTATAAAAAAAATTACGTCCCGATACCACGGATGCTTTGCAACTGTGGCCACGGGGGTTCCCCCGGTTTCGGAGATAGATTCGGTTTGAGACTTACTGTATCTTGATTCTCCTTAGTGTCAGTCTCATCGACTTTTTTCATAGCACTCCTTGTTCTTGTAGCTACAGGTGACGACTCTTTAGATAAGAGTTCTTGATGACCTGATCAGAAAATTAACAAAAATAATAGGCGTGTAGAACACGGTAATTGAAACAATTGTATCAGTTAAAAACGCGAAATATATTAGTAAATTGATGGTGCACGGTCGCAGTTTCGTCTCATAGTGAAACAGACAATATACTGTCTATAGTTTACGCGAGTAGTACACAGTTAAATAAAACACTTTAACGGTTTAAAACGCGATATATTAGTTAATATTATTTGAAAATGATTTTTGACTTGGACCCGACGTTTCGGATGTTTTGCAGCAGCCGTGGTCACGGGGAGACAGTCTCCCAGTGACCACACCTTAACTAATATATCGCGTTTTAAACCGTTTTATTTAAGATGTTTCTATACAGAATTAAAATTGTGTTGTATCAAGTTCTCTTCTTTTAGTAGGATTTAGTAGAACTAACCGCGGGATTAAGTGCTAACAATAAACACTAATTATTAAAACTACTATAATTTAGATTTTTAGAATACTTTCTTATAAAAGCAAAACTCCCACCTTCGTCTTTCATTTTAGTGTGATCATGCGCAGTCTTAATGTGACCTTTTAGCCACTTTGATGTAGCGTATCCTGTTTGAAACATCAAAATTAAACGTCGTAGGAATATCATATGACTGGTATTATACTAAAACTACCCTCAAAATTACAACTTGCATTTCCTCTGTGTAATATAAATAGTAGTATAGCGCTTTATTGCATTTCCTTGTTTAACTCATAGCGGCGCTGCTCGTTAAGCACGAGAAGTTCGGAGTTCCTCCCGGGTAAAACTAAATTAACTATTTATGTCGGGGAGACATGTATGCAGGGGAAACAGGATGTCACACACTTCAAAAAGAGAAAGAAGAAGAAAGAGAGAAGATTAAGATTAGAAATTATTTCACGTATACAATAAATATGAGGGTTTAAGTACCATAATCGCATAAAGGGCAAGGATAGACAAGTCCATCGTCCACGTCATGCTTATGCTGCTCGCAATGATCCATAACTTCTTGGAAATCCACAAATATCTTATTGCAAAACCTATGAAATCCACAATGTTTAGCTTTTGTTATGATGGAGGAGGTCAGACAGACATGGGGGTTCACTAGACGTTAGGTAAAATACCTGCCCTACATAACATCTAAACGTCTATTTTGGCATTTTGATATTAGGAAATCCACAGACTGAAACCGAAACGCGATTAAACTTCATGACTTTTTCATCTGTAGATGGTTTGTAATCCGGACGGAACTTAAATATCCCTACCGCCCGTTTATAACCAGATTTCCAAACCAAGTCCAATATGTTTCAGAGAAGTTATAAATTCACTAGCTGTGCCCGCGACTTCGTCCGCGTGGAATAGTGACTTGTGGTAGAATTTTTAATTATCTACGCTGTTCATAAATTTATGTAAGGGCAAGTTTAGGGCAGCCAATCTATGTTGAAACTTGTAAGTGCTACTTTGCCGCAACACTCTCACCTCACACATCACTCCTACTCTCAATCCTATACTCACTCTCACTCCCACTCCCACTCGCACTCCCAATCCCACTCCTATTCCCAAAAAGGCAAAGAAAGTTTCATTGTTCTACCTTCAATAACCACGAATTTCTTTTTTTATATTATCTGACAACTATTCTCCTGTCCGCCACCTGGGGACGCGCCCGGTGGAAGTCCGGTGGAAAATGTTTTCAATTTATTTTCGATTTTTAAATTTCATTTAAATCAGTTCAGTAGTTTCGGAGTTAAAGCCGGACAGACAAACAGGTAGACCGAGTTACTTTGCATTTTATAATGTTATTAAAATCTATAATTTATTTAAATAAAAGTTTATAAATGGTATGGATAACCCGGTTTGATTTTGTTCGGCGTTTCTATCACTTTGTTAAAAGTAAAAAAAGTAGTTATAATTACGTAACTAACCCGCTGCATCTTCGCTCTTATTAGTCACAGCGCGATGTTTTATAGCCTATAGCCTTCCTCGATGGATGCTCTAACCAACATATTATTTTCTTTAATTCAAACTCGTATTTCCTGAGATTAGCGCGTTCCAACAAACAAACTCTTCAGCTTTATATATTAGTATAGATATAGATTATAAACATGTTGCACCCAATGCTGAATGAAACCACGATAATTATTGGCTATACGTTGCTACCATTACACCAACGAGCCTGCCAAAATATCAGTGTGAATCTATGCTAACAATGATGGAAAACTGACCTGCATTTCAGTTCATCTAAATTGTCGCACTGGTACTTCCCTAGAAATTCCTGCACCTCCTCATCCGCGTCGTCCAAGTTATCTATGGCCTTATCGAACTCTATTTCCGGTTCTATAATCTCCACATCGCTAGAACTTTCTAGAATGACCCCACCGTCGTCTATATGTTGCTCTGGTTCTTTGTCCTCGGCGCTATCTAGAAACTTCTTTTTCAAATCGATTTCCGTGACATTTTGAAAGATGTATTGCTGGTTGTTCTTTATCACCAGATATTCGTCGCTGTTCAATGGTTCATTGGGACTTTTCACTAGACACAGTTTGAAATGCTCCCCCAAACACTGCTCGCATATAATCTTTAGCTCCACGGAGGTTCTCTTCTGCGGTGAACATCTGTGGATCCTCTGGTCTTCATTATCGAATAAGTACATTTTATCAAAATTGTTCTCAACTGTTTTAGCGCAAATGCAACAGTCCTGACTTTGACCCGAGTCAAAATTCGTCTTATACCAACTCCTGTGTACTATTCTTGATGGATCAGTCTTGCGAGCGTGTTTTCTTTTATCATAAGTCACATTCTTGTCATACGGCAAAGATGTAACTGGAGAATCTTTGAACATGTTCAAAATGTCTTCTCTTGTGAAACTATCTTTTTTCGTTGGATCATCGAAATTTTTATGATCCTCCTCTGGCGTTCCAATCTTCTTGATATTAGAATAACCTTTGGGACTGGATTCTAGATACTTTGTGAACTGAGATTCAAAATTAGACGTATTATTGCATACTAATTTGAATGGTAAACTGTTTATGAAACTTTTCCCCCTCGAAGGACTAGAGTTTCTACTGGACCAGCGTGACACTGGACTTTCTATATTATAGTCTTGAATGCTAAAGTCATTGTGAAAAATTTCATCAGGGTCATCAGTGTATTTGATGAAAGGTATGTTTTCTGTTGTGATGTCTATCAACGGTTCCTCGTTGTCAAATTGTATCTGTGATGCGTTTATCTGAGTGCCATCGTCGAGAACGTAGACCAAATCATCATTAATTGCGTTGGAACCCAGTTCACCATAGGAGTGCGAGATATAGGAATTTGGCGCAAATGTACTAGCAATACTTTTCTCAGTATTGACAAAGAATTGATAAATGTTATCATCTAGGGACACTGGTTGGTTACCAGTGATCGAATTAATATCAATATCAAAACCTAGTTGAGACCTGGAAAACATATTATAGTAATTGTTTTAGGTAAAGAAATTAGACAAGTTTTTAAATAAAACACTTTAACGGTTTAAAACGCGATATATTAGTTAAACTTATTTGAAAATTATTTTTAACTAATATATCGCGTTTTAAACCGTTAAAGTGTTTTATTTAAATGTGTACTACTTGCGTAAACTATAGACAGTATTTAGACAAGTTTTGACATAAATTTGTATCTGAATGATATTTTTTTAATTATCAACTAAACACTTATATAAAATTCAATATGATGTTACATTACTTATTAAACTGACAGACAAGCACAGCATTGCTTGCTCTATAATAATTTGTCACACTGTTCTATTAGTTGTTAATCAGACTGTTATAATAAAATGTATATTAAATAAGTAAGTAGTTTATCAACCATTTAAAAATTTACACTTTATAAATGTGTATGAAATAGTAATACTTCTTCCTTTTTATTCTCATTAAACATAATTTATACACATATAACATGGTGTCCTTAAGTTTTTTACAGTGAACTATCAATAACTTACTTGGCTTTATCTAAAAATAATCGAAAATCATCATGTGGTTCAATTTTCAATGCTACTTCATCCCCATTTATGTTATCCATACACAGGACCAACGGTGGTGGATCCATATTTGAAGTCTACAAAAATAACAAATTTCAATTAAGTAATTACTCAATAAAATGTTTACATTATTGAAAATTATAGCCATGCCCTGAGATATATCAAATTTTATCAAAATGTTTTCGGCAATATCATGTTAAAACAATGAACATATATTTTCACATTAAGTGGTGAAATAGTAAAAAACATTATATTCTATATTATCTATAAAACTTATTTAAATATTTATACCTAAAGGTATTAAATGTAATTCTAAAAATATTTGAAGTGTTATCACATTTCTTTTAAATAATTAAGACTTTTCTTAAAATAATAATTTTTAAAATTACAATTAAATTCAAACTTTTTAAGTGGGACGTAACGTACAACAGAGCTATCTTAAAAATTAGAGTTAGGAAATTTGTTTCATAAAATATTGTGATATTTGAGCATTACAATTTCTTTTTAATTGTAGTCTTAGTCTACAACTATTAAAAGTTTTTCAATAAGTTGGGAATCGACGTACACATTATATATTTTAATTTCCAATTATTTTCAGCCAAGAAATAAATTATTGAAGAGATTTTATTGTAAAAAAAACTTCGCGTTGTAAGTGGCCAGCAAGAAACACCAATGTAAGAAAAACATGACCGTAAATAAATTGAATGAGAGAAATGTTGATTAAAAGTAAAATAAAATTACTAACCAGCTCAAATCGTTTTCTCGAAAATTCTTGTTTCCCATGAAACTGGCATTCAATACAAGAGACAGAAACAAATGAGTTCAGATTTTTGTGATATTTGGTTACTTGACAAATTTTAAAACAAAAGATTTCGCGCGCTTCGACCACAGACGATGTCACAATACCTAAGGTATGTAGATAAGCAATCTAAAAGTTCCATCATCTACATTAATCGAAAACAAAATCACATATTTCTTAACCTAAAACAAAAACCTATAGTATTATTATATGGATTAAAGATTGATTTATTTACAAGATAATGAAGTTGGCCTCAAATATAGGCTAGTCTGTGTGCATTATGACATCTATTAACTATTTGACATTTCATTTTGACGTTTGACACCGGAGTTTGACTTTATCTTTGAAGTTGAAAGTTCAGTTTCATTGATTAGAGATTAAATTAATTGATTGTAATTAAATTTTCTTCCTATTATGAGAATATTAAAACTATTTTTACCTTCAAGTACATAAGCTGTCTAAATATCTTGTGATTGTGTATAATAAAAATTAGTGACTGGACATTGTAATAACTGTATGTTTTGTTACTCGCGATAATAACTTCAAATACAGCCGCAAAACTTCAAGGTGCACTGAATAAATTGACAATGAGCTGTCAGTCATTCATTATATCTTTTCCCATTAATGGCCGAAAGTTATAAATAACAATAAGTGATCTTAAATTTGGATAAAATCAGTTTATAGCCACTGGTCGCGTCGTGTGTGAAGTAGCGAGGCGGGATGTTTCCCCTGACCCCGCCCGTGGTTAAGCGTCTCTTGGGTTGGAAAAAAGGACCTGAAGGCACTTCTGTTGCAGAAGATAAATGGTCAGAAAAGGCAGTGAAAAGTTTGGTGAAGAAATTGAAGAAAAGTGGTGCAATAGAGGAGCTTGAAAGGGCTTTGTCTAACCAGAGCAGTCACACTAAATGTGTTACTATACCCAGGTGGGTGTGTTTATTTACATCTACTTGTTTATATTTTAGTGTTTTTTTTTTTCTAATATTAGCACAGTTTTGTTTTTTTAATTTTCAATGATACAAAACAAAAAACATAGAATATGGAAGTTTCATAAATGGACATCATAAGACTGGACAAATTGAAGACTTATTATTTTCATTATTCATAATTATTATATAAAAATTTGACTGAAATTTTCAGAGTAATCTTGAATAATTTCCTTAAAAAAGCGTTAGAGGTATTTTATTACTTATTAATTATCAATACTTATTAACCGTATTGTACATTAATTTTTCTAAATTTAAGTTTTTCCAAAATGTTTGTTTTAAACAGCTAGTTGTTTTTCATGCTAAATACAAGAAGACCCTGTTTTCATGAAGAAACAAACAGTTATTGTGGCAAAAATCAACCATTTCAGGTGTTTCTAACTACACAACAATGGTTCTTAAATATATATATATTTAAATGGTGTAAATTTAAATATATATTTTTTTCCTTGCACAAAATTTTAGATTTACAATTACAATTTAAATTTAGTCTACATAGAGCCACATTTTTGTTAACATTTATGGATAGAATCATTGTTTTATATATATGATAATCAATTCAGTATTCTTTTCCTTTCTTGTAAAGGTTGTAAGTGTTTTGACATTTGGTGATCCTATCTATTTGGTAATTAACAAGTAAAAGTTTTGATTATTAAATTTTTTTAAATCAATTATAACTTTGATGATAATTTGAAAGATGAAAGTGCATTGAACTTTCAATTTTCATCTATGCCCAAAACCGGAAAATTCAATATGGCGCTCAGTACCTACCTATTCTAGGAAAACCCCACACCTAAACGCGTATAACCCGACCGAATCGAATATTCGCCCGGCGCATTAACCTCGCTCGGGACAACGACCACCGCACTTCGCTTACATAATTGCAGACAGGACGCGATACCGAAAAGGAAGGTCAGACCGCCGTCAAAACAATTGAAGCTTTTGACAATATGGCCGACGGGTTTTAGACCTCTGCGAATTTTTTTGCGGTTATTTTTTGTTACGGGAAATAATTATAATTCGCACAAGGCCTCGTGAAGTGTAATCTTAATATTCACGTTACGATTATGGTAATTATTGTGTGAAAAACAGATTAGTGTTCGTGGTTTATTATTAGGAAATCGTTGTATTCTTATTGGACTCCTATAAGTATTGTGTTGTGTATAATTTATAATAAGGTAATTTATGATAAACATTGTAATCAACATAATTAATCGGAATTAATATTTATTTTGCTAGTTGTTAAATTTTTAAACACACGTGAGTTAAAGATTGGTGGCATTTTGTTTTTGTATATGCAATATCTTTTTATCTTACTTTATACTATTTAAAACATTTAATCTATATGCTCAGTGGTTTTTTCAAGATTTAGCTTTATTTTAAAACTTGTTCTATGTAGAACTAATAATTTAAATAAATGTATTTATATCTTATTTATGCAGCATATTTTTATTGGTAGACATTAATAATCTTCTATTAATTATTAGGAGTTATATGATTGGATTAGGGTTTGAGTATATGTTTAAGCCAATCTTTAAAGATGCTGATTGGGAATATTACAATATCCTAATGATAATTGCGTCTTGTTACAGAGTGAAACCCAATGACAATATCTTAAATGGACAGTATCGCAAGGGCTTGCCGCATGTAGTTTACTGTCGGCTGTGGCGCTGGCCACAGCTTCAAGTGAGTGTTATTTTTTTTAGTAACTGCATTATATGTAGATGTAATAAAGTCCTAAATATCTAGTATTGTGTAAGAACAACCTTAAGATAATTATTACTAGATTTGGTAAAAATGATCATTGGCAACCCAAGTCTAGCATTTTTTTTACTGTGATGTGATGTTTTTGATTCTATAAATAAGATAGGTTTAGCTCACCTTGGTGTATAGGCAATAAGTTTAATATTTTAAAAAATATTAAAAGATCAATTTATATTTATTTATTATAGCTTTATTGTTTATAAAACATTTGTTAATTTTAAGCTTGTGTGCATAATTTTTCTCATTATATTAATATACTTAGTAAAACTGACAAATTTAGCACATATTTAAATTTAACATTTGCATATATTATGTAAAGTATTGTTTGTTTTAATTATATAATAAAATTTAATACTAAGGTCAAGTTTTTAATATGCTGTCTGACATTAATACCATTAAAGCATATTTAAAATTTAAAATTAATTTTCTCACTGAATCAGTAATTGTATTATTTATTATTGCCATGAGAATAATTAATAGAATGAATTATATTTCAGAGTCAGCATGAATTAAAGCCGGTCGACCACTGTGAATATGCATACCAGTTGAAAAAGGACGAAGTGTGCATCAACCCTTATCACTATAACAAAATTGACTCGCCTGGTAAGTTTACTTATCAAATATACCCTGAACAAATAACCAGGTATGGCATCAATGCCTAGTGTTTTTCTTTGTTTTCCAAGGTAATATATGGCAAACATATCTTGTTTTACTGATTGATATTATGGTCTAGTAAGTTATTTTAAATATATAAACCAAGATTGTTACTTATGAAGGATATTAGTAGGTGCACTTCATTTTGTGCCTGTATTTAGGAAGTTTCTAATGATTTATTATACATGTAACTATTGTAATGTTCGCTTAGTTTATATAATTTATAAATGTCAAGTTACAAATTGTTTTGTTTGTGTTTCAGCATTACCACCAATATTGGTGCCGCGTTGTCCAGAGAACGAGACTAGGGCTCCGCCTCCCTACACTGACTACCATCAGCCCATACACGAACATACAGATAAGTTAGTACATATTATCTTTGAAATTTAAGTAGGAGGTCAGACATACCAAGCATTACGTTACTTGAAGGTATGTGAAATGTCTCGGTCATATCTATACTACATATAAAGCTGGAGAGTTTGTTTGTTTAAACACACTCATCTCAAGAACTACTGGTCCGAATTGAAAAATTTTGGGTTGGTAAGAGCATTTATCGAGCTTACATTTATAAAGATGATGTATGTATTGTAGCAGCGTAATGCAGAGCGGTGTGGTTGGCGCTCACAGCGCCTTGTACCTTGAGGCGACGTTAGGCCAGCAGGTTCCTGGCAACACCACCGTTCATTTGTAAGTGCCTTTCCTTTTAATATGCCTTTGTATGGTTTACATTATGTTACTTACTTTATAGCGCTTACAAACTCCATTGCCCGCAGTGGAGCATAGGGTGTCAAATCTCTGTATTTCTTTCCCTGATAGAGTTTATACAGGCTAGTTGACCAGACTTCTCTGCTACGACCTGATTGAAACAATTAACTGTTTATTCTTCGGGATTTGAACTTAGGACTATTAGGAGAAGAAATAAAAAGGTGGAGGTTTAATCTAATATTTTTTTCTTTATTGCATTAGTTAAGCTTTATTGATCCTCAGACAACTCGGAAACTTTTTCTTTGGATTGTTTTGCATTCTATTGTTTTTAATCAATATATAAATAATAATCAACTTGTTTTTATTAGGAGTTCCTCAACGGTGGAGACTCCGCCTCCTGGCTATATGAGTGAAGACGGCGATCCTATGGATCATAACGACAATATGAGTGAGTTTGTTGACAATTTTTTTTATTTTTTTCCGCCTTAAATACGTTTATAAATATAATACAGACTGTTAAGTTATAAATAATATAAAGGGTGTTCGATGGATGTTTGATTCATGCTGGTACACTATTATTTAATATGGCTAATTAATTCATTATCTATAGTTTGTTTGAACGCGCCTATTTCGGGAACTATTGCTTCGAATTGGAAAATTCATTCTGTTGTTGGTTGGACTATTGATCGGGGAAGCCAATAGGAGCGAAGAAACGAGGGAAATGTGGAAAAAACAGGAAAATTTATTCATATTTGAGAGCTTCCGTTGCGTGCGCTGCTAAAACGGTTGAAGATACCTTAAACAAATGTAGAAAAGAATTATCCTGGAATAAAATTATGTCCGGAACAATCTGTCTATCTTTTAAGATTAACTCGCATGAACGATGTCTTGGAAAACAGCTACTGTTTATTAAGTTGTACGATCATCGTAAAATAGAAAAAGGAAGTTAATTATTTAAATCTTTCCAGATTTAACGCGCCTCAGCCCGTCGCCGGGTACCCTAGGCCCCGAGACCGCCCCGGTCCTGTACCACGAGCCGGCCTTCTGGTGCAGCATCAGCTACTACGAGCTCAACACGCGCGTCGGGGAGACTTTTCATGCCTCACAACCTTCTATCACCGTTGATGGATTCACTGACCCCAGTAATAGCGAACGGTGTGTTGAATCTCAGAAGATAATAAACAAGATCTAAGAGCTGATGATATTGCAGCCTTGCTTGCTTGCAGCTTGACTGTTGTTTTTGTGACGTTTCAATTTCAAAGTTCGGCTAGTATCCTATTCTTTTTTAGCGAAGCAAGGCAGAGTAACTCCGAAATAAAAGCAAATAATGACGGTATTTGAGAGACTCGTGTGCTTAATGATAGAATTTATTTAATAATGTGTCGTGGGTTCGGTCTCCACCGGGTTGGTAGAACTTTTGAAATTTCATCCGGGTCAGTTCACCAGTAGTAGTAATTGTAGATGAAAAAGTAAAGTGTAATCGCGTTTCGGTTTCAGTCTGCGGATTTTATAAGGATGTAGCCAATAATGTAACATTTTATATAGACTTAGGTTATAAAGCAATATAACCTAAGTCTATAATAGTAATAGCGTCTAACGTAATATTTCAACTCTCAGTTTTTGCCTGGGCCTGCTGTCTAATGTGAATCGCAACGAAGTGGTGGAGCAAACCCGGCGACACATTGGCAAAGGCGTTCGGCTTTACTATATCGGCGGTGAGTGTATGGACCCCTTTGTTTTTATTTTTATTAAAGCAAAACGTAAATTAGAGATCGATTCTAAAAGAACTTACGAGAAATGTAATATAATAATTATCCTCCCCCCCATTTGACTTATGAAGATCGGCACAAAATACGGCTGTTTTGTGCCCCTCCTCACAATAAATTACAGAGTAATCGCCATGTGCAGAGTATGTACTTATGCGCCATATTGCTTTCAGGTGAAGTTTTTGCTGAATGTCTGAGTGATTCGTCAATATTTGTTCAGAGTCCGAATTGCAATCAACGCTATGGCTGGCACCCGGCCACCGTTTGTAAAATACCACCAGGTAACCTATCTATTCTACCGTCTCGCTAAATGGTTAACACGTTGAATGGCATTGCATTGAGCGCGAGGGAGTCTGGTTTTGAATTTAGGGGAAAAAGATTGCTTTGTTCTGCAAAGCCTCGGAAGTTTGATCAACTTGTAAATAAATTAAGTGCTATGTTCCACGTCCTACGCTTCACGGGGGATACTAGATATAACTTTTATAGTGTTTATTTTTATGGTAAACCCGTTAGTAAGATCAAAATCTACCCATTTCCAGAAGAGTACAGTTAAAAAAACGACATCTAGATAACATTTGGAATATTATTACCTCAAACCATCATAATGCTTCCAGGTTGCAATCTGAAGATATTCAACAATCAAGAGTTTGCAGCTTTACTAAGCCAATCGGTGTCGCAGGGATTCGAGGCGGTGTTTCAACTCACGCGCATGTGCACTATACGCATGAGTTTCGTTAAGGGTTGGGGGGCGGAATACAGGTATGAATAAATGTTTACTTTATTTATGATAAGAATTATCAATAATAGTTGAAACCTAATAATAAATTGTATATGTTTTTAATGGTAAGTAGTAGCTCTTTAGTAAGTTTAAAAATCCTTTTTTAAGATATAAAAGAGATTCTTAAGAGACTTTATTGTGGAATCTTCTATAATGAAAGAGGAGGACAGATAATCATGGATATCACTCGATGAAAGGTAAAGTACTGTGGCCATAATACATTTTGGATATTCGGAAATTTACCGACTGAAAACTTTACGGCTTTTTCATCTGTGGACAGTGGTTCGTGACGGACGTAATTTCGATATTCCTATCACCAACCCCAACCTACAACAACAAATTTATTTGCAAACCCATATTTTCTCTAGGCAATTATATATATACCCTTCCTAATTTTAACTAGTATATTTTATTTAACTTACAGACGACAAACAGTGACATCAACGCCGTGTTGGATCGAGCTGCATCTGAACGGGCCACTGCAGTGGCTTGACAGAGTTCTGACGCAGATGGGCTCCCCACCGTTGCCTTGCTCCTCCATGTCTTGAACAGGTTAGTGTCTGGTCAATTTTTAAGGGTAGTTGCAAAACATTACATTTTATAAACACATTTTTCAAGGCTGCCATTCTTTGACGGCTGACATTACTTACTCTTATATCTTGTATCTATCCGGATTAGTTTTGGACACGCATTAAGGTCTACACAGCGGCAATAACCTAATGCTTGAAAATAACAAGTTGTCAATAACCGTCTGTCATATGTCAATGACAGTTTGTCACGCGTCAATGCCACTATATCGACCATACTCTAAAAAGTTTTGCTTGACTTTTCCGCATATGCCATATAGGTGCTAAACAAAGTGAAGACCCCAAAAAATATTTCATAACATATAAAGCTAATTTCTTCCCTGAAATGTTTTCATTTCTAGGTATTTAGAGCACCGATGAAGAAACGACATTAAAAATAACCTAGTAGTTAAGTGTAGCTCAAAACAAAATGATTACCTCCAAAATGAGTCTTACAGTGATTTGATACATGTATTGAGATGCAGTGTGTTTGTAGAGTTTGCGTTTCGTTTATTGTATAACGAGTTTAAATTACTTGTAATTCGCTTTACAATGAGGTAGATTCTCTATGTAGTGGGCAAGCATTAAACATGGCAATACAAACACACTGTACATAGATTTTGATGTAAATTCACACTTATTGTAGAATAATCACTATCGTTGCACTTACTATCATTCTCATTTTTATGCACGTGTTTATCGTTATTGAGTATAAAAATTATCAAATTTGTGCAATTGATTGATCTTTTACAATTAATAGAAAATATTTATTATACACACACGTTTATTTTACAGGTTCAAAATATTTTATATTCTGTTTTATTTAATAAATATAATTCACGATTTTATTTCTATTTGGAATATTGACGGTCAATTGCATTTTCTATTATAGCTATACATAGTTATCATTTGCCATTTAATGCATTTATTCATTGTTTAATTAATCATTATAATAGTCACGTTATCATTAATGTTTTAATGATTTATGTACAGTTATAGTTTAGACGTTTTCTTTAAATACCGTTTTTGCTTTATTCCAAAAGTCATTATAGATTTAACGCTTCTAGGGTTAATTATTATTATTAAGATTTGAGGGTATTTTTACAAAGATCCTGAATAATTAGATTTTGCGTTGTAAGAGTAAATGAGAGTTCTGCCTCTTTTTCATCTTTAAAAATACTCTTAAATTGACGATCCGTGTAAATAATATCGTTTACATAATGTACGATCTTTTTGTAGATTTTCTATCGACATCAGTGTTTTTCTACAAATAGTCTGAAAGGCGAAATATGTTTACAAATATTTTAATAAATACGTTTTGTTCATATTGAATTTTACATTTCAAATGGAACTTTATATAGGGCCGATTGCGTTTTTGATGTGTCGACAAATAATATTGTTATTTTGAAAACTGCCATTTTGTTAAACTTCAGTCGAATGGAGACTACGTGGTGAACAAAAAACTATTGTAAGTGTATATTTTTGTGAATTCATCAAATGACATTCGGTCATACACAAGTCATGCTTAAAGTTACATAATGTAGTAATTATTTTTATTCTTAGTAATTAATGGATGTATTCTTGTATTAGAAAAGGATAAACGCTGGGTCTTGAACTTTTTGAATTGAAAACCGTCACACGAGTTTTCTAAAAAGTTCATCGGCCAGATCCCAAATGCAATAGGCAAGAGATAGGAATATTAAGGAGAGATGTTATTTTGGAAATGTTTTAAGATTATAATATAATGCTGGATTGCTTGGTCGGCTGGTGAGGGTACTTGGAAAATATTTCTTGAGACACATTAGAATTAGATTTTTTATGAGGAAGCCAGAGGCACGGGGCTAAATTTAATTGAAGATGAAATGCCTCTGACCTATTATATCGGATAATTATGTGCTGTTGACCTTTTTGCAAACATGTGTCACTCCAAATAAAAATCGGATTATTATTATTATAACACACGGCTTTTATTCAATGGTACACTTTGTCTATGTCAATTCACGTAAATGTCAAAGTTAGTCAAAGTATACATGTTGAAAGACAAATATAGATTTCGTTTACGTCATCTCATTTCATAATTAGTGTTTTTGAGGGTAGTCAGGAAATTTTTTCAAAGTACTGTCACAATAAAAGTGTTAATATCAGGGAATGGTGCTAAAATTGATGGATATTGAAAGAAATGTCGGTTTTGTAGTTGTGAGATCGTTTCTATATTTTTGGCGAATTATTTCAAGCTATACATACTTTTGTAAGGTTACAAGATGTCACCCACGTGGGTATAACTTTACTATGTGATAAATTCATTATATTAAGTTTGTATGAAGTTTTCATATTAATGAGTGTTTATTTTATTCGAAAATATGTTATACATAGACATAAGTTATATTAAGTGTTAAAACGTAAGCTTGCGCGGAACTTAGGTATTATTATTCTAGGCACTTTCAATAATTTTAACACCCGAGGTACAGACGTACACGCAAGCTCACGAGCGTAATAAAATGGCTTCCAATATTGTTTTGCGATCTCACAGCGGGAAAGAAATTGTATCGAAATTTAAACTACAATAAATGTGTGGTTTGTGATATATTTTAGTTTTATTTGCCTATTTTAAACTGTGTTTTATTAAACTTTTTAACGTAACGATGACCATAATTTAAGCCAGATATAGTATGCGTGTGTTACATAGCAATTTTTGAATGGCTTTTATAACAATTGGCAAGTACTTGGCTTCGTACTTATATTCTTAAGGGTTCAAATTCAATTTTTTTTTATATATTTTGAGGGATTGTGAATTTTTAATTTTAAAACTGCCTTTGAATTTTGCTTCGTCAAGATGGTATTGTAAAATTAAACAAAAACTACCCACGTTTTTCCGTTCAGACGACAACAGTTAACTTGAGTCAAAATTTTATATGCAAACGCAAACTACCCACCTCAAATCTGACTTGTTTGCCAGGTACGCACGACCAGCCCGAGTCGCTTTTTACACTTAGAGCAAGCCGCGCACTACAGGTATTTTCTACGTTAATAGTAAAACAACCAACAGACATTTTAACTTTAATTACAGACAACCACAGGACAATTCAGACGCGGATAATTTGAGTACCAGGCTCCCACTTATAACAAAAACCGGAACGCACCTTTTGAACCAACGTATTCACTACGGACTTCTTACTCAAGGACTCTAAAGACGTATAATATACAATATTTGTAGACGGACCACCATTTAATGATTCTTCGACCTTGGAATCTGAACTGGTGGTATCGCTTTTCGAGTATTCCGAGCACTCCGACGGCTGGTACGCTTTTTTGGGTTTGGTATTAATGATACCAGCGCAGCTGTGAAACTTTGAGAACCTCTCGTGTGTGCGATGCTCGACGTTAATATGTAGGCTAAGTTGACGCCTGAAAAGAGTGGATGAAAATAAAAACCCTTAATAGGTTGAAGTGTTGTGTTAAAAATTGGTTAAACATTGCCTAGCATTGCATTTAGCACAAGAGATTCTGGATTCAATTTTTATTTTACTGACAGATACAGATATTTGCTCGCCCCATACCCCGTACGGGGAAAGGGATTTTACATAAACTAAAATTACAATCAACCTCCACTTTTAAAAAGTATTTTCAACTGAAGATATCTATGGCACAGGATATCCAAGGCTGAAAGTGCACTGTGTGTTGTTCCACCGACGACATCATAGAAATTTTACGACAATTCACCTGTTATCAAACTGTTCTCCGCACAATTGGCATCTAATCGTCGAAAAAGATAAGCTCTGCGACACTTCAAATTCATCAGACAACGACGATTTGCCAGACTTCTTCTCTAAAGTTAGAGTTTCCGTCTTACTGCCCTCCGAATCGCACGTCGCAGTGGGCTGTATTGTCTGCAAATTCGACTCGGAGTATTGGTTTTTCTTGATCTCCGTGATAAGGTCGTCTGGGTTGGTGATTTTGTCGAAGAAGGATACGATCTTCTTCAGTTTCTCTTCAGGAATGGATAGGCCAGGATCTGTTTGGGTGACGCTGGCTATCTTCCTTGATTGGCTGAAATGAATCGCCAGACTGAATATTAAAAACAATGCTACTACGAAATATACCTAATGTTCCAAAACTTTTAACAAGGTAGAAAAGTATTATGTAATATAGTTTTATGTAATATTAGTTAATCGTATTTAGATGGTCATTTATTTTTTTATATCTTTAAAACACGTAGGTATGCCAAGATTCTACTTGTAACGACTTGTGTTTTATATTGAAGGAAATAGCCAAGTTGTCTAAACCTTTAAGATACCTAATCATTTTGAAATCTATATAATATTCCTTTGTAATAAATAAAGGCTTACCACACATTATTTGACAATTCCACATTTGCATTTAGCTTAGCGATCCCTAAGTGCTCGTTCTCGTGCATGATCTTGTCGGCCTCCTTTATGAAGCCTTCGTGGCAGTAATGGCAGAAGTACTGACGTTCCGGGAAGTGACAAAGGTTCAGATGGTCGTTGTAATTTATAATACCTGAAAAAATAAAACTCTAAGGTCTAACTTGATACAGTCGATTGATATGGTGATCTTATTACAATGTTTTGCTTATATATAACGCTAGGAGCATAAATGGTGGGAGGTGTCCGACTAACACCACCCCTTATATTAAAACCAAAATTGTAGACAGTTTAGAACAAAATGAACTACTTGGGAGTTTGTATTATATTATAGTTTCCTCCAAAAAATACCACTGTGTAACCTTTATATTACCACCTTTATAATTCAGACATTTCTTCTTGTTCTTTTTGAATTCAACAGAAATACGTATAATTTGATGTAGAAATGTAACTTACTGTTTAATATAAAATATATAATACTTTGTCACGACAAAAAAGTACTACCAACGGCTGGAGAAATTGTCTGCTAAAACGAACTTGTTGTAACTTAAAACGATTAAGGAAGAAGCCTTCTTCGTCTTAAGTCTAAATGGCAATATCTCCCACCCATCAGTAGGTACCTAAACACTTACCATAAAACATCATCCGGCATCCAGAAATAGGACACTGCCGCGGCGTGGACTCCATCAGACAGTTCCTCTGAACACTCTGCACATAAGACAGAATCGCAGGACTCTTCATGTCCCTCAGCATCATCTCCGAACGGGTCTTCTTCGTTCGTCGCCTTCTGAACCTCAGACCGCGTCGTCGACGTCTCTCGAAACACACGATATCATTGTCGCTGGCGTACCCTCGCGTATTGTATGGTACTTCTGGTTTTAAACCGAATATCCTTTGCAAAAAGCACTGAAACCGCGTTGGTCTCCTCTCCTTGTCGTATGGGGCAAACTTGATAACAGATTCTTTTTCACTCTGTACAGAGACATTTTCTTTACAATCTTGCGTAAAACCGTCCTTCTTAATTAAAGTGACGGATGCTTGTTGTAATTCCTTAATAACAGTGGGGATGGTGTCTTCTGATTGGACGGTAACATCCCCATTGGATATTTCAGTTGTGCCTGCGCACGCGTCGGTTTTCGTTCGTCTAGATCGTTTTCTTCGCGTCTTAGTCTCAGCTGGGTATGAGTATGGCTCGGCGTAGGTTTCCGGTAAGATGCCAATAACGCTGGCGTCGTAAATCTGGAAAAGTTTCTTTAAACATTTATACTTCGCTTTCAAAACCTCGTGCTTCTTCTTCGGCACCCACTTGATGACTTCATCTTCGGATTGCTTTTCTTGAATACTGGTCAAAGTTTGTTGCTTGCTCATGACCCGACGGTTCGCTACGATGTGTGACAATATTTTCGTAATTAAGTATATGAGGAACGACAAATACAGCTCACAATTTTCATACGGTATCATAACTGACAAGTGGTCTCGCGAGGAAATGTTTTTCTTGATATTCCAATATTTATTTTAGAGTGCATAATGATACGACATTTTTTGCTTGTTAATTTCCAAAACTGAAATTTCGACAGCGCTACGTCAGCGGTTTTCTTCTTTTATCTTAATGCATAAAATACTTTTCAGTAACTTCTTTATTTGTAAAATGGCGTCTTTGCGTCGGATCTTCCCTTTGATGGCTGACCAAGTGTCCTACTGATGTCATCAATCAGACAATAAGTTGACTTTATAAATTGCGGCCGTCCTATTTTAAGTACATGGAGGCATGTTATGGACTGTTTGTCGTATTTTGTCAGCGATGAGTTTCTTGCTGTTGCATCTCTATCATTTTATGCCCTTCATTTGAATACTGTTATTATTTTGGATCTAAATTGGATGTTCGATCATATTTGTTTGAAACTGTATTGACGTTTATAAGTGTAATTAAATGTAACGTCTAATTTAAAATATTATAATAGTATTCTTCGTACTTCTGTTAAGTGTTTAAGTGTTTCTTTTAAGTGTTTTATTTTGTCCGAATCTCGGGAAAACATATGTTATAAATATCTCAGAAGGGTGCGAATAAAGTATTTAACCACATTTAAACATTTATTAAAAGTTACTATTACTATAATTATTAATTTATTATTCTTTACACTCACATTACATAAACGTTTTTCTGTCATCTGTCAGCCTGTCAACTGTCTGACAGATTAAAAGACAACAACAGAACTCAAACCAATAGATGGAGCTTTTGGAGCTTTACACAAATATTAGCTATAGGTATTTATAAAACGCATTAGCCGTTTCACTATTGATTTTATCGACTACTGCGAAATTATCACTGTAAAGGAAATTAAAAATGTATATAGCGGCACGGATCTTTAGAGCTAGATAAAAAAAGTATCGAAGGGACGGAAGCGGGCGCGGGGCGAGCGGACGCCATGTGCGCTAGCGTTGATTGGTTCCCCAATCGTGTTGTCTTTCTTGGACCAATACGACGCTCCGCGTGCTTCTCGAGTACAGTCACGTTTTCCAATCAATTACACTTCGTTCAGCGCTAAACACCCGTGCCGCGACCTATACGCAGTGAAAAACGGTATATTATTATTACAATTTTTAATAACGTTTTAATACCGTGGACTGGAGTTTGACTCGAAAAAAAAAACATTCACACAAAGCAAACATTTATTACACAGATTTTGCTACTTATATAATATTGATTTATGCTAGTCTCATTTATTATAGTTGACCCCTGAGAACAAGAATACTGTCGAGTATGCCTTACCATACCCCGCGCACAACAGAGGGTTTCCATTAAAATACTTAAAATTCGTTGCCTAAACTAAATTATTTACAATATTAATTTAGACTAGTTTATAAATATTTTGTCTATTTTGTCATTAGATTTTGATAAGTTATGTGTTGTATTTTTGTTATCCAAATGAACCTTCAGGCATTAGAAGAGCTGAAAAAAAGGAAAATAGTTAAAACCAAGAAAAAATACAATTTATATTATAAAAACCTACCTGTTCAACGACATAGGTGTATATACGTGAACGGAAGGTAATATACATAAGCCAATGTAGCCATGTGGTTTTCATGAGTAATACACATTAAGACTTTTAACGGTTAAAAACGCGAAATGTATTGGTTACAAATTACATTATATGCGTGATTTGTAGCCATGGTCAGGGGGAGACTCCGTAGTTAGAATAATTTGTATATATATTTCGCGTTTTAGACCAGTAACAATGTTTTAATTAAATATGCCATATAATATATAAACGAGATTTTATTTCGAATTTATTTAGCAATGAATATTCAGAAAACTTTACGGTTTTTCCTTGTCGAAGTTTAATAGATTACAACAATTAAAATAGCCGAAGCCAATTGAACTAATTAGATAAATATTATTCAAATGCTTACCTGCCACAGATGCATTTAGGAAGCAGATACCACATCCAGCAAAGAAAGCTCGTAACGCCAACTGTGAGAATTGAAAATTTCGATGATTACTTCTACCCATAGACCAGCAAAATGTTTGCCGTAAGAATGTCATCGATTATAAAAATAATATTTTGCCCTTATTTCAAGTGAGGCAAGTGCTTCAGCCCGACGTTTCGGATGCTTTAAAAAAATAATTTTCAAATAAGTTTAACTAATATATCGCGTTTTAAACCCTTAAAGTGTTTTATTTCAATGTGTACTACTCGCGTAAACTATAGACAGTATTTAGTTCACAATTAAATAAAATACTTCGAACGCTTCATAACACGAAATATATTAGTTAACTTTTTTTTATACTAAACTTTCGGATACGTGGTCACGGGGGACCAAATGGAACGTCGGTTAGTATGTTTAAATTAACATAGCAACATATTCCACGTTTGAACCCGTTCGAGTGTTTTGTACAATACATATACTTACAGATGAGAGTGTTTCTCGTTGTTGAGGAGCCATAGCGGCCACGGCACCGATCATGATCCCGGCTGATGATGGATTCGTGAATCCGCATAGGGCATACGTAGCCACCAACTCCGAACGGCCCTTGAAATAAAACATTATATGTAAGTAAAGGTAGAAGACCAAAGTAAATAATCTAAGATGAACTATTGATATCGAAATTGTGTGTGTTACCTACACTACGTAGTCTGAAAATAAATTACGACAGTAACAGGATTCAAAATAATATTAAGCCTTTGTAAACTTTAATGTTTTTCACATTATATAAATTAAAAATCGCAGTCCCATGTCGTAATTTTTTAACAATTTAACATCAATTTTCAATCAATACTAAACTCTTTTTATTTTATTAAATAAATAAATAAAATTAAAAGCTGGTATTCATTACGTTTTTAACTTAATTGTAACATTGTTTACAGGCTATAACAATGATGTGTGCTTGAAACCGAAGCCCCTTTCATATATATTGTATTTAATAACATTTGTAACTATTATTTAAGCTATTCTATTTATTCGTTAATCAAGTTTAAGCTAGAATTTTTGCAAACAGCCAGCTTATTTCTCACCATAATTTAGTCGTGTGATTGTGTAAATGTTACACTGCGTATTTAAAAAAGACATTTTAATTTTTTTCTAGCCTTGTTATGCACGTTTAACTTTATTGCATATAATAAAAGCAATTAAATAAAACAAAAAGTAGGTCCTTAATTTGCTTTCTGTGATAATGTTTAGTTCCCTAGATAAGGTAAAGAAGACGTACAGACATTTATTGATTTACTAATATCATTACTACAGACAGAATTTATACTTACAGACAATAAACCTTCCTTCTTCATTTCCCCCATACGTTGATAAGCCACGAACTCATTGACAACCGTTTTCAAGCCGATAAGGGAACCCACCAGTTCACATTCCTCCCAGGGTACTCCTAAAAAGGAAGCAAGTTTCATTTAGACCTCCAAAAAGACCATTTTTGCCTAATTTGTTTTTTGATACTTTATTTTTTTACGATAGAGGCAATAAGCCCGGGTGTTTAATTCATAGAGACAATATGCGTTATTTTGGCTTTGGATATTCAGAAATAAACAGACTGAACCCGAAACACAATTAAACTTGACGGCTTTTTCATCTGTGGTCAGTCGTGATCTGGACAGAATTTTTTTTTCAACTATTTAACATCCAGATATCCAGAAGAAGTCCAACATGTTTCAGAAAAATTATAAATTATTTGGATAAATGTTGGATCTGATGCGGTTCGTACCATACATTGCTATCATTCCACCTGTTATAATTATTATTTATTATCTGCTGTAAATGTTACATAAATTGATAAATTCAATAGTGCTTTATGGTGCCAATTTAGGGTACGTTCTTAAAGATTAACTAACCCATCATCCAGCATAGTGGAATAAACACTTTCCCCAAAATCCACTCGAGGTTCAAGTCGGGGTTGCCCAAGAGTCCACCGCAGTAACTCAGCACTCCATTGAAAAACGCGACCGCAGCTACAAATGCCACCAGGTTCGCAATGATGTTCAGGACTAGGGCTATGCCATTGGTAGCACCTCGTGTGGCAGCGGAGAGCGCTGACTGATCTTGTCTGAAAGAAATTATAAGTCTTCTATTACCTTATACCAACGTGCCCCTCAAAATTAGCCTTGTTGTTTATTGTGAAACATATAAGACTTCGTCTGGAAATATGGACATTAAATGGATAATAGTGATAACGAAATTTCGCCCGGAACCACAGATGAGAATGCCTGGTAATTTCTACGCGCTACGGTTTCAGTATGTAAATGCTCAACATACAAAGCCACAATAGGGCACCGTGAACTCCGTGCTTGTCTGTCCTCCTCTATTACAAAAATGTATTTAAATATCGCTTCCGCTAAAACCTCCCCCCCCCCAAGTTACCTTTCCACCTGCTGAATGTTATCAACTCTTGTCAAGGATCTCCGCGTCTCTGGCATTAGAAGTTTCGAGTAGCAGATAGCTGCTGGGGCTGACATCACACTTGCCGTCACCAGGTGTGCTGGTTCAGCTCCGAATCCTATGTATGCTGCCAATATCGTACCTGGAAGAAGTAACATAATATTTTTCATTATTTTTAATTGTTCATCTATAAGTTTTATTTTACTTATGTAAGCCATGCCTGTGGTGTTCGTTAAGTTATATACATAAATATATTATTTGTGTAGTTAATAAAACACCAGATATAACGTTAAATTTTTAGATACTACTCAATATTTTATTTAATTTTTCACCAATAGATTAAGTTATAATGAATATTAATATAACATGAAGTATATGTTTAGTTATAAAGAACATGCTTCATTTGTTTTAATTGTAAAGATCCTTTAAAATTACATTTAACGGTTTAAAGCATAAACATAATATTGACTACAGCCCGACATTGAAGATGGAGGAACGGGATCCAGGTGAAACTGAAGATGGACACTCTCTTACTCTAGTTCCCGAGACTACGGCTGCTGCAAAGGAACCGAAACGTCGGATCGTAGATGACATAAATTTAAATATATAGCATATATATTTCGCGTTTTAAATAGTTGAAAGTGTTTTAATTAAATGTGTTCTATTTGTGAAAAGTACATACAAGACTTGGAAAGATCCTGTTTAAATTTCGTTAAAAAGCCGTAAGCAACGGCTAGTATTTATATTAGAAAGTTTGTAAAATACTTACTTACCAGAAACTGTAGCGAATCCAGAAGATAGAATAACGTGGAGTTCAGATGGCGTTAAAAGCGGCAAGTAGGGCTTGACCAGAAGGATTGATTCTGACTGAAATCAATACATAAATTTGTTTAATACTTTGTAGAAATAACGAATCTCCAAAGCAAACATAAAAATCACAGAGCGCAGGGGCCTTAACACTGTGAGCAATTTCTTGCAGCCAAACAGAAATATATGCGAAAGTACTTATTCCTAAAAATTTAAATTAAAATAATAGAAAATAGTTCTAATAAAGAATGACTATTGTTATTTTTAAAATAAAACTCAAGTCGGGTCATAACAAATACAACAATTTGTTATGACCCGACATTTTAGATCTACATCAGCCGTTACTGGGCGTCAGCCGCCGAAGATGGAAGGTGTCCTTAATGTCATCAGCAAAATCAACAACGCTAGCGCCATCTGCTTCGTCTTAATTGATATTTTTAGTAAATTAGGGTCCTTACAGATCCGTCCTAGTTAGAAGAGATGACAAAAACACGTTTCAAACCGTTAACTGTTGTATTTACAAGTAAAATTATATTATTCTTAAATTTTGTCATTCATTAAATAAATCGCATTCCCTCTAAATAAATCTATCACACATAGGTCAGCTAGTGAATCAATTTTGTTTTCTTTCAACGAAATTTGATACCATATAATATATATTGTCGTGGAAACCTTCACAGATTGGTAATTTTCAGTTTTTCCCACATTTCCTTATGTTTCTTTGAACATTATAATAGACATACCATTCCGAGGAAAATATTTCCCACGGCAATGACGCTCTCACAAACAGTGGTGTTGGTCGCGGCTCGAAGCAGATGCCCCAGCTTCAAGCAGAACCACTGAAGCGCGCCCCAAAAGAACAGCACCTCCACTAACATACTGAAGAAGAAAATTACTGGTAGGGTCTGAAAAGAATATGAAATGTATCTAATATTATATAATTTGGAATATCAGAGTTGGGACTTAGTCCCAGCGTAACTGAGTGGCTTCCTTTTCAAAGGCTATTTACTGTCGCATTTAATTAAAATATAAATTAAATTTGTATTTACTTTGATGTTATTTGTTAGATAAAGTTTTAATGATGTGTTTCTGAAACGTATTTGTATTCTAAATACAATTTGAAACCGCAATACCGGCACCGTAACGTGTTACATAACGGGGCGGCTTCATCAGTTATCAAGGAGTTTCAAACCCAAACCCAAACGTACTTACACTAAAAGCAAAAACTCCCTCAGTCCTGACTAGGAGATCTCCAAATACAAATGCAGCACCATCCACTCCGTATGACAAAAAGGTGGCTACCTAAAAAAATATATTAAAAAATAATATTTTTAACACGTTCCACGGTATATCAAATGGTCAAAGCACGCGTGGATGCCGGTTCAAGTCACGATCGTGTTAAATTTTTTTTTATTTGTTATTGGTATTCTTATGAAACATACTAAACGTAAGACTAAGATTTACAAACCTTTTAAATAAACACATTAACAGTTTAAATAAAACACTTTAACGGTTTAAAACGCGATATATTAGTTAAACTTATTTGAAAATGATTTTTAACTTCGGCCCGACGTTTCGGATGCTTCGCAGCAGCCGTGGTCGCGGGGAGACGTCGGGCCGAAGTTAAAAATCATTTTCAAATAAGTTTAACTAATATATAGCGTTTTAAACCGTTAAAGTGTTTGATTTAAATGTGTACTACTCGCTTAAACTATAGACAGTATTACATTAACAGTTTAAAACGCGATTTAAATATATATCGCGTTATGTTTTACTAGCTGAGTCAGCGACTTCGTCCGCGAATTCATTATTTTGGGCATCCAAATACGTTTTTGCAAACCCTTTCATCTTTATAACCCACGCCGTCGGTCGCGTCCCTTCCCGTCGTTCTTGTAAGTTAATCTTGAACAGTTTTTTCTCGGAAACCCATAATGATGAATAATTTTCCCAATTTCATTCACATTTCCCGCTGTATATTCGCTTCTACTACAAGTCGCAATGTTTTATAGCCTCGATAAATGCTCTAACCAACTCAAAAAGCATTATCAATTCGAATACGTAGTTCCTGAGATTAGCGCGTTCAAACAAACAAACAAACTCTTCAGCTTTATATTTTAGTATGGATATAGATTCAAATATACTACTCGGCTAGTTTCCTGACAGTATCTACAAACCTTATTCGAAAAACATTGTAACGCTAGTCTCCCAGTGTCCCATCGTATAAAAATTAATCCGAACAAGAATTGTATAAGTAGACCCATAAGCACTGTGCGGAAGTTCACCCGTCCTGGATGAGCCGAAAATATAAATCCTGGGAACAAAAGATTACTTGTAAACCTATTATTCCTTTAAACTTTATTTATTTCACAGAAACTGATTGACTAAACTTCATGGCTATTTCATCTGTGTACGATGGTCCGTGAGTTCGTGGTTTACATTTCTATAGTCCTACTTTAAAAGAAGGATTTAATTAGAAATTGATTAGAAATATGTTACCGGGGATCGAACTCATGGCCTATTCATTGCTATAATTTGGCCAATGGACCCGTCATGATATTTTATTTCACCGGAGAAACCGTATGAAACTTGACACAAAGTTAGTGGTGCATAATCGAGGTTCGAACTCACGACTTGACATATACCGCTCTAATACATCTCTCGGTTTGCATATAAAATTTATTACATAACACAATGTCGGGTACACACCAACAAAGAGTAAGAAAGCCATGGCTATGAGCGGCGTCAAACGGTCGGTGGCGCCTCTCGTGTCGAAATATAGAAACACTCCAATGGCTGCTAATGTTGCAGCTGAGATCAGCCATGGAAACCAACTGTGAAAAAATACATAAACAATTATACACATACTTAAAACTTAGCAATCTAATAAATACTAATATAATAATCTTTGGGGCTTATGTTGACGAAATGAGAGGGTCAGATTTTATGTATAAATAAGTTGAATATTTTTTTAATTAAATGACACGCACAGATATCGAAGCCGCGACCAGTTTGAGTGACCGCCTCTAACTACTATAAAATATCTAAAAAATCTTAATACTGAAGTAACTTTTGACTTAATCCTGTCGATTCGGACCCGACACCTCGCGGTCTACAAACGAACACTAATCACTAGACTAAGGAAGCAGTAATTTTCTGAGTTTATTCTTTAATCGAAAAATGTATTAACACATTTCTTAACCGACTTCAAAAAAGTAGGTTCCTAATTAGAATTAGTTATATTTTAAATTTAATTTCATACTTTGTAGAATAGTAAAATGTCTGTATATTATGTTTACAGACATATGAACGAAAAAGACTGTCCCTTTCTAATTGTATGGCAAAGAAAAGAACAGCATCACTCCTTACAATTTAGTACTTACACAAACTTCCAAAGCGGACTAGTCGCTTCCTCTATTCGATTCCAAATAACTCGCTCAAACCATTTTCCAAAAAACCTCTTGACGATTTGAAAATATATTATGAAGAAGTACACTATGCTAAGGAAAGCTATAAGACTTCCGAAACCGTAGCATAACTCTAATGGTTCATTACCTACAAAAATTAAAAATAAAACCTTTTCAAACTGCTTTAAAATATAATTTTGTAATCGCCTTCCGATATATAAGAATGGGCTAGACTCAAAAATTATTTATTCACTCAGAACAAATTTAAATTAGTTATATTTAAAATTGTATTAAACACACATGTAAACGCACCTTATAAAACAAAAATCGATTTTAGACTGAAAAAAAAATACGACACGGGCAGGACTTGAACCGGATACAGCGTTTCGTGCTATTGCTATAACAAATTGAGCTATCGTGTCCTACACGTCATCTTCGTCATTCTTTCGCCTATTGATAAGGGGAGTCGCCTCTATCAATAGGTTGTAAAAATTCGACTAATTCAATCTTTAAAATTTTATAATATCTAGAAATTTGAAATTGAAAACAAACAAAAATATAGAAAGATGACATTTTAAACGTCAACATAATATACTCACTGTAATTCAGCCAATAATACAAACAGCCGAAAAAGAATCCTATCACTATGCCGTTAAGGATGAAAATCAATATGACCTTCATCGCGGAACTGTTTTCCTTCACGAAAGTCTCCGTGGAACTGCCTATATTGGACATGGTCTTCTCAAACCAGCCGGACGGCACGTATTCTAACTTCTCGTGCATTATCTGTAAATGTCGTTGTGCTTTAAAAGTTAAGCGGATACAGATATATGTCTACCCCATGCAGACGTATGAAGGCAAGAACCATTGATAGAGGGGAACAGACAAGCATGGCGTGATTTAACCATTTGATGGAAAGTAAAATACTCGGGAAATATAACATCTAAACATGATGCAGAGTCGACTTATTTTGGCTTTGCATATGCACAGACTGAAACCGAAGTACGATCCAACTTGCATTTTATTTTTAATGTGTGGACGGCTGTTTTTACCCTGACGGAATTTTGAATATTTCTAAAATGCATTTAGTATCCAGATTTCGGCTAGATCAAGTAATTTTAAAATGAATGATAACTCAAAACATGCGCTACGCTATCTTTTTCTTAAGCACTGTCTGTAGTTTACGCGAGTAGTGCACTTTTGAATAAAACACTTTAACGGTTTAAAACGCGATATATTCTAGTTAAACTTGTTTAAAAACTATTTTTAACTACGGCCCGACGTTTCGGATGCTTTGCAGCAGCCGTGGTTATGGGAAGACCTTTCAAGAGTTGTCAAACAAGTTTAACTAAAATATATCGAGTTTTAGCCGTTAAAGTGTTTTAAATATATTAAATAAAATATCGTTATCTTAGTATCAAAATATTAAAGTTTGACTTCACTAAAGTTGTATCTAATTTATTCCGCCTAAATACTAAATAAATAACAAACGATGTGTGTATTCACATTGTTTTAGATTCTGGAGCAATCTTGTAGTTTTATTTCGTTACAAATTGTGCACATAGACGTAATATGAGAAACTTACGCGTGAACTAAGTAATTTTAGTAAATTACAAGTAATTTGACAACATTTAAATTGAGAACGACTTAGTTAATTGAAAAGAGAGATAGTTCGTTATGTAATGTAGATTAAAAGACCCTAGTTGCATTTAAGGAAAATCTAATTTATATAATATTTCGATGAATTCGTCATTACCGTCTATTAATAGCTTGTTTAAATTAACTTTCTTACTAACTTTCATTAAGTATCTTATTAATACATTACTATTTGTAAAGTTTATTACAAAAAGTAATTTATTAATAAGGTATTTAGTATTTTCTTCGCAATTAAGTTCAATGGCTCGGAGTTCCTGGGTTCAAGGTTGGGAAAACAAAATATTGACGGACTTAATGCTCTAATGGTTGCGATGCAAGTAACGAGTGGGTTCGCTCCCCATCAGGTCCAAAAGATTTTAATCACTTAATGATTTTTTTAAACATGTTGGACTTCGTCTGGAAATCTGGTATTTAAAACAAGTTCCGTCCGGGCCACGAATCACCGCCCACATGAAAAAGCCGTGAAGTTGATTCGCGTTTCGGTTACAGTCTGTGGATTTCCGAATATCCAATGCTAAAATAGGCCGACAGCGCATCTTTTAGAGATACGTTACGGCTGGGGCATTTCATCTAACATACCGGTAGATACGGGGACAAAATTCTCATCAACTTCTCTGTTAATAAATTTGATCACAGAATCTTCTAGAAAATAAGTTAGAATAGATTTAATACTAATAGGAACATTTTCGGGTAGGCTTGGACACTTCGCTTCACACACGCTTCTCTTCGTTATAAATACAATTAAAAAACGGACACACAAGTATGACATACGCATGTGTATTTTTATGACGATAGTGGCTATAAGGAGAATGTTAAATACTGTCTATAGTTTACGCGAGTAGTACACATTTAAATAAAACACTTTAACGGTTTAAAACGCGATATATTAGTTAAAAGTCGGGCCGAAGTTAAAATCATTTTCAAAGAAGTTTAACTAATATATCGCGTTTTAAACCGTTAAAGTGTTTAATTTAAAAGGAGAATGTTATTTAAAATATGTAGTGTATACCTCCATTCCATTTGTATCACCATTTTTCTTCTGCACATCTGTTAACTCAACAGCTACATCACCTGCATCGGCCTTCTGGAAGTAATAATAAACACGTCACAACCAGGAAAAACTTGCAATCTACTTATTTTTCAATAACAAATAAATAGCTTAAAAAAGAATTCTTACAATAAAATTGTTTTATTTGTATGCAGTAAGAATCAAGTTGAGCAAGAATGTATACAATTAGAATAACTAGTTTTTATCTTTAGGGTAAGTACTGCGTTAAGCGTCTTATTCAACGTTGGAAATATATATTTTTTAATTTTAATTATTTAATTATAGTCTTTGTCAGTTTAGTTAACTATCTATTAGTAAACTATCTATAGGTATTTGGACTACATCTATTCAATTAGATTTTTAAGTGAGCACTTAAAAATATAATTTGCTGTAAATATTTCTATGTAGATATTTACTCTTCTATTGACTTTTCGTCATAACTTATTTAAGATATGACGGTAATATGAAAGTTTAAATAAAACAAGATCAAATTTTCGGGTGCGCCATGATCACGGCTGCTGCGAAGCATCCGAAACGTCGCGCGGTGGTTAAAATAATTTGTAAATAAGTTTAACAAATATTTCGCGTTTTAAACCGTTAAAAGTGTTTTATTTAAATGTATACTGCTCGCGTAAACTACTAACAGTATTTGACATAAAAGACACAGCTACATTCCTTTCATTTAGATAGTATTGTTATTTGTTAATCATTTATGAATTATTTTATTGACATATCTGAATGACGTCATATGTATCCGTCATTTTCTTAACATTTATGGTGGCTTATAATGGCGGCTGTTACCCCAATAAAACTAAAACAATAAAGATTACTGTTCACGACCAATTTACTGTTATCGACTTAGAACAGCTGATATAACATAGCAATGTTTTAAAGAAACATTTGTCAAATAAAAACATGGAAATTCTGAAAATGTTATAATACAATGCACTAAGAGACCCGGCAAACGTCCCTTTGCAATATGCAGTATTTCGACCAAAATTTGATTACCATAAAAACGATTTTTGTGCGATACCTAATCTAAAAGGTCAGACGTAAACCATCGCGTACATTTTTTTAGATTATTCAAAGAAGAATAACTCATTATATGTACATATATCTTGAGTATCTTTGCGCATGAAGCGGAAACCTTCAAGGATGAGTGCTTTTCCTGGTTCCTTTATATTTCCCCCTCTTTTTTCACTCCTATTGGACGTAGCGTGATGTTTAATACTCTAAAACCTTCTTCTATAAATGTTCTAACAAACACAAAAATAATTTTTCAATTTGAACCAGTAGTTCCTGAGATTAGCGCGTTCAAACAAACAAAATCTTCAGCTTTAATATTAGTGTAGATTTAACTCACGCAAATCGAATACTGTCTGTAGTTTACGCTGCGTAAACTAGGATGTAGTACACATTTAAATAAAACACTTTAACGGTTTAAAACGCAATATATATTAGTTAAACTTGATTAAAAATTATTTTAACAACAGCCCGACGTTTCGGATGCTCTACGGTGGACGGATGATCGGGACGCTTTTTAAAATAATTTAAACTTTAACTAATATATATCGCGGTCTAAACCGTTAAAGCGTATTTAAATCACACAAATTGTTTAAAGGCTGGTAATAAATCAAGTAACTGCTCCTTGCTTATTTGTTCTTATAACTTCCAACGAATAATGGTGTAATTATAAAACTTGTTTGTCAAAATTTCGCTGTGCAGTGCGGAACCAGTTTCGAGAATAATTATTGTTCCTGGAGTTATCTACCTGTTGTTCTGGGTATTTTGTACCTTGGACATTTTTCCACGAGGGAAATATAAGGCCAAGTTAATTTGATAGGCTCTTTGGTGTAAGGTGGTCGTGGGTTTGATTCGGGTACAACATTTTTCTAATAGATTTATTATCTCTCTGAAACATGTTCAGACTTTGTTTGGAAATCTGGATATTATATGGGTGGTAGAAATATGAAAATTCCGTCGGGGTCACGAACCACCGTCCACAGATGGTTTCAGTCTGGATTTCTGAATATCTAAAGCCAAAAAAGGTCGACATCGCGTCTTTTTTTTAAATGCCATGGGCCGGTTTACGCAAGTACTACACATGTATGATCGATTTTTAATTTGTATATCAAGTGCTTGTCTGTCGTCCTCTATAATTAAAGAAACTTCTTAACCTTAGTCTGACATTATTGTACAACGAAATAAATTTTTATAATTATGTTTTGCATTATTCTTACGTTCATACAATTGTAAAAGATAATTCGTAATAATGCATTTATTTGGACCAAATTCGATTACGATAAAAACGATGTTTGCATGTTAATCTTAAAAGATAGGCATTAGATGTTTTTTTTTATTTTATTTAAGAGGAGTCTCATTTGAAACACATAGTTTTGGTTTCTTGAACCATTTTCAAACCGAACCTAACGCAAGTCCTCAAAGATGTATAAGTTTTTCCCGTGCGCAGTGCCTCATGATTACTTGGCTCCTATTGGTCGCTCGGTGGTTATAGTCAATTTAAAACTATTTTTCATCTAGAACCAGTACTTTCTGAGATTTGAGTTTAAACAAACTCTTCGGCTTTATTATCTGTACTAATATTATAAAGCTGAAGAGTTTGTCTGAATTGATAAAATATTTCGTGTTGGCAAAATTTATGCTAGTAAGCTATAAAATGCTGCGACCAACGCGAAAAAAAAAAAAAATTGTGGAAAAAATGCGCGTGCGCTGCGAATGCAATAAATACCGAACAAATATATAAATAATTATTGTCCTTTACATAAACTTCTGTCACGGAAGATTTTTAAACCCTCCAGGTATATTTAGGACTCACAAGAACACTTTAATATTTTTCAGGTCAGCTAGTATGAGTATACATGTCATACTTTGACAAATGAAAATCGATGCAAAGCAAACGAATACAGGTCAATGTCTGTTTGAACAGGATTTAAAATACAGTCTGTGGATAAGACTAATTTCTCTAATCGTCTAATGCCTAGCCCTGAGCTAGTAATTAGAGACATGTTATTGTTTAAACGTGTTGTTTTCTGTTTGAACGCACGTCCTACTGTCATACTAGATAGAGTAACTACAGTGTTGACTGTAGTTTACGTAAGTAGCTCACATTAAATCTATATACTTATATATAAAGCTGAAGAGTTTGTTTGTTTGAACGCGCTTATCTCCGGAACTACTGGTTCGAATTGAAAAATTTTTGTTGTGTTAGTACATTTGAGAAAAGCTATAGGCTATAAAACATAGGCCAGAGACGAATTGAAGCGGAAGAAACAGCGGGAAATGTCGATCAAAACTGGGGAAAATCTCCTGTGGGTTTCAGATTCCCAACGCGTAACCGTAGGTACTCTGCGAAAACGGTTTCCAAAAGACACCCACAAAATATGTATGAAACAATGATTTCTCTTTAAAGAACTAAAAGTCCAGGACAGTGTCTACCTTTAAAGATGAACTTGCAAGAACGACGGGAAAGGACGCGACCAAAGTCGCGGGCAACAGCTTAAGTTTATAAAGAGAGAAGGGGTTTGAAAAAACGAATTTGGCTGCCCAAAACTAAACTACTCTACGCGGACCAGTTAGTCTGTAATCGGGAGACCGGGAGTCGACGTAACAATACTGCAGGTTAGCATTTCTCAGTAGACATGTCAAGCTTTGAGCAAAACAACGTCTTGTGATTCTAAGAAATATGAACCGAGTTCTTTATTTGGGAGAAACATTTAGTTTTATTGTAGGATGTATTATGTAATGAAAACTTTATTTACGATGCATAAAAATACGACACGATTAGGACATGAACCGGCAACTTTTCGTGCTGAACTCAACGTTTATATTACAAAGCTGAAGAGTTTGTTAAAGGAACTACTAGTTCGAATTGAATTATTTTTTGTGTAGGTTACTGCATTTATCGAGGAAGGAGGCTTTAGACCATAAGATATAAGGCTGCGACAGTGGAAAATGTGGAAAAAACGGGAAAAATTATAATAAAAATTCTTGTAGGTTTCCGTTGCGCACGCTGCGAAAACAGTTCAAGGTACCGAAAAAAATATTTATGAAAGGATGATTCTTTAAGTGGTCTTAAAAAAATGTCCCCGACAATATATTATGTCTATCTTTTAACAATTACTTGCAAGAACGACGGGACGCGAACGATGTCGCGGGTAAAAGCTATAATTTATAAAGATGAGAAGGTTTGCAAAAACAAATATGGTGCCCAAAATTCTACGCAGACGAAGTCGCAGGCGGAGCTAGTAAAAAATTACTTACAACACTTCTCTTTCGTGTCTCGGATGAACCTTCCATATTTGGTCGCGAACGTTTCTCGTTTCAAAATATTTTTAACTTGCAGTTAGTTACAAGAGCGCGTACATGCGAAGGACATTTGATCTGAAACAAAAACATTTAATTATAGAAAAGGGAACTTAATTATTCGTTGTATATAATAAATATGTATTGCTAATAATCAAAGAGTGGGTTCGATCTCCACCGGGTGTAACATGTTCCTAATCATTTAAATAAAACACTCCAACGGTGTAAAACTTTAACGGTTTATAACGCGATATATTAGGTAAACTTATTTGAAAACGATTTTTAACTTCGGCCCGACGTTTCCAGTCTCCCCCGTGACCACGGCTGCTGCAAAGCATCTGAAACGTCGGGCCGAAGTTAAAAATCATTTTCAAATAAGTTTAACTAATAGATCGCGTTTTAAACCGTTAAAGTGTTTTATTTAAATGTGTACTACTCGCGTAAACTATAGACAGTATGTTCCTAATCAATTTATAATTTCTCTAAAACACGTTGGACTCTGTCTGAAAATGTTGATATTAGATGGGTAGTAAGAGTATCACAGTTCTGTCTGGGTCACGAGCCATGGTTTATAGATGAAAAAATGTATGTTTAATCGGTTTCAGTCTGTGGATTTTCTAGTATCTAAAGTAAGGCGACGCCGACATTACATCTTTTTGTGATGCCATGTGACTAGGTAAGGATGTTATCTGGAATATAGGTAACAAAGGAGAAGGGAAGAAGAAATCAATCTATATATATTAGTCAAATTCCTGTCCTGTCTACTAATCAATTGAATTTTAAAAGCAGTTGAGACATCTGTGCCCTGCCCGACCGAAACGCAACAAAATGTTTTCCCGGACTTCGAAGCCAAGGCTCTCGCGATAACGCGTTTATTGAACCCAATGGTAAGGTAAGGATTACTTAATAATATTCTACTTTTTACGAGAACCATGTAAATAATACACAGATAAACTTTTGTTGCGACACTAAACCGGATAAAATTGGTTTCAGCAATCTACACGCCAATGATAAAGTGACGCCACAGCATTTATAAAATAGTAGAAAAATACAATTTATTTATTTAACTTAAAAATATTTTTCTAATGATTTTTTTTTATAATTACACATAAATTACAATAATAATTCGTTTTCGTAAAATTGTGTAGGAAGTACACGTATCGGATGCTTTGCACGTGACCCCCGCAAAGCATCCGAAACGTCGGGCCGAAGTTAAAAATCATCTTCAAATAAGTTTAACTAATATATCGCGTTTTAAACCGTTAAAGTGTTTTATTTAAATGTGTAGGAAGCTAAAGTAATTTTATTTTTTAATTTCCAACTATATTTCAAAAAAACAAAACAATTTTTTTTTATGATGTCGAAGTCTTAAAAAACGGTCAAGTGCGAGTCGGATATACATGCAAAAGGTTCATTAGATTTATTTAGAGTTATTCTGCGGCTTACAGTAAATTAATTAATTTCCCAACATTATTTCTTATAAAACGACCAATATATTATGCAAAATCTCACTGTTTATACCTATAGATGGCACGTGTTATCCTACCTTGGAGATAGATAAGTAATCGATACCAAAATTATTATTATTGTTCTTATCACATTGTAATTTTTACGAGCTGCGTTACAAGAGTAACGCTAATCAGGCGACATTTTAACAAAAGCCGTGAAATTTGCTTTATACTAAGTCATATATTAAGGAATATAAAACTTTTTGTGGTTTACGCGAGTAATACGCAATTTAAAAAAACACTTTAACGGTTTAAAACGCAATATATATTAGTTAAACTTATTTTCGGGGGAGTCTCCCCTTGACCACGGCTGCCGCAAAGCATCTGAAACGTAATTTTCCAATAAGTTTATCTAATATATATCGCGTTTTAAACCGTTAAAGTGTTTTATTTAAATGAATACTCGACAATTCTTATTAATAATGCTATTTGGTATCCTGGGATATTGCGCAAAATATTTAATACGAATATATTTTTAAAGTAACAAAAACATTGTCAAAAACTATGGAATTATCTAATAATGTATACTAAAGGCTTATTATTATTATATATTAATATATATTATTATATAATATTTTTATCATTATTCATGGAGCTCAGTGCAGCTGTGGCAATATTTACGAGAAGATTGGAAGTAACTGGAGCCCGATTATTTAGGTAAAAGAGAAGTAATTAGGTATCAGGCCTATTTAAATGATATTATACTTTTTGGTACTAAATATTTTTTACTAATTACAACGATTCAAGTTGTAGTTGTAGACATACATATTAATTTATAAAGAGTTGGTACTTCTTACTTGCATAGATTAGAGGAAGTAAGTTAAGTCTAAACTTTTCCGAAGGTTTCGCATAGTTCCACTTGTTTAAGCTGACCTCGCACAACGCAACAAACCGAGAATAAAGTTATCCGCGAGACACGTTGATATTATAATATTAAACTAGCTGTGCCTGCGACTTCGTCCGCATATAAAATAGTTATTTAGGGCGTCAAGTTTGTTTTTGCAAACCTCCTTCTCATCTAGACAATTTTTAATCCACATCATCGCCCGTGTCTCGTCAATCGTCTGTCTCGTCATAGTCGTGGAATCATTCCTTCGTAAATATTTTTTTGGTATCTTGAGCCGTTTTTGCAGCGTACGCCTCGGAAACCCATAATGATAAATAATTTTCCCAAAAATATTCACATTTCTCGCTGTATTGTGTATTACTCAAAGGGCGTCCTTGATAAATGCTCTAACCGACACTTTAAGAATTGTTTAATTCGAACCCGTAGTTCCTGAGATTAGCGCGTTGAAACAAACGAACAAACAAACTCTTCAACTTTCTATTAGTATAGATTCATTTGTTTCTTTAAACCTTAAAAATAATCGAAAATATTAAGGAAAATATACTTTCATACAAATGGAATTTCCATTGAATATCTTGCATTTTTTAACATAAATTGATCGTGTTTTTTTCCTTATAAAAACAACACAAGGCTTAGATAGTTTACTAGTACAAATATTAGGACCTTTTTAACGTTGTATATTTAAGGTAACTCTCTCGAAACTCCTACGCAGTAAATTATACATTACAATTTACTACCTTTAAATTACGTATATAAACAGTTTACGCGAGTAGAACACATTAACGGTTTAAAACGCGATATATATTATTTAAACTCATTTGAAAATGATTTTAATTACGGATGTTTTGGAGACCGGATGCTTTTGAGCCGTGGCCACGGGGAGACTGTCGTAGTACATATATATTTCTCTCCTACTATTTGTTGTCAATCTTCTCATTTACAAATATTTTGTATGAGAGTAGGTTAATCATAAGATTTCTATGTATTTAGCACGAACAGTGTAGATCTGATTTACATCTCGAATTCTTAATAAATCATACTTATATAAGGGACTCATAATAATTATAATATTATCTATTAAAATAGTATTCATTTACATAAGTAAATAACATAAAAGCAAATTTAAAATATTTACCCAACTGCGTTTAAATTTAGTCTTTAAAAATGTATCACACAAAAGCACGACACACTTACCATATCTCGTAATTCGAAATTTCTCCTTTAGTCCTTTTAACTTTCACTAGAGATACGTAACTCGGTTGACTACTGTGCGTGTGTCTATAGTACTACAGTTTCTGTTATCTTGATAACAGAGATATCACGACGTTATTTGAAAGATGTCAACACGTCTTTGTACTACGAATGTCTGATTTCAACTATTGTTTAACCGGCGTTGTGTTTGCAAATGGCCTGTTGATCCATGTATAATCAACGGGTTTGATTTCTATGGCATGAACTTTATCTTGAATCCCGTCTTCTACGATTGGTATCGGAATAGTGTTGTTTAGTGTTTAAATTGAATACTAGCTTTACTAAAGATGACTGACAGATGGACAACTTTTGACCACATTTTTCCACTCTTGAAATAATACCGAAAAGATCTATGTTACATCTCTGGTCTTTCAAACCAAAAAATGCCTTCGCTTGAAATTGACCCCTCTACGGAATCTCCAATGCTGTATTTATATCAAATTTATTACAAAATAAAATTGTCTCTCTCTAGTTATTATACAAAGTAAGTTTCCGTATCACATCCAAACATCCACGCAAACCCCACATCGCACTCCAAAGAACTGTTTTTGGTGGTAATTCATTACATAGTACAAGTACTAGTAGTCAAGTTGTACATGAGCATGTTGCAATTATGTTGTGATTTAATTGACATATACCTGGACCTCACCCATCAAACTATGCAGCTTGCTGTAAAATGTGGAATACGAGTAGTACGCATTAAAAGAAACACTTTAACGGTTTAAAACGCGACACTTATTTGAAAATTGCAGCAGTGCAGAGCATTTTATGTTACTTGGATAGATCTACTTGTTTAATCTTATCTCAGACAAAGCAACATTGAACATTTATTATCTTTGTTAGTTAAATTTTAAATACTCGCAAATAAAACGAAAAAATAACTCAATAGCATATGTATCAGATCATTAAGTAAAATTTGCATAAACTATCTTGCATTTATTTAACATAAATTGATCGTGTTTATTTATTTATCCGTTTTTTTTTATATTCAAAATTTTACATTTACTCATTAAAATTATTTACATAGAATGATTTTTTGTTGACGTTTTGCAAACTTTCACCATCTATACAAAATGCCCGTGAAATGGCAAGGGGCCTTTTTACAATTCTTTTACAATAGTATTCCGAACAGTTATACATATTATTAGCTTTATTAGCATATAATTATTTTAACTCCAAATCTATTTTAAAGACTAATTTGATAGGACAATAACTTGATTGGGGGTTTTCACATATTTTCATCAGGACATTATGCTTAGCTGTGTACCTGTTTAAGTAACGTTTGCGAGCTTTAAAAGATAGGTTATATGGAAATTTACGTTTTATAAAAAAATATGAAATTTCAAGATCAATCATATCGTTCCAAAAACAATTTTGAGTCCCAAGAAGAACCTTTTAATCCTACAAACTTTATAATTTACCAGTTAAATAAAACACTTTAACGGTTTAAAACGCGATATACTTATTAGTGCAGCAGCCGTGGTCACCCCCGTGACGGCTGCTGCAAAGCATCCGAAACGTCGGGCCGAAGTTAAAAATCATTTTCAAATAAGTTGAACTAATAAATCGCGTTTCAAAGCGTTATAGTTGTTTTATTCCAATGTGTACTACTAGCGTAAACTACAGTCAGTATTTATTTGATATTGTTGAACACCCGATAAAACACTTGTCCCCACACAAAAATTAAGCTTGTAATTTATTTTCGGACATGTATTTATTTCATAAAAGTGTGGTTTTGAAAACTTACAATAACACCTTCGCTTCGTATAGCTTACTGACTCCTGTTTCGCATTGGGGCATGGGACCAAGACAAACACATTCCACTGATACAATAAAAACAAAACTCTAATTAAAAACTGATATTTATTTAACATTCAACACGTACAACAAGAATAATACTTTTATTAGCTTAAATTATATTATAACATTACATTTTTAAAAACAATAAATACCTAAGGAATGAAACGTAAAGAAATTGTTTGAAAATTTTATTTTTTATAACGCAGTGCGATATACTTTGGTTAGTATAAAATTATTTTTTTAAGCTAAGTATACATATATAGATTGAATAACAAATACAAGATAACGATGTAAAGATCTATACAAGATAACAAAAAAAAAAATTGAATTTCAACATGTCAAAAATAATCTAACGGGCAGTTGGTGTAGTGGTAGCAGTGCTTGGGGGCAATCAACAGGTCGTGGATTCGATCTCCACCAGGACCAATGTATCTACTCAATTTATAATTTTTCGTTTCGTTTGAAATTCTTGAAACGGGTGGTAGGAATATCGAAATTACATCTAGGTTACAAACCACCATCCACAAATTGAAAAGCCATAAATTTAATCATTCGATTTCAATCTGTAGATTTCCAAATATCCAAAGCCAAAAATAAGTCGACATGTTATATCGATCTTTCGATATGTTACATGGCTGGGGTATATTATCTTCCATGAAGTGAATTCTATTATTAAAAATTGATTCATTCATAACTAAACTACTTTTGTAAAGTGCAAATAAGACCTTTAAAGAAAATAGTACATCTGAAAAATTCTTGTTATTGATACCTTGACGTAGATTAGTAGACAACATCAATACATAAACGAAGAAATTGTGAAAATAGTTAACATCTTAAATATACACTCGCGGCTATTTGGGTTTCCAGTTTTCCGGCCGTCGTATTTGTGAAATGCTTTTTGACGTTTCGCCATCACTAAGGAATGGCATCTACACGTGTTGAGCTAAGAATAGCCTCAAGAACCCAAGTTGCCAAATTGCCTATGACGATGAACCAGCAAAATCCAAAGTTTCTTCTCATCCCTTCTTTCTGTTAGTCCGTCTTATTGTAAAGCGAAAGTGCTATATACGTAAATAAGCCCCATTTGACTACAAGTTTTGCATTCATGTTATAAAAAACATAATATTTAGTCTTAAGTGACATTCACTTTTACTTAATTTTTATTCTGTTTATCATTGGTTTGCTGGAGAAGTTAACACGTAACGTAACGTAATTTAGTCGAAAGGAAACGCGACTTGTTTTTAAATGTAATCACTTCTTATGGTAACTGTATACATTATATTTACATAAAACACTTAAACGCTTTAAAACGCGAATTATAGCAGTTAAACTTATTTTGCAAATTATTTTAACTACGGCCCGATACTTTACAGCAGCTGTAGTCACGGGGAGACTAAAGATGGAGTCTCTAATGTCAAAGTAAAGACTGCTACGCTAGCGCCATCTGTTCCGTCGTAGTTGGTATTTGGCGAAACTAGCCGGGTACTTGTAGAATTGACTAACGCCATGCCAAATAAGTTTAACCAATATACATTGCGTTTTTAACCGTTAATATGTTTTATTTAAATGTGTACTACTCGCGTAACAGACAGTATTTAACATTTCATATGTAATGTTTTTACTCGTTTCTTAATCTATCTTCAGTATGTTATATATAAAGACTATATAGTTTAATAGAGTTCAAGTTAGTATGGTTTAACTTATCGCTACAGTCGCCCCTAGACAAAATAACTTTCAACTCACTTCACTTTTATGTACGTAACCGAGTATACGTATGAACGTCAATACAATGAAGTGAAAGACAAAACCATTCAAATTGACTGCCAATTGTCTAATAAAGGGTGTAAAAAAAGAGAAGAACCGGCGAGGAGTTCGCCGCCACTCCTTTAATCGAAACGTTACTGAAATTTCAGCTAACCTTTAATTAAATTTTGTTTAATTCCGTTTAAATTATTAATGAGTCAAAGGAGACTTAATAAGCATATGTTGTGAAATTTGATTTATATATTGAACCTAGTTTCAGAGCCATCAGCCAGCATAAGGGTGACAGAACGTGAAGAACTCCAAACCAGTCTGGCGAGACGCGCCGGGTTTAGTCTGGCGACGTCTGCCATAGGCGCTGTGCTGTAGCATTTTACGCATCTTGTCTGTGCTGCTCCCAGTCCGAACATACCTGGAAAATATTAATTTGCTTAATATAAGCTTAGAATGGGGTCCATCTGAGGCCACAAGCGGCACAATTTTGATGCCAAAAAAAAAAAATTATACATACGGACTAAGTCACAGCTAGTATTAACTGTAATTAAAGAATCATATAATTATATCTCTTACCCGCACTGCTTTGCCAGAAGGAGAGTCGATTATCAGCCGTCGCATAGGAGACCAGGTACCTTCCATCAGGACTGAATGCGCAGGCGGTCACTGGACCGGAATGGGCAGCTAGGGACTGACATCTGCCAGCTCGGAGCTCGTATATGGCCAGTTGGCCAGTGTGACTGCCAACTGAGGAATACATTTTTATTTAATTGTATAAATATTTAAACGTAACTAAATCTTACGTTAAATTTAAAACTTAATTAAATAAATAACAACAGAAGCCCACCACTGTGTAACCGTATCTAACGCGAGTGGTAACGTTAATAAATCGGGTTTCAATGGTTTAAAACGCGAAATATATTTTTTTAATTATTTCATAAATTCGACATTGGCGTTACGGTGTCACTACAGCATCCGTAGTTACGGGGCTATAAAATCGCCGTTAAAAGCCGATAATATTGATTTATTCAAATATCCCTCGCACTCTTAACAAAGTTATAGATAAGTAATAGGAGTTCGTTTCGTCATTTCAACCTATTAATATTTACAGCTTCGATCCACCACACTACTCCAGTGCGGATTCGTGGGCTGTAACATCTACCGTCACTGAATTAGTGATGATATTCTTTCATCTTCATTCTTAATGTACTTCGAGGGTGATGACACCTCCTACTTCCAAACTCAGTGCTGGTACTAAAATTTTCTTAGAAAAATGAAAATTCTCCCGACTCCGGATTCAAATCTAGAACCTCGTGATCTGCAGTCAAGGAGCAACAATCACTAGACCAACAAGCCCACAATTTGTATCTATTACTAAATCTATAAATGACATATCTGGTTTGAAAATCATTTTTAAAACATTTTAAAGCGGGCAGGACTTGACCCGTCATCCACAGCGTTTCGTGCTACTCTAACTAATTGAGCTACTTGAGTTCTATACCTAATCGTCGAATTTTTGCAAGTTGATACATGCACCTCTCGCGCAATGTAATTTCAACCTTAACACTTGCGTAATAAGGTTCAATGTCTTATGCTTTGCAGCTTAAAAAATCATTCAAGATGAAATTACTAAGTTTAACGTTTGAAAACTTTAATTATTTTATTTAATTTGAAAAACATTCCGACACGCTACGAAAAAATAAGCTACCGTGTCCTACACGTTAGCTCAACTTTCCAACCTCTCGTGCGAATGATATACCTGCAATTCTCCTCGTAGCAGGGCAATGCGAAACCTGGTTGTATCGACAGATAGCTGGGAACACCTCGTTCAGACCCTTACTCTTCAAGTGTGATTGATCCACGCAGTGTAGGATTATATCCATCACCTAATAAACAAATAGTTTCCTAAGTATACAACACTTTTAACGGTTTAAAACAAGAAATATATAAGGTAATGCATTTTGTGATCGTAGGTGCTGCAAAGTATCAAAACGTCGGGTCGTAGTAAGAATAAGTTTACGTATATAATATATACTTCTTAGTATCATTTAACTAGTTCCCTTCTCTAGTTAAATGATGTCACACAACTGTGCGGACTTAGTTGTATAGAGTGTAGCGTAATCGTTATCATACCTATTGTAACAATCGGTATGGTCAGCAAGTTAATTTTAATAGGTAGATAATTTTCGTTTTATATTTAGGTTACTTTAATCTTTTTAAACTAAACACTTTTAACGGGTTAAACCGCGAATTATTTATTAGTTACTTAATCTAACTTAGAATTTATTTAAACTACTGTCTGACGTTTTGGATGCTTTGCAGTAACTGTGGTCACGGCTAACTAATATAGTTTGGGTTTAAAGCCGTTAAGTGTTTTATTTGAATGTGAACTATTCGCGTAAACTACAGTCAATACTTCACTGTATTATGTACCATATGTTCTGCACTGACACGTATAGGTTTGACTAGAAGCAATCTGAGCTCTTATCTCGTGAAATCTGTTTCTCCCCGTGGGGCATGGGGCGAACGCGTTACTGTGCCCGTTTCAATAATCAGGTTTACGTAAGTAAAAAAAATTAAGTAAGTAGTTGAATACTGTCTGTAGTTTACGCGATTAGTACAGATCGAAATATAACTCTGTAACGGTTTAAAACGCGATACATATTAGTTAAACTTTTTTGAAAATTATTTTAACTACGACCTGACGTTTCGGATGCTTTGCATAGTTTAACTAATAATAATATCGTGTTTCAAACCGCTTAAAACATTTAAAAGTAAGTAGTTGATCAGACTTCTGTGCCCTCGTATCTTGAAACCGACATATTTCTGTGTCATCAATAATAGTGGGCATACAACGTGTAATAAAAATAGCTTTTTTTCTTTGGGATTAAAACCTAGAACTTATTAAACTTATTCAAACCTCAACAAGAAGAGGTGCGACCTCATGATGCATTCTGTCTATGAGTAGTTCAATGCCCCTCAAGACTTCCGCTCTTCCACGCTGAAGGGCTAAAGCAGCTGGTGGGGGCGGAGCGCCAGCCGGGGCGGAGGCGCATCTTGCTACCTCACGGGCCATTGTTGTTATAAACGCCGCAGGCCTATGCAAAGAAAACAATAATAAAATTAGGTGTAGCAAAACAGTATATAGCAAGTACAACTTTATTTTTTATTATTATTGACAGTTTGGCCCGACACCACACAGTGATCTATGTATCGGAAATAATTGGAGACTTATCAAATTAATTCTATGAACGAAATATCCTCACCTCGCCGTAGCAATAAGCGTAAGCGCGTGTCTGGCTGTTCTGCACGAGTCAGCTTGAGCCGTTAGTGGCAAACCATACGTCATCGATGGCACCAACTTATCAGCGTCAGAACACATCTCCAATAGGCCTAGAAAAAAGGTGATCATAATATGATGAAATTGCTTTCAAGCAATCTTTTAATATTTTTTTTGTAAAATGTTTAACATTTATAAACTACTGCTGTGCCTGCGACTTCGTTCGCGTGGAATAGGACTTGGGGTAGAATTTTAAATTAATTATTATTTTATGTAATGGCGCATTTATCGCAGCCATTCTATGTTGTAAGTGCTACTTTGCCGCAACACTCTGACCTCACATCACTCCTACTCTAACTCCCACTCCTACTCTCATTCTCACTCCCACTTCCAATTCCACTCCCACTCCTATTCCTAAAGAAGAAAGTTTCATTGGTCTAGCTTCAAGAACCACGAATTTCCATACAAATTTTAACCCCGTTTTCGCAATAAAAAGTAGCCTATGTCCTTTCTCAGGGTCTAGACCATCTGTGTACCAAATTTTATTCAAATCCGTTCAGTAGTTTTGGCGTGAAAGAGTAACAGACAGACAGACAGAGTTACTTTTGCATCTATAATATTAGTAAGGATTTTAACCAAAATATTGGTTAAAATCATAATAAGAAGTGAAAAAGAGGATTTATTTATCATTACTTAAAAGATCGTACAGGACCAAAAAAGTGTTACTACTTTTTATAACAGCACTTAGAGTATTAATTAAATAGATAATTTTTATTAAGTATAATTAAAAAAATAATTTGTTTATCGTATAATTCAGAAACATTAATATTAGTTTAATTTAAAAATATTTGATAGATTACTTATATAATCATCTTCAATATTAAAAAAAAATTACATTCATCCCGACATGTGCTGTAAACACTCAAAATGTTGTGTGGGTAGATTTGAATTACACATACCCAATAGAACATGACTGACATCCAAATAAGGTTCCCAAACAGCGAAGCCGCGACCCAAAAGATCAACTGCGGCGCGGCGAAGTGGCGTATGCGCAGGTAAACGAGCGGAGCCGGGAGCAAGAAGTAAGTGTGTCAACGCCAGCGCAGTTAGACGTGCTAGGTTGTTTGAAGAGCTCAGTGTGAAACCTGGTAAAACATTAATCGATTTTAATTCTAATGAGAATTTTGAGTTTACGTGAAATAAAATTAAAATAACGACTAAAATGAGATATATATAGTTAGTGAGGTAAATACGTCTTCTTAAAATAATTTTATTAACCTTACAGTAAATTTACCTTCTACTATAGAACTCTTTCTGCTATCACTGTCTTTTCGTTTTTTGTTTCCTGCACCTGTGAAATAAAAACGGAACATTATTAATGAATTGTGGCTGTGTGATGGTCATGGGGGAGATTAGGTTTGGGTGATGTAAAGTTCAATTTGCTACGCTCGCGCCATCTGGTTACGTGATTCGTAATTACAAAAAATTGCTGGATATTATTTAATGTAACGTTATATCTATATGTAATCGTTTTCTCAAAAATGACTTACCTTCACTAGTAATATCTTGTCCGAACTCGGCGCCAATAACTCCAAGCAACACAACCGCTGTTGTCTGTTTCCTTTTAAGTTCTGCAATGGAAGAAGGTTTGCGGACTATCTCTTCTTCTTCCTCTTCGAACTCTTCTTCAGGCTGGAAAACACATGGATTTATTTTAAGTATTACTTACACATACCGCTTGTTACCACGCTTTCTGTAAACCATCGAGTCATTAAGAATAAGTAAAATATTTCGCGTTTACAACTGATAAAACTGTTGTATTTAATGTGTACTAAATACTGTATGTAAATAAAACACTTTAACGGTTTGAAACGTGAAATACATTAGTTGAACTTGTTTAAAAATTATTATTAACTACGGACAAGTTTCGAATGCTTTGCAGCAGTCGTGGTCACGGAGAGACTAAAGATGGAGGGTGTCTCTATTGTCAAAGTAAAAACTGCCACGCTAGCGCCATCTGTTCCGTCGTAGTTAATATTTGATAAAACTGGTCGGATCCTTGCAAAATTGACTAACGGTGCCTTTTTGCTTTTTTGGAATTTTTTTTTATGTTGTTTTTTGGAATCTAGGGATTTTATAATGGGATTCCAGGTGAATAACTTGAGTTTTTCCTCTCTAATTTTTATGTATAGTATTTTATTGCACTTACATCTTTGGCGAGTTTCTCAGCGGGCTCCTTTTGCGCAGCTTGCGGATTGATACTCTCAATGTGAGTGTATAAAGGTAGGTATTGGGCCCAGTTGTCCACCAGGGCCTTGCGACCTTTAGGACCTAGCCTAGAAATGAAATCATAGATTAGTCTGGTTAGTTTGCTATAACCTGCTTTTAAATTACATAGAACAAAGGACCTAAAAATTGTGTTTGCTTACTAAGGGCCTAAACCTTTACATGTACGTTTTATTTATATATATAAATTGTTTTTATACAACGGACTCGTAACATAAAATATAAGTCAACAAGTATGTATAATTTGACAACTTTTCATTTTTCACCATATAAATTAATAATCGATTTTAAATTATAAAAAAAGACACAGTAACTCAATTAGTTAGAGCAACTTCCGTGCTGTTGTGTTAGGTTCAAGTCCTATCGTAATTATTTTCAATCTAAAATAGATTTTTAAATAGTAAATAAGACGTATAACATTGTACTCCAATATAATTCTAATTACGGGAATCGGATTTTTAATGCATTGTAATTCAATTTAAATTAAATCCTCTGCAAGTGTTTAAGTCTAAATAATATAACAATAGGATATTTTTACCGGGCTAGTTCGGCGAGTAAAAGCGCCTGCGCAGCGTCCCGCACTTCCAAGCAATGGTGCTGCCATCTGCGAGCTAGCATTTCCACTTGCGGGCGCTTGAAACTTTTTGCACCTAAAATTCATTTTACTTCATTATATTTGTCAGTTTTAAAATCTAATAACAGATTAAGCGAATTATCAGAAGAAAACTTTGCGAATATCCAAAGCCTAAATAGGTCGATTGCGCATCTTGGCTAGGTGAGACCCTTCATCAAGTGAACGCCACGATTGTCTATTATCCTCTATTATAAAAAAAACACACACAAAACTTTCAGAAACACCAAATAAAAACATAGACAAATGTCGTACTCTATTACGCAGTCATAAATAAATGCATTGAATACTTTAGTCTCCAAATTTTTTTGCAAGTATGTTCAATTTGTACCTAGCCACGTATATTCATATTTATGCATATCCACTTGTATTCAAAGTAAGAAAAAATACTGTTGTTTGTAAACTTTTAAAGCTAGGTACAACCAGTTTATGGTCGACTATCTAGAAGGTTGTAGTAAAAAAGGTACAACAGTAACGTCTGTAGTTTACGCGAGTAATACACATTTAAATAAAACACGGTTTAACGCAACTTTAACGGTTTAAAACGCGATATATTAGTTATAGTTATTTGAACATTTCGGATGTTTTGCAGCAGCCGTGGTCACCGGGAGACCAGAGATGGAGGTTGTCTCTGACGTCAAAGTAAAGAACTGCTACGAAGTTGGAATTTGGCGAAACTGCAAGGACCCGTCAAGTTAACTAATATATATCGCGTTTTAAACTGTTAAAGTGTTTTATTTAAGCGTACAACAGTCCAAACTTACCAGCAGCAACCACTTTATCAGGTAGCAAGACACAGTGGAGCGTCGCGAGCAAGGACCAACCCTGCTTTATATGTGCTTGTTGAGCAGCTATCTGCTCCTCTCTTTCTTCATCACCGCCCCAGGACGATGTACGCGTCGTGGGTCTAAAACATTAATATAGGAGGGATAGGAATGTGTCTACTACAATTGCATGTCTTATATCTTTGAAAACTGAATTTTTTACGTTGTATTGCGTTTTCTTAGCGGAAATATTTAAATTAAAAATCGATGGTAGATGGTAAAATTGTATGGAAACTTCAAAACTTAAATAATCCGAAAGTAAGATCTAAAAACTTATCAATCTATAATAGGTAAAGTATTTAAAGCCCAACTAACAGTGCGCATTCGTGATTAAAAATAACTTAACTAATATATATTGTGTTTTAAGGCGTTAAAAGTGTTATATTTAAATTTGTATCACTCGCGTTAACTACAGACAAGTTTGATCCTCACCGGTGGAGCCTCCTCGCCACCTCCTGTTCAGGCACAAAGCTTGCATTGCTCATGGACATTAGGGTATTGGCTAGAGCAACGATTGACAGCAGGTGGTTGGTGGTCAACGTCGTGCTCAGTTCCCAGTGTAGCTTTGACGTGAACAATCTGACAATTTACAATTTAATAATACAAATAAAACTATAAATTTAAATAAATCATTAATATATAATTACTTATTATATACAGTGTATATGAGATTTAATATTATTCTCTCATTTAACTTAGAAGATACTTATGAACTTATTCTAACTTAGATAAACAGAACTGGTATAAAAAGCAACGATAGGAAAGTAAAATTTTATTTTTATAAAGCGAAATTCAATTAAGTATTAATATATTTTTATTAGAATTCAACAATGTTCACTGTATGTGGTGGCGTAGTGACAGAAGTAATGTATAACCTGGTCAATTTCTCCTGTGCAACCAACTCGGGTGGCAGATTCGAGGTCAGCAGCATGTGGTCACCAGGAATGTGTGCGCACGAGTCGACCCAAGTGCCCAGCCAACTCGGTAGTTGGACTGCCATGTGACCATGGCGGGATACAACTCCGAAACATACCGGTACCTGAAAATCGGGACAGAACTCGTGTTATCTGTGACTCAGGTATATAGGATAGAGAAGAACAGACAAGCATGATGTTTACTTAATGGGAGGTAAAATAATACAGCCATATTTTTCCACCACCACCCATTTTAATCTAGTTATCGTGACAAAGTCCAACATGTTTTATAAAAAATATAAATTGACAAGCAACCGACGCCCCGGAGATTATTACCATCCATTACTACCATGAAACCAACAAACTCGTCAAAAAATTCTTATTTGAATACTACCGCCATGCATAAATCCTTTAAACCTCTCACCATTGGTCTGAGTAGACCCAGTTTCGACTCGCAGACTCTGTCCAGGTCTGGATCTAAGCCCCAGGCGTGCAGCAAGGACATGAGGATCTGCGCTATCTCCATGGTGTGAGGTGGCTCAGCCAGCGACATGTCGCGTGGCCGCTGTCGTTTCTTCTGCTCATTTTGCTCCTCTGTAACAAAATGGTAAGATTGTAATAGACGTTGAAATAAGAAGAAAGTAGGTCGGAATTACTTTAAGTAGAGTGCAAAGAGTTGAGCTAAAAACGAAACGGGTGGCACGGGCAGGACTTGATCCGGCATCCACCAATTGAGCTACCGTGTCCTACATCATCGTCGAATTTTCTCAACCTATTGATACATGCACCTCTCGCGAAATGTAATTTCAACCTTAACATTTGCTTTAAAAGTTTTTAAAGTTTATAATAAATTTATAATCGATTTTTTATTTATATGGTGAAACGTGAAAAATAAGAAAGTTATCAAAAGTATTAGAGATAAGATTTCGTATTAGAAGTTCTGAGTGTCCCAGGTCTCTTGCTCAGTAAGAAGAGGCTAGCACCGTCCTAATTTTATTTGGCATTTAATTATGTAATCAAATAGTTAAATTAATTAATAAAATACACACTGTCTACAGTTTACGCAAATAGTATACATTTAAATACAACACTTTAACAGTTTAAAACGCGATATATCAGTTAAATAGCAAACGGCTGCTGAAAACGTCGGGCCGAAGTTAAAAATCATTTTCAAATAAGTTTAACTAATATATCACGTTTTAAACAGTTAAATTGTTTTATTTAAATAACTATATACTATAAGATTAACCTGTAGGAGCGACGGGACGCGACCGACGTCGTAGAGATAAGGTGGTTTGCAAAAACATATTTTGACGCCCAAAATAATTATTCTACGCGTACGAAGTCGCTGGCACAGCTAGTTAATAATAAAAAACCTCACAACCTTTACAGTGTACACATAATATTGTACAATACGTTTTAATTATATTAATAATTGTGAGAGCGTGCGTCGTGCCGTGGCGTAATGTTAAATGTTGGTTCAACTCGATTGTCTATTTGAAGAAACAATTGAAGAAAAATCTATATTAATATTATAAATCTGAAGTGTCTGTTTGTTTATTTATACGGGATATTCTCAGGAACTACTGGTAGGATTTGTTTTTTTTTTGTGTTGGTTTCATTTATCGAGGAAGGTTTTATAACAGCACACTGCGATCAATAGGAGAGAAGAAACATAGGGAAAAAAATCTGCGACAGTATGTGCCTAACTTAAGATTAATTTACAAGAACGGCTTAAAAGAAATGAAGACGTTTGCTGAAACTAATTTTGACGCGCAAAATAGCTATTCTATGCGGGCGAACACGCCGGCACAGCTAGTTATAAATAATGCCTACAATAAGAATGAAAATATCGCTTCAATTATTCCGCAGTTTTTTGGAATCTAGTATTATTAAAATGTTATAAATGTACGGCATACTAAGAAACATGAGGACACCATGACTAAGTGCTATTAGGATCCGGCCAATTTCTCCAAATACCAACTATAACGAAATAGATGGTGCTACCAGCGTAGAAGATTTGACTTTGAGATTAGGTACACCCTCCATCTTTACTCACCCTGTGACCACATTAAATTAAATTAACTACTACACATCGCGTTTTAAACCGTGGTCTTAAACCAGGAAATATTTTTCGAAATTTCAATCATTATTGTATCGGATCTTTTCTTAATGAATGTTGAAGAAAAACTTATGAAACAATAGGAATTCTATACACTCTGTTATTCTAGTGATAATCTCTTACTGAACACCAAAATAACTAAAATAATTTGTTGTATCTGCATATATAGTCTCGACCATCTTATGGTTCTGTAAGGGTTAAATGTCAGCTCGCGTACTGACAATACCAAATAGACTTTATAACTATAGCGCAAATGGACATTACGTTCTATGGTACGATATTTAAAACCTTATTTCGCAATAGTCGTATAGTGGGCGCGGCGCGGCCTTGTAATGGCGGGTCATTACTTCGTCTTGTACTCGAAAATTAGTTACGATTTTTGTCAGAACTACAAAGAACGTTCGACTACTATGACACCGATACAACAGAAGTCACGAGAGACAGAACACGGCAAGTCCTGTGTTCTTAACCCGGGAAGTAAAATCATCGGGAGTTGGGCAACCACATTTCTATGTCCGTTTCACTGATCCGTTCTTTTACAGGCAAGTAGGTGATCAGACTTCTGTGCCCGGCCCGAACGAACCTATCTATTGTTTCTCCAGGATTTAAACCTTACTCACTCGCGCTTAACGTGATGCTAGGCAACAAGTGCATATAACCATTTGGCTACAGAGATGTCGTAAGCGGCAAAGGTAAACCGCAGAAGTATATTTTCTAAAGATAATATGTAACAATGTATAGAAATAGTATATGAGTTAATTTAATTTAACTTTTGTTGCAGCCAGTTATGACTGAAAATATCAGGTTTCATATCGTTGAGAGTTATTTTTTTCATTTGTACTACTCGCTTAAATTACAGGTAATATTCAACAAAAACTTATTTAAGTACCTACCTTTAACTCTTTGAAAAGTGTTCTGTTAAATATTTTATGATACAGAATGACAGAGAGAAAGCATTAGGTACAATAGAAGATAAAATACCCCAGTCACATAACATCTAAACAAGATGCGACCTATCTTGGCTTTGGAGATTTGGTAAATCACAGATGCAACTCAACTTCACGGCTTTTTCATCTATGGAGGTTCGTGAATCGGACGGAATTCCGATTATCTACCACCCATATCATGTTGCACCTGGTGGGAAGAGAACCCACGATCCGTTGACAATGCTAGTGAGCCTGTCAAATATATGCATGTACTTCCTCGTGATATTGCTTCCTCCGTATATTTTTTAGACCGATCAATACAATTTGGAGGTCAAATTCAATATTAAAACTTGTTTTATTAAGGTTTAATTATTGTTGTCTGTGTTTTATGTTCAAAGATCAATATATATATTGATTTGAAGTTTTTTATTGTTTCCTTATATTTATGGGTCTAATGTCTGTCGAAACCCTTTCCTTAGTTTTTGCTTCCTTTTAAAAATAAAATATGAATTGAACAGACTTTATATGTATTTATGAAAAAGTATTTATTTCTATATGAATATAGACAATGCAATCAATTACAAAGAACCTCCATTTGATTATACAGCAAGAACGAAATGTCGCGCTGTTATTTAACACCCGTTAAAGACTACTTGCTTTCGAATATGTGATGTAGTTAGTGATGTACCTAATACCGACTATCGATATTGATAATAATTGATTATACATTTACGAGAGTATAAACGACATATGAGGCCGCTAGGGGCAGAGTAGCCTAACTGCAATTTTATGACTTGAGTTGTTTATACCTTCATAGTCTAAAAATGTTAATCTACAAGAGCACAGTGGCCAACAATTGTTAACAATTCTAACACAAATAATAGTATATTGTCGCCTAAGTTAATTATCTTGATTTTCCTCCTTATTGTGAATCATGTTTTTTGTTATTAGGCCACTCTGTCTCTAGCAGCCTCATGTATGGTCAGCGAAAAAAAAGAAAAACATATTTTGATTGATAAATAAAAAGTAAGAATAATGAAAAAATAATCAACTTAATAACACACGCTTTTCAATATAAAAAAAAATATTAAACATGTTACATAATAACTATCTATTAACTTATCAGACAAAATTAATCAAGTTGTCGATATCTAAAGCACAACTCTATTTCACTTAGCCTTGTTATTTAAAGCATTGAAAAACTATCTTGTCTTATTTAGCTGACAAAGAATGCCGCTAAATAATTATTCTTTTCTGTAATGTCCTTTTCAAACTTTTGATTTGAGCTTTGTTTTTTGCTATATCTATCCTGATATTATACAGCAGAAAGTTTTCGTTTGTGTCCTGAATCGTTTTAGTGTTAATAAGAAGTTGGTCGAAATATAGCAATGGAACTTTTTCCAGGACACCTAGTGGAGTATATTTGATCGCGAATATCGCGTGCCACTTGAACTTGCAACAACTAAAATGTTATATTTATTTAAATATAAACACTTTAACGGTTTAAAATGCGATATATTAGTTAAACTTATTTGAAAATGACTTTTAACTTCGGCCCGACGTTTCAGATGCTTTGCAGCAGCCGTGGTCACGGGGAGACACAGGGAGTCTGTTTTATTTAAATGTGTACTACTCGCGTAAACTATAGACAGTATGTTATATTTATAACTAGTAACTTTGGGTAGAATTTTTTAATTATTTCGGCTGTTTATTTAATTATTTTATAAATTTAATAAGACACATGTGTAAATACAATGTTTCACTGCAAAATTACGGTATTCATAATAAGTATACCCATGGTGTACTTAGTGTATTTTTAAATGCTTATTTGAGTTTTATAGTTACTTTCCCATTTATAATATTAGTAAGTTCTATAAAAATTAATTGCGATACATCCACACAACTTTTCATGCCTCATTCAACCCGTTACCAACTTTTTTCGTACAGCAAAAGTTTACAAGCAAAGTCACATTCAAGCGCTCACTCCCATTCCCAAAAAGTTAAAGAAGAAAGTTTCATAGTTCTAGCTTCAAAAATTACGAATTTTCATACAAACTTTCATCCCCCTTTTCAACCCTTAACATTCCTTTTTGGGATTAAAAAGTCTATGTCCTTTTTCAGGCTCTAGAATATCTGTGTATCAAATTTCATTGAAATCGGTTCAGTACTTTTGGCGTGAAAGCCGGACAGGCAGACAGACAGACAGAGTTACTTTCGCATTTATAATATTAGTAGTGAATACAATCACTACTGTAAGTTCCTATCTATAAACGTTAAAAAATCCTTGAAAAAGTAATGCATTTTCCGGGTCCGAATTCCTGCCGAATGCAACATGTTCCTAATTTATCATTTTTCTGAATCATGTTGGGCTTTGGAGAACTAAATATTAAATGGGTGTAAATATCGAAATTCTCTCCGAATCACGAACCACGTCCATAGGTCAAAAAACTGTGAAGTTGAATCGCGTTTCGGTTTCAGCCTATGGATTTCTGAATATCCAAAGCCGAAATAGGTCACAACGCATCTTGTCAAAATGTTATATATATGGGGTATTTCAAGTTCCATCAAGTGAACCGTGCTTGTCTGTCCTCTATAGAAAAAAAGAACAAAGCGAAATCTGCGCACGAGTCACTAGCCCGTATAGGGAGCACCGATATTCATCAAGAACATTTTAGAACGTTTAAAAATCAGCACCATTTAAGGCTTTGCGGCTTATCTCGTAATTATGTAATAAGCAGTCCGTTAGGCCGTCGTAACCAAATGAAAGTTACTTTGCATTGTAATGAAATGGTAAAACTGGACCAAAAAAATAACCATTTTAAATTAATTAATACTTTGTAACACAAAGAGTTCAAGAGTAGTGTTGGTTTAGTGGTTTGTTTATAAAAGTGTCAATGAATTCGATTTCAGTCGAACACCAAAATTCTTTGTGTATATTTGAACGCCTGCTATTCGAGATTATATCCTATAAAATGAAATACCAACACGAACTCGGCTTTAATATAAAGACCTATATACTCTCTTAAGAGGTCCAAAAAGAAATGGGATTGTTTGAGGGGGTGATGTTGAAGTTTAATAGCGGTATTATATCGCTTCTGTGTGGTACAGTACTGACAATTTTTTGCGCCTATATACTGTCGCCTATTTCCATGTCGCTAATGTGTCTGTTAAAGTATGGTTGCGATGCGCTGTCGACGTATTTTATGACACTCAGAGAGCCACAGACTGAAAACGAAACGCCATTATACTGCGGACTGGGTTCGTGACCGGACGGGATTTTAATATCATTACAACACATCTCTTATAACTTTTAGAAAGAATTGGTTTCAGCGACATGTTAGATTCAGTGGAAATCGAAGCAACGACGCGAAGCCTTGGTTGTATGCTAAATGTGATATTGGAAAGTTCTATGTGGAAAAGTGTAAAACCAGTAAATCAATAAATAAATGAACGGCTACCGGATATGACGTCATTCCAAGAAATTAAAAAGGACTAATTGCTATAATTATATACAAGTTATTTACAGAGCAAAAAACAGGATAAGGTCATTTCCTTGATATTGGTCCGGAACGAGAATAGATTACTCATAGTCCTTAACGCAACGCGTAAATTATGATAAATAGTTTATAAGACACATGATTAGTCTGTTCATTGAATTTATTAATCTTAGGAGCCGTTAAATTTTTAGTTCTTGGCAGCCCTTTTTGTCTGAGAATTCCATAAAAATAGAGGAGAAACTTGACATCAATTTAGTCAAGGTAGGTTTAGGTAGACATACACTTTTTATTTAAATAAAATACACGGGGAGGCTCGACTCCCAGGACCACGGCTGCTGCAAAGCATTCGAAACCGTCGTACCATTTAAAAAAAAATCAATTAAGTTTAAATAATATATATCCGGTTTTAAACCGTTAAAGTGTTTTATTTAAATGTGTACTACTCGCGTAAACTATAGACAGTATTTAACTTCAGTTATATTAAGCATTGGATGGAACACAGAGTTTCACATAGTAATAATTATAGTGTCAAGAGACAATAAGGTTGTTAATTATTGCTAATTTAAATTGCGTATTCAATAAAAACTAGTTGTCCCCGGTGGGGTCAAGATAGTGTCTTATATCATTGGTGTGGCCGTGATTGAAGGAATGTTAGTGAAAGGGCAGTCGCAGTTTACAAGCGGAAGCGGGAGCGATCATCTATACTAATATTTTAAGGTGAAATTTTCTGTTTGTTTGAACGCGTTAATCTCAGGAAGTACTGGTTGAAATTGATTTTGTTTTTGATAGACCATGTATAGAGGAGGACTTTGGGCTATAAGATGCCAGGTTGCGGATTGCCAATAGGAGCGAAGAAACAGTGGAATATGGGGAAAATTCATCTTGGAGAGCTTTCGTGGCGTGGGCGAAAACGGTTTAAGAAACCAAATAAATATTATAAAATAATGTTTTTTTTTTAATAATCTAAACAATTTCCGTGATATGTATACTTCTCTCTTATCTTTTCTTTTAACATTAACTTGCAAGAAAGGCGAGATGCAGACGACGTCGTAGATAACTGGGAATACTAACGTGGAACTACTAACTGTTGACGAAACTTATATGTACTTTAAACGACGCGTAGAACTAAATTTTGAATGATTTGGCGGTTATAACATTTGAAATATTAAAAAAAATCATGGATATAAAAAAAACGGCGAAAGTATTTTTTATTAAATAATTATCATAAATAAGAAACAGGTATTTAAAACGGAAAGAGTTTGTTAACTTAATTTAATAAGAGTTTGTTACAATAGAAGGATTTTAGGTTTTTAAAATCGCTAACGCGTATAGCTTGTAACACACACCGGGACAAGTGAATGGCGCAAGGCGTGACGCACACAGATTAAATCTACATCAGACACTGAACATTACGATCTTGTGAATAAATGCAGTTTTATCCAAGCAATGGTATAGATATATATTAAAAAGATACATAATGCTTAGTAAATTAAACGGGGACAAATATTTCTGTCCAAGTCACGGGATCCAGGACTTCACTATATATTTTATACCAATGTATTTACTACTTATTTATATTAGTTTATTAACCACCCGACACAGAACTCAAAAAACTTAAGAGCTACCTTTTAAATAAAAGGCGGCCTTATCGCAAAGCAGCGATCTCTTCTAGGCTACTTGACTTGAACGGAACAAGATAAAGGAAGTAGGTGCTGGAAGGAAGTAAAAGGAAATAAAGAATTAGAGAGAAGAATTTTAATAGTTTAAAACTTACGTTTTTATTTCAGTGATTATACATTTATACTTGACACTTCGTTCGTACGAGACACATATTTTAACTATACCTCCACAACACACTGCTGGGTTAATGATTAGCGTCGCCATTATTTGCTGGGAAAATAGATAAGCACGACTGTCTCAAAGTCGGTATAAACTTTAACCTTTTCATATACAGGTTGTTCCTAAAACCTTTGGCAATAATTAGTTGACAACATAAGTTAAATAAAACACTTTTAACGCTAATTATATTAGTTGACATAAAGATAAGCTAACTAATGTAACTCGCATTTAATGGACACAGGATTTAGGACAAGTCACGAGCAGACATATTTGTGTGCCGTGTCGTGCCGTTCAGGTGATTCGTTACTGTTTCCGTCGGATTTAAAACAGGAAAAAGCAATGTTAACATACGTGTTTAAACATTCAGGCACACAGAGTTGACAAGTTGAGGCAAGAACGAATGAAATATAGCATTTTTAAGGCCTCATTAGTCTAATGGTAGCAATGCATGTCTAATAACGGGTGTGAGTCCACTCAACCGGGTCTAACATGTTTCAAATTAATTTATATTTTTTTGATAATGGCTTCGTCTGGAAATCTGGATATTAGTGGTGGTTGTAATATAGAAATACCGTCCGGGTCACGAACCACAATCCACACATAAAAAAGCCGTGAAGCTCAATACGTGTTTCAGTCTGTGGTTTTCCGAATATCCAAAGGCAAAAAAGGTCGACAGCGAATATTGTTAATTATTTGGCTGGGGTATGTCACTTACTATCAAGCAACCCCATGCTGCTGTACCTCTAACTCAACTAACAAGTTTTAAGAACACGACAATGCGATCTAATATGGAGAATGCTTATAAAACACCCTGTATATATCCGCTCGTATAATTTACTAAACAATGCCATGTTTGTCCATTGTTATTTCTGTAATAAGTCCTTATAATTATCGCGCTTTTACAATCAAACTAGATTAAGGTTTGACTGATCTTTGGCTTTGAGTGTGTAACTTTTTCTAATCATTAGTTTTCTACGGGACAGATTAACTTGGATCATAATTACAGTTCACTAGATTCATAGAGCACAGTGTAGTTGTCAACAGTAGTGCCTCTTGAAAAGTTAACATCTCTTGATGTAAAATTTTCAAGAGCTCCGTGATGCACGTGATAGCGAAACGTCTAGAACCTCTTCTCGCTCACGTCGGCCGAACAGCCCGAAAGACAATGATATGTTGAACGATGGCCGTGAAAGCCTTACACAATTTATTAGAGTGCCCCCTTCGTTTACATTAATATGGCTTCGACTTTCGCCTGTTTTATATTTTGTACCTGACTTGGCAAATGTTCTTTAGGATCTCAGCTATTGGTGGCAATTTAAGTTTTATAGCATAAATCCTTCGTCGATAAATGTTCAAAAAAAAAAAATTCAAACCAGTACTTCCTGAGATTAGCGCTTAACAAACAATGTCTTCAGCTTTATAATATTAGTGTAGACATTGGTAAATATAAAAGCGTCATGTACCAATCATAATTAATATTTACAGTCGAACAATCTCTTTGTGACTCGTACATAGTCGTTCGCAACCAGAAGCCTTAAACATCTTTATTCGTCATTATTTCTCTACGCAAAAACCTCGACATGAACGACAGTCCGTCCGCCTCCCATTACAAAACCCGAGGTAGTTCGGTCGAATTGTTCGTAATATCTGTTATATACACAACACTAACTGACTTGCGTTGCGGCGTGGTGCAGGTATTGGCGATTTTTTATTAATTGTCTAGACTTAGTGTTATTTGGTTTTCGAACGCTTAAACTTTTAATCAAAAGTGACAACTTATCTCACAACGTAAAAATGTTTTATGTATGTCGACATAAATATCTAAACAGCATTGAACTCAATATTTAAGGCAAATACTAAAAGATATATAATTACAATAAAACATTAATGACAGTTTAAAATACGAAACATATTATTTAATTAATTTTTAACTACGTTTTGAATGCTTTGCAGTAGCGGGATCACAAGTAACTTGACCAATATATTTCGCGTAAACACGAAGCTTTTTATTAAGTTAAGTTCTGAATTCGAATTTCGGAATAGGAATAGAGTTAGAGAAGATAGTACATTATTAACTTGCAAGTAAATAAAATCTACAGACAAATATCTATCGCGTTACATCGTTTTTAACTTATCGCTTACAGTGACGCCAAGACGTTCCAGCTAATAACATAGCAAATGTAGTTATGCGAAAGGTCACAAGCGAGTGCTACCGATCCGGTGACTAGAATAACTTGAGCCCCGACAGTAGAAGGACCCGACAAACTGTCATAGCGGAATAGAGAACTAGTTTTACTATATGTTTCTAATTTCCGTATACAAACAATGTGAATCGTAATTATTCAAAACAGATCTAATGACTGTTACTCGTATCGCATAACACGAAAAATAAGCGTACCGTATAAAAGACTTCAACGCGCGCGCAGTCTAAGTATTAAAGAAAAAAAATAGTTTTCTTAAAAAAATCAATTATAACACAAGCGGGACTCAAACCCACAGATGCAGTGCATCGTGCCTATTTTTTAGTTTTGCTTATTGAACTGCTGTGTTTAGCTTGCCATATCTTTACTATTATAAAGTAATATGAGAACGACATTCAAAAATAATATTTCTTAAGTGTATGTCGACAGATATACATATATACAGAATTGGGCTTCAAATAAAAGGCAAATACAGACAGATATATAATGAAAATATTATATTATTAAACGGATTAAAACGCAAAAGATATTATTTAATTGATTTTTAACTAAACTTTATATGCAGCAGCGGAATCACGAGGATCTTGAAGACTATATCTCGAGTTTCGAACTGTCAAAAGATTTGTTTTATTTTACTATGTACTGCAGACATAAAATATATTTTTTGTTGATGATCAGAAATGCCAAACTCTATAGATAATCGTTATACGATGTTAACGCTTGAAAAAAGGTCAATGTGAATAGTTATTTCGTTAACAATTAAATTCGCTAGGTAAATAACTTCACGGCTAATTAAGAGGTTTATTGTTGAAGGCGATGCGTTATACGGCCGTTACGTAAATTAGTTTTCGCCTAACGCGGCCGTTAATTGCATAGTTTTATTACAATTACGCAAACTGTGCATAAAATAAAAAAAGAAGTCGCGTGCAAAATTGAAGACTTAACATAGTGGGTACAATAAACATAAAGGCGATAAGATGACCTCTATGGTTAATTGTTATCGTAGTAATCGAACCTTTTTAACAGTTGGAAACGCAAAATATATTATTTAATTTATTTTTAACACTAACCCGACGCTTTGGGCGCTTTGCAGTAACCATGGTTACGGTGTCTCGAAACCACATAGTGTAAAATAAATAAACATGATATTTGCGACATTTTAAACCGTTACTGTGTATAATTCAATTGCATTCATCAACCGCTCAAATAATGCACATTAAAAATTGAAAAAAAAAAACATATAATTATATAAAGTTTTCGTCAAATAATTATTTCTATTAACACGATGCCCAAAACTGTAATCCAACAATGACAGGTAAATTTTACATATTTTGGAATGATAAAAAATACTTTAACATAAAACAATATCTTTCGTAGTCAATATTATCTTTTAATATATGGTTTTATTATAGCACTTTTTGCTATCAACTGCACTATCGAAACCCACATAATAATTGTTATCTTAATCTGTCGTCACGACGTTCTCACGAGTATGTAATGTAGTAATTTCGTCACACTCTGCTACAGACGAACGTAAAGTGATCTGAGTAGCGGTTTTAGATATCTGGGAGTATTGATTCACTTCACAGTTTCATTTGTAGATGTGTGCGTAAAAGTATACATTTTGGCGAAATTTAGTCGAGGTTAAAACTCTTTAACGGTTTTAAACGAAGTCACTCCTGCTGTATTACATCTGAAATGGCGGATGGTAGTTAAAAATTAATTATTTATTTTTATTACAATTTATCCGTACGGACGGGATGTGGAATATATATAATTTCCATAATAATTAGATCATTGTCAAAATATTGCTCTTAAATGACAAAACAGCCAAGTATTTACTTAGGAATACCTTACAAAAGCAAATTTTATAAGGGTAGTTTTTATACAAAGTTCCTCGCGGCAAATGTTTGATAACATTCATTGATAATATTTTTGAAGATTATAAATACAACTTATGAAAAAATACACAGCGTTATATAAAATATACTGATAGTTGAGTGCAGTAAGTTTTAAATAAAAATATGAGGGTAGGCAAGAATTTCAGTTGTAAGAAGTAAACACGTTACAATCATGTAATTACGAAATGGAATTTAATGGTGGTCGTGGTGGTATTTATTTGTTACTTATAGGTAAAATGACGTGAAAGCTTGTTAGCTATGTATGTTTACTATTATTTGACCAAATAGCCTGTAAAATATTCTACTTGCACTACTCGCCAGCGAAAAACCACTGTGAATAAGCTTGGGACCCGGAGGTCAAGTCATTCTGGTCAATACCAGTCCATTGTTGATTACACAATTCTCGGTCAAATTACATTATAATACGGACCAGTATCCTTTGTTCTACGATAACCTACATTGGCTCAGGCGTCGAGCCTGTAGATATGAATTGTTAAATACATAATTGAAGGTCAAATTAGAGTTTAGTCTGTGGCATTGTGTTTTAAGTGAGAAAGATGTTATCTGTTCAAATGTCTGGGTCTCTTAAGATTTCTAGGGCGCTACATGTGCAAATTAAGATAAAGAAATAATAAAATTACAATTTGACGAGACGTAGAATTTAGAAAGAGATTATGATGAAATAAAATGAAATCGGGTTTAGTTCGAGATTAAATATCGAATTTGCTATAACTTTTGACATCTTTATCCAGTGTTACTAAAGATTCCACTCTTATTTAGTTCAACGTTTTCTTGTTAATCTATATAGAATTAACTTGGCATTCATCTAAATGAATTTTTGTAACTAATTATCAAACAATAAATAGATTAAATCAAAATAGAAGAAAACTTATGCCAAGACTTGCGTCAGCACAAGTTGCACTTTCAGCCATTAATATAACATTTTAACCTTCCTTTAAGTAAACATTTTGTCTGTAACGCCTTGTTATTCAAAAAATAAATTTATAGCTGCTGCGAATAAAACCATAAAACAGGACATTGGTTATTTGAGTCATCAGAAACAACTTATACCACCGTGTCCTTGCTGTTACAAAACCACGTTAATCATGATTCATCAATAGTTGCTTCACTTACGCACTAGGTAATTTATGGCGAAACTTTCTCATAGAAAATATACACACAAAATAGTACTAACAACAGTAACAGTAATGCTACACATTTACGCTTAAACTTGGGAAATTTACTTAGTTTTTTTTACACAAAATATAATATCAACTTCTTGAACTATACTAAGCTTACACCAGGGCTAAATCAACACAAGATATTATTTACATGCTTAACGTAATAACGTTGTGAAATAGCTATAATATAACTAAAACAATATAACTAAAATCTTTTAAATTAATATGTTTATGTCAAATACTGTCTATAGTTTACGCGACTAGTACACATTTAAATAAAACACTTTAACAGTTTTAAACGCGATATATTAGTTAAATTATTTGAAAATGATTTTTAACTTCGGCCCGACGTTCGGTTTCCCAACGTGACCACGGCTGCTCCAAAGCACCCGAAACGTCGGGCCGAAGTTAAAAATCATTTTCAAATAGTTTAACTATATATCGCGTTTTAAACCGTTAAAGTGTTTTATTTAAATGTTTATGTCAGTCATTAAATTAAATTTATTTCTTTTTTTAGATAAGCTAAGCTTTCCAGATTTAATCAAGCACATTAATTTTAGCTTTACACCTAAAATTAATGTGTGCAAAACGAACAAATCAAAATCGATGACGAATGCGGAATTCGAACCTACTAACTTCGGGCCGTTGGCCTTGTATCGATCCATATTTTTTAAAAGCTCTAAAGCTAAAAGTAGTGTGATGTAATGTGCTTTTTTTTAAGTCGGTTAAGATAACACAATCGTTCGCAAGCCAATATTATTGTCATAGGACTATTGTCGCGTTTACATGACGATTCGCACGCCATAATTAATTATATAAAAGGATAAGTTCATTTGATTGTTACCGCACAATAAGTATGGCATCATTCAACTTTCTTATAAACATACAGTACTTATATGTAATCGCTAGTTCTTTACGTCTATATGACACAATTTTTTCGACACAATAAAATTAAACACCCGTAACGGTTTAACTTCGATCCGAAGTTTTGGTTGCTTAGTTAAAGTTTTGGTCATGGTGTAACAGTATTACCTAAATTATAGATATGTCATGTAGTTCGAATTTCACATACACATCTTAAGTAACCTTCGATTTTCCTTCGATCCTTCGCATAGTCAACGTATTCTATCTTTATGCCACAGATGTGGTCGTTACAACAAGTGGATGTCAATTATTAAGTATCTATTTTATGCGAGCCAAAACTAGATTTAACGTTTTGTAAATGTTTACTTCGTTTAGATCAATATTACTAAGATATTTTAAACACATACAAACAATTTCTAAATGTGAAAAAACCTAAGTAGAATAGAATAATATTTTCGTCTGCGAACCAACTGCAATATTATTAAACTTATTGAAGTCCGTTACGTTACAGTTAAGCTATATTTAACCGTTGTTATATTTAATCCAAGATTGGTAAATAGTTGTTACGCCCAGCGCTAAAACTAGTTAGGAATTTATTGCGAAACTTATTTAGGTTACAGGATATTATCACTATTCTAGACAATAACGAATGCAAATAAATTCTAGTTTTTAATTTCCCGTAGTTGTGGTAATAGTATGTTAATAGAATCTTTGAACGCATATAATCCAGATAATAGCCTACGACAATATCTGTGTCACAGATTATATTATTGATCGAGATTTAATATTCCCTTAGCGCAGTAGGTACAATTATGAAAAGCAATTGACACTGGCCGCTACGTCCGCGGCCGAATTCAAAATTGGAACGCGCGTATGTCAAAACGCGCGGGCTTCCTGCACCCTTCCCGCCCTTGAAAACGACCACTTACTTTTTTTCGAGCGCGTTCCGTTTCACACCACGCCGTGTGCGGGTATAAAACGGCGCGCCGACGAAATGAGAGCAATCAGTAGCTATCGAGCAGTCTACAACAGAAGTGCACGATGAGATTTCTGGTCAGTTCTAGATCGTGACGTGAATAGTGCCTTGTGAAATAGTGTTGTGCGAACGGATTATCGATAACGGGATCTTTTTATTTCCGCAGATTGTTGCCGCCGCCGTCCTCGCCTGCGCCGCAGCCGCGCCCTCTGGCGCCCTGCTGGCCGCACCCTACGCTCACGGGCTAGCCGCACCCTACGGTCACGGGCTAGCCGCACCCTACGCGCATGGGTTAGCCGCCGCCCACCTGGCAGCGCCCTTAGCGGTGGCGCACGCCGCCCCCTTGGCCGTAGCCCACGCTGCCCCAGTAGCCGTAGCCCCCACCATCCCCCCAGGTGACCTCCAGGGAGCCGCCATCGACGCCCACGTTGAAGCATCCGACCACGCTCGTGCCGCCGTCGACGCCGCCCGTGAATACCACGACCAAGCTTCCGAAGTCCAGGGTCAAGCCGTGAACGCTGCTGAAGACCACGCATGGCAGGCGGTTGACGCTGCCCAGACCGCTCAAGCCCAGGTTGATGGCGCCGCCGCCGGTGTCGCCCCCAACGTAGCCCGTCAATTGGTCGGCCACGCCGCTCCCGTTGTCGCCGCCGCCCCAGTTGCCGCGTACGCCGCTCCAGCTTACGCCGGTCATGCCGCTTACGCTGCCCCCGCTTACGCCGGTCACGCTGCGTACGCCCCAGCCGTAGCTGCCTACGCTGGCGCCAGCTCAGTAGCCCACTCATCTCTCTCCCAGACCCACCCGGCCCCAGTAGTCCACGCCCCCGTCGCGTACGCGGCGCATGGTTACCCCCACGGTCTCGCGCACGCATGGTAACTGTGATAACTACTAGCCAAAAAATTTAATACTCAACTTCGGAATGTTTATTTAAATGTAAATTTTGTACAGACATACAGAGGCGAGGATGTGTGAATAAATGAAATAGTAATTTATACATTCCTGACTTTCAATTTCACCTTTCACTTCTACTATTACTTATTCACCGACTGCGCTATGAGCGAACAACCAAAAGACAAAGAGATTAATTTAATTTATCACTATAGAGACTTATCGATAAACAATATTAGCCGGCCCTAGATATCCTGTTGCAATAGTGAGCAAATGTCATGCGGTTCTGCGCATAAATTATGTGTAATTTAAATGTCAACTTGACATTTTAACAAAATCTCACGATATATAGAGCATTATAAGTGACCATTACTTTAAAAACGGAAGTGTATGTTTCACCTTGAAAACGGTAATGCAAAAAGCTCGACAAAAAGTGAGTCGATTAAAATAATTTATTATTTATTTGGCCGCCTGCTCTTTGTTCACATTTTATCGATACATTTATGGTAATCTATTTCTGGTTTACTAAAACGATACAAGGAAATGTGAACATGTTTTAAACTTTGTTCTCTTTTTATGTTTTAATTCATACAGATCAGATTAATTATTGTGAAATGTACAATTTTACAATGGAATTAAGATATTATTTATTTCAGGTAAAGCTCACTTTTGTGAGACAAAGTAATACAACATCATGTATTATTTCTTTATTTACCTAAATGTGTAGTCTGAATAGTAATAGTATGAATATCAAAGTCAAATAGCTTGATCGTTGCAGTAAGAATCCAGTCCACCACTACTACTGCCAAATATCTACACCGTCTAAGAGCGAATAATCAAACAAAACAATTTTAACGCCATCTGTAAAAAAATTAAATGAAACTCAGGTTCCCGATTTGAAACTAGATTATTCAAGTACGCAAATGAAATCGTTTTAAATACTGTCTGTAGTTTACGCGATCGTTTTGCTTCCTACATTTCATAAAAGCCGTTTCGCTCGGCCCTGACAAGGATCTAAATTATAGGTAATAAAGGTTGGTCTACGTGCGTTATTAATCAAATATAGCAACACCGAGATTTTAGCTAAGTATTCAATTACAACGTTCGAAAATAATAGTATACGGTTGACATTTAGAAATCAAAGATAGTATAAGTTCTCCCCGTGATCACGGCTACTGCAAAGCATCCGAAACGTCGGGCCGTCGCTGAAATATTTTTTTTAATAAGTTTAACTAATATATTTCGCATTTTCTCCTTTAAAGTGTTTTATAAAGTGTGGAACGCGTGTATACTACAGACAATACTTAATATACATTTTTCACGAAATCGTTTCTCAACCCAATTCAAATTTCCGTATCTTGTTGTCGTTCGTACGAATTTATAATTTCTATCATGATTTAAATAAAACACTTTAACGAAGTTAAAAACGCGATATATAGTTAAACTTATTTGAAAATGATTTTTAACTTCGGCCCGACGTTTCGGATGATTTGCAGCAGCCGTGGTCACGGGGAGACTAAACGTCGGGCCGAAGTTAAAAATCATTTTCAAATAAGTTTAACTAATATATCGCGTTTTAAACCGTTAAAGTGTTTTAGTTAAATGTGTACTACTTCGCGTAAACTATAGACAGTATTACTATCATCGATCTTTCATTCGAACTCTGGGAAAACAAAGTCGTTTACATGTAGCAAGTCCCAAAAGGCTTGCATATACTTGCTAAAGTCAAGCTGTGAAATGGTCATAGATGTGTCTGCTTTATACCTAACAGCGTGCTTGATAATGTGAATAAGTAGATGTCCAAGCCAGCATTCAGAAAATACATTAAAGTTATGAAATTAAAAAAAAAAACAGCGACAAACAACATTATCACTATGGTGTTATTTGTTGAGTTTTTTAAATGTATTTTTATTCTTTATTTGGTTAAAACCGACTCACACTTGACCGTTTTATTTTGTTTGTCTCGTTCGACGTGTTATTCACCTTCGGGGAGTAATTAAATCCGAAATTAACCAATAAAATAGGTCTGGTTTTTATTACAATTCGCAATTACGAACAAATTCAATTCGGCAACTCGTACATGTTTTTAATCCTGATTTTCCTGTCTGTACCCAGTCTAATAACTATTACTCGAGATAACATTTCAAGTACTCTATCGTTAAAAGGTCTTTGAACAACCTTGCCATTTTGTTGGCGGCTAATAAATAATAATTACTATCATTAGAAAAAAACTTGTTAAGCACTGTTTATAGTTAACGCGAGTGGTACACATTTAAATAAAACACTTAAAGGTATTAAAACGCGGTGTATATTAGTTAAACTTATTTGTTAAATTATTTTAACTACGTGGTTGGAGAGGGCATGGTCGGGGGGGGACTCTCCGGCCGTAGACCGTCGGGCCGTTTAAAATAATTTTCAAATAGTTTAACTAATATATCTCGCGTTTTAATACCTTTAAAGGTTTTATTCAAATGATAAATATATAGTTAGTTACAATAACGCAATCCACATCAATATTGCATCTTAGGATCACAAGACACGTTTGTCCCATACCCCGCAATGGAAAATAAAATTTCACACTTCATACTAGTTAATTACTAACTTCCCGCTCTACGTTTGCCTATTCATATTGTAATATTGACAGAGTGGCATCGTAACGCGTTACGTAACGGTTACTTTTTAACAGACTTACTTCTAAAATGCAAAGAACTGGAAATTTAAAATCTCTCGTGATATTCTAATGTTTGATGCTATAATCCGTCACCACCAAAGTAACGATTTTAATATATCACACACGTTTTCCAAAAACATTTTGTTCTTTTGAAATTCAAACTCAAGACTATATAAAGCATATAGAACAAGTCACAGGTTGTTGTACATACGTTTTATTTTTCTCAGTTTTTACGATAGAGGTAAACAGGCAAGTATGAGCGTCAAGTTAAATTCTCCAGCCAGATATCATCTCGACAAGATGTGCTGTTGATCTAATTTGCTTTTATGTAGAATGTGGTCCGTAACCTAGCCGTAATTTCAATATTCCTACCATTACCATTTAATATACAGACTTCCAAAAGAAGTGGGGTTCAAAACGGCGGGTCAAAATTTTCTCTAATAAATCGCCTCGGAAAATTCCCGTTGTTTATTACACAATACAAGTTTTACGCAGAAGCAAAAAACTCAATTTGTATTCCAAAGAATGAAGATAATGAGTGGTTTCTTACATAATAAAACCACGCTACAAACACGAAAACGGGCATTTCATAGAATGCAAAACAAAATAAGGAACGTAAACGTATCTGGGACGATCATTTCCAATCTTATGGAAATCTTAAAAAAACATTTGTTGTGTTGGACATAGGTTTGACATAAATACAATACACTCAAAAAGTTTAATCTTTATAACACTGAACTATGTTTTTTGTATAAAGAAAAATATGTTAGTTGCCTTAGTAGGTTAGGCCTTACGTTTCTTTTTATAAACTGTAATTTATGCTAAGCGCAAAACGTAATTAACTTCTAAATTAAACGGTATTCCGAACTTAATCATACATCTATACTAATATATAAAGCTGATGAGTTTGTTTGTTTGATCGCCCTAATCTCAGGAACTACTAATTATTTCTGTGTTGGTTAGAGCTTTTATCGAGGAAGGCTAGCTAAAGAACAGCGAAAAATGTGAAAAAACTTGGGAAATATATTCATCATTATGGGTTTTCCAGGCGTATGCTGCAAAAACGGTTCCAGATACCCAAAAAATATGTATAAAGGATTATTCCTCTTAAATGATAAAAAACAATCCGGAACGCTATATGTCTATCTTTTAAGATTAACTTGCAAGAACGATAGGACAGCTTAAATTTAAAAAGACGAAGAGTAGGTTTGCAAAAACAAATTTGGATGGCCAAAATAACTATTCTACGCAGACAAAGTCGCTGACACAGCTAGTATATGATAAAATAGAATGCCATAGTTGCCAATATAATAAAATATAAAATTTAGTTGGATTAGATGGTCTTTGAAATGCCTCTTTTCGACGTCACAAGAAGATGATCTACAAAGCAACTAGTATTCAAATCGGTGATATTACGAGCTCGATAAAAAAACGTAAACATGAATGAGTGTGACGCATCTGTGTCGTAAGAGATCGTTGACCGCTCATCTCCGTTCAAGATCGTATGGAAATTAAGGTCATCTCTTGCGATTTTTCACGTAGAATTATTACTATCAAACCTCCCAAAATTAAACATATCGATGTACTTAATTGAATACGTTAATCCATGTCTAACGAAAAGTCCAACCGACATTTATTCATGGAAACTAAAGGAATTTGATTAAAAGTCGTGTAATGAATTTAATATAATTTTGTATAGGTACAAGTAAATTGAAAAAAAGACATGGTAAGAAAATCGATACGTCATCGAACCCAAAATTCGAAAGCGTAGGTAATTACTTAAAGGGCATAATATAATACATTTTAATGGAACTATAGAAGAATGTAATATTTTTAGTAAAAAAAATTTTTTTAGACAAAAGAATTGAATGTTACATAGTAGGTTCAGTCTTAAATTTAAAATTTCGCTGTTGGTTTTCTTAAATTCTGATTAGAATATTGCAACGCAAAGTTCTTTCTCTACTTTGTAAATAATTTACAATTACAACATTATAAAAAATAAATAAAACAATTTAAATGCGCTCTAGTTAAAAAATAAATAAAAAGTATGTTACTTGTTTCGGGTATAAGTAGTAAGTTACATACAGAGATAAATAATCTTTGTACTTTACAACTAATTTTATATAATACATTAATTTGAAAAGTAATCGAAACTATAATGTTAAACTACAAGTTTAAGCTTCTTGCTAATATAAGATCTCCGATCAACGAAAAACAATTACCTCACATATCTCTAGATGTAGATGAGACGAATTGCGCGTGCGCTGCGTATCATCACGATTTTGTATACTAACTCTTCACAAGGATCACACCATACGCAAACTCGTCCTGGTTTTCTAAAGCCGTGTACACATCGTACTTTATCTTATCGAATAGGAAGAGTGCCTTCTTTTACGATTTTTAATGTCCAGAAGTTATTGCCGTTAAAATAGATTTCAAGTGTAAATTGGAATGACTAGAGTAACAGTAATTTATTTAAAATATTTCATATGCTACACATAACACCAATTCCGTATTATATGAAAATACATGAATCACTAATTTACAAGGAAGAAACAAAATAGGATCCAACAATATACATCCGGGAAAAATTTCATTATGTTAAAACTAGGGTAAATCCCAAAGGTTTCAAAAATTGCACAATTGCTTATGCAAAAGATCATATGAACACGCCCTTACTGATATTTTCGAAAAACTATAAAAAACCCACATAAAACCTCGTGTGACATTTACCACGATACGTGTTTCAATATAGCAATAAACATTTATCATGTCTGTATGTACGCGTCCTAAAGGTCGGTACATATATGTATTTAAAATTTGTAAGTACGTTTGGTCATGAATGCCATTTATGTAAAATGGATTTGATTGTATGTGCCAAGACTTTGCGTACTGTATTGGATAAAAGAATATATAAATAGATAATGGGTTGATAATATCACTAAGAGCATTTTTATCTTGTGTATACATAAACCATGTTTTAAAGATATCAAATAGATTGCATTTTTGTGTATTGTATTGCAATATGATAAATGAATTAACATCATCCATGACTCCATAAATTTATAAAAAAAAAAAAGATTTTGAAATAATAAACTTATAATAGGTGTAATTAATATAAAATTTTAAATATTAAAATATAATAAATAAAATAAATAAATAAAAAAAAAAAAAAAAAAAAAAAATCTAAAATATGTTTTTAATAAGTCCAGGGAGGGCCAACAGCACAGAGTATGTATAGCTCTACGGCGCCGAGTGCGATGCCAAAATGGCCGTCCGACTGTCAAAACGACGCGCTTCCTGCATTCTTCCCGCGCTCGGCGGGTGACGTTTAACTTTTTTTTTTAAATAATGGAGCAAGGATCTAGTATCCAGCCTGTTTTATATTCATGATGTTAATATAAAAGCGGTCAGGCTTGAGATGAGAGCAATCAGTAGCCATCAAGTATTCAAAGATGAGAGTTCTGGTTAGTACATATACATATTTAAGTGTTGGAATAAGTGTTAACGTGAATAATATAGTGCTGTGTTAAGATGTGTCGTAAAAAAAAATTTAAAAAATTTTTTTAAGGGGAAAAAAAAAAAAAATTTTTTTTTTTATATTTAGGGGGGGAAAAAAAAAAAAAAAAAAAAAAAAAAAAAAAAAAAAAAATTTAAAATTTTAAAAAACACCATTACCCAAAAAAAAAAAAAAATTTTTTTTTTGGGGGAAAATTTTTTTAACTGTCAAAAACTTCAAACTTACGAATGTCCTTTCTTTCTTATTAAGTGTTGGCAATTGCAGATGGATATGTTTTGAATGCATTATTATAAAGATTGTATAATCTGTCAAAGAAAATAGCTTGCATCAACTTTTTTAATAAATAGGTATCAAATAGGTCTATACACCGATAATGAGATCAAACGAATATTTTATTAAGAATCATGTTTTCCACTACATCCTAACTTTATACTGTCCTACTAAGTATAAAATTACTTGTACGAGACAAAGAGAACATAGATAACCATATCTTTCCAAGACAAGCTAATAATTACATTTTATCTGTGGTTTAGAAACTAAGACAATATATTATTTTTTAATTAATGTCTTTTTAACACAACGCGCAATAACAGTATAATTTTCACAACATTACAAAAACTAATTAAAATACAACCGAATTTTATGCGGAAATACGCAATCGCTTTACGAAATACATAGAATTTATTATATTAACAGTTCTAATTACATTACAAACAGCCTTCGTCTAAGATTTTTATGAATTATAACGCGTAAATGCTTTGGCTATTTATTTTATTGGACTTATTTTGAAGACTAGGATGCTTGCAGTATGTGGTCAATGGGGGACCCTCTCGTGGTCAGTGGGGAAGTTAAAAATCATTTTTAAATCAGTTTAATTAATATATCGTTTTAAACCGTTAAAGTGTTTTATTTAAATGTGTACTACTGGTAATATAGACAATATTTATATTAGGGTTTCTTAATTTATTATGTTTAAATTGTCTTTTTCTAGTTTAATTTCTCATATATTTCAACGTACTATCAATGATAAAAAACTCATTGCCAATATCTAAATTAACGCGACCTCGTTGAGAATATCTAAAAGTACTTAAAAAACAACTTTTATTTCACAGGTCCTATCTGTCTTCATCGCCTACGCGGCCGCAGCGCCGTCATATCTCACCCCATTCCCCGTGGTGGCTGCACCAGTTGTAGCAATTGCACCAGCCCTTTCGGTGCCAGCTGGTGACGTACAAGCCGCCGCTATAAACGCCCAGGTAATTATCGAGAAATTTACGGAAGAACTAGCTGACCCGGCAAACTTTGTTTGCATAATTTTTTTTTGCATGTAATCACTCAGTGTCGTTTTAATATATGCATAATAAAACATATATAAAAATCTATTCTCTGGCCTAACAAATGTGTAGAGAAAATTTCATTAAAATTTGTTTAGTCGTTTTGGTCGCGCAGAAACACTCTTCATGACTTCCTAGTAATTTATATGATGGCGTTTATTTCTATATGTAAAGGCTTACACTAAAGCAACGGATAAGCAATTTCATCGTTTTGCGATATTGCTATTAACAAAACGATTGCGCAATATTTTTGATAAAAGAATATTTTTTTAGTTACATTTTAATGTATCATTAAGTCCACAATAATTACAAAAAAAAACTGTACTGTGAAAAATTCTTGAGAAACATAATAGTTTCAAGGACCGTAGACGCATGTTTTAATTCAACCTTTCCTTATTTATTTGCCACAAAATATTTTTCGGTAATTAGTTTGCGTTTGCGCAAATTTTTCCTTGTATGTACGATATGCTTGACTCCGTAGAAAATACTTATTCATAATTCAACACAGGTTAACGTAGAAGACCAAGCACGCGCCTTCGCCGACCAAGCCCGCGAATTAGCCGAGCAAGCTGTCGAGAACCAGAACGAGGGTGTCGCCGAAGCCAACGACCTGATCAAAGAGAGAAACGAAGAGCTCTTCTGGTCTGCTGAAGAGAAGAAATGGCAAGCGTTAGATGCCGCCAGATCAGCTGAAGCAGCCCTTGATGGTGCCGCAGCCAGCAACGCCGATGCCATCGCAAAATCCGCCATCACCTACCCCTACGTAGCTGGTGTCGTTCCTGGAGTAGTCCAAGCACCAGTTCTCTCTAACATCGCTGTTGCTGCCCCGGAGGGTGTCAAAGCCGAGGACGAGAAAGTCGAAGTTAAATCCGACACAGTTGAGGTCAAATCTGCTGATGAGAAGGTCGAAGAAGAGAAGAAGGAAGAGACTGAATTGAAAGCGGAAGCTAAGGCCGCTGCCCCAGAAGAACCCAAGAAAGATGATGTATTCAAATCCATTGTACACCCAGTGCCCGTGGGTATTGCACCTTTCAGCTACCAGGCAATTAACCCACATGTTGCGTATGCGCAGTTCGGTTTCAGGGCTGTCCCATACCCAGCACTCCAGACAATTGCAAGCCCTTTCTACACCCCCACGGTTTTTAAAACTGTATACTAAAAAGTGAATAAATGATATCTAGGTTTTTATTTTTTTTCATTTATCAAACAGTTCGTTACAATTAAGATTGAAATATTATATTTGAAATAAAAATAACTATAAGTCCGACCAAAGATACTAATTATTCTTCACAAGGATCACACCTACGTCATTTTCAACACGTTGCAGATCTTTCTACTTTCGTTACATCATTAAAGGGATTAATCAAATATTGACAATAGTAATACTGTACCAACTATTTTACAATAATTATATGTGTTAACGATTATTGTAAGTATTGTAAATTAAATCAAATGCTTGAAAAAAATTTTTGCAAAAAGCGTAAAAATAGACAACTCGGGCATAGGTATCGAGTTCCATAAATTCAATGCGGTGTACCTTAACACCTAATAAGATCGTATCAATGCGTGCGCGCATTAATATGCTCTGGTTATGAAGGTAAATTCCACTTGGTAAACATTATATTCTCAAAATAAATTATATAGTTTCATATGGGAATTACAATGATTCCAGTATATTCTGTAGTTTATGTCAAGTGGTAAAGCTTTAAATCAATATAATAGAATAGAATAGAAAACGCTCATTCAGAAACAACATTTCCAATTAAAACTTAATCTAATGCAAATGAAATCTAATTAAACACATATCAAAAAGTATATAAAGAATTACAATTAATATTACAATATAGTTGCCTCTGAGGAAGCCACTCAGCTACGTTGGGACTGATGTCCCAACACTCATATTCTGTGGCCCCTTTAGAGGCCGAGAAAACACAAGCAAGTTTATTTTAAATCACTTTTAACAGTTTAAAACACAAAATATATTTTTACTGGCTAAGTAACCAAGGCAGCTACAAGCTTCAGTGCTTTATAGTTGCTCTGGATGGGTTGTAGTTATAAATAAGTACGTAAGTTAATAAGCCTATGCACCGCAATATTTTGTAATACTCATACATTAAATGTTTTTATATATATGTTTTATATGAACAAGCTAGCAACAACTCAGTGGGAGACGATAAAATGACAGACAGACAACATTAGTTAGGCCAGGTGATTCGGTGGAGCTAGAAAATGTAACTAATAAATACTTGAAAATGGAGCAAATGAACGTTGTTTATTTATTATCTGGTACCAAGCGGAATAAACCTAGCACGCGTAGGAATACGGTGCATTGCTTTTTGCGCCTCCATAGCGAGAGATAAAGGACACAACAACTGGAATAAGTTTCCATTATTAATATAGATTCAATATGAAAAATAATTATCGCTTTTGTTCGATATAAGGTTCTACTTCCTTAAACAGAGAAACGAGAACGAATGTTAATATAGCTGCTTTTTAGGGTTCCGCATCCAAATGTTGAAAACGCGACATTTAATTTCAAATTCATAACTTTTATTGTTCTTTTAACACCGGCGTTCTGCGCTGTTCTAACGAGTCGATTTCATAGCTCAATTTTATAATTCAATACTTTTATCTAATGCACTTAGTACCATCATGTGAAAATATTAAAGTTTTTAAACTTGGAACTACTAAATTGCCTAAATCAATAAGAGATATATAATAGATAGATAAGAAATGGTAATCGGTACCAGTGTCAGCTGTGCTGCTGAATGCTTGTCACACTCAGCAATGCTGGTTTTCAGTGGCCGCTGGCCCGGGCTTATTTCCGCTATTACACTTCAACCTCGTCACAATTTGTTGAACGATGTTTTAATTTGCAATAATCACATAATCTTCATTAATAAGAAATAAAAATAAAATAAATACATTGTTAAGGGTCATACAAAAAGTAGTAAGTAAAAAATATTTAGAATAGTAAAATTCAATGGTACGTACGAACCTTACAGGGCGAATCCGACTCATACTTGACCGTCTTTTCTTTAAACAAAGAAAGAAATATTAATATGTACACATACTTAATATTTCTCCTTTCAATTATTTGCAGAACATAATTTTATGTCATTATTAATATGAATACTTCTTATAAGGAGGTTGATGAAATAAAAAAAAAAAAAAAAAAAAAAAAAAAAAAAAGGGGGGGGGGAAGGGGGGGCCAAAAAAAAGAAAAAGGGGGAAAGGGCTCAGGGGAAAAAAAGAAAATTGTTTAACGCAGATGGAATTTTATTGCGAGGCATTTTCTGCTTATTTCTTCGTTTCAATAGGTACCTAATAAGATTTTAGGTAGAAAAAACAGATAGAAGTCGAGAACAGCGTAGTATAATAATCAAATATCAACTAACACCAAAACCAACGGAGCAGATGGCGCCAGCGTAGCAGGTTTCATTTTGACATTAGAGACACTCCAAAAGCAGCGGAAAGACTAAACATGGAGAGTGTTATGAACTTTTTGATGAGTGGCCTGAATTTTTTACTAGTTTAACTAATATACTTTTTGTTTTAAACCGTTAAAGTGTTTTATTTAAATATATTGACATTTACAGAGCACAGAAGTGCTTATCTTAAAAAGTAAAAGTGTATGATTGTAACTCTATGCACGCACAAAACACAACGAGCAGGACACAGTGAAGTAACGTACATGACAGGAATATAATCTGTTGCGATATTAAATTACCTAATATCATCTGTGCATTGCCAAGTTTGGGACAGCCAAGTAATTTATTATATCGAGGGGCACTTGCAGATTTAGCAAGCCCAGCAGTGGCTATTAAAAACAACTATAGCTTATTACAGCTGGTATATAAAAAGTACTAATAGCTAATACCTTTACCATGTGAGGTCTTATATTCGAAACCCGGGAATAAAACCAATGTTGGTCAACAAATAAAACCGGTCATACTAACAAACGCAACAATTGGTCTATTTAATACCCCAAATAGGGGTCACAGTACTGCACTATTTCATTCTTCTCTCAGTCTAACTTTGTATTAGTGGGCATAGGTCTCCTTAAAGGGGGGTTGGTTGAGGTCAAGACCCACCATGTCACCAAGCTTTAAAACCCCCCTTAGTAGAGCAACAGCACGGAACGCTGACGATGCCGGTTCAAATCCTGCTCGAGTCGAATTTTGTTTTTCAATTTTTTTCGATTTTTAAATTATATGACGGGGTTTATAGAATAATAGGTGGCGTTAGCATAGTACATTTGATTTTATAAGACTGCTATCATAAATGGACACCTCATCTTCAGTTCTCCAGTGGCCAAAGCTGCTGCAATGCACTGAATGAAAGCCGCGGTTAAAATATGCATTTCACATTGTAAACCAGTACCAATATTTTTACAGTTAGAATATTTTTAAATACTGAAATACATTTCGCCGATTCGAAATGCAGGCCTCCATGATATTAAGTCGAGGTGTACTACTAAGTCTACAAGGCACTTTTAACTCGATTCAATTTTGCAAGCCTGGCTATGTCAATTACATAATATCATTGCCCATAAGAATGTCAAGTACGCAACAAACCATACTTTACCACATTCCTATCTATACTCAGCAAATCTTGTAATTTTAAAGATATATTTATGGTTAATATCGATCGTATTGGCATTTATGAGTATGTTTTACTTATTGTATACTAATAGCCTCATTTCTAAGCAACTTTTCATTTAAATTAATTGTATAACAAATGAATAAGTAGTGATTTCGTATATATATAAACCAAGTGAAAATTTATAAAGATGATAACTTAAGTACTGTCTATAGTTTACGCAAGGACACATTTAAATAAAACACTTTAAAGGTTTAAAACGCGATAAATATTAATTAAATTTATTTATTAAAAACAATATTTTAACTACGGCCAGTTAGCTAGCGTAGCAGTTTTTTTCTTTGACGTCAGAGACACCCTCCATTTTTACTCTACCCGTGACCACGGCTGCTGCAAAGCATTCAAAACGCCAGGCCGTAGTAAAAATAAGTACATAGTAAAGAAGTTTAATTAATATACTTTGCGTTTTGAACTGTTAAAGCGTTTTATTTAAGAGATGGTGTTTATTTTAATTTTAACTAATTTAATAAATATCTCGAACTATGCCTAATTAAATGACATTCTAATTAATAACCCTACTGTACTACGTCGAATGTATGTAATGTCGAAATGTAGCAACGTTTGGTAATAATCAACGGGTCGGGGGTTCGATTCCCTCCGTGTCTGTTTCTACAAGATTTATAATTTTTCTTTAATATGTTGTTTTTTTTTGTTTAGAAATCTGGATATTAAACGGCCGGTGGGAATACCGTAATTCCGTCCGGGTCACGAACTAACGTCTACAGATGAAAAGCCATGTAGTTTAATATTTTAAGAACAGGCCCTTAGGAAAATTATTATATGCATTATTTATAGAAACAAGCTTTTTAGTATTATTGATAAAGGTTTTAATGAAATAATCGAAAACAATTAATTAACACGAGAAAGGCCAGTCAGTGTTGTCGTAAGAGAGGCCACGAAAAACGCAACATGTTTACAAATCACAAGCGTGAGTGATAAATATTAAATTCGTAATTATTATTTACGTAAATGAATCTCTGAAAGACAATGAAATTATTGTTTAAAATCTAGTTATTATATATAAATGTTATGTTAGCCCGTAATGTATAAGTGTAATCTAACTTATCTTAAAAGTACCTACTACTTTAAATTATTAATGATACACACAAGAAGTATGTACTTGCAAGAGTATCTTTCATCTCGACGATAGGATAGTCGATTCGACTGTCAAGTATTTATATCATTAATATTTAAGTATTGTCTGCAGTTTAAACTAGTAGTACTTATTAAAATAAAACATTTTAATGGTTTCAAAGGATATTGGTTATTATTTGAAATTTATTTTAACTACGGTGCGGCGTTTTATTAATACATATCGCGTTTTAAACAGTTAGTGTTTTATTTAAATGTGTACTACTCGCGTAGACAGTTTTTAGTAGATAGATTTAAATAAAACACGACTGCTACAAAGTATTCGAAATAAAAAAATTAAAAAAATCGTGTTTTCAACCGTTAGAAGTGTTTTATTTCAATTATACATTATACATTGGTAGATATCTAAAAGTTAACAGTTTTTAATATTGTTTGTAGAGAATGATTTGAGAAATTACGAAGTAGTTACAATTTAAACGAATACGCATGTTTAGTGGCCTACAAGATAAGGTCGACAAGAACGAAAATTGCTGATGAAATAAGATCAGTAGTTGCGAGTCGGGCGTGGTGTTTTACTGGTTCTGTCTATAAAAATACTTGCTGGGGTGCAGGATTTCGTGAAGCTTAGTGACCTAAGATATAGGGTAGGGCATAAGACTAAAAATAGACGTCACATTAATCCTATCTCAAATCAAAACCTACTCTCAAAGAATTAGATTAGGTGATAATATAACACGAGATAAGGCAGTAAAGTCTCGTTTTTTTTTTTTTTTGTGTAATATAGTGTTAATAAAGTAACAATATCTCATTTTCTATTACCATGTAAATAAAACACATAGATGTCAAGTTAAAAAAAATACTCTAAATTTACACTTACTACCATGGACATAGGATGGATATATTCAAAGATAATCACTGACTGTTTACATTCTGACAGTAATCAAAACGATTTGATTACTTTGCAGACAACTCGAAAGACCAATAAACACACACTTCCTTCTAGTCTAGAGAAAGCTATAATAACAACGTAAATAATAAGGCTTTTCGTTTTCTGCCGTTTTTCGTTATATCAGAGTTTTCAGTACAAATTATTTCAGTTAGATAACTGCCCTCTGATAGCCTTAAGTTTATCTCAATGCAAGTTAGAAAAGTCTTCTTTTCTGTGGTTCAACCTTTGCGCATTGAATGGTCGAAAAGACTCGGCTCTATTCCTGCTAAAATTAAAAAAAATAAGTTTAAAACTAATTGTCATACTATTGAGATACGCGTATCCGCAATGGTGATTTTAATATGACATCACTGAGCTGTTGTAGACACGTATTGTGATTTGAAATATGACGGATTAAATTTAAAACACACACATACTACTAACTGAATATGAATGTCTATAAGTGTGTTTCGTGGGAATAAAATTCGCAATATGACATTCGTTATTGCAAAGTGTAGAATTATTAAGTCGCACGGTTAAATAAAGATTCAATTACGGCAATCTAAATTACAATTTAATTAAGACAGTTTAGTTTAAACAGTTTAAAAAGCAAAATGTATTAACTTAATACAAATTATTTAATCTTATTTAAACTACGACCACGTGGTTACGGGGAGACCGACATATCGCGTTTCAAACCGGTAAAAGAGGATTATTTAAATGTGTATTACTTGCGTAAACAAATGACAATAATTAAATTATAAATAAAAAAATGGCGTATAAACAGACCTTAAATTCAAAAGCTACACAATTATCTTTACTCTGTATTCAATAAGTGAAAGGCCCATAGCTTGTTTTGCATGACATTCGGTTGTGGCTATATTTTCTTCGACCTTTAAAATGATGACAAGGGCGCAATTAATGATAACACCTTCGTAATGGATAGCTCAATTTATCCACTAATAAAAATTATATGCCCAATTTTATTCGAATCTCCAAAGCGAGACATTTTAAAGATAAAACAAATGAAACTAAAATTATTTCTCATCTCGACTTTCAAACACACAAAGTGTTTTGTACATACAATATTATTATATGTGTAGGTACCAAAGTTATTGTGATAACTTTGATGTTAACTTAAATAAAGAATAATTTAAAAAAAACACTTAAGTGGTGTAGTTGACGCGAGTAGTACATTAAATAAAACACTTTAACGGTTTAAAACGCGATATATTTTAGTTAAACTTATTTGAAAAAAATATTTTTAACTTCGGCCCGATGTTTCGGATCCTTTGCAGCAGCCGTGGTCACGGGGAGAAACGTCGGGCCGAAGTTAAAAATATTTTTTTCAAACAAGTTTAACTAAAATATATCGCGTTTTAAACCGTTAAAGTGTTTTATTTAAATGTGTACTACTCGCGTAAACCAGAGACAGTATCTACAGGCAGATATTTGATCCCAATTATGTTACGTTTCTAACCCCCATTGATTGACTACGTATATTTCCCCCAGTATGCGAACCTAGGACATCGCATTCTGTGTCTTGGAGATGCGTTTTACCATTCAAACCATAATATTTAAACCCATAAACAACGCGATATCTAGCCCGTGACGACTAGATTTGTGAATATAATCTGAACCCTGTCTAACGCTGTATAAATTACAATCATAAATGCATTTAATATATCACGTTAATGAGTCATTGCATTTGTCGCCAATCTGTACGTCTGTCATAACCGCGCCTATGTTAATAACATTGTTTCAATAGAAATTGTTTTCCGTAATAATCATGATTGAGTTATAAAATTAATAGGGACATGGCTCGCAGCCATACTTGAAGTCGATTTGACAAAGCAATTGATACCTGCAACATAGCAGTACTTAAAACGATATTTCTAATCTAACACGAATGAGTAAAACTAAGCATTAAAACGAGAGAATTCAGACTTTTTCTACAGACTTAAAGAAGGATAAGTGGAGGTCCAAGAGTACATACTTGATAGATCTCATACCAATGCAAAGTAATTTCACAATCAGTTTAAAAAACAAAATGTTTAAATAAAACACTTTAACGGTTAAAACGCGATACATTTTAGTTAAACTTGTTTGAAAATTATTTTAACTACGGCCCGGCGTTTCGTATCCCCGTGACCACGGTGACCTCAAAGCATCCGAAACGTCGGGCCGTAGTTAAAATAATTTTTATTATTAAAGCGTTTTAAACCGTTAAATTAGTACTACTCGCTCAAATTACAGACGGTATTTAAATCAAAATATTGCACTGCCCATCAACCACTATAGAGTACAAAGATAAAATTCAAAATCCTTCATAGAAAGTTCAAGGAAACTGAAAATCACAATTACTTTTCAGTTATCATCGTCCTTCCATCACTATCTCTTCCCGTCACCACAAATGTCACACACTATGACAGATTTTTTTTACAAAAAAGCTTCCTGCTCCGCCTAGCAGATCAGCCTCAAAACATTGTGTACCATAGACTTTAATATATTATAGACAAGACACGCTATGTATGTGGCCTTTTGAAGGTTGTCAAAGAATTTTTTGACCACTACAGTCAAAAGTACTGTATACAGAATTTAAATAGTTCCTAGATTAAAATGTAAGCACAGCTATCGTTTAACTAATATTCAAAAGCGGAAAAATAGTAAAATTCTTAATTTTGCATTATCGATTTACAATAGTGTCTCATTTAATTATTTCACCATTTTGCGTTATGATTTAACGAGTAAAGAGTTTATTTCTAATTTTACTCCAAAATTATGTTATTAAATGTGAATTTTTACTAATAAAAACTGGCGTTCAGGTTTGCGCGGAGCGGTCTATAGCTTATCAGCTCTACACTGATAACGTCTACTTTCATGTACTTGCGGAGGCATATAAAAGACCTACAGTGCAGTGGTAAGGCATTCAGTAGCTCTCGAGCAGTCTACAAGAAGTGCACGATGAGATTTCTGGTAAGACAACCTTATCAGCTATCAAGAACGGGCTCACAAAGCATCCTTATAATCTTACCTAATAATAACAGTACACTTTGATTTTTTTTATTAATAATCTGTGGCGTCATTGTAGTTAATTCTGTGCTTAAAAGTGAATTATCTTAAGGAATTTGTGTGCCTGATCTTGTGAACTGTTAGACCTATTTCATCTTCATTTTCACGTAGAAAATATTTTAAGCAGCAGCCGAAACGTCAGGCCGTATTAAAATAAAGTTAACTAATACGTTTCGCGTTTGAAACCGTTAAATATTTTGTTAAATATGTATTTATTGGTTGCTATGATTATATGTATGTGTTTAACTTTCTTCGCATAAGATAAATGAACGAAATTAGTTGCGTCTAGTTAGTTGTTTTTTTTACACGAGTTATTATATACGTACCGAATCGTTATATTACAACAAGCAAGTTAAAGTCCCCCATTTTTGTAAAACAATGTTTTCGAAAACCCATGTGAGACTAACAAAAGCGACAATTATATATTTCTTTACAAGAAGTCTATTAACATAAACGGAGCCATTACAGTAAATAGAACTCACTTTAAATAAACCGTAAACGATTTTTAAAAGGACACGTAACACTTATAATTTTAATACTTTGAAATCTTTCTTAGAATAGTCATAGTTTCCGTTCTTAACGACATTTTGGTATCGACCAAGGTCTATCATTGAAAATAAGTCCAAACGACCATAAAAATCCAACACAAGCAGTAATATAAATCACCATAAAACAACCATACAAATATGTCACTTATTATAAACATAGCTAGTTTTTGTTAGGCCGTGTAATATGACCATAACATAATCATACAGGGCTGTAACGAATAAAGCCACTATAAACTTTTAACAAGATTATTAAATCAGAATTTAACTGTCAAAAATATGCTTTCGAAACCAACTACGACTGCTTTAATGTTTCTTAATATTTGATGGATTGAACTTAAGCTTAAGATTTATGTATACTATCTGCGTCTACGGCTTTGTCCATGTAGAATAGTTATTTTGGCCATCAAATTTATTGTAGCAAACCTTCCACTCATCTGTCGTATTCCGTTGTTCTTACAAGTTAATCTTAAAACAAATACCGTCGCACATTTTTTTAGACAATTTAAAGAGAAATAATTTATTATATTTATCAATATTATTTTGGGCATCTCGATTTTCGAGATTCGTGCGCTGAATGAAGGATCACAAAAATGTAAGAATTATGCAATTCGAATCAGTGGTTCCCGAGATTAGCGCGTTCAAACAAACAAACTCTTCAGCCAATAGATATGTATCTAAATGATATCACTTACAAATTCGCACGACGAAAGCGTAAGTGAATACCAAAACTTCACGCGTCTAGCATAAACAATACATCGGTCAAGGTCGATGGTCGAGTTACCCCGATTTGTAAGTGATGAAAATGTTCACCTTATGTAATTGCGAGCTAATACATATAGTAAAAATATATGAAGTAAAGCACTCTTAACGTTTCAAACACTAACAACGCCATATGCTATTCGCCTTAAAATGTAGTGATAAAACGTAAGGCACAGACAATAAATCCAGTTACTTGGTCAAGTCGCCAAGTTAACGGTATTAGTTATTGATTAGATACAACTGTTTAGTTGCCACATTTACTTGGTTTTAACGTAGCCTTTACATTTTTCAAGTCATAAAATTCATTCATATATGAGGCTGCTAGAGGTGGTAGGTAATAACAAAAAACAAGATTTTCAATAAGGAGAAAAAATAAGCAATTAACCTAGGCAATAATGAATTTGTTCTGTTATTTGTGTAAAAAACTTGTTAAGAACTTTCGGTCACTCTACTCTTGTTGATAAACATTTTTAGACTGTGAAAATATAAATAGGTCGAGTCATTAAAATTGCAGTTAGGCTACTCTGTCTTTGGCGGCTACAGGCAAAATATTTCTTATTATCAAGTATTTCGCTAACTAAATGATAATTTAAACAATAGGTAGTGTGGTAGACGCCATTGCAACATTATTTATTAAACCGGCGGCCGTATTATCCCTCGTAAAATGCCGCCTATTAACTATAAAGCAATAATTTGACGATTAAATTTGTTGACTTAATTAATATACCCCCACCGTACAGTAGTTAGAGTGGAAACACTATTCAAATACGACATAAGATTGACGTACGCCATTGCGTGTCTCAAATATGTAGCATTGTCTATAGATTACGCGAATAACACAAGTTTTTATAAAACACTTTAAACTGTTTAAAATGCGAAATATATATTAGTTACTTTAATTCATCGCAACGGGTCGTACTACGGCTGCCGTGAAATTGCGATTTAAACCGTTAAAAATGCTCTATTTAAATATGTAGACAATATCTATTTAGATAAAACTTGTATTGTCTATTGTTCTACAGATATAGAACCAAGAAGTGATTGAAACTAAGATAATCCATGTAATATTTATAACTAGTCAAGAAATTTAGACCCGTTAGATATAAAGTTATTAACTGGATAATTTTTAATGTACATTAGTATTGTTAAATTAAAAAACGACACAAATCAACTGAGCTTTCGCGCACGTCTAAAGAAAATCTTGTTTCAAGTATCAAAACCATTTATGCCTACGGAAATGAATTGTATTCCACTTTTAAATTCAAATCGCGTTTCCCTCCGATTTTTCGAACGCATAATTACAGTAATTGAAATAGAGAAACGCAAAGTCGTCATATTACGCAAATCGTCCTTCGCTAATCGAAGGCGTTTAATGCACAGTTGATATATACGAATTTTACGTAACAAGTGTCGAGTATTTTTAATGGAAACATACATCTTAATATTTAAAAAAGACAGTGAAAAAGAGAGTATTTTAAAAGATAAGAGTTTGTTAAAGGGTACGCTTAACGTAGACCCCTTATCTTTCGACAGACGGACCCACAACATTTTTAATAACAGCCATACAATCCTAGTCAATTCCTAACCCAAGAAAATGGTATACCAATAAAAATAAACAATAACCAAATAAAAATCATTCAATAAACTAATAATATCAATGATTATACATAATCAATAAACGATATGAATACAACACATATCACACAACCTCCAAAGCACTTACACAAGTAATCTTTCAAGTGCTATGCAAATCAATTTGCGCGACCAAAAAGGCCAGTCTGCCTATTCAATATTAATTATCTGTGTAATTGACAAGGTCACATTCAAGGACGATAATTCGATACTTATCTATGGAACAGATATGTAAAATGGCTATGACTTCTAGAGTTAACACGTACTAGATAAACAATAAATCTATACTATATATATATAACTGTATAGTTTGTTTTAACGCGCTAATCCGAAACTACTGTATCGAATTGAATATATATTTATGTGTTGGTTAGACTATTTATGAGAATATATATAGCTTTATATATATAGTTTGTGACTAGTATAGATTCATGTTTGTTGCGGAAAAACAGCGGAGAAACAGTCGGAGAAACAGCGGGAATGTGGACAACCGAGAAAATACTCATCGTTGTGAGTTACTGATGCGTCCGCGTGCGGAAACGGTTCAAGCATTACCCAAACATTTTTTATGAAAGAATTATTTATCTTAATTATTTGTCGATCTTTTAAGATTGACTTGCAAGAACATAAAATAACTTGTATTGTACGCGGACGAAGTCGCTGACACAGCTAGTAGCAGAATATGACTAGTTAAATGTTATGTAAAGCCAAACAACATTTTAGTATTATTCTATTCCGCAAATATGATTTAAGTTGCAAATAATAATTTAAAGCCATTTCGGTCGCTTCAATACAGACAATAATTAAGAATGTTGGACTATTGGATGCCAGTATGGCCTAACAAAAAACCATATGCCAAATTGATTATTACCGGTTGTTAGAACAAATTTCAATAATAACACCAGCATGCTTAGTAACTAAGGATTTGTGTCCGCATTCATTTAATAATTAGATCCGTGTTTTTAGACATCTTAGAAGTTAGTAGAAACAAGAAGAAAAATAGATTTTTATTTTTCATTCTCTTATTTCGTTATTGAATCAAACACATCTTTCGAAATGATGTAGGGTGAGACTTTTAGCAGCGTTTGAGCTTCGAATACAGCTTTGGTATAAGTAATACTCATATACCATACCAGCAACTTGTAAATACATCTAGTTTCTTTCTTCGAAGATTTAAGATCATTCTGTTTCCACAGCTTGCTTTCGTCGCCCTCATCGGCTATGCTTCGGCTAGCGCCATCTTAGCCCCATTGGTGTACGGCGCCAACGCGGGAGACGTCCAGGCAGCCGCCATCGACGCCACCGTCGCCGCCCGTGACACCGTCCGTGCCATCGGAGAGGGACAGGCTCGCGCAGCCGAAGCCGTCATCCAGCACAACACTGAAGCAGTACGTCAAGTCGCCGAAACCAACCGCAACCTCCACGAGAACGCTTACTGGGGCAGCGTAGCCGCTTCCCAGAACTACGTCGCCGCCGCTCAATCCCAGGTCGCTGCCATCGACGGAGCCGCCGCCGCCGTCCGCGCCGCACACGCTGCTGCCCCAATTGTCGCTGCTGCACCTTTGGCGTACGCCGGTGTCGCCCCCTACGGCATCGCCGCGCCATACGCCGCGTACGGCGCTTACGGACACGGCCTCCGCTACTGGTAGATCCCCATAACTCCTTATAACGTTACAGTATATTAATACGGTAACGTTATAACGCGTTACTAAGCTTTAACGTTACGATCACGGTTAGTTTCAAATTACTGAAATGATTTGCTCAATGTCACAAACGAAGGTCTCACATACGTAACTCTCTTTGTAAATAAGTGAATAAAATGCCATCACTGCCAAAGTGTAAATAAACACAGATTTAAAAATATTCGTTTTTGTTTTCACCGCCCTGACCGTAATAAAATTGAATTGGATTGATATATCTTTTTTATTTCCTAACAATTTTTTTTTTTGGATACAAATACCTATATTGATAAAATGAAGTAGAAACGAAAACATATTGAAACACCTAAGCTAGAACTTGATATACAAATCTAGATTAAATATTTCTTGGACTGAATCATCAATAACATTACTTAGATCAAATAAAAATTTACAGCCATCTTTTAATTACAATGAAGTTAATTCATCTGTATAGGATCGTATGTATACGCACTCTACTTATTATGTACTACCTATTTTGTTAGTTAAATTGCTCAATTAAAATACAAATTGACCGCAATTCCGACAATTAATTCTCACTCTTGTCCAATTTGATGTCAAGTCACGGTTAAAATGGATTTAAACGCTGATTCGACACTTATAAAGACAAACATTTAAAAATGTGTAAAAATATTTGTTGCCCATTTTACTTGTAAAGTTTATAATATTGATTGGAATCTTAATTTTTCATAAATAACACAATCGAGCCGGCATTATTTTAGGTTTTATTTAACTGAGATTATTATTTATTTCCATGGATAGTTGTTCCCAAAAGGCCAACCGGATGGTTGTTTATAGGGCCACTTTTTAAGTTTCTTCTTTGGAGGCTTACATTTATTGCCACGACATTCACGTTGATCATATTCATCTTCTTCATCACTGTTTTCGTAGTCTTGTTGGTCATCACCTTCTTCATCTGAACTTTGTCCAGCCTCTATAACCAGATTCTTTCCATTACCTAAATTAATCACGTTATTACCGATGACGATTCTAAAAGTGTTTCTATTTTTTGGATTTTTGGATGACTTAGATGGTGTGTATATGGGTTTTTTGGGTGGATTCTTTGGCCTAGGTCTCGGTTTATTGGGCTTGTTTTGAATCTTCGCCGGTCTCTTATTTATCACAGTCTTCCTTGGTCTTTTTCTTCCTCTACGGTTTAGTGATATTTTGTCGTGACTCACGGGCTTTCGAAATATATTAGTGAATTTTTCTCTTGCGGATATCTCATAGGGTAATACAATGCCAATGTCATAAGTTCCAATTGGGTTAAATTTATCATCAATTCTTGTTTCTAGCGATTTCGGATCTCCATGGAGTTTATTTGGCTTTTGTTCTGAACTAATTATTAAAGTAGTTGCTGTAATAACGTAAGGTGAAAAATATTAATACTTATATATAATAACTTATTCTAAAACACATCACATTATAACATTATTCTTACCGACGAGTACAACAGCTACATACATTTCAACAAACTGATTCGACGTGGACCGATCGACTTAAAAATTCTGTAGAGTAATTTTCAATTTGCATAGAACATGATTTTCGTTTATTAGCCTCACATTAGCTAGTGTTTTTATAGAAGTTTATAAATTGTCATTAAAATTCTCATATTTGTTTTTATGGCAGTCATAATATAGTATTATTCGTTATTAGGGATTGGGCATATAGTAATATCGCGTGGCCATGTTTCATTATACCTACCCGAACAAAGATATCATATGTAGTATGTTTATTGCGGTGACTTTTCGCTGTTGATATTTGTCTATATTTCAAGATGCCATAAGATTAGTTTATTAAAAAATGTACATACAAATCGTCGTAAAATAAAAATTTCCAATTAAAAACCATAGTTGAGTCTACACAATTTACTGATATGACATGACGTCATTCATCAGAAATGGTATTATTCCCATACATTTTGTATGGTTTACACATTTATGGCAAGTGTGTATTCGGATCTTTGTATAGCCGATACAAATAATTTACACAATTTTGAACGACGTTGACACCTCAAGTTGACAAAAGTAAGACCAGACCGGTTAGTAATTTCTGCAAGGACCCGGCCTCGTTTGCCAAATACACTCCCCGTTACAATAGTGATACCCTCTTTATCCCCGGCTGCTGCAAAGCATCCGAAACGTCGGGCCGTAGTTAAAATAATGTTTAACCAATCGCGTGTTTTAATTAAATATATATTATTATGTATGAAAATAAATGCAAGCATAGAGATCCGTTTATTAGGCTCTCTTATAGGATGTAGAAACTCGACATTAAATATATTTTTAAATGAAGTGGATAATGATTCACATATCATCTCTTCCTTTCATTATACTTAAAAAAAAATAGATACTGTACTCGAAACTTTTCCTATTCCGATAAATTAGACCCTGATAACACATGGAAGAAGATAGAAAACATATTACTAATAATAAAGAAGATGTCTAGAAAATTTAAATTATCTACGGATCAATAAAATCACGAAGGATATAGAGACAATTAGAGCATAATTACTAGGAGGTTGTTAAGATCAGACGTAGATACTAACTGTGTCAGCGACTACGTCCTCGAAAAATAATTATTTTGGACATCCAAATTTGTTTTTGGAAACCTCTTCTTCATTTATAAGTTTAAGCGACGACGACGACGTCAGTCGCGTTCTTGCAAGTTAATCTTAAAAGGTATATACATGACACCGTGACCACGGCTGCTGCAAAGCATCCGAAACGTCGGGCCGAAGTTAAAAATCATTTCCAAATAAGTTTAACCAATATATCGCGTTTTAAACCGTTAAAGTGTTTTATTTTAAAGGTATATACATATACTGTCGCAATTTTTTTTTATATCATCCATCATCAAACTTACAAAGATTAATATTTTTCTCGTTTTTTTTTTCACATTAACCACTGCCTCTTTGTAGCTGTCGCGGTCTAATTTTTTTAACCGCTAAAGCCTTCCCTGATGAATAAACCAAGCAACACAAAAATATTTTTTCAATTCGAACCAGTATTTTCTGAGATGAGAGCATTCAAACAAATAAACAAACTTATTACTATTGGTATAGATAAAGTAAAATAGAGTTAAAAAGGTCAAGAAAAAGTATAAGGACTTCAACATAGACAGTAATGCAATACATTATTGCAGTGAAAGTGCAAAAGAAGGTGTTAACTTCTAAATTTATCAGTGCTACTCTATTTTAATACTATCCATGTATTTTCTTAAATCATTAAATCTCAACATTTAAGCAAACATAGAGATAAAAAAAACTATCTTTTACGCCCTGCCTCTTATGATCAATGCTATCAAGCCTTCAAAATTACTATAAACACATATACGCCACCAAAGTATTTATTATCATATACAAATATAGACATTTTCAATTTCAACCACCCTTGGTTGTTCATGGTCTTTATTTTAATCATTCGCATGTATACCCAGGCGATGCAATTAAAATATGAAAATTTGTCCAAGCTTCATTAAACCACTGAGTGGTTCCATACTATCTTGATCCTCTGAGCTTTTCTGATTAGTGTTCGTAATGGTCACGTTTACATGAATTTTATGACTCCCATCGTCATCATTATAATCATCTACATGCGGCTTACTTGTTGATTTCGGTTTGGTACGCCGTGTTGTTGGTGCGTGTGTTTTGGTACGCGTGTTGTTTTGGTACGCCGTGTTGTTTTGGTACGCCGTGTTGTTTTAGTACGCCGTGTTGTTATGGTAGGTTTTGGTGGTTTGCGACGCAGGATCTGTTTAAAATTATCCTCCGCTGTGGGATAAAGTAAATGGAAGGGAAACATATCTGATAACCAGACGCGTTTCCTTAATGCTGGTAGCGGAGTAAACGGATTCAAAGTTCGAACAGTATCTGTTGTATCTTCTACTGACGTCGCATGCGCATCAACGAGTAGTTTGTCATAAGCATCGGTGATTGCTATTGCTTAAACGTGAAAATTATCTTTTAGAACATAAAGCATACCATATGTTATCATTGAAGACAGGAATTACTAGTTTAGTGTTCGACCTAAAATCGGCCCGCACAAAAGCAACATGGGGGTCACCTGGGCCCAGCAGTACATAGAATAGATTTAAAACAAGAAGCTAAATTTAAAAACGAAAGGCATAGAAAGGCTTACCTAAAAAAGCGTACGAAATCAACATTGTCGTGAACACAAATGCAATTATTCAGAGAAGTTAAGCGAATGGATTAATTAATTTAAACATGTCAGAAGCTATAGGAAGGTGTAAAGATTATGATAGAAAAAGTTAATATTTTCAGGCTAATAAATTCTACGAATATGTGGGATAAGTTAGTGAGTTATAGATAAACCTAGCATTTCTATTGATATTCAAGATTGAACAAAACTAAGAATTAACTTGTTCGGTACCTAAAGAAGATCTTGAAGGGGGATGTAATTTTAAGAGGACACAGGCGCAGGCATTCAAACAAACGAACAAACCCTTCAGCATTATATATTAGTATAGACTATAATTAAATTATTTTGCAAAAAATTTAGCAATGTGACTATAGAGATAAGGGTTTGGGAATGACCCTGGATTCACAAGCTTTATTTGAATATACATATTGACGGCGTAATAGATAGTAACAAATAGGCGCTTGTGATGTCAGATACAATAATGTATGTTAACATAAAACTGGCTTTATCGATTTTATATAAATTTCACGATATATTTAGTTAAATTCTTATTTGGAAAATTAATCCCTTTTAACTGATCGACCGACGCTTTTTCGGATGAACATAAATGCAAACAACGGAAATTGTTACGTTGAGAGCTTTTTCACGGCTTTCTTATAACTTGTAATTATACTTTATAATTAATACTAGATTTAAAATACTCAATCGAATTAATAATTAAAAAGTATATTTATTTGCTCGCTTGCTTGTTTTGCATGGTTTACACATTTGATTAGGTATATTATTTTAATTATGAAGTTTTAAAACATACTAGCATTGTATAAACTTATTATAGCTGTAGTATTACCCCTATTATTATCTTTATATTAAAATCTTCATCTTCAAGGTTGCCTGGAAGGAATCGCTTTTTAGCGGTAAAGCCGCCTTTTCTCGCTACATTTTGGTTTTTTAAATAAAGTTTTATTTTGTAACATTGTGGTGACAATAATGTATTTATTGGTTTGTTTGTTTGTGGGCATGAGAAATATTTATTTCCATTGTATCTACCATCGTATTTTTTTAAGCAACTGCACAAAAAGGAGGTTTTCAATTCGACCATACAGGCATTTTTATATTTATTTAACTTCATTATTTAATATGAACCATGTGTATGATTCTTATTGGAAAAATACTTCCAAGAAATCGTGGGAAACTTAAATTAAAATATTTATTACATCATTACTATTAAAACGTGGAAAGGGGAATTGAAATATTATGTACCTACAAATGACGTCAAAAGTTTATTGGATCGACTGATAAACGATTATCTTGATGGCGAGAGTTTTATTAAAAATCAAACACTTGGCTTGCGAGCTTAAGATATTCGTAATCTTCGGGAACGCTTATAGGAAATTCAATAGGAGGCTTTGGAGGTCGTGGTCGTGGTCGGTGTTTTTGCTTTTTACGCCTTCTAAGATAACTCCATAATTCTGGTTGGCGTAAAATATTCGATTTCTCCACAGCATCACTGAGCTCTACGAGATTGGCATGGTGTTTCGGGAATAGGATATCAGCAGCACCATCTTTAGGTATAACCAGCGCCGCTAAAACATATTAATAGTTCTACTTAGCATAAGGGGCAGAGCTTTTTAGTTTCCAAAGTAAATAAATAAATACAATTTCTACAATTTGAAGAACTCCTTGGTCTTATGGTAGCAACGTATGGCTAATGATCAATGGGGTTCGGTCCCCACCAGGTCCAACATGCTTCTAATTTAAATACTGTCTATAGTTAACGCGAGTAAAAATAAAAGCAGTCGCCGTGGTCACGGAGCGTTTCCCCGTGACCACGGCCGCTGCAAAGCATCCGAAACGTCGGGCCGAAGTTAAAAATCATTTTCAAATTTCTAATATATCGCGTTTTAAACCGTTAAAGTGTTCCATTTAAATGTTTCAAATTTTTCAATTTATAATATTTCTGAAACATACTGGACCTCGTCTGGAAACCTGAATATTAAATAGGCGTTAGGAATATAGTAATTCCGCCTGGGTCACGAACCACCGCCCACAAATGAAAAAGCTGTAAAGTTTAATCGCGTTTCGGTTCCAGTCTGTGGTTTTCCGAATATTCGAAGCCAAAATAAGTCGATAGCGCATTTTGTTTAGATGCTATGGGCTGGGGTATATTATGTACCATTAGATGAAACCCATAACATGTCTGTCCTCTGTTATAAAAAAATAAAAACGTGGGAAGTACCACAGTATGATTGAATACAAGTCAGTGAAGTCGATTTGCTTCCTTCTAGAAAATATTGAAGTAAAAACGTCAACTCACCTAAAAGAAGGGCCAAGTAGCAGACCAACATCTTAATGTGGTAGAGACATTACCGTAGGATCACTTTTATTCTCGATTTTTAATTAACAATTAACTGCTTGTACAAACACGAGAAATCAATTAACACTTTTTCAGTTGGCTTATAATTGAGTGAGTGAGCTTAGTTTGAAGAAAATAATTTGGCTTAATCAACGAGAACATTTTGAACCGATCCATACTAACATACAAAGCTGAAGAGTGTGTTTATTTGTATATTTGTACGCGCCAATCTCAGGAGCTACTAAAGCAAAAACAGCGGAAAATATGGAAAAAATCGGGGAAATTATTCATCTTTGCCGATTTCCGATGCGTACGCTGCGAAAACGGTTCAAGATACCCAAAAAGTATGTATGAAAGAATGACTACTCTTTAAATGATCTAAAAACACATTGTCTATCTTTTAAGATTAACTTGCAAGAACGACGGGACGCGTCCGACGTCGTGGGTAATAGCTTAAATTTATAAATATATAGAAAATATAAAGGCCGGCAACATAAAATAGCAAGCACGTATCGTTCATTCGCAAAGAGCTATCGACGTGTGTAAGTAACTCATTATCTACCAAAATGATATGCTTTATTTGAACCGTTTGGTCGATATATTGACTAGTTTACATGCCTAGGTCTGCTTTTTAAAATTCTCATTTTAACACTAACTCATACTGGTAGAAGCAAGGCAGAGAGATTTTAAACCCCCCCTGGGGGGGGGGGAAAAAAAAAAAAAAAGGGGGAGGGGGGGAAGGAGGGGGGGGGGAAGCAGAATTATTTATTAAAAATCAAATATTTGACTCGTAAGCTTTACATAGTCTAAGTCATTCAGTTCTTTATCTAGAAATTGAGGCATTTTAGGTCTTCGTCCAGGTTTAAATCCTGTTCCAGGTCGCGGTTTTGGTCGCGTATACCCGTTCCAACGCGGTCTATAACGTAATTTCTGAACTCTTCTAAGATAACTCTTTAGGTCGGGTACAAACAAAGTATTTGGTTCTCCTACTGCATCAGTGATGTCTAAAAGTATTTCTAATTCTTGCGGTTTGTTGGCATCAGTAGCGCCATCTGTAGGTATAGCTAGCAACGCTGAAATATGTATTGTGTTAATAAACAATTGTGCCCATTGTTATTTGTGTGTTGGATAGACCATTTATCGAGGTAGGCTATAAAACATCACGCTGCGACCAAGAGGAAGATACGGGGAAAACTTTTCATCTTTGAGAGTTTCCGTTAGGTGCGCTGCGATAACGATTGAAGATACAGAAATATGTATGAAAAATGATACCTTTTTAAATGATCCGCGACAGTGATAGACATCTTTAAAATTGACTTACAAGAACGACGGGATGCGACCATTGTAGGAGGAGGTTTGCAAAAACGAATTTTGGTGCCCAAGATAACCAATACGCGAAGTCGCGGAACACTAATAAATGTACGTCTATTTCGTTCGGTACATTATTATTATTACTTACTAACTCATATAAATCAACTTACCGAGAAGAAAAGTCAAGTGCCAGAACAACATCTCGATGTAATAACATACTCTTTGACAAAACGCTTTTATCCACGATTTTTAATTGAATTAATTTACTGCTTGTGTTAGAACGAGAAATCAATTAGGAATTTTTAACTTGGTTAATAATGGTACGATAGGTTTCATTGGCATTAAAGAATCGCTAAACCAGACATTTTTATCGTGAAAGAATTAATGACCTTATTTTAAAGACAGGCAATAGAAAAATACTTCGGCCATTAAAACCTCAAGAATAAAAAAAAATAAAATTGAGTCTGCGTGACATGCTATTAAGTCTGTTTGACTTAGTTTACCAAACAAGTAGTTAAAATAAATGAGAAGTAAAAATTTAAAGTAAGATTCCACGATCCTTAGGTGAAATATTTTTCTTTACGATACATCATATAGATTTTTTTTTGTAGCATATTTTTTGTGAAGGTCAAAAGTAAAACATATAAGAATAGGAAATCTATAAACCCTGCACGTTCTAGTGAATTCTCCTACTTTAAAAAATACCAATATTTTGAAATTAATTTAGTCTCAGCCATCATAACATTTGAATGTATATTACGAACGTTTCTTTATTTAGTAATAGACGAAGATTGATTATTAATATATGGCTCCAGGCAAGTTATAATTTACTAGCATCAGATTTTAACTTTCTAAATGACAAAGTTTCAAATTGTTTAATCTTTTAATTTAACAATTAGATTTGTTTGGAAGATTTAATCTGATCAACCACAATACCAGGAGTTGCATCTATCGTCGCACTCGGTATCTTCTTGAAAGCATATTCAATTCCTTTGACGATTTCTTTGCCGATCTTCTTTCCGATCTTACTTATAATTTTCCAAAGCGATTTGCCGAAGAATAGTTTTTCATTCGGACTATCGTTATCATCCATTTCTGGTTCCACAGTTGCTACACCCGAGCCGATCCGGTCTCTGTTGGGTGGTTTCCGGCCCCTTTTTCTTGCACATTTATCATCATCCTTCACCAGATATACATAGTTGCTTGCATCAGGATCTATTTGAATGTTCCTATCTCTCACAAGATATACATAATGCGTCAGACTTTCAGAATCTACGCCTGGATCTGGTGCATAAGCTGGATAACTTTGAACGGATTGTAATTGTAGTATAAAAGTTGCTGAAAACAGAACTTTATTGGATACTATAATTGTTAGCAGATAAAGTTTGTAATTAACATTTTTTTTAATCTAGAAGAAGATAGGATGCAAATTAATTGTCTTATGTCGGGAAAACGACGAAAAACAAAAACGCGTGTTCGCCCCTTTTTTATTGTATTGTCCATTATTGGTTCCACTATTAAAAACGGGTACATTAAGAAGTTTTTTCTTCCCGCGGAATAAGCATATACGATATAAGAAGAATACTGTTTACTAAGTAATATCTTACTAATATTTGCACAGTAAATATATAAATTCTAATAATCTAAAGCCAAATGATAAAATAGGAAAGACATTTATGAATAATTTTGTTTAACTATTCGTGGAAGCAAATTGGGCTGTATGGGATTAATACTATTAATAGGTGACGACCACAAGAGGCTATAACAAAAATACCTTCAAAAAACATGCCAGAGTCAGAGTCTTAGCAAGCCTAAATAAAACCGGTTCAAAACGCGAACTATTTAACTTTTAGTTGACTTATTTTGACGATCCAATGCTTCGGATAATCGCTATCAGCGGTGTAAGTTATAGTGAATTTAGTTGTTGATTGGCTCGAAGGACCAATGTTCAAATCCCAAAAATACCAGGGATACTTATTATTATTAGAACAATAAAAAAAATAACATTTGACAGTGAAATCAGAGAGCTTTAACTATATAAATTTTATTTTTACACTTTCCAACAAACACTTTATCACCGCGATCCAAAACTATAAAAAAACCAAACAGCGCCATCTAGTGGTTGTGTTACAACTAAATTCACTATAAACTATACAAGCGGGGAGACGAAACGTCGGGTTAAAAGGGTTTTAATTAAATATGTAGTACCCGAGTAAATTATGACAATACAATTTATTTAATGATAGATCAGACAAGCATGGGGTTAATTTGGCGGGAGGTAAAATACCCTAGCCGTATAACATCTACACAAGATGCGCTGTCGATCTTTTTTTTATATTCGGATATTTGCAAATTTTGCACTTTTTAAACACTTAACGGTTCGTACACGACATGTATGAGTTGATTGTTTGTAAACTATGACCCGACGTTAAATTTAGACAATAATATTAAAGCTTACCTATGGCAATGCATAACTGTAGACGGATCATTGTAACCTGATATTCTTGAAGAAGAAACTTCCACTTTTATTAGCATACCATGATAAGATTAATTAACTTTACTAGTGTCATCGTGCTGTATTATTCTCAAATGTTATCATATAATGAGCCAACTAACTGTAACCAATGCACTAATCGAAACGTTATCTTACGTATGATGAGAAAATGACGAATTTTTTATTCACAGAATACTTTTACAAATGTTTTTCAAACTTATCAGTTTTCAATCGTTTCGTTGTGGGACAAAATCTAGCACGATGGATACTGTGGATATCTTAATATAATCTTTCGATTATCACTTTTGTGATGACAAGGATGACAAAGTGGAGATATTATAAAAATAAACTACAATTGATTACTAGTTCAAAATAATATACGTACAATTTTTTTTAAACCTCGTAATGTATCGATGGGTTGAAAAAATTCTCACTTATGTGTAGGTCACGATAGCTCAATAGTTCGATGCAACAGCACGGAACGCTGTGGAACAGCGGTCCACGTTCCGCCCATGCCTTGATATTTTTTTATTTATATTTGAACTTATATGTGGCATCATGTGCAATAACATATCACAAACATTAAAGTCTTCAAATACTACTCTTAACGGTTTAAAACGCTAAATAAATTACTTTATTTGTATGTCCGTCTGTTAACATCAGTAGTCGCAGGTAAAATGTTTTATTTAATGCATTCAGTAACCTGTAGATAATATTTTCATATTTTTGATTTTGTCACGCCACAATTTAAGCACAACATATATTTAAATACTAATTATGCCTTTAGGTACTTCTTTGTAATCGGTAATATCTTTGTAAATTGAATATACTTACAGTTACAATAAAACACTTAAATTAACTTAGACCACGTTAAAATAAAAATTAAAAAATATATATTTCGCTCTATTGTGTAGGGCTTTCACGGCCATCGTTTAGCATATCATTGATTTTCGAACTGTTCGGCCATCACGAGCGAACGGCATAATCAGAAAATTTTGTTAGCTCCACGATTGCTCGAAAAATGAGCGAAACATCGAGAACCTCTTCTCGCTCACGTGGGAACCGAACATTCCGAAAAACAATGCTTTTTAATATTTTGCTTTTTAAACTTTAAAAAAAGTTAATTATCAAAAGTGTTTTATTGAAATTTTCTACTCGCGTAAACTACAGACAATGCTTAGGCTTGTAGTAGATAATTTCAAGGAAACGTTGTAAAGTTAAAATACACTTATATCATTATCAAAGTTAGACAATATTCTCAACATTTATAAGGATATTACATTTTCTACTAGACACTACAATTAAATAATCGTTTGTCTGAAATGTCGTGTCTGTCTCACCGATCGTTTTATTTAAAGGCAAGTAGTACCGGGACCATATTTAAAAATAGAAAGGTTTAAACACGCAGCTAAGCATAACAACACCAGTTTATTCAAAAAGATTTTAAAGTACATGAAGACTGTTATCCTTTACTTTTATTTCTCAAGTGTGTCGCCCCTTCTTCAATTCCCTTAACAAGGCTAGCTATAATAAGCTTTTCAAAGCCCACCACACCAATCCAAAAACCGTGTAGGCGTGGCGTCATTACACCGTCTAATGACTAATCCAAACGTGATGGCGAAACGTCGAGAACCTCTTCTCGCTCACATCGGCCAAACAGCCCGAAAGACAATGATATGCTGAACGATGGCCGTGAAAGCCTTACACAATTTATTAACGTTTTTTTAGTTAGTAAGAGACGAAGATTTATTACTAATCTATGGCTTCAGGCAAGTTATAGTTTACTAGCATCAGATTTTAACTTTCTAAATGACAAAGTTTCAAATTGTTTAATCTTTTAATTTAACAATCAGATTTGTTTCGAAGATTTAATCTGATCATACACAATACCAGGAGTTGCATCTATCGACGCACTTGGTATCTTTTTAAAAACATATTTAATTCCTTTGACGACTTCTGTACCGATCTTCTTTCCGATATTACTTAAAATTTTCCAAAGCGACTTGCCGAAGAATAATTTTTCATTCGGACTATCCTCATCATCCATTTCTGGTTCCACAGTTGCTACACCCGATCCGATCCGGTCTCTGTTGGGTGGTTTCCGGCCCCTTTTTCTTGCAAATTTATCATCATCCTTCACTAAATATACATAGTTGCTTGCATCAGGATCTATTTGAACGTTTCTATCTCTCACAAGATATACATAATGCCTCAGATTTTCAGAATCTAATTCTGCGCCTGCATAAGCTGGATAACTTTGAATGGATTGTAATTCTAGTATAAAAATGGCTGAAAACATAACTTCATTGGATACTCTAATTGTTAGCAGATAAAGTTTGTAATTAACATTTTTTTTTAATCTAGAAGAAGATAGGATGCAATTAATTGTCTTATGTCGCCCCTTTTTTATTGTATTGTCCATTATTGGTTCCACTATTAAAAACGAAGAATTAAGAAGTTTTTTCTTCCCGCGGAATAACCATATACGATATAAGAAGAATACTGTTTACTAAGTAATATCTTACTAATATTTGCACAGTAAATATATAAATTCTATTAATCTAAAGCCAAATGATAAAATAGGAAACATTTATGAATAATTTTGTTTAACTATTCGTGGAAGCAAATACTTCAAGATTCGACTCTACTGTGTGATACAAGAGGCTATAACAAAAATACCTTCAGAAAACTCCCAAAACCAAAATTCGAAAAACATGCCAGAATCACAGTTTTAGCAACCCTAAATAAAACACCTATAACGGTTCCAAACGCGAACTATTTAACTTTTAGTTGACTTATTTTGACGATCAAATGCTTCGGATACTACGCAAGAGTCGCCATCAGCGGGGAGACGAAACGTCGGGTTAAAAGGGTTTTAATTAAATATGTAGTACCCGAGTAAATTATGACAAGCATGGGGTTAATTTGGTGGGAGGTAAAATACCCCAGCCGTATAACATCTACACAAGATGCGTTGTCGACCTTTTTTTTATATTCGGATATTTGCAAACCTTTGCGCTTTTTAAACACTTAACGGTTCGTACACGACATTAGTTTATTGTTTGTAAACCATGACCAGACGTTAAGTTCAGACTATTTTTTTTAATAAAGCTTACCAATGGCAACGAATAACTGCAGGCGCATCATTGTAATCTGATATTCTTGAAGAAGAAACTGCCACTTTTATTAGCTTATTATAAGATTAATTAACTTTACAAGTGTCATCATTCTCAAATGTTATCAAATAATTGAACCGACTAACTGTAACGAATGCAATAATCGAAACGTTATCTTACGTATGATGAGAGAATGATGAATTTTTTGTTCCCTGAACGCGATGTAGTCGTTCGTTTCGTTATGGGACAAAATCTAGCACAATGGATACCATCTATATCTAATAATATCATCTTCCGATAATCCACAAACAAAGACAAAGTGGAGATAATATAAAAATAAACTACGATTGATTACTAGTTAAAACATAATATACGTACGATTTTTTTTTTATTTTAACCCTCGTACCGAAACAAACAAAAACTATATAATAAGAGTAGAATAAATTGCATTTACGACTTACGTCCTTATGTTGTCAAACACTGTCTCGCCTCGGTAATCGACTTTTTCGCAAATAACGAAATCTTTAATAAATAATAACAATCATTTAATAAAATTTTCAACTGTCAAAGAAATTGACAGTTAAAATTAATTATAACTATGTTAGGGTTGAAATTACATTGAATAAGATGTACACGTGTCGATGGATTGAAAAAGTTCGACGATAATGACACGATAGCTCAATTGTTTGCTGCAACAGCACGGAAAGCTTTCACGGCCATCGTTCAGCATATCATTGTTTTTCGAACTGTTTGGCTATCACGAGCGAATGGCATAATCAGAAAATTTTGTTAGCTCCACGATTGCTCGAATTATGGGCGAAACATCGCGAACCCCTTCTCGCTCACGTGGGCCGACCAACCCGAAAAGCAATGATATATATTTTGCTTTTTAAACTTTAAAAAAGTAAATCTTTAAACGTGTTTTATTGAAATGGTCTACTCGCGTAAACTACAGACAATACTTAGGCTTGTAGTAGATAATTTTTAGGAAATGTAAAATTAAAATACACCTATATTATTATCAAAGTTAGATTATATTCTCAACATTTAAAAGGACAGTACATTTTTACTAGACACTACAATTAATTAATCATTTGTCTGAAATTACGTGTCTGTGTCACGGATCGATTTAAAGGAAAGTAGTACCAAGGACCATATTCCTAACTAGGCAAAACGTTTAACCACTAAGCTACGGCGATGAGCTAGCTAATTAAAACTGTTATATTTATTTCAACTGTGATTTATCAAAGAGAATTTCAAAGATAATACTTTTCAGACAAAGAAGCTTATATTTACGTGATAAGTTGAATTTTTATCATTATACTAATCTCTATTGCTCGATGTCTTAATATTTTAAAATAACATTTAAATACGCCATTTACATAACGACACCACGTTTATTTAAAAATATTTCAAACGTAACATCAAAACCGTTATCCTTTACTTTTATTTATCAAGTGTGTCGCCCCTTCTTCAATTCCCTTTACAAGACTAGCGTACAGTAGGCCTTTCAAAGCCCACCACCCCAAACCAAAGAGAGGAAAAAACATTTTTTTATTTGACATATTCGTGTTTTTCGGTAGCGCTACGCGATTCTTTCTTGGTGGTAACCGTAGAAGATAACCTAAATTTTGCTGATCGTCTTCATCATCTCTTAGTGCGTGGTCTTTGTCCCTTCTATCAGGAATTACATAGAAAGCTTTAACACCGTCATACGTGTGTCCATCACCAGCTCGTTGATCGCCCATCGGTCCTTTATCAAAGCTTTTACTAGATTCTTCCAAATCATCACTTTCCAGATCTCTGCCTTCATGACGGGTTTCAATGTTAGGATCTAAGTCTCTTTGGAATAACACGAAGTTCCTTCTATATAACGGTTTTAAATCATTTTGTTTTAAATTTTCGTTATCGATAACATTGCCTTTACATACAACTTGTAGCACTGAAAATATAATTGTTTCATTATATCTTATACGAATTAGACCATTGGCTTACTTGTTGATTGACTTGACTCCAGAGCACGAGGTTCCAATTTCGAAATCGGATCGAGCGAAATCATTATTTGAAGTTTTCTAATAACCTAAAGTTAAAATATGGGTGTCGTTACTTTGCCCTTGATTATTTAGAGGCAGCAGACGACAAAGCTCGACATTCCACTCTGAGAGAGACCTTAAAGCCTCTTTTCCATCAGAGTGATTTGTACTCCAGCAGTAGCAATAATAGGTTGAAAATAATTTTGATAAAAATTGAGTAATTTTCTTACCGACGAAGGTAATAAAACGGGAAGGAACCATCGCAGCAATGAGAAACTATTCACTCATCATTCGCTATTTATACCAAAGTTAATAAAGTGCATCGTCAATACTGATAACACTTAATTTCTAATTATTGCAAGATTTTAACAGTTAGCTTCTAACCGTAGCAAAACATTTACCCATCTTTTGACGGTCATGTTTTTGTAATAGATACTAAAAGACAACGGCTGCAAACCCTAGAAAATATCAAGTCGGAGACCCTATATATTTCACGTTGTAAACCGTTAGTAGTGTTTTAATGCATGTGTACCATTTATGTACCTTCTTAAACCATAATTATCTTAATGTGTCAAAGCGAAAACTTTGAAGAATATGTGTGGATTATCTTTGAAGATTCCACTATCCTTTAAAAAGTCACATCATTAATAGAATTTTCTTTATCACAAATGAAACCTTTTAAAATTTGGCTGTAAGTAGTTTTAAAAGACGCAAGAACTGGCTTAATTATTTAGGCTGTTTATTAATTTATGTAAAGGTGCATTTAAGGCAGCCAATCTATGTTGTAAGTGTTACTTTGTCGCAACACTCTTACCTCACTTCACTCCTACTCTCATTCCTACACTCATTCCCACTCCCACCCCTATCCCCAAAAAGCCAAAGAATAAAGTTTCATTGTTCTAGCTTTAAAAACCACGAATTTCCATACAAAATTTCATTCCCTTTTTCAACCCCTATCAAACCTTTTTTGGAATTAAACTTTTTAAGGCTTCAAGAGCTTTCTCAGGCTCTAAAATATCTCTGTACCAAATTTCATTTTAATCAGTGCAGTAGTTTCGGAGTTAAAGCGGGACAGACAGACAGACAGAGTTACTTATAATATTAGTATAGTATAAATATCATCACATTGTTACCTAATTGTTTATTACCAACCCTATTATATATTTTGTAAATAAACCAAAAACCCATGAATCTCAACATTGCAATTTCTGTAATTAAATAACTGTAGGGATCTCTTTGATGACACGATTTAGATTTTCAGGGTTAGACCATTTAAGGGAGAACAAATTTGTTTCTATTCTTTAATTTCCTAATCAATCTACTCTTGCTGTTAACGCAGTTTTTATTTTAGCTACAATCCACTGCCAGGGCAACTTCCTTATCTGTGGCAATACGCTTTTGAGAATTGTCCAGTTCACTCTATCGTCGTTTGATTCCTGGTGTGAATCTTCCGCCAGTGGTCTTTTACGTTGTCGGTTGAAGAATAAGCGACTGCTCTTGTTTGGTGGTTTCTTTTTACGCAGCGTATTCACAGGTTGATCAGAACCCTCAAAAAAAACAGTTTCTGGTACGTCATCTAATTCTTCAAATCCTGGGACAACTTGAAACTCAAATGGGTCATTTTCACTTAAACTTTCCGGTATTAGGAGTACCGCTGAAATATTTAAATTGAGAATTTAAAATTGTTTGAAAGCTATGTCTTGACGTCACTCATATGAGTGGCCTTGTAAAAAGGACTTAGAATAGGACCTTTTTGATAATTTTAATTTTAATACTAATATAACCGTTTTTAAACAAGTTCAATATTTTTAAAATCCGGATTAGTTTAAGTTTTTGCATGTCTGAAGGCCTCAAACGTTTGAATAATTTATTTATATACTGTAAAAAGAACATTAACGCTACTTGTTATTTGATACAGGAGATTTCGATTACATCTTTTAGATTTAAAAAAAAATACTCACAGAGAAGAAAAAAGGAGCAAATCAGCTTCATTTTTGCGAATGCGTATTGTAAAGCGTGAAAAAGCCTTTTATATTTTCGATAGAAATCATAGAAAATGTTAACCGCGTATCAAATTACATGCGTAATTGATATATGTTAGAATAATTATTACATGTACTGTAAATACCAACATTACAATATTGAATTATGGTTAATTGCACTTTTAGTTACCTACTCTTAAAGAAGTAATCGCTTAGAAAGTACTTCTTAGCAACGAAAATAGTATACAAGTCTTATTATAGTCCTTTATGTATGTCCACAATGTTACAAAATAAACTTAACCAAAATTAACAAAATGTAGCGAGAAAAGGCGGCCTTATCGCTAAAAAGCGATTTCTTCCAGGCAACCTTGAAAATGGAGATTCACAATAACACATGATAATAATAAGTAATAACACTACAGCTATAATAAGTTTATACAATACTAAGTATGTTTTTAAAGTTTGACTCAATAATAATAATTTACCCAATCAAATGACTGTGTAAACCATGCACATAAGTGAGTATCAACCATTGCCATTTAAGCGTAGCAGCATGTTTCACCGAGAAGACGATTTAGAGAGGTTATATATTTAAATAAAACAATTTAACGGTTTAAAACGCGATATATTAGTTAAACTTATTTGAAAATGATTTTTAACTTCGGCCCGACGTTTCGGATGCTATGCAGCAGCCGTGGTCACGGGGAGACACGTCAGTCTCCCCGTGTCCCCTCAAATAAGTTTAACTAATATATCGCGTTTTAAACCGTTAAAATGTTTTATTTAAATGTGTACACGCGTAAATATAGAGGTTATATATATAATCAATAAATAAAAAATAAAATAAATTAGAAATGTTACTAAAAATATAATTAACCCTGAAGGAAAAGGTTTTTTAACTTGTATTTAAAGCTTGATAGTGACTGCGCTTTTCTAATCATTATAGGTAGGGAATTCCAGAGTCTAACAGCATGAACTGAAAAAGAGTTAGAATACGTTTGCGTAGTATGTAGAGGCATAAAGAGAAGAAGATTATCAATTGATCTTAAGTCAAGTTCGTGAGAAGCACCTAGGAAGATAAATAGTTTTTTAAGGTAAGAAGTAGTGGTGTGATCAAAAAGGATGCGATAGAGTAGACAGAGAACGTGCATATCACGCCTCTTTCGTATTGTCAAGCAATTGAGTTTTTTCCGGTATTCAGAGATATGATCATATTTTTTCAGTCCAAAGATAAAACGAATAGCATAATTTTGCATGCGTTCCAATTTATTAGAACGGACGGAACGGGAAGGGACGCAATCTACGTCGTGGTTAACAGCTTATGTTTATAAAGATGCCGGGGTTTGCAAAACCTAATTTGGTTGCCTACAATATCGATTCTCGCGGACGAAGTCGCTGGCACAGCTAGTGCTATAATAAAAATACATCATCATATAGTATGTATATAGAACAAGAAAAAAAGGATTTGAATAAAATACCTCATATTAAACTCAAGCCTGTGATTGTACTGTAATAGTAGACTACAACTCTCTTGTAGTTCATAAAAATACAATTCCGCTACTCCTAAGTAGTCGTCCACAACCGTTTTAAATCTGATTTAGTGACCGATTTAACGGAAAGTATTGATTTATTCAAAAAAGACCCGCCAGCCAGGGTATTTCAGAGTATGAAAAACATATTATTAACAGTGTAAAGAATTAAGTTATCTGTATATCTTAGTTAAGGTAGGCACCAAAAACAAGCTTATTGTGTAGTACAGACTAATATAAGGTACGATTTTAATAAATTACAGTCTAAATAGAAAGAGAGATGAAATAAATAGGTGTTATTTCTTTCGTCTTTTAATTTCAAATGTCTGCTTATATATACGTATTAAAACAATATCAACGATCACCACGTTTAATAAAACTGCCAATCCCTTTGCAATTTATCCCACAACTCCCTCAGGTGATCGGCCAAAATTTGCAAGCGCTCCTCGTCGTTTACGTCGCTCCTCTTCGACTTCCTATGCGCGTGCGCATGGTTCATGTTCTTGTAGATCAAGAAGTCGTTTGGCTGCTCGTAAATTTCCACTGAGTTCGGAGTGATCCGTATACCCTTGTGTGGGTGGTGTGACTCATGAGAACGGTCCCATGTTTTAATACTATGGACAGCTGTTACGACTGCAAGAATTTTTTAATGTCATAGCTAACGTAATTACCGAATATCCAAAGTCAAAATAGGTCGACGGCGCATCTGTGCAGATGTAAAATGGCTGGGGTATTTCGCCTTTCATCAAGTCCACCTCTATTATTAAAAAAATACTTCTATCAAATTTAGAGAGCTGTTGTGAGAATAAAAAGTTAGGCTAAGTTAACTACATTTAGACCAATTACAATGCATAAATTTTTTTTACAAACTAAAGTTAAGTATTTCAATAAAACACTTTAACGGTTTAAAACGCGATATATTAGTTAAACTTATTTGAAAATGATTTTTAACTTCGGTTCGACGTTTCGGATGCTTTGCAGCAGCCGTGGTCACGGGGAGACTTTAGTTTAACTAATATATCGCGTTTTGAACTGTTAAAGTGTTTTATTTAAATGTATACTATTCGCGTAAACTATAGACAGTATTTAAAGTTAAGTAGTTCAACAAAATAGGCACGAGAAACGTCGTTGATAATTTTGGTATTGGGTGGCGATCGGTGTTGGGTTGTTTGCGAATCCCACAAAAACACTGTACTGCTTTGACGATTCTAATCTGTCAAACTAGATCTATCGAACCATCAACAATAATAAAGAATAGAAAATGTCGTGTTTAAAAAGTAAAAGGACCTTACACAAAACTGAAAGTAGTAACAGCTTCATAGTCTACAAAAATATCTCAATAATTATCGGTTTTCTGTATTATATACCATAATTTTGCATAGCTAATTGGAGTGGCGATCAATTATTGTTTCAAATTAGTGTCCGATGTAGGCGCGTGGGCGTTAAATTGATGTTGTAAATGCAACGTCGTTAACGCTAGTGGGTAGTTCAATAATGGCTTTCCAAATTCTTAAGGTATACAACAATTAATATTTATTGTATTTTTAATCTTAGAGAAAAGACTAGAATGGGCATCTCTCGATGACGGTTAAAATAGCATATATGTATAACATTGAAACAATCTCATCATCAAAAACTGTCGACTTTTGAGTATTCAGGAATCCAGACTGAAACCGAAACGCGAGTTTACACTTCAGAGCTTCTCCATATGTAGGTGGTTTGTGACCCAGCTAGAATTTTGATATTACTAATTTAACATCAATCATCAACAGTCTAATAAGTTTCAGAACCTTCGGTATGCCAACACTCATCGGAAGGGCCCAATCACTACATTCGCTTTGACCGGCCAAAAATCCTCGCAAAGGAGAGTCGATTTTTGCCAAGATTGGTACGCGAAGCAATTGAAATAAAGAAACACCGAAATTTCAATAGGGAGGACGGCCTCGAATTATCAAACACCTGGCATTACATATTTAAAACTCTGGATCCCAATAAACAGCATACCGGCAAACGCGAAGACACCGTTAGTCAATTCTGTAAGGACCCGGCCAGTTTCGCCAAATACCAACTTAGACGGAACAGATGGCGCTAGCGTAGCAATTGTTTACTTTGACGTCAGAGACATCCTCCATCTTAGTCTCCCCGTGACCACGGCTGCTGCAAAGCATCCGAAACGTCGGGCCGAAGTTAAAAATCATTTCCAAATAAGTTTAAGTAATATATCGCATTTTAAACCGTTAAAGTGTTTTATTTAAATTTTAAGTTTCAGAACATTAAAAATGACTCCTAAACTCATGGGATCAGACTGAAACACATTCTCATGTTACCTCGGGATTCATAAGAAAATAATTGCGAATGACTTTAAAATTTAGCTGAATCAAGAGACTCGATACAGCTATAGATTAATAAGATAAAGCTGTTTTCAAACGATTCAATAACTAATAGTGAATTAAGCGACAAAATCTCATTAGGTTAACAATTTTCAATTTGTAACTCATACATGTTTGACCTCCTTAAAGCCTCTTGCTTATTAATTTTTATCTGTAGCACAGCTTTAAGTGGGGCGCATTACAATTACAAGCAATTGCTGCCAACGGCGACCGACGCTAAAAAGGCTTTGCAACATATGATTATCATTTAATAAACCCTAGAACAAAGAGAATGATCCAGAAATGTCTAAACAGCAGCTATAAATACGTTAACTATTGGTTATAATAGGTATTCAAAAGTAGTCCGTAATGCGATAATGGAAAGGCTAAATTCGCTTACGTTCTATAATATACTCATTGTAGGTACCTAGACTACCTTGAAGAGGGCGTAGGCTGTTGTGACATACAGATAGTAATTACGATTAAGAATGGCGCGTTTAAGAACAATGCCATAAAATTAGGAATAAAGTCGCTTATATGTTTGTTACGATAAAGTAAAAAAGGGGTGCTTTGCTTTGCCGTATAAAGCATGGACATCTAAATGAGTGCCAAGTTCTATGCGAGTTATTATGTACTTATAGGAACAAAGTAATATTATGAACAAGTAATAATTCCATTTCTTTGCTTTTAGATATGTATAATAACTGATGTTAGTATAAAAATGTGAAATCTTAAAGTACGTCTCCTTATGAATATAATTAAACACACGTAGCTTCATGTTTACGTTAAATAGGTTTTAAATATACACTCAGCCTAGCCAGGGAAAATTAATGCCTATTAAGATCAATGCACTGTAAAAAAAATATTTATATTGGAAGTATTTAATATATAGAAACACGAAAGAACATAATTATATTTGATATCAGTGAAAATAGACGTCAATATTTGAAAAATATTCAAATTAAATGACATTATTCTTGAAGTATAACGACAAAGATAGATTGACGTTCATAAGTTACTGCAGATCTATTTTTTTAATTTGTTATATAACACGAATCGAAACTATAAATGTAAAAAACGACGAGCAACGTTTACAAACCGAGTTTCATCCCGTATGTACACGTATAATCAATTGGACAAATTATTTATGAATGTAGATCACCTTGTACGCGAAATACATGAATTATAACTGCACCCCGCACCCCACACCCCGCGGGGTGTAATTACGTTTATTGTACGATATAAACTCATATTAAATTCTTCCGCATTGCGAGAAAGTACCTTTTAATCACTTTATATCAAATCAGACATGGTCATAACAAAGCTACACACTTACCTGCTAGTTTATTTGTGTATCTAACTTAAATAAAACACCTTTAACGGCTTAAAACGCGAAATGTATTAGGTAACTTATTTAAAATTTATTCAACTACAGCCCGACGTTCGAGACTTGGTTACGAGGATGTCCCCGGTGACCGTAATATATTTCCTGTTTTAAACCGTTAAAAGCGTTTTATTTAAATGTGTATTACTCGTAAAGAGATAGCATCTGACTAATGTTTGAGGCGTCGGGATTCGTTTCACGGTCGTGATACAAAATGCTTATCTTTACTATTTGGGACGTGTATTACCGTTGTATCGAAATCACGTACCTACTAAAACTAACAATTCGACAACTATCAAGTACCAACACGCACTTTGCCAGCGTGGAATAATAACGTCATATTTATTTGTGGAGGCCTGAGTCCCAGCAGTGGAAATATTAGAAGCTTACACTTACCTTGCTGCTGTTGTAGACACCGGTTCAACAAAGACTTATGTATGGGTGATTTTGAATACCATAATATATAAGTTTCAAAATATGTAAAGTAACAAAACAAGACATTATAGAGATTTTCATCAATATTTTTTGGAAATTACTGTACCACATTTTCTAGTAAAAAGTTTTATGTACACAGCTATCATATTCAAAAACACCCATTTTCATTATTTATTCTCTTATAAATCTTGGCATACATATCTTTCACGCTAATTGTAAGACCTCAAAAGTGACTTAAAGTTTTAACGTTTACTATTTCATAAGACCACCAATGCATTTGCAAAACTACATACTCTCAGCTAACCATTTATCAAATATCAAAAACAAAAGAAATCCAATAAATCGAAAATTTCAAGTATCAATATAAGTATGTTTTATACAGAAGTTGAAATAGTCCTATGTAAATACTACTCTTTCACACAGCCACTCAGCCATCTTCCATTCTCATCTTACCTTTGCTGTCGAGTTGATTTTTAATTTGTTCGGCTTTCGCCTGGATTTTTGTCTGCATGTTTTCAGCGCCCTCTTTCATTTTAGCTAATATACCTGAAAAAGGATACGGTTTAGAAATAAAAATAAAACATTTCCTATATGCGTTTAATGCTTACTGGCAGCTAATGTCTGTAATATATATTATATTTGTAGTATTTATTCGTGGATTCTGGGTCTTGCTGTATTTACAAATACTAATAAAACGCTTAGATTTAGTTGACACACATACTTAAATAAAAAACTCCATAAAAGCTAGGTTTTTTTTTATCTCGGAAATTCAAACATAGATGACCTCTTGACCTTGAGAAACCTCTTGACAAAGGTGAAAACACCCCAGTCATAAAACATTTAAACAAGGTTCAAACAAACTGAACAGCTGTTCCATCTGTGATTGGTTGAATCTGGCATAGGTTGGATTCAAACTCCGCCCAACCGGAGTTTTGATTCCTACCGCCCATTTAAGTCCCAATTTCCGTACTATTGGATATACTCCTTGGACCGATGTACATCCAACTAAAAACTCGTTGTTTATTAGCCAAAAAGCCTTTATATTTCCACGTTACACACGTACCATGTTTGTCCTTCTCTTTCAATAGGCGTTCCATATCGCCAGCCTTGTCTTTTACGCGTCCAAAGAAATCTATCCACGTATGCATGCGTAGTAAAAACATGTTTAAAGTAAATCCGTAATTCCATCTCCCTAATGGTATTTAACTACGTCCAAAGGACTTGACCGATTCTGATAAAATTTTGTTTCGGTGTAGCTATATTTATTTGTCTTTAAAGGTTTAAATTATTCAATTTAAGCCTTATTTATAAACATGTACAATTTATAAAATAATTTTGACACCAATAATAATAAAGCCCTTATTTGGCCTGCATTTAGTACAATGCTAGAACAAAATAACTGTAATTACAACAGAATAAATAATAAAAAAGAATAACTTTAGTTTCAAGAAGTGATGCCAGAAGGGTCTTACGCCAGCATAAGTTAACCATACTACTAACTACTAACAATACCGTTCTTTACAAGTGCTACCGCGTCAATGTTACCTTTTGCAAGTAATCGGACGTATTGAGAAAGATAATTAATCAAAGTACCTGATATCTTTTTCGCCGCGTCCGGACTCGCCGACTGCGTCAGTGCTGCCACTTTCATGTACTCGCTCGTAATCAATCCGGCTGCCTGTGAAACAATATTATAATTCAAACTTTAACTACCATTATGACAACAGTTGAGTAAACTTTATTAAGACGAATTAATTAAGACGATCTAATAGAGTGTAAGTGTAGATAATATGAGTCACAGTGCTGCCATCTATGACGTTAAGCAAATCAACCGATTGGTCGCGCTATACTGCTGTATCAAGCGATACAATGTGTATTTTGCGTTATTTTTTTCTATATGAATACACTTTTGTATTATACTAAAATACGTTTATTTTCAAAACTACCATGTATAGGCAAACTGCTTTTAGGGTATCCGACAACGTCTCGTTACAAGGATAATAAACCGTACAATACATACATTACATCTCGCAATGGTTATATTAAATTGTATTTACCTCGAGACTGGCTGGACTCATGGCGGAGTATTCTTCGCTGAGCAACTCCACTATCAAACCCTCGATATCGAAGAACAAAATGTGACTCTCGGGATCTACAAACATTACATAAACTTTATTTAATTGCAAATTGCGGAACTATCCGACTAATAAGATTAATTGAGAGATTTCTAAACTGTTCAAAGTCTGTCTGAAAAAAAGCCTTTATCGGCCCCCCCTTAGTTTCTGATATCTTAATTAAATGTATAGATAAACTTTTACAATGCTTTATTATAATGGATAACGTGTACCTTTTAGCAAAGTGATCAACTTCGACGGCTTTATAAAAAAAAGACGAGAATTTAACCTGAAAACTCACCAGCTGGATTAGATCGGAATCCTTGAATCGTAAGAGGAGGGGGTCTCGCCCTTGCTGGTTCTGCTAATGGTCCAGCGCTGGAGCCCCGTTCTGAGGCATGTAAGGCTGCAAGACCGCGTTGAGTTGCAGCACGCATAGCCGTCAAGTTACGATGGCGGAGACCCCTACAGTAATATGAAAGTTAGGAAGGGTTGGACTAGAAGGTATAAACTATTATAATTATATTGCCAAAGTTTAAGTAGAAGAAATTAAAAATCGATAAAAAATATTAAAAAAACTATGACACAGGCAGGACTTGAATCGCAGTCACATCGTTCCGTGCCGCTGCTCTAACCAACTGAGCTACTGTGTCCTACATCTATATGTACAATACTATTATTGTACTACTATTTATCATTTCATGTTACCTTAAAACGTTTTAATATAAAAACTGATATAAGCTGAGTAAGATCCTATTTCATAAAAAATAATTATATTGTTTATTTTCCATTTAGTAATATAAGTATCATTTGTTAACGCGTAACTGACTTCGTGAGACTCGTCAAGTGCGGATTAGCCCTTCTATAGTAAATCTATACTAATATATAAAGCTAAAGAGTTTGTTTGTATGAACGCGCTAATCTCAGGAAGTACAGGTTCGAATTGAAATTATTTTTGTGTTGGTTAGAGCATTTATCGAGGAAGGCTATAGGCTATAAAACATCGCTCCGTGACTAATACAAGCGACGATACAGCGAGAAATGTGAAAATTATTCATCAGTATGGGTTTCCGAGGCGTACGCTGCAAAAACGGTTCAAGATACCCAAAAAATATGTATAAAGGAATGATTCCTCTTTAAATGATTAAAAAAAGTCTACGACGCTATAAACCTATATCAAGAAGGTTAAATTGCAAGAACGACGGGTAAGGACAAGACCGACATCGTGGCTAAAACGAATTTGTAGCCTGAAATAACTATTTTACGCGAACGAAGTCGCTGTATAAAGATATACATTTGCGATGTATATCGACGGCAGTGATATACAGACAAAAAGAAACATTATAAAAACCTCGATCTATAATCGACAAGTAAGTAAAGAAAAGTATAACAATAAGATTTAGAGTTTAGTTTACGTTTCTTTAATTATATGAATTCAACATTATTTTGAACTTTAAACCATACGATGTCGAGCCTCGAACCCATGACTTATGACATGACGATATCATTTTGTGCTACTGATCTACCAATCAGGCTACTATACGCACACGTGATCATCAAATTTGTTCAATTCATTAACGCATTATAAACGCGGTTTTATGTATAGGCAGTGATGTACCTGAAGAAATGCACGGCAGGGTTTGCTATGCCCTGCAAGTCGGTGCCAGTGGATAGAGAACCACCCAGCTCGTCAGCGATAGTTTCGTCACAAGCGGCTAACACCTCTTCGGCGATCATACCTAGGCGAACACAAAACAGATTAGACTAAAGTTCTAAAGAGTATAAAAACGTTTACAGACTGGAAACAAATCTGTGGACAGTGATTTTGACCCAGACGGAATTCCGATATTTCTAATACTTATTGTATACAACTGATGTTACAATAATATAATATACTACTTATATTAGCAACAACGAAGCTGCTTTGGGCACATCACTGTCAGGGCTTGTGGTATTTTAATTTAATAAATAAAAAAAGTTTAATATATTTCAGTAATATTACGAAGTGGTTTATAAATATAGTATATTTATGGTGTACAAGAACTTATATTTCATGGGGGAGTTTCATCAGAAATACTAAATAAGCAGATTTACCGCGTAACGCGTTATGTAACTCGACAACGATATGGCTTTAACGACATTAAAAAACTGTATTATTCTTTATATATTATTATTGCACAAGATGACATTACATAAATTAGAAAATCAATTTCGATTCATATATAAACGTTTCCAAATGTAAAACTCTGTAATGATCTTCAAAGATATATAAAGCTGCAATGCATAGGATATTGAACCTCAACGTGTAATTCTTAAGCTTTAAATTTCATTACACGAGAGGTGTATAACGGGGTTCAAAATGTTTAAAGTGATGTATTCATTTACCATGTAAAACTCTATCCAAATGCCCCGTCTCCATTTGCCAGACGTAAACAGTACCGTCACTGCATCCGACCACCATGAAATCGTCTGCCGGGCGCCATTTTATAGTGACAACCGGAAACAGGTGGCGAGATGCCAACGTTACGCATTTCCGCTCCGTAAGACCTAAAATAGATATTTTTTTCTTTAATAACACAATAAATACTGTCTGTAGTTAACGCGTGTAGTACACAATGTTAAAATAAAACACTTTAACGGTTTAAAATGATATATATTAGTTAAACTTATTTTGAAATTGTTTTAACTACTTCCTGTGGTACCCCGTGATTTCGGCTGCTGTATAGCATCCGACGCATACGACATGCCGTAGTTAAAATCTCCAAATAAGTTTAACTAAGATATATCGCGTTAAGGTATTTTAGTAACATAATATGTTGTCATAACATTCGTTTGTATTTTCTTGTCTCGTATTGGTTTGTCTTTAGTTCCAGTGACTAGCAGTCACCAACTAACACGAAATGCGAATTATATAGGCTGCTAGAGGCAGAGTGGCTTAATAACAAAAAACATGATTTTGAGGAAAATATAAATGCAGAATTAACGTAGGCGAAAATGAATTTATTATTACTATTATTTGTATTAGAAATCTGTTAACAATTATCGGTCATTGTGCTTTTGTGGATAAACATTTTTAGACTACAAAAAATATAAATAGCGGCTGTCTCTAGCGGCCTCGTATATGTTATTACTTAAAAATAACTCACTTAATAAAGTAACGCTGTGATCTGAAGCGACCGCACAGATACACTTTTGAATCCGAGGCTGTAAGGAAAACATTTTTGAATAATTTTAAAGATAAAGAGAGAAATTAATTGTGAAGTCGCCATAAGTGGCGCACATTTTTCAGCTCTTATAATATCTTCACATAATTGGGTAAAAATATAACTAGTATCCGATTACCTTTATATAATTACATAGTTAATAAATATTATCTTTTGAGTATCACCCCGTTTCAGTGTCCACATAAAGACAGAGAGAGAGAGTAAGATCATGGGTTCCAAGTTTAAAATAAGATGATAAATAATTTCAGACGTACATGGCACTAGCAATTATAAAGAAAATAAATGGGTGAAACGGCCACAAAAATGTATCCGCCCAAAAATGAATGTACTTGGGGATGGTGGGGGTTGGTAAACGGGAAATTGACAAAATTAGACAGATTATTGTTTCAGGAGTTAATCGAGAGCAGATATAAGAAACAAATAAGCCTTAAATTACTCACGCTACAGTTATGTGGTGGTACAATCAACTGGGTAATTTCTCCTGCGTGCACGCAGAAGCGGTGGAGCAGGGCTCCACTAAACAAATCCCAGAGGCAGACAGCGAAATCTATACCGCCAGACACCAAGTGTGACTTGTCGTATCTGTAAATATAGTACACAGATTATACAAAAATACTCGCAGAAGTATTTTAAAGTGCTATTAGTGAAATAAAGCCTATTGGTTACAGCAAAATACAGATACAGAAAAATGTCTCATCGAAAAAGCTTAGAAAATTGAAAGTATTAATATAAGTGCTGTCTGTAGTTAATAATTTGTTTTTAACAGTTTAAAACACAAATGGTCATGTGACCTCTCCACAAACGATGACTACTTCTAAAAAGTTGACTAATATATTTCACGTATTAAACTTGTTTTATTTAACCACATCAATACTTTGAATGAATACATACAATTGGGAAGTAATATTAATGAAGTCACCTTTGATGAACGTGATGAGGATAAAGTAGACAGTTGACTCGTCCGTTGTGCCCGAGCAACAGCTGGTGCGGAGGCCAATCTAGAAACAATAATAAAGTCTCATGAAGGTAACTAGGTACCCTTATGATCGGCAATACATTTAAAAATCTCCGTCAGCCACTTTCTCTTTAAAACTTAACTCACCATCCAGCTGCTGATGACTCCCGTGTAACAGTTGTAACTGTACCGTGTGCGTCGCGTTCACTATCACTATGGATCCATCTTCACGTCCGACGACCAAACGATTCGCGGCCAATAGATATATCGAGGCTGTGAGTTTGATTTCTGGAATTATGAAATTACAAGTGTGTTATAGACTATCATTGAATATAAGGAGTAAAGTAATACTTTTGTGTGCGCACGCATTTATGTGTGTGAGAGAGAGTAAGTGTTTGTGTGTGTCTGTATAAAAATGTGCATATGTACGTTGTGTGTGCCTGTGTATTAAAGTGTATGAGTATGTTTTGTGTGCCTAAGTATGAATGTGTATGGGTGGGTTTCTGTGTGGCTGTGCGTGGATGGTTTGATGTGTGTCTGTGTATATATGGATGGGTTTATTTCGGTGTATCAGTGCATGAATGTTTATGGGTGGGTAAAAACAAAGGAATGCAAATATTTAGGTAAGTTATGAAGGCAGTTATCGCAGGATATGTTCTCTTTTACTGGTATGGTACTTACTGAAACGTGAAAGGGACATATCAAATTTGGTAGACTATTGATTGATGAATGCATAAAACTTACCAGGCTCATCAGGGTGGCTTAACTGATCCAATATTCCTACGGGACTTGGGTTCATCTCGGCCCAGGCCATCTCCAAGCTGGTGGTCACGATTGGTGCGCGAGCTAAAAGTACATTATGTAGCTGTTAGAGTCAATTGAAGTTTCATTGGTATGCTAATAACAACTTATTTAACTCATACTGGTTATAGTACGGAAAAAGCACTCCATTTACTAACGACGGAGATAAAAGATCATGTGACGTCGCTTTAGAAAGATAAAAACAATTGTTTACCGAAAACTCTTGTTTTCCTAAGATAGAATAATGAAACTACTGTAAAATTAAACTAGGGGCTTTTATGCGTCGTTTAAACATATCTTGCTTCAAACTGAAGCTCTACTTGAAGCATCAATAGTATTATTAACTTCACTGCAATGTGGTTGCAAACACTTACACATGACTTTATTTGGTACAGGCATGGCTGCGTCATCGACGTTCCAGAGTAGTACTACACCAGCAGAATCCCCCCTTAATAGGAGTCTTCGCTGTTTTCCCCCCACAGAGGTAAGAATGAATCGCATGGCCGGGGGACACGAGAGCAACTGAAAGAGGATCATATTTTTGCATTCCTTTAAATTATTTCCAGCCAGTATTTCTAACTGTAACAAATGAGGTTATACATACATATTATATAAACCTAGTCTAAAATAGAGAGTAGTAGTGAACCGTTACCTTATTATCTGGATGTGCCAGAATGCCGTATAACACAGGACTATCGTGTTCAACAGTAGGACCGTGGAATCCTTTATGATCTGGTACTGAACTGTGGAAGTAGTTGGTTCAAAAGATAAAAAAAGCTTTTTTAACTTTTTTCATAACGAGTCATTACTTTTGGCTTTTCATCTATCTCTATCTACTTAGAGGTTCAGAAAGAGATAGCTGTAGGATAAATACTACTTAATTTTGTATATTCAACACTAATGTACACAACATTTTATATAATGTTTCACAACCGCCATATTTGGCCGAGTAGTCTGTGAGTGTATAACGAAAGAATAATGTAAAAATGATAGAAATGGTGTGATTAGCAAATAAAAATCTACTATATACAAACAATATTAATAAACTTCTAATCTAAAGCATATGGCAATTAAATTTCGTATGAGTTTAAAATCTGGGATGTAATAGTTTCCATTACAGCGGATTTATATTTTAGGATAAAAAATGTCGACGATGCACAGAATTTTCAGTGTATCGTCTCTCTCTGTATTAAAATTTGAATAAACGAGACAAAACAAACAAAATATTTTTTTAACAACCTTCTTGTTTCTTATCAAGAAAAAACAAACGTCAAAAACGTTAAATCCTAAATAGTATACTTTCAGGATATTTGTAAAATTAATAGATCCCTTAATAAAAAAATCATGTCGTCTATAATGGAAACATATTCTAAAAACCATAGATTACAAACTCACTTCTAGTAACGTATGGACTTTTCAAAAACACTATTCTATCTTTGCTAAAAATTATAACACAATTACAATATCGTTTAATGACTGCAATATGAAGTCTATAGTCTATACGCAAACTAAAAATGTTACCATCAACAAAAAACAACTGTACATATAAAACAGTGCTGACCTACTGATAGCCCGTCCGCGCAGTTTGCTATAAAAAATAAATTTATTTAGCTTTCAACTGGCAATACAGGTTAGCTTCAGTGTTTTTACTTAAAGTATTATGTAGCGACAGACACACCCATACACATACCCAAGCATAAACATCCATATACATACACAAGGCTGTCAGGTTGTATAAACTTTTTTCTAATGTATTAACTATTTATATAGAGGTGCCCTGGAGCCCAAACAGCATAGCTATTACAGGGGCCAACAAACAATTTAATATTGTACTGTTAAGCTAATAATAATTGTTCTTAACATTTAGCTAAATATTTGACAATATTGAAATATAGAATCATTAACTTATTTCTTATATTGAATAATTCTTGTGTTAACAAAAATAGCAGAGGCATGTGCTCTGATGACAAACTAATGCCAAAAACAATATCTAAAAAATTGTGGAGGTATGATTTTGTCTGTAAGTATGAATGAAATTAATGGCAGTGATTGGGATGTATAGCAATTTTTGTTAAAAATATTATGATTATTATTGGCATCTAAAAATGTGCAAAAACATTCTTTATATCATGCCACTGCTCACTGCAATTAATTTCCCCCGTCACAAACTTATGTAGATCTCCAAATCAAATATAGTCCTAAACTTTTGAATAAAACACTCTAACGATTTAAAAAGCGATATATTGATTAAACTTATTTGAAAATGATTTTTAACTTCGGCCCGACGTTTCAGATGCTTTGCAGCAGCCGTGGTCACGGGGAAACGTTGGGCCGAAGTTAAAAAATCATTGTCAAATAAGTTTAACTAATATATCGCGTTTTAAACTGTTAAAGTGTTTTATTTAAATGTGTACTACTCGCGTAAACTACAGACAGTATTTAGTCCTAAACTTACTTTGCGGGTAGTTTATACAAGTATCCCTTTCCTTCAGTGGACCAGACTAGAACCCTGTCCGGAGCCAAAAAGTCGCCAGACATCCAACGTTCCCCAGATGGTGCTTGGATTGAGCATAGGACCGAGAAATCCCCTGAAATCACAAAGTGACTTATCTTAAATCATTTGTCAACCTTTACATGTCTACGATATCCGTGTATGTATGTGTGTGTTTAACTTTAATGTGTATGTTGTATGGGTGGATATTTATTTAGTTCATTTCGAATACATAATTATTAAATTGAAGGTCGATAAATTGAAAAAAAATTCACGGCTCGCGCAGGACTTGAATCGGCATCGTCAGTGTTCCGTGCTGGTGCTCTAACCAATTGAGCTACCGAGTCTCACACGTCATCGTGGAATTTTTTCAACGTATTAATACATGCACCTTTCTCGATATGAAATTTCAACCCTAACACTTACGTTTGCATAATTATTTACAATACATGAATGACAAAGTGGAATGATAAAAATAAACTCACCAGCATCATATATCTGACAGTATTTAGCACAAACAATCAGCACAGTCCGCTGATTATACGCACAGCAGTTCAGGGATAGAGCATTTAAGCAGCGAATTTGCTTGGACTCATTTTCATATATTGGTTCCGACTGTTTATTCTCGTGGCCAAGTAGAGACCATACCTAGAATATCGAATAAAGAAAAGCATTAGAAGTCTGGTTTGTAAGCAATGATTAAAATCAAAATTAAAAATCATTTATTCATGTAGGTAGTACACACACCTGAGTGTCAAAACAGTTAAACAATTAAAACTCTAAATTTTCAGTTACTACCGGTTCCGAAGATAACCGTGTATAAGTGGTATGCATCTTTAGATTAGACATGTACATAAAAGATTATATTAGTGGATATACCGTTTAAGAAGTTCTAAAGAAGCAGTTTTTCAAGTATATTAAATAGTTTACTATTTATTTAATATAAGATTTTATAAATTCATTATAATATTATAGTTCCAGCAAGCGGTGGTGTGTCAAATTAATTACAGCTAAATAGTTATTTGCACTTACTTTAACAGTTCCTGTGATAGATATGGCTAGTACCACGTCGTCCCTTCGCGACGACGGACGCAGTACCTGAACATTTTAAGGCTTTTTAGTTTGGAGTCACAGAGCACTAACACATTGACATTTGTATTATGCATTACCTATAACTTGTTATTGCAATAAACAAAAAAATCTGTCATTACTGTATACACAAACAGTACTTGGGTTACAGACTATAGGTGTAAAAACCAAACAAAAAAACCAGTTACATATGTATGTCTCTAGTAATTAAAAAACTCTTTACTAAATAACTACTCTAACACTTACATGCAGTGCTGATATCCAATCAGGATTCATTTTGGAGCTCAAGGAGAATAATATTTCCAGAGAGAACGGATCCATGATCAAGATCTCTGCATAGTAGCCATTACAAAACAAACGCAGGTCTTCACTGTTGCACATATGGTAGGCCTGTGGAGTTTAGCACATTATAATCTATATATAATATATGAATACTTGTGTCTAGCATTGGGGCTTATCTTTTCATTATTAGTGTTGATTAAATACCTGTATGTTTGTATGTACTTGTGTCAGCTTAACACTCTCACGACATTTGCCATCAACTAAATCCCAAGTGCACATTTCTCCAGCTTCTGATGAGCTGACTATAAAGTTATTATCCTGGAAAGAGTTAATTTAAAAGATATCAAGTTAACTCTACAAAAACAATAAGATTTAAGGGTTCAGGATGGCCAAACAAACTTAATCAATTAATCCACTAAAAGTAATATTACTTTCTCAACCAGATTTAATATTGTTTCCTAATAATTAAAAAAAGAAAATCAGACTAATACAAAACAATACTCATTATCATAAAATAATATAGGCTTACTTAACTTAATAATTTTTAAAATGTTGAAAATAAAGAGATAATTGTTTTCTACCTGTACTATTGAAGCCCTGGATAGACAAGTTACAGGTGCTGTATGGCCAACCAGTAGACAGCGTGGAGTCATTTTCAGGGAATCTGGATTGACTTGCCATAAACATATTTGTCCATCATAACATCCTGTGACCAGAGTCTTCTGATCTCTTGATAGGTAAACTGAAGATATGCAGTGTGTCGGTGCATGTTTACCCCACAACACTACAGGCACAATCAAATTTGTCCCTGGCATCCTTTCTGCAAAGAATATTGCATGTCTTAATGAATGATTGTGCGTATAGCAAAACAAATGTTAATGAAACTGATTTGTTTGCATAACAAACACTGAAGACATACAAATTGCAAGGGCGAATCACAAGAAACCACACCTTATTATGTAATTAACTTTCACAGGCCGTATTACAGGCAGTTATAGCTCTTTTATGGGTGAAAATTATATATCCTTAGATTAATTCAATAAATAGGGCAAAAAATATTATGTTAAAAACATTTTAATCTAATCAATAACTTCAGCTGACTTTGACAATCATAAAAAATTCGACAGTTTGATAGCTTATGAATACCGTCTGTCATTAAGGTGTCAATGTCATTACAGCTTGTCGTATGTCAAAAAGGCCTGCGCATGCCTTGCACTTGCTTTGTTTTGACATTTGATAAGCGATTATGAACTGTCCATAATTAACCGATTATTTTATAATTTTTTGCCCTCTATTAGTATTAACTTACATTAAAAGCTTTTATGTTGAGAAAGTACGGTTAAATTTTTAAACAGTTTTGGAATATTGACACATAGCGGGTAAGTTTTAATAAATAAAATAGTCTCGTTCACAAATTATTAAAAGTTTGCCTAAATTAGTTTCTACTTGGAAAGCTTCATATTTTTTGATTACTTATTGCTTTTTCTATGCTATTAGTCGTTCGTTGTAATTCCATTTAATACCATCTCTTGTCAAATACCTCTTTATTTTATTATTCAATTTTAAACTTGTTACTAAACGAACATCGTTTTTATTCATATATTGGTAAAATTAAGTATTTAAGCAAAAGGATTAAGACTTACCATCTTTTTCTTTAAATTTCTGAGTTTTATATAAAAAGGTCTATTTCTCTTGTTATATAAAAACAATATGGCACTTTACAAGGAAGCATGCAGTTCTTCATTTCATTCTGCAAATGTCTGATCAACTACTTGCCTGTTAAAGAACCGATCAGTGAAACAGACACAAAAATGTGTTTGCCCCATGCCCCACGAGGGGGAAACGGGATTTGGAACACACACATATTCAGTTCTTAAAAATTACTTTTTATTTATTTACAGCATTTGAAGATATCAGCACAATGGCCCCTCCAGGGACCTATGAAATCAATATTATTCACTATTTAAACCCATATTTAATTTGGATAGAAGTACCCAATTCTCATTTTGAGCAAATTGGTATATATGGTATTTTACCATGTGAAAAGTTAATAGACTTTTATAGTAGCACTGATGCACTGGGTCTGACAAATGTCAAGACAAAGGAATGGATGCCTGCGGCAACAAAACTTATGAAAGACTTTTTAGGGGAAGCAGCTAAAACTTGGTTCTCTCTGACTTATGTAGATCGCAGGTTTGTAATAACTTGAGTATTCTGTATTATCATTATGTAGGATCTTGGAATAAGCTGGGTGAAAAAGTATATACTTTTATGTTTATTTAGCTGATCAATTATATTTACAAGGACATCAAACTTCTATCATTCCATCATCATCTAACTATGAGACGCAAGTAGCTAATGCTATAACTTAAAGATTTCTTTAAAAAACTTTACAATAATTTAAATACATACTTCATAACTCCAATATATTACTTTTAAAAATAGGGTTTTTTACAGAAGTTCAATTTTTGACGACAACATTCATAAGTTTGGTGACATTACAATTGAAACAAAAAAAGGAGAGACAAAGAATTTGTCTCAGTTTCTAGTAAACTCTGCATTTGCTTCGCACAATGAGTCCGAATTCCATGGAAAACTCCTGACTGGAACATTAACAACAAAACTTAATATTAAACAGCTTGAAAATATTATTAAATGTCTTGAAAAATATTGTGGTGCAGATAAACATAAACTAGCAGAGATTACAACTGTAGCTAAAAATGTCATTAATTTAGAAGATGAACTTAGAACCTTCAATTTAGATAGTAATGATGAAAAATTCCAGAAAATTGTTCATCAAAAAAGGAAAGATTATGAATTGTGTAAGGACAGTGAAGAGGAGTCATTTGGTAGAGCTTTAAGGAAAATAATAAATGAAAATAAAGATGAAGAACTGCAAGATAAACCTTTTGTTTTAAGAAATTACTTTGATAAATTGGAACACTTTCAAAGTTCACAAGGATCAACTAGTGGATCAGAAATAAATGGTCAATGTCAAAAAATTGAGACAAAAACGGAAGTGAAACAGTCAGCTATGTCTAAGAAATTAGCTCTGTTGAAAATGCTTTCCCAGTCCAATTCAAAAGCTAATGATTCACCTAGTTTCCCCAAATGCGAAGAGTTACCCGTCAAAAGTAAGATTTATTTGCCTTTTATCAATTATTTGTATTTTGTGTCTTATATTAAGTAGAAACAAATAAAGCATAAATAATTTTGACAGTGCATGCATTTTTATTCAGAGTTATTATGAAAATGTTATAAACATGCTTTTATTTCAGGGGGAATACACACAACAATGACAGAAACTGAACATCAAAATAATGAAGAAAACAAAACAACATACAGCAAACTTGATATTTCCAAGAAACAAACAAATTTTCCAGATGTCATAAATGATGTTCAAATTAACAAGAAGCCAATAGATTTAGGTGCTGAAGATAAAGGAAAGATTTCCATGATGAAAAGAAAACTTATCATGCTTAAAACCGCTTCAAAAGCTTCCCAGGATGCACTTGAAAAAGGTACAAATCAAAATGATGAATTAGATGATGAACTTGATGATATCATTGAATACATTAATGCAACTTGTACAAAAAACAAACCTCACTCTCCCAACAAACCCAAAGAATTAATAGAACCTGTTAATTCTAATGAAAATGTACAAATTTTAAGTACTCAAATGTGTAATTTTGTAGAGAAAATAGTGACACCAGTAGTAATGGTACACTGCAAGTATAAGAAAAATATTAAACCAATTTATACTCTTACGGATATACCATTCAACAAACATATAAATACGGTTCTAAAAAATATGTCTATAAATCGCGCTATGTCACTGCAATCTGTGTCTTGGCATACAATTTTAAGAGGTCACAGTTTTTTTATGATTGGACCAAAAGCTAGCGGAAAGACCATGGGTTACTTGCCTTGTGTTTGCCGTTCAGTAAGTGACAGAAATTGCGATATCACAAATACTGTTGGTCCAATATGCATCATAGTTTGTGCTACAGCTAAATCCGTGGCTGACGTTGAAAAAATAGCTAAAACACTTCTTGGTTTCAATGAACAAGTATTAGCCTGTTATGCAGGGGTTGATAACATGTTTATAACGACCTCACTTCTAAACCGTTGCGACTTGTTAATCGCAACTCCACTGGCGCTAGTTAGGTTACTTCATGACAGTGACTTCGGTGTTGATTTACGGCGCTTACAAACATTCGTTCTTGATGATTATGAACGTCTAGATGCAGTATACAAGAAAGAAATAAAGTTTTTCACCCACAAAATTAGAGAGCTCGAGAAGACTAGAGAGAAAGAATTACGGGTTCAAATTATCCTTGCTTCTAGGATCTGGTGCGATTCGATGGAACATTTAGCGAAGAAGGCTGCCGATACGGTCATCGCCATCGGCGCGTTTCCTGAATGCGTGATATACTCAAAATCTCATATGACTGTGTGCTTTGTTGATAACAACAAAAAAACCGAATCAGTCCTGGAATTTATGAACGAAATCGATGCTTCCAAAAAAATTGTGATCGTTTGTAGGTACAGCGAAGAGGTGAAAGCGCTCGAGAAACAAATGAAGCACTTGAAAAATCACATTTTCACTTGTGATAGTGATATGACTATACACGATCTATATAACTTAAATGCAGCCTGGGATGAATATCAGGTGCCCTTGATTGGCCCAATCCTTATTTGCACCGATGACAACTTGAGTCATCTAAATATTACGGACGCAAGCTACTTAATTCATTTCTCTTTGCCGAAAGCTTATTCGTTCTTTAGTAGGCGATTTTCCGTTTTAAAAGATAATTATACTTCAATATTCCGATCGGAGACTAAAACGGTCAAAATAAAAATGCTACTAGAAGAAGCAAACACAGAAAAACTACCAAAGATTTTGAACTTTTTAAAACGATGCACCGATGTCCCCCCGAGCCTAGACGCTATTTGTGAAAATCTACTGGAAGCGAAAGACGTTTGCAAAGCCAAACAATTCGTCCCAATTTGTGATGGACTTCTTGCTTTGGGGTATTGCCCAGAATTTCACGACTGTCAAAATAGGCATAAGGTTTTAAATGGGTATGATGATCCACCTGTGTGGATGCCAAAGTCAGGAATAATAAACTTTACGATTTTACACTTTCATTCAGCTACTAATTATTCGGCTCATCTGTTAGCTCACATTGACAAGGACAGCTCTATAAAATATCCTGCGACATATTCGACCCTCTCCGTTAAGCTCGGAATGTATTTCGGTAACACCTCTAATAGAAAACTTCATGGAATACCCAAAGTGGGCGACATTTGCGCCGTGTCCATTAGACAAGATCTGTTCGTAAGATGTCAAATTGTAAAAATACTAAGCGTGTATCAAAAAGGAAAACCTAATTATGTCTTGATAAGGTTAATAGATGAAGAAAAATACGAGAAAACTAGAGACATATACTTGTACCATTTGCCTAAAGAATTTCAATGTATCGATACTCACGTCGTTCAGATTCGTTTAGCTAATGTGCAGCCTAAGGATCGAGACGTTACATTTTCTAAACTAGCTAGTGATCACATAAGATCCCTTGTGAATGAAGATGACGATTTGTATGTACGCGGACGTATTGCTGGAGTTATTGGCAATTGTATATTTGTTGACACTTTAAAAGCCTGCCGTGAACTATCAACACTAGCTGAAGTAGTTGTTAAGCACGATCTAAGATATGAACTGTTACAAAAGCACGCAGAGCCGTTCCCGGATCACATCAAGAAATTAATGCAATTATGTTCTGAAAACAATTTCTCTATGATCAGCGAAAGACAATCTCCTGAAAAGAAGAAAACAAAGAAACATAATTCGGGCTCTTGGGCTCATCTTGTATTTGGGGAACACGTGAGTGTTTATGTTACATCACTTTTAAATCCTGATGAATGTTTCATGCGTCTACATAAGTTTGAGCCATGTATGCAGCTACTTTTGAAAGATATAAAAAAATACATCGACACCACTCCGAAACCCCTGTCGGATATAGAAGAAGGCGATATAGTGTTAGCTAAATTCCCAGATGACGATGTATTCGAGAGAGCTAGAATCGATGCTGTCAATAAGAATTTGATTAAATGCTTCTTCGTCGATCAAGGTGATTGGGCATTCGTCCCTTCCAAATATATATTCCCAATAACAGATAAACTAATCAACCAGCTCCCTTTCCAAGCTATTGAATGCCGTCTCATCGGCTTAAAGCCTCCTGGTGCTACATGGACAGACTTCTGTATTAACTGGCTTTCAAACTATACAGATGAAGGAACGAAGGCTTTATACGCTAAATACTTTAAAAAAGAACCAGCTAAATACACCGCAGGGAGTAAATATTCAGTTAGTCTTGTAGATACAAATGCTCTTACGGACATTGTAGTAAACCAGTTGATGATTGATTTGAATCTTGCCCAAATAGATGAAGACGAAATCCACTTTCTAGAGGATATTATGCCCAAGGCAAAAGGCAGCGAAGGAAGCAGCGACTCTGTTGTTTTTGGATTAGATGAGGATGACTGGGAGAAAGTGTCTCGAAATAGATCGTCTAGTCCAAAAAAATCTTCTGCAAACATACCACTATCGGATATATTTTTGCCTGCACCAAAACGGTCGGTGCCGTTAGTCGGTTCTGACGACTCGGACTGCGACTCGTGGGATATCGGTAATCCTAGTTCATTTTTAGGCTGTTTCAAAGCTATAACAAACGCCGATGTTAGCCACGACAAGCCCGCAAATGAAGCAAATCAGCCCTTAGCACTAAAAGCGCCAGAATCCCATAACGAAGACGACTCAATTGGATTGTCAAAGAAAAGTAATACAAGTAAAAGCAGCGTACAAAGTATTAGCGACGGCGTCAAAAGCCCAGATTTCCAGCTGGTGTCCAAGAAACTCGATCTTGAATTAGATTCGGATGATACTGTCACATCAGTAGCTGGACCAAACACTTCCACAATAGATGAGACGAGGAAACCCAAGCTCACTTGGAGGCAGAATAAAACATCCGTCAACATCAAAATTCAGTTGATCGGAGTAGAAAAATACGAACTACATATCAATGAGAGGACTATACATTTCTCAACGTTCGTGCACGACACAAAGTATAGCTTTGGCTTTGAGTTATACGCTGTGGTCAACACAAAGTTATGTTCGCATGCGAATAAAGGCCAGTACATCTTGGTTAAGCTGGTGAAAGTTTTGCAAAAGAATTGGTTAACTCTTACCAAAGATCCGGAGCTAACGAAGTGGATAGTGTATGACGTTGATGGTATAGAAGCGTCTTCTGACGAAGACGTTGTCGACGACACTATCGTTAAAATTGTCAAGCATATGCATGACACCCAAGACACAGACAGCGATGATGGTGACGCTGTCATAGATGATATTGATTACAGATATAAATAGGTACTTTTTTATTCAATTATAATATGTGTTCCATAAGTATTATATTATATAACTATTGTACTGTTGAATTATACTTCTGTCGGGTGTTATCTACCAACACATATTTAGTTTTCGTGGTACATTAGGGCTACATAGAAGGCTTATTTCCCAGCTGTGGGAACAACTTTGGAAATGAGTTTTAGTGTCATTATTTTGCGAATATAGAAAAAAGTGGATATTGTATTGCGTGCAAAGCAAGTAATACATAGCAACTAAGTAATAATTACTTTATATATTATTAAAAAAAAAAAAAATATCTTTACAGAAGTCTAGAAGCTACAACATGGAGTTACAGGTATTATAGTGCCACAATCATTCTAATTTTGGATACTATACATTTTAAATTTATCGCTGTTGTTGATTTAAATGTATAGATGTAGTTTTTAAGCGAGATAGAATTTTTAATTGCGTCGTTTATAGAGTTATGGTCTTATGTTAAGACTGTTCTTTTCGTAGTTCATAACGTATAATAAATATTTCAACATTTTTTTTCGTGGTTTGGAACCATAACATTATTCCCTTTTAGCTAAGTACTTTAAAACATTATCAAAATGTTTGAAACTTGATTATTTTCAAAGTTGCTCAATTCGTAAGATTTCGGAACAGTGTGGATGTGTTTAGGAGTTCAGTCCATGTTGTCGATACTTTTCGATATAAAATACATTTTAACTAGGTGTATGAGAAAGTATTAAAAAGAAAAAACAAATGGCTACCAGGAATGCCTATGTTTCAAGCGGTTAGCTGATAAAAACGTGAAACTACCCTCATTCGCTACTACGATAAATGTTGTAATGACTTCTAAATTAATAAAATGTGACATATTGTCGTAGCTAAACAAATGGCAGCATTGATCCATTTTCCCTGTCTTGAACGACAAGTTAATAATAATTGTAACTTAGAATTAAGGATACATACTCGTTGGTCTGTGAAATAAAGTTTAACATTTACTAACATGCTTTATTGATCTGAATCTTACAATATATCTCTATATGATAATAAATATATTTCAACTATTATGGAATGCAACGCTCACAGCACACAAGAGGAATAAGTACATATATCATAAAATAACACACGAAAAACAGTACAAAATCATCTATGATTAAATATTTTTCTAGCTGAACTTCAAACAGTGTAATGTGGTTATAGTAGGCTGGCACGTTTGAGGAAGAAATTATTAATATAGACTATGTGGGAGTGCCCAACCGTTTTTATTTATTAATGACTACTTCTACCCATTAGGATAATTACATACATACAGAACTATCAAACGTGCCACGAAAAATTTGATCGTATCATAACGTATACTTGTATATAACACATACATTTTCAGTTAACAATCCAATTTAATGTTTAACAACTTTGCTGCTTAATTTTTAATAGATATGATTGTTTATTGCTTACATAAAAGTTACCGATTAACACAGAATAAATGATTTTGCATTAACATCAATTAAATTGATTATAACATATGCTCAGTTGTAAGCATAGTACAACAAAAATATGGTATGTAATAAATATACCATTATTTCTATAGAATTTATACGAGCCACTTTTAACCGGGTAAATATTGTCCTTGGAACGATCAACAATAATACGTGTATATTTATTTTTACTCGCTAACGACTTTTCTAAATATAAATAATTCTTTTATATCACTTACTTGGGATTAGCTGGCAATACATTATTTGAAATAGCTTGCTGCCACCAGTATTCACTTGAAATTAATACATTTTTAGCGAGTGATTATTTAACAAGATTGCGTTGACGTATTTTTAATCTTTACATAACCTCGAGACTTGAATCTATGAAATTGAGCACCTAATGTATCTTAAACTATAATTTACTAATATATTTATATCTTTAAGATATCTAAAAATACTTTAGTTTGACAAATAAAGGTGTACAGGCACCTAAGTTGGTAACATTTTACTAAAATACTCTTCTATGTGGAATGTGAGAACAACGTAGATATGTTAAAAAGTAACAAAGAAACAATTGCTTCTGTAATCATTGAAAAACAGAAAAATTATCATTTTAGACCTGTTTTTGTTTAATTATCTTATACGTGTAAGCTATTTGCTGGTAACTGTATAGCTGGGAAATATGTGCAAAATATAATCTCGTTCTATGACTCTAGTTTTCTATAATTGGTCTATTCATTGTATTAGATTAGGTCCTATTTTAACTAAATGTTACTCTTATACACTATAACATGTTAGTTTGACAGGCATTTTACAACAAAAAGATTGTTAATAATGTTGGTCTTCAAAAGATTTTAAATATATTTTTTTATGTAAGCTAAGTGAAGGAGACCGCAGTAAAATGCCTGATTTATTATTGGGGCAACATTAAACATAATATGGCAAGTAAAAATCGTACTGTAATTTCGTTAATTATTAGTCTTGAAGGTTTTGTCGAAATTATAAATGCTATTTTAGTAAAGAAAAAAAAACTAGAACACCAAATAATAATAAGCTATCTTGTCGAGTCAACTCTATGATTTTAAACAAAAACTTTACTTAACATAAACGTATCAATTAGTAAAACAACAATAAATGCACCAATAGTTTTCAAAAAGTAAATAAATAAACTATAATATCATATCCTTATATCTAGTGTTGGAATCGATATTTTTAACAAATCAAGGATACGTTGATAGCAGTCAATATTGCTATCAACGAGAATATTTTACTAATAACAATAATTAAATCTAAGTTTAAGTCTAAATAAATTTCAACTATTTTAACGAACAATCTGTAAAATTATTAAGTACTTTTCAAAATGGACGAAGGAATAAAGTGAGCTTAAATGTTTTTTTAGACAAACATAGACCTAATTTTCTAATCGTTAATTTTCTATAATTTAATTTTTTGATAGCCATGAAACAAAATTTTAGACAGCAATTAGTCTCCCCGTAACCACGGCTGCTGCAAAGCATCCGAGACATCGGGCCGTAGTTAAAATAATTTTTAAATAAGTTCAACTAATACACTTCGCGTTTTAAACTGTGAGTGTTTTATTTCAATGTGTACTACTCGCGTAATCAATGAAGAGATCACACCATCGTTTTATTTGGATGGTGTTGTCAGTTAAATGACGTCATTGCAAAGCCAATATGGCCGCCTAAAGAATAAATTGTTTAAGCACCTCCCTTATTTTAAAAAAGGTTTGAAGATAAGGGAGGCACTGAGATGATTTAGACTATCGAAAACGATTATCATTCTTTCTTAAACATCTTGAATTAATACACGTTAAATTAGAGTGTTTGTACTCGATTATACAATGATCGTTATAAAAGTTAAATGCTTTTATTAGATTCTGAGTCCTCAATCAACGGCCTAGAAAATTAGGTGTACGCTCAATAATATAACTAATTATAATGGCACCTCATAGCAAATACTTTTTTTCGTCTCGTTTCCTCTACGAGATAAAACGAGGCAGAAAGAGACAAACGTATATAGCACAAAACAAGATTTGTATACAAGCACATATCTGTAAGTTCTAAAGATGGTGATTTCTATATTATTATAAAGACAATGGAGGCCGATTTAAGCAATTAATACATACATAACATAATAACAATGATTGGAATTTGCTGAACATAATCCCACTTCAACTAACGATTCCTAAGGCAGATAATAAATAATTCGTAGAATCAGACTTAAAATTAATAGAGTATGGCTTATAATCAATCGTGTTCCGGTTTTATCTGTAGCTTAAACGTTTCTGGTATTGTCCAGGTCTTCACAAACCCGAGCATCATTTATATTTTGGTGAGTAGTCCGTCCAATTCCAACACGTTAGGTACTTCAATGTCTTCGAGACGTATTGATGATGGACTATACTGGAACTGCACGGCGAAAATTACCTTGGAATCCATCAGTAGATTTTTCTGAAATGTAAAAAAACAACACATTTTACAATCAGTAACCTATAATCAATGACTCATCAATAGTCTATATCAATACATATAATCCATATTATATGTTATTACTTGATATATAAATCTTAAAAAATATTATATGAAAACAATAGTAATCTACTGTGTAGAATATTAGTATCTACGACATTGATGCATACTTATACGTTGAACGTAATTAGTCCGTCAAACTAAAGTTAAATGCAAGATAACTGTACTCACAGATTCTGTATCAGCACCGGGCCGGCTCTTCATTAGTTTCTGTATTTCGTGGATAAACTCCTTTGTTACTTTCACCTCGTAATCTTCGGCAGGTGTGTACATGTTCAGGATCTGTAAAATAAACAATTTAAGAATCGTCCGGCTCGAAGGACCCAATAAAAAATATTAAAATACAATTATAATTAGGTAACGTTTATACGGATGCCACTACATGTTTAGGATCTGTGCATTAAACGATTAAGTATTATCCGGCTCGAAGGACCCAAATAAAATGTATCTAATACAATAATAACTATGTAACGATTTTACGGCTGATGACACTCACCTTACAAACTTGTATAGCGGTGAGATCCGCGCACATTTCTACGGTACTGGCTACATCCGCCATAGACTTTCTCGCCTGTAACAGCTGTACCGCTTGAGTAATTGGTTTTAGCACGGCTAACGTATCTTCAACCTGAAAAGATGTTTAAACGAATTTAAGAAAGATCTTTGTATTAGTAGCACAAGTTTTTTTTCTAAAATTGTTTTAGATTGTCAAATAAATGTGATAGATTTGAATATGGTTGGATGGATGCTAGTCCCTTTTTAAAACTCATCAGTAAATTAATTGTATAAATATACAGAAGGAACATAAGTGTTTTTCATACTTACACATTTCTGTCCGTACTCTGCCAAATTCTCCTTAATCCAGGTCTCTAGGTGCGAGATGTTATACCTGATCTGCAGACCTTTGGCCCAGCAGCATAGATCCTTACGGAGAAGTAGCTGATTCAGACTGTATGCGCAAATGAAGTAAAACAGCTGGAATTGTAGCATAAAAAATGTTAAAATGTTTATTTTAATTCAGAAAGAAATAGAAATCAAATCTTGAGAATATCAAGAAGTAATAGAACACAATGGAACGTTAACATTAAAAATTATAATTCTATACAAATCAACTGTATTCTCAATCATTCCTTTCGTAGTAGATAATTAGAACCAAACTAACTAAGAAAGAATATATAGTTATTTGACTAATCAGGCACATTTCCATATCTACAATATATAAAGCTGAAGAGTGTGTTTGAACGCAAATCTCAGGAACTATTGGTTCGAATCGAAAAAATCTTTTTGTGTTGGTCACAAAAACTATGTATGAAGGGACTATTCCTCTTTAAATGATATAATAAAATGTCCAGGACACTATATATCTATCTTTTAAGGTTAAATTGCAAGAACGACGGGACACGACGTCGTGTATATACATACATAATTCAGATGTCAAGGTCTTAAGAAGCATATCACCTGTTTGAATATCATAGCGCGCAAAGGAGAATCAACTTGATGCACTTTCAAATGCTCGTGGAGCGTCCCCAAATCATGTTTTAACCTCGCTGGCCCGGCAGATGGCGCTGGCGCAGGTATCGCCTTTGGACCGGAGAGGCCGCTTATTTCCTCGTACTCTAATATCGCTGGGACTATGAGGCGCTCGTATTGAGTCTGGATGTGAGTTATTAGGCCTGAAATTATATTTGCTAGTATCAGTAAACTGTAACATGCCTTCGTATGAATATTTAATGGGTAGAAGGATTATAATAAGTAATGTTCGAAGTTCGTGATCCATCAGGCCATGAGCCAATCGAACAGATGACGTCTACTGATGAAAAAGCATGTCAGTTTAACCAATTTGGTTTCAGTCTGTGGGACATCGAATATTCGAAGCCAAGATAGATCGACATCGTATCTTATATGGCCGGGGAAATTCACCTTCGAGCGTGTGAACTTTGTCTGTCCTCTTGCATCATAATAAACAAATGGTCAAAATCAAATCAATATTTTATTATAAATAACTAGAAACAAAGGGAACGAAAAACTAAAACATTAACATTATTAAGATACCAATTATAGCAAATTTAGTTCGTACATTACAATACGAAAATTCTAGTTAAAAAGTAGATAGCCATGTGTTAAACGTGAGAGGTCTTAGGTTTAAATTCCAGGATAGGAAATAAGTAGGTAAGCAGGGTGATAACCTGGATGGCCCTGTATAAAAAGTTAAGTATTGTAACTGATACAAAGGTGTGTCCGCTGTTAGTAACGAGATTTCACATTTGATAAATAACTAAAAGACCAACCTTGATATATCCATATAGCAATATCACTTAACACCTGTCTATACTCGGAAAGATCAAATATACGTAAACTTTGTTGGTTCTGTCGAGGTGTATTACTCGCTTGGTAGGTCGCGTCGCCGCTGTATTGACGCATGTTGTTCAGTAGTCTGAAAAACAAATTTATGAAAAATGAAATCATTGAAGTCGTACATGCATGATATGGTTTTTACTAGCGTGGCAATATTAGCATTTGTGGTGTGATAGTTTTTTATGATACGAATTAAAAGCGTTTTCTCTTTCCCACAATCCCGTATAATGAACAAGGACACTAAAAGTGCAGATCATATAAGAGATAATAATGTCACTTTTTATCGTAAAAAAATATGTTTCAATAAATTTTAAATTCCACGTCTAAACTGCAGTCGTTAGACGCATTGCCAAACCTAAGTTGGTTTTATGTAGTTTTAAGCGACAGCTCTTGGATTCTAATCCCGGAAAACCGGTCTGGCAGAGCTCTACATGCCATAAAAATCAAAAATTATATCGCCAAAACAGGCCGACAGCCTTTCCATGAAATAAATTCCAGACTTATATGTCCTCCTCTCTCAGAATATAAAAAAAAAACAGAAGTGTGTCCGCCATAAGGCAGGTCATAAATAGGGATAAATCACAAACCTTAACATGTTAGCCAACCACAGAATGCTGTACTCTGAATGGTCAGCTCGCTTTTTAAGTGTCTTCTTGACTCCAGTACGGATTCCCTTCATCAGCGAGTGCATCTTAGGCTCATCATCCACATGATCAGTGTGTCGTAACATCATAAAGAGGATGTAAGCTGGCAACCCAGGTAGGAGGGTAGTTGCCACGTGCGTTTTTAGATCTAAAAACGAAAGGATAATTCATTACACAAGAAATGTGTATAACTGACTGATAGGCTCATGTACATGATATACAAGAAAAACCTTACTTTTTACACATATGTCAAAAAATTCGACTTGTATCACCAATTATATCTAACCTATTTATAAAACGACGTACGAGAGAAATGATAACTTCACAGACTGGCGACGTTACTTAAATTCGTTACCCTCTGTACCTTACTCTACTATACTCAGTACTTCCTTACTGTAAAAATTGGATCGATGTTTGAAAAGTAAATACGTTACCGCCAACAACATATTAACTTTAAATACTATTTGATGGTTTAAAACGCGAACCACCACTACCACATACCAATACCACATTAATAATTTTAAACCCATAAAAGATATGAGACATTGTGTAGAACTCGGGTTAAATACAGATACTAAAGATATTACCGATGATGAGTTTCTTGATGATCGTATGTTCATCTTGCAACTTATACTCGAACATTCCGAGATATTCCCGTTCCTTCTTACGCGTCACCATCGCCATTTCTAAGGGAAGGCTCGTGTTTTGAGATACTACAGTGTCTGAAACAAAAATAAACTGGTTTTTAACCCACTAAATACAATTACCAACTGTATACAATTTACATGACGTAAGTATTTTCAAGTATAGAACAAATATTTTCATAGCAAGCGTTGCCTCCAAGAATAACTCGCTTTGAACTTCATAAACATACACTGTAAGGCTTTCATGGTCATTTATCTAAGACTGAAGGCTGAATGCTTTATCACGCCACTAGCCACAAGGGATGGTAAAACGTCGAGACAATTTCTCAATTACGACGACCGACCAGTTCGAAGGCCCAAAAAGGTTTACACAAATGCTACAGCTTAAGTTAATAAGACAAAATCTATTCCTCTACTTACCATTGCCCTCCAAAATATCTTGAACATCTTCGATTCCTGCTTCCTTGAGCTTATTGACCAGCATACGAATTTGGTTCTTATACCTACGACAGCTTTCTGATAGTTTGTCGATACGCTCCTGTAAATATTATATAAACATCAGAAGTGGGATCGATCTTGGGGTATTTATCAAATTATATTTTTAATTTAACTTCAGATTTGCGATTGTTGTTTTGAGACATGTGTGTCAATCAAGAAATTAATAATTAAATAATAGACACTAAGTAAAAATACTTTTAATACCTGTATAGCCAGATTTTCAGATGCCAATCTGATAATTTCATTCTGCGCGTATTCTTGGGCTTTATTCTTTGGTTCAGCGCTCAGATCTGTACTTAGCAACCTGAAATTCAGGGTTATTAACACACTGAAGCAGTTTTTCCCGCATATATACTTGAAAATAATGTCTCGTATTCGCTATTTGTCCTAGGTAAATAGTAAATGCTTTTTTAGAATACAGACTAACCATTAACACTTAAGTGAAATAAATTCTGTAGATTTTGTTTCTGTTTCTTTTGTTTTTTTAAGAACTGAATTATGCCCGTATTGTATGGTGTTTTTCATGTGCCTTCTTTTTTAAACTCAAGTCTTAGTTTATACAACTGTCTGTATGAAGCTGTGTTGTAACGTTTTGGAGAGTCAGCATTCGTTTAAACGAATTTGTCATAAATCACAACTAAGCAATTATTTTCAGTCGTTTATTCAAAGTAAAATATTTACAAAAGTCAGTAAGTCAATGACTAGCAAACATTGTTAAAAATAAAACTCCTTCAAGTTTCAGATATGGAAAGCAGTCACTATTGAAGAAGTTTTACTAGAAATGCCACGAGGTTTTTGAGGTTAAAGGAAAGTAAATGAAATTATAAGTATCCATAGTAAAAATGATAGAAAAAGAAAAATAAATTATAGAGGAAGGTAGAATAAAAATAAGGTATAAACGTTCTGCCCAAAAACCACCTAGCCTTAAATTATCTTTATATTAAATCTTAGAGTAGACTTAACGTAATTAAAGCTTTGCTTTGTACTTATATAAATATATCACAGCCAAACAAGGCATTAATAATAAGAGCAATTTAAACTGACACTTTTAGTCATACAAATGTGATTCTGTTCCATTCATTGTGTTGAAATCACCAAACGCACCAGTCTAAATTGAGCTAAGTATAACTATCTTTAAATCACTCTAAGATTTAAACTGAAAAAATGAAAGGGACAAATTGAAAAATATATTCTCAGTGTAGAATATAGGTTTTATCGATCGGCAGGATCGATTTATCGTATCCCAATATCTTCTTAACTTAGATGGAACGGTATCTGCGTCACTGTAAAGAATGTACTGGCTATGTAGTATATTAATTTGCAGCGGTTTTCTTTTATCAATGATAATTTTTTATTAAAATATTTTTCTATGATTAGAAACATAGTTGTATCGTTACTTATGTTGATTCATTATTACTATTATTAGTTAACCTTTTACTTAATTTAACTAATGTATTTTCGCGGCCATTGTTTTACTCACACTGGTAATTAGTACCAACACTCTTACAGAAGAACTAAAAAACTAACAAAATCTACCCTAAAAAACAGTCAATGTCAAAAATCTTATATAGATAGTCAACCTATTAGTATGAAGAAGAGGCAAAGAGGCTAGTCATACTCACTTCTGATACTTCTCATTCTCTTCTCTAAGTTTCTCTATCTCGATCTTAGTGCGAGAGATGTTCTCAGCAAAGAACTGCTTTTCTGCCGTCAGCTCCTCTTGCAATTGCCTACAAAGATATAATTACACACTTAAAAAATATTGCAACCAAGATGGTAAATTATAAAGAATTTTTTGTATGGTAAAACTTGGCGATAAAAAGAACATCGCCAAATTTTTTTGTATCATCTTATCTTCTTTGTTAATCCTGAAGAAAACATACAAATAAATGCTAATAAATAAGTTTTTAATATTTCGCGGTTTAAACCGTTAAAGTGTTTTATTTCAATGTGCCCTGCTCGCGTAAACTACAGATACATTTTACATACCTATTGATACCCTTCTGGGCCTCGTACGCTGAAGCCAATTCACCATCCTCGTTGATGATGTCCACATCTGAACCGTAGTTACTTGCGAGCGACTTTAGATTTACAGTCTGTTAAAATAAAGTATATTTTCAATTATCAATAATACAATAAATAGATGTAAACTAATAAACCTCAAAGAAATCAAAAAAATTTATTTAAATTCGAAATAAATATGGAGTTTGTAAAATATTATGTAAGAAACCCTAAGTTTTTTAAGAGACCCTAGGTTCAATCTTGCTTTTTTTTTTTAAAAACCTATTAATACATAACAACACAAAAGACAAAAAAGTCGTTTAGGCTTAAAAACTATGGAAATAAAACAAAAAAATATACCATGCAAATTCAGCAAAAGAAAGCGTAAAGGAAAAGAAACAAATTAATGAGACATAATATTTATGGTGTAAATGGACATGTGTAGACATAAGTCGAAACCACATATTTCAAAACAAGCTTTCTTATCCCAAACCCATTTTGTAATATATAGAATACACATTTCAGACTTAGGCTAAGATAGAAAGCCGTTACAAGAACCTTCTAAAATCTGGAATATCTAAGTAATCATTTGTATTGTAAAATAGATTAGGCATTATTTTGTTACTATACTAAAACTAAGTAATAGTTGATTGAGAAGAAGGTGAAAATTTATCTGTAAAGTTTTTACGTTTTTACGAACAACAATAACAGTATAGTTTGAAGTAATAAGTAGAATTGTGCTGTGTGAATGAAAAATTGAGTGCTTATTTTGTTGTTAAGTAGTAAATTAATTTGGATTTGTCTTCAAAATAAGCACCGTTCTGTGAAAAACTCAAAATGTTTCCATGGTTACAACACAGCAAAGAAAAACGTTAATCGTGGGCAAGTTTTTGTACTCACAACACTCTTCAATGCTTGGAACCAAGGTTTCTGCACAATTTATTTATACATTAGAAAAACAGTCATATAAATCCTATTTATTAGATAAAGTTTTGTCCATCCCTCATCAGTGGGACGACATAGGTATGTCACCTACTTTCAAACTTAGAAGAAGAAAATCTTCTTACAATATTTTTGTAATGTCGTGACAATCGACGCCCGAGCCAAGATTTGATTAATTAGACCAACGAAGCAGTCATTAATATTATCCTATTAATTTATATATGTATACCTATAGATATAATACCTGAACTTTAAAAGTTACAGTCACAATAATCCACAAATACCTGTCTATGATAAGAGTTTAAAAACGACACGTCCGTGAAAAATTTCTTCACAAAAACCGCATCGACTCGGGTCATTTTGACATAATAACGTGATTCTTATAAGACACCTGCGCATGCGCACGTATAAACCCTTATTGAATCGAGATTGTTTACGAAATAAGTTTCACTATTTTGATTGCACACAAGAGAAATAAGAACTAACAAACTATTAGATAGTGTCATACATTTATCAAAGCTAACTATCTTATCTTGACACAGATAAGGGTGTTGCATTTTTGAGGAGAGTCAGAAGATATCTTAAATATAATTCAACATTGAATAAGAACTGTTTAATTTTACTTTAATATGGTAAATAAAAAGTCGGAAAATTCATATATACAACTATAACTCGAAATGCATTTAGTATGTTGCAAAAGGCCAGCTGTGGGACATAAAGTTTAAATGAAAACACTAACCTGGTGAGTAAGAACACTCTTTAATTGCACACACTCATCTCTACGTCTGTCCAATTCCTTTTGCATGGCATCCATTTGACCTGTAAAGGTATTATTGTTTATACAATTGTGTTTGTAGGGCAGATGTCTAGGTAAGACGCGAACGATGGGGGTGAATTTTGCATAGACACAAAAAGTATACAACCTAAAAGAGGTTTGGATATTCGGAAGCCAAAATAGATTAAAAAGTGTTATCACTTACCTATAAAGGATTTTTGTACGAAACTGCGATTAAAAAAGTCTACACCTTAGATCAATGAGTAAGCGATTTAAACCCTCAAACTATATATATTAAATATCGATTATAAATGGAAAAAAAAAGTTACGACTTAGGCAGGACTTGAACCGGCATCCACAACGTTTCGTGCTAATGCTCTAGCCAATTGAGCTACGGAGTCCTACACGTCATCGTCGAATTATTTATAACTTATTAATACATGCACCCCACGCGTAATGATTTCCTATACCTATATAGGGAAATCTTTTCTTCAAATACGCTTGGTACTTACCTATCACCTCCTTTGACAGAATAATGCTGTCCCCAGCTGCACGAAGTCTGTCAATTTGTTCTCGTAGCTTCTTGTTTTCAATCTCGAGCTCTTCCACTTTGAATCGATCGCTGTTCGGATTCGATGGTGGTAACATGAGCCGATCTATAACGTGGTATTATAAAAGCTTCGTCATTAAGTTGAGTAAGTATTTATTTAGTATAATTACGTTCAGTAATATAAGATAATAAAGAGGCTAATTGCTTTTTTAAAAACAATAACAATAGTAGATTTTTCTGTACGAAATTGAATGATTTGGTATATTTACGATGATACCATTTCATCTTGGGTTGCTTGGAAGAGACCGCTTGTTAGCGATAAGGCCGCCCATTGCACTCCATATTTGTAGTTTATAAGTCTCGTTTATACCTTTTTTCTGTCTTGCACAATAGTGTTAATCGAGAAATACATATATATTTCTATTAATTTTATCACATTATATTAATAAAATCTCCCAATTTTTGGGTTTAAATTAACTAAAAACTTCGTTAGGAAATATTTTTGAAAACGCGCCATCTATCGGATTAGAAACACTACCTAAATTTAGGGTGTGTGAAATGATTGTACTATCGGTAGCGCGAGCTATATTTTCCACAGATCAAGATCACAAAACTCACTCATTAATCTATCCTCTAGATCACTGGCTCTCTTTGCGGTTCTGGACAATTCACCCTGAAGAATCGATATCCTATTCTGCATCCGGAGTACAAGACCAGCGTCGGCGATCTATAAAAATAATTACTTACTGTCTCTATCAAACTTTCAGTGATGTTTCAAATGCTTTGAGGGTGTACTATCATTTTTGTTAATTATACTAAACTAGTAACAAATTTAATTTCGTTAAAAGCTCTATTTTTTGTGGTTCACTTGATGGTAGGTGAAATACCCCAGTCATATATCATTCGATCAAGATGCGTTTGCGATCTATTTTAGCTTTGGATATTCGGAAATACAAACACTGAAACCGAAACGCGATTAATTTTGACGGCTTTAACATCTGCATGATATATTAGAAGATAATTCGTAGCCCGGACGGAATTTCGATAGACAAAGATGAGAAATATGTTGGACCCGTTCCACCGGGTCCAATATCCATATTGAAACCAGGACCCGTTGATCATTAGCCATACAACTACCAAAACAAACGAACCCATCAAACGTCATCAAATTTACATATAAATCCATATTATTAATTACATTTTAATATAATAAAACAGCACCACAGGTCAATACCAATTTTAAAACTTAATTTCAAACGCACAAATCAAAATGTAAGATATCTATATACAGACATACAAAAAAAAGACTACAATACTTACTGGAGACGGTCCGTTATGTGAACCAGCAGACCAGTTAACTGCCTCGAGGGCTGGTCTGGTTGTTTCAACTGAACGAACAGAACCGTATCCGAAATCCTGCAATAAGAGAACCTTTAAGTATTAGTTATATTACGAATGATTTTACTCTTACATACGTTATCAAAACATTGTCGAAACGAAAGACGAAACAAATATGTTAATAGACACGAGCATGTAAAACACTATTTTTTGAGTTAAAAGAAAGTGCATTAGTGAAATCCGAAAAATAACAATTTATTAACCAGCACACAAGTCTTAAAATATATAACCTTTTTGGTCCTCCCAATATATATAGATATATTTTATTTTTGAAGAATTGACTAGCAAAGAGTTAAATTAAATACTCACATCCTCAACGGTAGTTTCCTGTTGCGAGTTGTTGCTAGCGTCCGACAGAGAGCGTCTGTGTTCTTTAGATGGGACCCTGATGATGATTGATTAAAATTGATTATTTTAAATGTATACGAAACAGAAATGAAGGTCAATAGAAATGTTGATTACAATAAAATGACCGAACCCCTCCCCCAACCCCCTTAGCAGGAGGTATTATTAGGATTTAATGATATGAACTGTTTAATCAATGTTTAAAAATATACTTAGAATAGTCTCCCCGTGACCACGGTTGCTACAAAGCATCCGAAACGTAGGGCTGTAGTTAAAACCATTTTCAAATAAATTTAACTAATGTATATCACGTTTTATACCGTTAAAGTGATATATTCAAATATAATTTATTAATCAAAAAAAATGTCATTTATAACATTGGCCTAGACAAACAAACAAGAAAATGGTAATTAAAACGATAATTATTGTGCTTATCATTGTTTTCGGGCTGTTCGACAGAAGTAAGCGAGAAGAGCTCCTCACCGTTTCGCCATCACGAGCGGACGGCATCATCAGGAAGTTAGCTCCTCGATTGCTCGAAGAATTATAATAATTTTATTGGCTAATACCTTTGTAACGAGTCAATCTTCTCTTGCAAATCGTATTGAGACGAAAGCAGCTTCTGTCTACTTTGCCTCTCCGTCTCCAACTCCAGACATAGCGCCTTCTTCTCCGCTTCATGTTTCTTATCGCGTTCTGTAAACATTTTTCTCCATTTAGAAGTAACTCTTTAGAGATTTATAACATACAAATGTCTCTATCGTATATTCAAAGAAATTATCTTGTTACAGAAACGTGAATTCTCTTAATTCATTAGTTAAGTTCTAGATATATTCCTAATTACGGTTGAAATGGTTATTGGTGCTGAGACCTTTGGTGTCATTAACATGTTTCTAGGTCTCCATAAGGACTGTTGGTGTCTTCACTGGTTCTGGTCGACTCTCACCTCCGATACTGGTACTATCAGCTTGACAGAGAGTATATTGTTATCAACAAACTAAATATCTGAATTAAACTCTTATTTGGGATTTATTTTAACTACCAGGAGTCTTTCCATGACCACGGCTGTTGCAGAGCATCCGAAACGTCGGGCCGTAGTAAAAATAACTTACAAATAAGTTTAACTAATATATATCCCGTTTTAAACCGTTAAGATATCTTATTTCAATGTGTACTACTCGCGTAAACTACAGACAGTATTTAACAAACTAAATAGATAAACAATGCCTAAAAATGCTCCACCTTTCCAGAACTGTGCGCGCTGTTCAAACTCCTTCGACCATATTTGGTACATGGATCCCACACTCTCTGTACAATCCGAGCCGTTCACAATTTCCGTAGAGGACACCATTTTGACACTATATTCATGTGTTGAGCATAGCTAGTTTTAAGTAACTTTTCACCACATAAATTAAAATATTTTAATACAAATGCTACAATAATAAAATGTGAATTCATGTAAACTAATTCGCGTGTATATGTTATCACTGTTATCCAATATCAAGCCTTATCGATAGATATGATTTTAATTATTCTTACCGATTAAAGCATTAGGTCAAGTGTTTTGCATTTGCACGTTTTATCATAAACTCCTATAAATAATGTCTCATTGCTCTAAAGCAAATTATAATATGACTAATTCAAGATATGCGACGGGACTTGAACCGACATCCATAGCGTTCCGTGCTTTAACCAATTGAGGTAACGAGATCTACACGTCATCGGCAAATTTTTTCGACCTATTACTACGTGCACCTCTCGTCAAATGCAATTTCAACCTTAACTCTCGTGAATTAAGGTACTTACGCTTGTGTCGTATTGTTTTAGATCGCAAGTAGATCTTTTAGTTATATATTGCTATGTGCAATAATATGTAAAGAATAGAAAGAGAAGAAGTTTCAAAATATAATTGTTGTTAGTTTTTGTTTCTTTTCTTTAATCATGCTTGTTTCATCACACGATTAATATTGTAAACGTACGTATCGAGAACTAGAATTTAAATTTATTTATACATATTACTGTTAAATCTTTAGTTTTAAGACACATAAGCTAAACTGTATACGAAAATATTGATATTATATTAATCGATCTTCGGTTTAATCATAAATAAATATTCTAAGTTTAAAACAGTTATTTTAACTCCTACTTAAAAACGTTGTTATTGGTTTCATCTTTTTAAATTTCGAACACTCACCTTCAATCAGCAATTCGAAATGCTCCTTATTACTCTTCAATTCGTTCGCCAACTTCTCATTCTCCGCTTCCTTTGCTTCTTTCTCCTTTTTATATCTCATCTCTATCTGACTCTTTTCCTCTGCCAATCGCTTGTTATTCTCCTTCTCTTTCGCGAGCTCCTCTTTGAGGAAAATTAGGAAGTTGTCCTTATCTTGAATGTCTACTTTGAGACTTCGCGCTTCGATTTCTACTTGTTTCAAATACTCGAGTTTGGACCTGAAACAAGTAAGCTTGTGTACTAAGTAAATCAGTCATCCATATATTAAATTTGTCTATATTATACACTTTAATCAAAAGAATTTTGACCTAACTAACTAAACTAACCTAACCTAAACGCGATTAAACTTTACGGCTTCTTCATCCATTGACCGTTATTTGTAACTGTAATTTTGATATTCCTACCACCAGCTTAATTTAGATTTTGACACAAATTCCAATATATTTTAGACATATTACAAATTGATTTGAAACATGTTGGAACTAGCGGGAGTCGAATCCACAACCCACGACCAACGAGCCCGTCGTATCTGTTAAATATAGTGGAAACAACTAGTCTCCAGACACAAACAATCATCAACTTTTAGCGTTAAAATACATACCTCAACTCAACAATCTGGGCTTGCAGAGGCTCTATCGCCTTTGCCTTATCCTGGGCGTGTTCCAACCTCTGTTGAAGCGATATAATCTTGTTTTCCAATCCCTTGTTCAGGGTCTTCACGTGGTCGATACTGCGCGCTTCTATGCGCAGGCGCTTGTATTGTCTGCGTGCGAGGAAGCGACGGATCTGATGAAATAGAAAATGTTTAACTCAAAATGTATAGTCTATACTAATATTATAAAGCTGAAGAGTTTGTTTGATTGTTTTAACGCGTTAATCTCAGGAAATACTAGTTCGTATTGACCTTTTTTTTTGTTTTGGTTTAAGCGTTTATGGAGGAAGGCTTTAGGTTATAAAATATTACACTGAGTGGTCTGAGCGGAATCATCGGTCTCACAGGAGCGAGGTAACAGTGAAAAATGTAAAAAAAAAAATTCATTGGTTTCACTAGCGTACTCCGCGAAAACTGGTGCAAGGAACCCAAAAAGTATATACGAAAGATGGTCCATCTTAAAATGATAAAAAAAAATTAGGATTAACTAGCAAGAACGATGGGACGCAACCGACGTCGCGGGTAGCAGCTATAACTGGTTTGCAAAAACAAGTTTTGATGACCGAAATAACTGTTCTACGCGGGCGAAGTCGCTGACTGACATAGCTAGGACAATGATGCGACAGACGGAAGGAATTCAAGGTCCTCCATATCAAAATAAAATTGTGCATGAGTATACAAGGATTTGAATCCAGGCACATGCGCCCATGGTGTAATATAATATACCCTATGTTTGTGCCTACCCATAGGATGCAAGTTGAACAGCAATAAATAGTTTTTTTATAAAAAGTTCTCAAGCGTCATTTAAGTCTACAAGTATAGTGAATACGCAACTTTTTCTAGAATTATGAGATATTAATAGAAATGTACTAATCTACAGAAGCAACACATTAAAGACAATGTCAATAACTCACAGAAGCCTGCGCCACAATAATCTGTCTGCGCATGCGCCGTACCCTCATGCGCGCCAGATATCCTCTGGCGTAACGTTGAATAGTGATTGTCTGAAAGTAATGTTAAATGTATAGAACAAACCATATTAAGTGCTTAGTGAAACAGATATTTAAAATAGCATTTAGTGGACATATAAATGTCTTGAAAATATGTTTGAATTATTAATAATGTGAATTTATAGGGGCATGGCTTAGACTTAGACTTTTAGACGTAGATTTAGTTAGTATAAGAGTTTTACCGAAAAAAAAAGAGAAGAAACAAACAATAATTGCGAGTGTTTTAAATTATAAGTTTAAACTATATACTATATTATAACTATTTAATTCGATCGGTTTTGTAAAGATTAGACTACTAGACATGTTCTCCCAGTGTTGTCCCTTTCTAAGTCGTCGAGAAAATATGAGAAAAATAAACAATATATACTTACCGCTTGAAGATACCGTTTCTCCTTATAATGTTTTCTAGCAAGGTAGCCTCTAGCGCGTGCCTGCAACCCAATAGCGAGGTGGCGCAATTTACGATAGCGCTTACGAGCGAGCCAGCCGCGGATGTGTTTTTGGATTTTAATCGCTGCACGTTCGCGACGAATTTCCTGCGCTTTGCTTAAATGAAATAGAAGGGAAGTCATTAATTTTGACAATAAAACTTATGAACCAAATATTTCTCCAATGCACCACGTATGTAAGATATGAAGATGCGGTCTCGTTGCTAAGTAAAGAACTTCTCTGGGTCGTCGACCCATCGAAGTCTCAGAATTACTTACGTCCTACCGATATGTCCTCTGGCGTAAGCCTGAATACCACGGATCGCTCGCATTATACACGTGTAACGACGTCTAGCCAAGAAACCGCGTACGCAACTTTGTACGCGCACGCAGTACGCACGTTGCAAATCTGCACGCACTTTCTCTAGATAGGCTACCTGTAATATGAAAAGAAAGATTGAAGGTTTCAGCTACTGATATGTTTAATTTTAAACCAGAAATCAGAAGAAGAAGAAGAATTGAAATGGAAAGGATTTCTGGAGGTCTTAACCTAGTTATACATGCATCTTAAGTGTTGATGTATCTTTTTGCAACGTTTAACTAAACTGCTTTTATTTTTAAAAACCCTACACTAAAAAAGACTTTATTGTATGTTATTTTACCTGTCCAGCTCTAAAGAATATCTTAGTAGTACCAAATTGGTATTTATCCGGCTCCTTCAAATAACGTTGTAAAATACTTGAACAAGTCTTTTTTATATCGCCTCGGTCAATTTCCTTAAATCTACATAGCAGACGATATCTGAAATAGAATTTAACATAAAAAAATGAAATATGTACATTTGTTTACATGTTAATAATACATTAACATATATAAGAATATACCTATAAAAGAAATCTTGGTACAGCCATCGCGACGGAAATCCAGCGGCTGAAATTCTAATAGTCTCCAATACACCGCAGGCTCTGGAAGTGAACATTATGTTTTATTAAGGGCCGGACTTAATTTTTGATCCTTCGAACAGGATATATGCATGAAAGTATTTACAATGTTATCTCGCTCTTTCAATTTTGAGTGAAAAGAATAGTTTATTTTACAAAGTAATTAACACAGGTGTCTAACAAGACGATAGTTTACAAGTCACTAATAGACGCCTCTTTTAAGCCATAAAGTTTATAGATTATTTTCTTTTTCTTTTATTTTTACATTAAGAAGTGTGGATTTTCCAAAACTTGGCGCTTAACGTGGCTTTGAATGAATGTCAAGTCAAATTAATTGTAGTTTAAAAATGTACTTACCGTAATTGGTTTACAGCCCTAGCAGCATCGAACTGGAAAGCTTGCTTCGTGTCATTCGGCTTAATACATCGCACGTAATGCGGTGTCGTCGCTGACAGCGTCGCCATAAGAGCAGATAGAGACTGACGGAATTGCGCGCCGACAGTTTGTTTTTGAGTTGAAGTTCGACGTGGCGGTTGCTAGATAGAGGATCGAAAACTTTTATATTTGGTAACTTTATTTTTTCATCTGTGACCTGTGTTTGATTTTCTTGAAATATATTGTGCAATACGCCACAGATAATATCAAAAATCTTGTGATAGCCTTACCGTAAGACTAGCTAATGGAACAGACGGTGTAGTCCGTCTTCGAGATGGTGGTGGCAAAGTTGCAGAATGGTCGGAAGGACTCTCAGCAAACATAGAATGAATAAGACGACAGTTCGTCGCAGACTTGATACATTCCAACTGTTCTTCTAGAACTGTGTCGCGGTTCTTTTCGAGGAATCCTCCACATTGGTACTCTACGATGTCCGCGAAGTGTTTTATGATGAATGCTGTAATAATAATTGAGCTTTTAAACAAAAAATGCATTTCTTAGTAATCTTAATGTAATTTACTAATAGTAGACTACTTCCTTTTATTACTAATTACTTTTTAATATAGACGATATCACAATTCCCCTAGTAAATAACATAACCTAAAAGTAAACAGACTTTTACTAACCAGCACTTCCAAAACGGGGTTTTAAGAAATGCGGGTAGTTTGAACATTTGTCGTGCAATTTGCTCACGAAGCCCATGTCAGAACCCTGTGGTACCCTGCATTCCTCATCCAAAAGAGCTAAGACCCCTAAACGGTCCTCAATGAGATCAATGCACGGTTGGTTATCATAAAAATCAATCATCTTCCAGGATATTTCCTCCTACAAAAGAAATTTGCTATTAACCGGCTCGAAGGAGCATATTTTTATTAACAAAGCAATGAAGTCGGTTAATTTATAACATGTTTATTTTCCTAGTCTAGCCTAGTCTCTATATTTAAAAATAATGTGTAGACGTAACTAGTTTGTTCACTATCAAAAGGTTTTTACCTAATTATGATAGCTTACCTTAATATATTCGTCTTGCTCTAGTTTGAAGACATGAGAATTGAACTGTTGTTGCAACTTTTCATTCGCATAGTTAATACAGAATTGTTCGAACGAGTTTATTTCGAAGGTTTCAAAACCATAAATATCAAGAACACCTACAAAAAAAACACATATTATAGCAGCGTGACTCAAGCAATAAAAACTATTTTCTTTAGTTTTAACCATGTCCCATCAAAAAATATACTCTTTTAATATTAAAAACGTATACGTACTTATCTTTACAGCAAAGCCTTGAAATTTTATGAATAAGAGCTCTATCATATTAAAGTTTTAAGCAATGTCTGTAGTTTACGGACGTGGTACACATTTAAATAAAACACTTAAATTGTTTAAAGTGCGTAACGTATTAGTAAACTTATTTAAACTACGGACCGACGTATGCTTGGCAGCCATAGTCATGTGGTTGCCCTACGGTTCGTGCACATCACATTTTGCATTTTAAACCGTTTAACCAAGTTATAATTTTTCTTACCAATAAAGTGTTTTTTAGCGTTGCCAGTGTCTAAAGCACGATTCACAGCCTGCACAAGCCAAGCAAATAGCTTGCCATACATTCTTTTAGCCAAAGCGTCTCTCGCGAAAACCGCGCGTTGTACGTCCATACGCGACACGATAACCTCATGCGCAGATGCAATTCGACGATGTGTTAGCCACCGCGATAGCTCAGGCTTCGACACTCCAAGGAGAGAACATACAATTGATAGATGCTTGTCGTTAGGCTGAAATCAGATTATATAATAAATAATCAGTTTATTATTATAAAATACATAATTTACAATTAAAATAAGTAATAAAAAAGAGAAGACCTGTGCTTGTCTGTCCTCCGTATAAAAATGCCTTATGAGTAAAAAAGGAACAAACCTACATTCTTATAAACATGGGTCTTTATATAGAGTCTATACTTACACGTATATAGGCGCCATCTTGGTTATCCAGCTGCATTTCATCCGGATCTGAGGTCAACTCAACGTTACCAAGATGAAGAATGGCCGCTAGTACTGTAAACATACTTCTTTGCTCGGATTCTGTTACACCTGCAAAAGTTTTCCATTATGTGTGATTATATTGACCTGTAAGTTGTTTTATATAAGAAATTATAAAAAAAGTATTTTTAAGCGAAATAATATAAAAAGTTTCTTCTAGAGTCTAGAAGGATCTGTCTTTCAAAATATAAACTATTTCTGTTTGAAGTATCTAAGAATTTTATTTTATTTTCAATGAGATTTCTTATAAAGTACATAATATATAATAAATATTAAATAACATGTCTGCTAATAAAAAAAAATGTTAATATACTTACCCAAAGTAGAGAGCGCATTTTTAGTCTCCCTAAAAGTCTTATAATCATCGACCCCGTCAATTTCAGGGCTGCCACCCTGATTCAAATAGTGGAACGTGTCTTGATGATCTGAAAATAAAAGTAATAAATATCTTTTTAGTATAATGTATTTTCGACCCATACTTGACCCATCTTTGTTAATAGAGCGTTGTCCCTTTCCCACGATCCCTTACAAAGAACAAAGACACAAAATCGCCGGGAGTATTAAACTGATAAAGGTCGAAATCGCGCTGTCATTATCAAATATTTTGATCAGACGTATAAGTGTCTCTTCCCTTATTAACTCGTTTTATTAATATGAAATGTATTTTACAACTCCCTTCTGCTGAATTAGTTACAATTCTATCTTTTATATGCACCATCTGTCACATAATATTGTATGACTATGTTTTAAATTCTTTTTAGCTCCATCTAAATACAAGTGTGAATATTTGTTACCATTGGACAAAAAAAAACACAAATGGACACACGACATTGGCAGAACCCATTCAGAATGAGAAAGCCGTCAAACAATTAAGAAGAAGAAGCCATCAAATAAGAAGAAGAAGAATTCGTTTTGGAGAAAAGACTCTTTACCTAATTGTAACTCGGGCATCTTCTCCGTAGCAGCACCGGCGCAGAGCTGGTAAAATATATGATAGTTCCGTTCTCCAGCGCTCTGGTACACGACGCGACTCTTCTCGAGCAAATAGGTGCGCATGCTCGCACCAGATATCCGGTACTGGTTGTCGAAGTGGATCTCTATGAATTTTCCGAAACGCGATGAGTTGTCGTTTCGCGTTGTTTTCGCGTTTCCTATAGCCTGTAAAAGAATATCAGATAAAATACGCCGTTTCTGATCTATATTAATATTATAAAGTTGAAGAGTTTGTTTGAACGCGCTACTCTCAGGAACTACTTGGTCAAATTGAATTCTTATTTTTGAGTTCGATAAACGATTGATCAAGGAAGGCTTTTGGCTATATAACATGAACACGATGAAGAAATCAAGCGCGCAAGGATTGTAACAAAAATTGGCGATAAAAGAAGAGACGGCGAGTTTATTGCCAGTTCTTCTCGTTCGTTCTACGCACTAAATTTGGGAACTAATATTAAATGTAAATTGAGAATTTAATTTTTTACAATATTAACGGTACTGAAAAAAAAAACATTTTTTAATTTTGATAATTACTTTTCGACTATGATTAAATAAGCCCGCTAGAGGGTAGAGTAGCCTAACTGCAATTTTATGCCTCGAGTTATTTATATTTTCATAGTCTAAAAATGTTAACCTACAAGAGCACAGTGACAAAAAATTGTTACACAAATAATTGTACAAATTCATTATCTAAGTTAATTGATTTTAATTTTCCTCCGTGTTAAAAATCATGTATTTTTTTATAAGTCACTCTGCTTCTAGCAGCCTCAAATATGTTGTGTTAGGTTATATAAGCACTTGCCTCCATAATAGGACTGGATGCCAGCACTTTCCTCTCCACCTGCGTCTCGCTTGCATTTCCGCCCACCGCTGCGAAATACCTCATCGCGTATTTCGCAGACACTGTCTTACCAGCACCGGATTCACCACTTACTGTAAATAAAAAGAAAGAAAGAAGACATTAAAAAAAGAGAATTTTCGCTTTACTTGAAGATAATAAAGACAAAATATTATAATAAAAGTGTATTGTCTAATAAAAAACTTTTCAACGTTCAAAACGTGAAATAAAGTATTCATCTTTCCACCTTGATCACGGCTGTGACGCATACGAAACGTTGGGCCGTATTTAAAATAAATTGTACACAAGTCAACTGTAACATATCGCGTTTTAAACCGGTGAAAGTGTTTATTTCAAAGTTATAAGTGTTTTAAAGCATACTACTCGTGTAAATTATAGACAATACTTTGCTTTCACGTGAAGAGTATATTTTGTTGTTATTCAATAAGTAATTAGTCGTTGTTTATAACATACCTATTATGCTTTGGTCGCGTCGTTCCCTCTCCAGTTTGGTGTAGGCTTCCTCGGAGACAGCGAATATATGCGGATCCAGGTCTCCCATAGACTGACCTCGGTATGCCATAATAGTTTCATCCCCTGGAAATATTGGTAGATAGCGATTTGTATCGAAAACGTCGAAAGATAAGGACGGAAAAAAAAATCCTGGACGTGTAGCATGACTAAAGACACATTTTTGTGTCCGTTGCACTCATCTATTTTGTCCACAGATAAATTGATAATGAGACCCGTGTCTTCCACGATGGCAACATTTTAATTTTTTGCCGGTATTCTTACCAGGGATGTCTGTTTAAAATATGTTACAAAGAAAACAATAAGCAGAAATTTACAATATATACACATAACATATGATTATATTAAAATATATACATTTTATTTCTTTTTCATTATAAATTGCTTTCTATTTTACATCTTAAATATTTTTTTGCTAATCAAATTATGAAATTTTATTTTATTTAGAGTTCTGTATTTTTTTTCTTTATAAGTAAACTATTTTATGGAGGATATACAAGCTAGGATTCAATCGATCGAAGGAATTTAGGTCTATAACATCTAATTACGATGCGTCGTCGACGTATTTTTGCTTTTAGCCTTTTTATTAAAATTGTAGTTCATATGCAGAACTGTTTTAATTATTTGAAATATTATATGATGAAAAAGTAATTATATTATTATAGTTTTAATAAAGTTCTCCTTTGAATAAAATTAATACTTTAGGAAAATCCATTCTTACCATATATGGGTAGATCATAGTAAGGATTGATAGCGACGAGTACAATTCCACAGTACGTATAGATGGCATTGCGGTCACAGAATCTGAAACATGATATTTAATACAATACATACATTAGCCTTATCACACCTGTAAATACAACAATTCAAGAACACCGTGGCTTTGCAGATGGCAACACCCGTATTCAATACCACAACAAATTGTTGAACGATATGGTCGTGAACGTATAGTCTAAATAAACAAGGATTTTATCACGTTTTAAAAAGGAATGATTAAACAAAACAATTTTAACTGTTTCAAAAGCGAAAAGTATAAATTAATTTTTGGAAAACGTTACGCGTTAAAATAAATAAACTCTTCGACTATATATTAGTATAGACTATATATTAGTATAGACTATATCTGCAATTCCTTTTTCATTTTAAACATGCATAACATGGATAGTGCAGTATTTTATCTCTATTCTATTATACATATTTAAAACTTATTAAAAATGTATAGTAAGCTTTTTGTCTATCAATGACTAAGAAGGTTAAACAATGACATAACATTGAATATTCGAGAACAATTGTGTAAACAATATTCCGTTTTTCTAACCGCCTTAAATGAGATGTGTGAATTATTTTTCACACACTAGATGCAGTAACATGCGTATTTTATTTTAATACAAAAAATTACGAATATAAAAACTTCATACATTATAAAAAATTGTATACCTACGTATGGTTAAATGGTTAAACGTACCGCCTAGCATTGCGTTAAGCGCGAGAGGTCCTGGTTTCGAATCCCAGGGAAACAGAAATTGTTTCGGTCGGGCAGGGCACAGAAGTCTGATCAACTATTTGCCTGTTCAAGAACGGATCGGCGACACCAACACAAATGTGTTCGCCCCATGTCCCACGAGGAAGAACCGCGATTTTACTTAAATACCTACGATTTATTAGGTATATATGATGTCTACTAATACTAATATTATACATTTGTATGTTTGTAGAATAAGTTTTAACTGTAAATGTTTATTTGTCGTTGTGTCTTGTTTCGGAATAAACGTATTTCTATTTCTATTTCTCGTCAGACATATCACATATTTTTTAAATGAATGTGGTTTGATAAACTACAAGGATATTTGCAAAATCTCATTACAATCAGCTGAGTAGTTTAGATACAGGAACTCATTTTCGAATCAACAAACAATATCAGACACTCAAGGACAATAATTGATAGCTACGAAGTACCTACGCGTTGTCATTATCAAACGCATGTGTGTAGTGCAGTTTAATGTATTTTGCGCTTTTCATTTCGTACGAAAAAAATATTTTTCTAAATAATGTTATTACAGTGAGCGTTATGAATAGTTAAAGAAAAAAAAAATATTCAGAGAAGAATAATTCTTTCGCACATAATTTTTTGGGTATCTTGAACCGTTTTCGCAGCACACAAATTAATTACTTAATATCCCTAAAGCTTCCCTTGCTTAATGGTCTAACCGACACAAAAGGACGAATGTTTCAATTTGAACCAACTCAGGTCCTGAGATTAGCGCTTTCAAACAAACTATTTAATTTTATAATATTAATATAGATAAAATAATTAAATCTTAAATAACAAAAATATAAAATTAGATAAAATCTCAGTTAATTCATCATCGTGTAGACACTGTACATAAAAACGGACCGTCTCCAGATTTCCTTTGTAAATTGCGTGTCAAAGCAACCATATCAAATTTATAATCGAGTATAATAATTAAATTAAAGTATTAAAAACTTGAATGTTGTTAAGTACTCATTAGGCCTGAGGCCAGAAATTGTTAGACGCCCACAAATGGGGCGAAAGCCCTTGACATAAAAATGAACGCGCAATTTTAATATTTCAAACTTGTTTTTGACGTATTTCAGACATTTATTCGTAACGAACATTTTAGCACTGGTAATGGCTGTCACTCGTACACTTTTAATGGCAGTTTCTTATGGTAAGGTAGCTCAATCAAATGTCGTACCTGCCAAGAAGTTACATTTGTGCTCAAAAGATTTTGCATTACTTTTCTTTTTCCTGTGAGGGCAACCGAAACAATCTATTGTTTTCCCGGCATTCAAACCCAGGAGGTTTTGCACAAAACGTTATGCTAGGCAACACGTTTAGCCATTTAGCTACTGTGGCTGGATTTATTTGTATGTTAATTAGTGTTTACTTTAACTGCGATGTATTAACCCAAGAGATTAACCTTTGTCAATCAAATAAAAATCTACTTTTCCCATTCAGTTAAACTTACTTATATGTAAAATAGATGTATATATAATGACGCACTCTATCACTCCTACAAAAAGTTATTACGATTCCGCATTACCAAGTATACATAACTGACATACGCGGAATCCCTTAACGATTGTACTTACCGAACTTTCAAATTGTGCAACACGGCTGGCTCGTGCAGGTATGAAAGGGATGTGAGATCATTCTGACCAATCAGAAGAGAGGGATTCCGCAACGGGGGCATGCGACCCTCGTCTGGAATCTGGGGGGGAAATTAAAATTTCAAATTGGAATTCTCAAAATAAAAGGTCTGTTAGATTCTAAAAATCGAACTTTAATTCACAGATTAAAAACATTTACTGTAATAAAGTTTGTATAAGTATTGTAACTAATACATTTTAGAAATAGTTATCTACCCTCAGTAGTTACTAGAGTTTATACTTAATATTGTTGAATAAAAAAACATATAAATGATGTGAACACCGTTCTGAATTATTTCTGATTATATATTCTTGGTCAACATTAATGTATATCAACTCATTTAAGGCTAATCTAGGATAAGTTCAATGTAAGCCATTTTGAAATAAATAATTTTAAAAATCAATCAAAATCAATGCAAATAAGCAATGTTAATTGTAATCAAAGTCGCAATTCCTTATCTATATCCGGATGCGAGGATGCAGTGATTTTATAAGGACGTTAGATCTATTACAATTTCAAATAAATCTCATTTAGCGCGAAAGAGTTATGCAAAGGAATTAACTTAGAATGAGACACATGATAAAAAGACAATTTCTCTTTTTATTAACTATCCAAAATCAAATCAAATCTAATATTTAGATAACTTGTAGTGTACAAGTTTAACAAAATTGATAAAAAACCATACAAGATTAATAAGAACTAGATCTTACCTTTATCTGTCGTATCTCTTTATTATCATCTAGTTGAACTATCAAGACTCCAGACCTGTAGTCGCTGGTAACTGTGGCCCCCTCCCAAACCTTTACTGGATGTTCCACCCAGATACGGGCACCCTAGACCAGAACAAAAAAATTTAAAGAAAGAAATGCTAAAAAATTGAAACAATGTTTTGTTATTCTTAGATATTAGTTAAAAATAATGCACATTGTCTAGTTTTAATTATTATTAAGTTTCATTCTACTTGGGTTGCCTGGAAGAGAAACCTTAAAGAGCCAACCGGTCCACTCTATAGTTTTAAAATTGCATAGTGTATCTGTATGTTGTTTTTGTGTAAGTAAGTGTAATTAAATATATTTAAATTGAGTAAGTAAAAGTGAGGAAAACTGTGTTTTTATCCTTTCAATCAATATATTATGAATTGTTAGTCTGTGTTCTTTACTTCCATTGTATATTAGATAAGCAAATACTAAATATTGAAGCAATTTAAAGATATCTATTGATTTGACTATTGTTTAGTTCTAGTAAAACATTTATGATACCAATTTTATTTAATGACATTTTAAAATCAATCCATGTGTTTGTCCGATGATTATTTTATGAAGCTATTATTAATTATCACTTAACATGATAAGGCTAACGATACATAAAAAACAATTAGGTTTTATGCACTTTAATCTTGGTTCAATAATATAATTAAGTTTTGTTATCTTCTGAGAAAAGTGGTCGCCCAGTTGGATATTGGGAATACTGGCACTATTTTCATGGCAGCAAACTACACACTATTAATTTTCTATTAGGCTATTAAGAAAAATATTCCCTATTTGTCTATTAAGAATAATGAAGAATAAATATCTTTACGAGTGTTAAAATGTCGTGAAGCTAGCATAGATATGAAATACATCAAAAACATAACCATTGTTTTTTCCAACTTACAGAAATTAACAAAAGATGGAGCTGTACACTACTATTGTTACAGTACCAATGTAAACAAACTCCCACACAAAGTCAAAGGTGTATCCGCGCAGAAGTTAGTAGAAAACTAGATTAAACCGAATACGACATTCTCACTCAAGCTTGGAGTTTTCTAATTGGATTTATTATAATACGGGGTTTAAATAAATTACATGTGCTTGAAATGAGTACAATAATTAAGTAATATGATTACAAGCAAGTGTAACTACTTCGTAGTCTTTACAAGATGCCTTCATATAAGATTGAGAAATAGGTATATATATTAAAACATTAAAAAAGTAATTTGAAAAAAATGTTTTAGTAAATCAATAAGACAAATATCATCTATATTATATTGCATACTAGCAAATCATAGAGAATTCATATTTGCAATGAAATGTGGTTCATAAGAAACATAATTTGAGATTTTGATAAATCTAGGCATTTATCTTAACAAGCTTTTGTAATACTGTCTATAGTTTACGCGAGTAGTACACATTTAAATAAAACACTTTAACGGTTTAAAACGCGATATATTAGTTAAACTTATTTGAAAATGATTTTTAACTTCGGCCCGACGTTTCGGATGCTTTGCAGCAGCCGTGGTCACGGGGAGACCCGTGACCACCCGTTTTAAACCGTTAAAGTGTTTTATTTAAAAGCTTTTGTAATATTTAAAACTAACATTACATTTTCTATACTGAATTAAAACAGAAGATATGATATAATTATTCTTTCTTGTTACAAACGGAAACAGTATTTGCTTTTGTCATCAAAAATCATATCATTGTTTGTCATATTCAAGGGTTATTTTCCAACAAGAATTTAAATGGAAACTAAGCATCTATTTTATATTGTATTCTTTTAAATACTTTAAGAAAATATCATGTATTCACTATTCATGCTGAAATTTTTATAAAGTGTTTACTTATTTTTTATAAAAAAAAAACATATTAATAATAAGAACTATAAGTAGAAACAAATTGTTCAAGTATAAATAGGCAATTTATGAAAATGTATACTTGGACAGGCTTATACCTATTTCATAATAATATATTAGTTAAATGTGATGTACTTAATTGAAGAATATTTGTGAATCAAAAACAAGTCTGGCATAATGTAATAATTTCCGTTAACAGCTCTTTATGGTCAAATTATGAGATAAAATCTTATGCATTATTCATAATCGTAAGTGTTAACATAATGATTTCATACTTTTTGACACAGATAGTGAGAGTGATTACCTAAAGTTATTCACTAACCATGAAAATGTGTATCATATAATATGATGAAACGTAAATAGTATTTTTAATAAATACTATTTACGTTTGTAATTATCATTTCAAAGGTAGGTTTAAAAAATATATGATTTAAATTTGGAACTAAATAAGATTTTTTTTCTTACCTTTGTGTACAATTCTTTCGTAGTCATTCTGTATCGTTTATTCGCTGGCTTATTTATTATTACACTATATATCACATTATTTCACCACGAGGTTTGTACTTTTAAAATTCATTTTTAAATTACAAGGTAGTTTTGAAAATTTTGCTGAAATTTCCGATGCGAATTGCGAAACGTCACTGCGTCTTTGACATCTGTCAAGCGAAATATTTTATCAATAACTAACTACTTATCTAGGTAGGCAAAATACCTATTTCAAGGAGCGACATCTCACAAATGATGAGAAAAAGGAAACGAATGAACAGGTATTAAAATTGCGTGCGACACAATCGATAGGAAATATTTACAATCAAGAAATAAGTGCAAAAAAGGTGAACCAAGAGAATACGTAACATGAAGCGACTAATAATTTTGCTCTTTATTATTGTAAGCTGTATTTAAAAGTTCTCACGAGTGTTGCAAGATTATAAAAAATATTTAGGTCAAACACTAAGAAGGAAGTTAGCATTTGATAAACTGCCATCTATTGACAACCATGGGTACTCTATTCTAGTTTTATAAATATATTTTGAGAATTCAATAAAATAATTTTGGCTATTCAGTCCATAATTGTTTATTTTATTTGCTATACCGTCTAATTATTACAATTTTCCCTAATTTAAATAATATTCATAATAAAATGTTATTGTTACAGAATATGGGTTACATTGATATATTTTAGGCTTTAGAACGTTACATTGGGTAAATTATTTGTTTTCTGAAGATGGAAACCAGGATTGGCAAGCTTCTGTTGCGATTTCGCACAGGGCAGTGAAAGCTTTTGCTCTGTTGTCGTAATCTGAAATAAAGAAATCAAGATACTAGACTTAGTAAAATCATATGGGGACTGACACTAACAACAAAAAAGTTCGAAATTAAGATAATATTAAAAAAAAAAACACTTTTACCAAATACATAGTTAAATAAAATTAACTAACTGAATATGACTATAAGTGGTTTTCCTGCTTAGATAAGAATATTTGCTACTACAAATTTACGATGTTTTTTTACGTAAAGTAGAGATTCTATGCTTAAAAGTAGAGTCTTAGAATGTTTAGTAGGACTAATAGTTTAGTAACAATAATCTAGGCTGTATGAAAAGTACCAAAGTAGAGCTTTAATATTAAATTTTCATAAGATTGCGATACCTGGTGGTCCCCTTTTTCCAAACATAATGCCATTCATGGGAGCGTTTTTGTAGTTAGCTTCGCTTATTGTAATGACGCAGATTAGAGCAAGTAACAGGGAAATAGAGATGTACCTCATGCTTGATGCTGACATCTGTAAATATAAATAAAATCATTATATTGCATAATATTAAATATTTATGGAAATTAGGTAGTATCTGTAGTTAACGCGAGTAATTCACATTCTGAATAAAACAATTTAACGGTTTAAAACGCGATATATACTAGCTAACCTTATTTGAAAATTATTTTGTGACCCGTGACCACGACTGCTGCTAAGCATCTGAAACATCTGGTCGTAGTTTATAGTTATTTTCAAATAACTTTAACTAATAAATATCGAATTTTAAACCGTTAAAGTGTTTTATTTAAGTTAATACAAGTTGCGACAGTCAAAATAACTTCATGGCAGTAATTATAAAATCTGCCAAAGAACGAAAGTAACGGAAATAGGTAGAAAATTGAAAGACGATGACGATGGGCTGATTATGTCTTTTTTTATCATAGAGCAGGACCGACAAGCACAAGGTTCACTTGATGGGAGGTGAAATACCCCCCAGGGACCCCCCAGAAACAGGAGACCACGATTAGCCAAACGCAGTTTAAGACGACCATCAGCAACCTGCTGGTGGACTCATGAAGTACCCAGCAGCAAATAGGCAATTAGAGCTCAAGAGAGGGCCGAGTGACAAGCTAAAGACCAACGTCGACTGATGGCGTCGGTGATGATGATGAGGATGAATAATTATAAGAGTGTGGACAATAATCCTTTTTACCTTAAAAGCTTGGAATGCTGTTGTGGCTGGTAACACTGAAAGGCAACTGATGTCGAAATAGAAATTTCCCGCCCATTTATACGTTCAAAGTGAACATGGCGGCTGTCCACTCAATTAAAGGATTATTGGATACTAACCGCATATTCTCGATGATCGACCAAAATCCCTAGGGATTATAACTCTATTAGTGGCTAGTGCATGGAACTACAAAGACGAGAGTGAGAATACGTTATTTCGTTGTTTGAACATTGAAGTTATTTTCAGAATCCAAAATATACATAGACCACAGATATTTCGGTATTAATTTCTATCTATCAATATAGATTCATAATACTAACTCTTATATGTATGTTATGTATTGTATGTGTTATATATTTTGTGACATGACTTTAAGTCAAACAAAAGATCATATAACAAGTTGTTGAATGGTTCTTAAATGTAATCATTATTGGTTGAGGATTAAAAAAAATTGGTTTCAAAACATTTCTAAATCTAAGTAAATAATGTTTAAGATTTTAAAAAGAATAAAGTATTCTTCTGTTATAGTTAATGAATGAAACGGGCCTATGAACCCTTGAAGAGAGAGGTTATAGATTCGGATATGGGGCATGTCAGTCAATTATAAAATTAGCATAAAGTAAAAATGTGTTAAAAGAATAATTCATTTGAAAATAGTATATGTCCGCGACGCTGTATTGATCCTTTTCCCTTTTGAGATTACAATAAAATATACTTTATTCGTTTTAAAATTAAACAAAAAACTCGCAAGACCAACGCAATGCGAACGACGTCGTGGGTAACAGCTAAGTGCTGTTTTATTCTACCTAGTATTATTTTCTTTTGCTGAAGTTTAAAGGAGAAAGAATCAAATTACAAAGCCATCAAGTTTCCTAACAAAGTCAATTATTCTCTTAACTCGTATTAAAGAGCTGTTATATTAATTATGAGTTATTTTCAGGACCTATAAATACCAGGGAAACCCTGGAAAGTGCATCAGATCGTGTCCTAGCCACACAAGAATACGTTGAGTCAACTTTGAAGAAAGAACAAGAATGTAAGTTTGATAAAATTTTCAATACCATAGTATGTTTTGCTCATCAGTAAGCAATAATAAGATATCTTTGTTCTGTTTACCTTTAAAACCATGTAATGTTCTATTTATATTGATAAAAAAAAATTACGACACGGGCGGGACTTGAACCGGCATCCACAATGTTCCGTGTTGCTGCTTCACCAATTGAAATTACAACAACGAGAATTATTAATTAAACAAAAAACAGGCGGGTTTTCAAATGTTTTTACTTCAATATAATTTTGTTTGCTAATGTAAGAAAAAGTTATAATTTCCAATGTATGTTAAATTGACATTATCCTTCACATATGATCGTTTCATATAAAAGATTGGACGCAATAATAACCGTAATACTAATTCTAGACAAATTTTGATGTATTTATAGATATAGAAAATGTTTAAATACACCTTTCAAACCAGTCTTTTGACGATGGTCTTTTAGACGACTTCTTTGTTATATATATTTTTTTTTTACAAATTCGTAACAAATTTTAATGATGGTGTAAAAGCATAACGACCACGTCGTTTAGCAGTGACGAGAGGAGTGTAGTAAATCGTACTTCATCATACTGTGTAATAACTTGTTCTAGCCTTACCTAGAACTCCCTATGTTTCTTATGGTATTCTAGTAATTTGCACCCAGGGTCTGGTAACAGATTATCACATGTTTAAAAGTAAAGATATTCTTGGGAAAGGAACGAAATCTTCAAAGATAAAATTTATTGTTTCCAGTTTTACAATGAACTCAGTTTTGGTCTTTATCTTCCTTGCTATCGTCTGCATCATTGAGCTTACTGAAGCCAACTATAAGAAGTTGCCGTTCAATGGCTCCATCTTTGGGAAACGAAGCTCCAATGGTTCGTATTGATTCTAGTCGTTGGTAAAAACTCATTACAATAAAAAAGCCTGCCACCTATTCGGGATTTAAATTCAGCTGAGCTTTGCATGCGCTGGAGTCGCGGAATCGTATGATTTCTAGTCTACTTCTTTTAAGCACAATTCATTCATTTAAGTACCGTAAATTCTTTCATTTTGACACAAACAAGGCTTTGATCCACCAAGTTGCTTCAGTGCTGCCTGTACTAGATGCTTTAAAGAGTCCCACTACTAAATTAGTGATGTTAACCGAAATCGATGGCTTAACATATTTCCAAGGAACTGACTTATTCTGGTTTCTCTTCCAAATACGACACTGGTAAACGCGCCTTCTTCCTCTGGCACTCAAACCATCGTTGTAAGCTTCCACAGACCAAAAAAAAAACATTTTTTTTTACAGATCTTGACACCAGCCGTGCTTTGTTCGCCCTTTGTGAAATTACCACCGAAACGTGTGATGCATGGATGGAGCAGATGTATGGAAACAAATAAATTAATTAACATATTATCTTAACTGTAACATATTCTCTGAAAACTGCTTTGGTGACAATAAAATTTTAATTTATGTAGCTAATAAGGCAATTTGTATAATTGTATTGCAGAATATGTAAGTGGTATAAACGAATAACTTTTCGGTTAATTCATTTGTTTTTATCAATTTCAAAGTGTTAGAAAATTACAATCATGCCAATTTTAGTATAAACTTAAAAAAAAAACATTTTGTCTGAATTAGTTAAAAAAAAGTTTGATGAACACTGGTAATATATGTATTACACACGATGTATGCTTGGCTAAATTAATGTTGACTAAAACTAATTGCTTGAGGGAGCACAAGTCCAACAGACAGCTTATGTTTGATGGACTTGCAAATCTTGTTATCTTTGGTATACATAGAATAATTATTACTAGTGCTTCGCTGAACTAGTGGTTAGTACATTTTACTACTGATCACGAAAACCAGTATTCGAATCCTTTTAGTGCAATATTTACCTTCAACCAATTATTGCTAATTTGTTGTAGCAGGTGTTTTATTTTGTTTTGGATCTTATCAACTTAAGAATGTGAAAAGAAACAGTTAAAATCCATCATTTATTTTTTATTTTTAAGAGGTATATTAATGTATAATCAAATTAAATGACTGAGAATAAAAGATATTGCTAATAATGTTCTTCGTTTTCGTGCCTTCGAATCTGTTTAGCTACAAGATAACTTGAGTGAGGAGGCAATTGTATTTTCTGATACAAATAAAGAAATTGCTTGATTAAATGTTTTATAAGAATCTTGATTTCTCACATCATTATATTATAGATTGATTTTATTAAAAAATATTACATTAATAAACATATTACAATAATACAGTAACAAATATAAGTAATATGTATGTCATAAAAAATCTTAAGCTCTCTTAATCTATAGTAGATTACACCAAGAAAAGTCAACGTGTATCTGTGCCATTCTATCAACGTCATTTCATAATATGTCATTATCATATTTGATCGCTGACAGTATTAAATTGGCAAATGTCAAATACATTTGTCAATTCCATACTATCGAATATCAATGGCTGCCGCCTGCTCGTCGTTACAACTACCAGTAATAATTGCACATTTACCTTGTGAAAAATAAACTGCTAATGTAAATTAGAACTATACATAAATGTTTCAACCATTTCCTGTATTTACATCGCTTTCAAGTGACTCTACGAGAACAGCGATTAAACTAACGCGACCCATAAGTGAAGTGGAAATTTTCAGCAAGGTAAATTTATCATAATATATTTATATTAAGCTATTTTATCAATGAGACGAATTGAAAATGTGCGATTACGTGCCTTGAGATATATTACGGGTATCGAGTTTCTGCTACGTAGTTTGTATCAAGTCTTTCATTAATGTATATGTCAGAACACGTTCGTTATAAATATAAATAATAATCTTAGAAATACAATTTGAATATGTAATCAACGAGAATGTAAAGCAGCATTTTCGATGACAAATTCCAACGCTATTGGCATTTGTATAAATACGTAAAACATTAATACTTTTAAACTGTCATTAAAGGATTATAACTTATGGAGATAAATGGTTTGATTTATCTTATAGTAAACATTGCATCTGCTTGAGTTGTAATGATAATAACAAATAGCATAATATTTTATCTACATATTATTCTTATACATATTCACACATGAGTTATTGGAATGGTATATTGTTCGCTCTATTTAGAGATAAAACAATAATATTCTAGTGAAAATGTATTAAGCAAGCAATTACCCTGAGGGAAATAATGACTATTTTACACAGTAAGTGAAGTTCAGTGAGTAGTGTTAGTTCTGAGATCAAAAGGTCACACGTTATGAGATTACTTTTGCTGCTTATGGTTTGTCCCAATCGATAATAACAATCATTATATTATTCTGATGAAGACACCAATCGGTTGCCCACCAGTCACAGTCTTAATTTCTCATTGCCTCTCTGTGGAGGAAATACAAATTTTAAAGCTCTTATTGTGTTGTAAGAGTATTGCATTATCTATAAATATTTCTTTATATTTTGATAAGTATTTGTTCAAGTATAGAGTAAATCCTATTAGTTGCGCTATATTTAGCTACTTGAAGGTTCATTGTCAATTGTAATCAAATTATTTTCCCTGTGACACTGTGTGATGAAAAGTACCGTTCTATTTTCAGCAACAAGATGGATGGATCACTCTTGCCAGCAATTCAAGAACCACCTATAAAAAAAATTAAGCCATCCACAAACATGACAATAAATTTTTATTTGAATGAAGTGACAAGTTCGAAAACACCATTAAAGGTGGTACTAAATGATGATATTTCTGAATCCTTGCCGTTAATTGAGGTTTACACTGGACACATCCAAAACCCGAAAGATATATCAAAGACAGTACTCCTGTTAAATGAAAAATTACCGATAAAAGAATTACAGCACTTAAAGAGGGTAAAAAAGCAGGATATTTTCCTTTGTCCAATTACTTACACAAATGAAATGACAATTCAGGAGTACCTAAAAAGCTTAGACGACAGTTTTGCAGATATTTTTGATTCATTTGCAGTGATCCATGTTCCCAAACAGCCCCCGAAACTAAAGAAACAATTTGAAGACACGAAAGAGTATTGGCCTTGTAACTTTCACCCAGACAAATATCTAGAAAAGCTTTTCAGTGATAATTTTTTTACCCAAGAGGAGAGTAACATGCATAGAAAGTATATGTATATTGCCCTTCTTAATGCTAAATGGTACGTCATGAATGATGCGTCCATACATGATGTTCCTAATGTAACTCTTGTGGTAGATCCTATTATTGCCAGTGTTGTAGCGGTTGCTACAGATAATAGAAAAAAACACCCAACACAACACTCCACAATGCTGGCCATAGACAATGTTGCCAGGACACAAAATGGAGGTGCATGGTCTCCAGACTGTGAATTAGATGAAGAGACAATGATTCCTAATAGTTTGTTGCAATGTTTGAAAGCGGAAATGCCTGAGATTAATTTTGGACATAGGAAGTTTAAGAGCAATCGAGTTACTGATGATAATAATAGTGGAACTGAAAATAATGAGACATCTAGTCTAGATAGTCCCTATCTATGTACTGGCTACTATATCTATATGTTAAGAGAGCCATGTGTCATGTGCTCAATGGCTTTAGTTCATGCAAGAGCGAAAAGGATATTCTTTTGTGTAGATAATGAAAGAGATGGTGGATTGAAATCTAAAGTTAAATTGCAAACGGTGAGCTCGCTAAATCACCGTTTTGAGGTGTTTACTGGTTTTTTATAGAACTATACTAGGGATATTACTGGTTATTTTTCAAAAGCTATATTCTCACATTGTGGAGTCAAATAAATTGTTTTTACATAACATACTAAATACAAGTCTACAAAAGCGATATTTTTGTCATTTGATGAAATATTTTTTTTATAATGCCGTCTATATATTACCTGGCAGAGCTGTACACGTGTAGTTTTATGAAGTGCTAAGTGCGAGAGTGACTAGTTATGGTAACACTAAAATAGTAACGGCGCGTTGTTTACTATGTTAACGAATGTGACACGAGGAAATTAATTTGTTTGATAAAGTGTATTCTAAATAAACGGAGGATTCACATTTTCATAATATTAAATTTAATTAGGAACATATATTTTTTAATTGACTATATTTTGGAAAAAAATATATATATTTTTACGCAGGAACAAGTAAATACTTGTACACTTAGGACAGGGTTGTATGTTAAATTATATACAATGCTTTTAAATAAAACACTTTTAATGGCTTAAAACGCGAAATATTTATGTTTGATAATCTACTTCTCGTCGGGTTATAGTGAAGTTAATAAATATATTTTTCGCGTTTGAACCGGTTAAAAGTATTATATGTTTTAGTTTGTTACTCGAAATACTTCATGTATGTTTTTAATAATATTGTTATATATCCATTTAAATGCTAAGAATAACAAAGTTAAATAAAATATATTTTATTTGAATAACAATATGTCTTTTCTTAGTTACACCTATAGTTACATAGGTATCACAGTAAATATTTTGTTCCTGTTACGTGCCCTTAGCAACGATTCATAGCAACTGATGAATACTTTAATAATGTGAATGATTGTTATTGGACCTTGCTCTTCAATGAGCAATCAGGCGCATCGCTGATTAATGCATGGATCTACAAAATACATAGTTGTGATTGCGCATCAAATCATGGATCGTTTTTATAATTGGATTGTCTAATACAATTTGAAATCTCAAAAATTTTAATTAATAATTGTACGCTTTGGTACAATGTTTTTTAGTAATATGCTAAGTCACTGAAAATGTTTATGTTAATGTCATGTGCTCAATGGCTTTAGTTCATGCAAGAGCGAAAAGGATATTCTTTTGTGTAGATAATGAAAGAGATGGTGGATTGAAATCTAAAGTTAAATTGCAAACGGTGAGCTCGCTAAATCACCGTTTTGAGGTGTTTACTGGTTTTTTATAGAACTATACTAGGGATATTACTGGTTATTTTTCAAAAGCTATATTCTCACATTGTGGAGTCAAATAAATTGTTTTTACATAACATACTAAATACAAGTCTACAAAAGCGATATTTTTGTCATTTGATGAAATATTTTTTTTATAATGCCGTCTATATATTACCTGGCAGAGCTGTACACGTGTAGTTTTATGAAGTGCTAAGTGCGAGAGTGACTAGTTATGGTAACACTAAAATAGTAACGGCGCGTTGTTTACTATGTTAACGAATGTGACACGAGGAAATTAATTTGTTTGATAAAGTGTATTCTAAATAAACGGAGGATTCACATTTTCATAATATTAAATTTAATTAGGAACATATATTTTTTAATTGACTATATTTTGGAAAAAAATATATATATTTTTACGCAGGAACAAGTAAATACTTGTACACTTAGGACAGGGTTGTATGTTAAATTATATACAATGCTTTTAAATAAAACACTTTTAATGGCTTAAAACGCGAAATATTTATGTTTGATAATCTACTTCTCGTCGGGTTATAGTGAAGTTAATAAATATATTTTTCGCGTTTGAACCGGTTAAAAGTATTATATGTTTTAGTTTGTTACTCGAAATACTTCATGTATGTTTTTAATAATATTGTTATATATCCATTTAAATGCTAAGAATAACAAAGTTAAATAAAATATATTTTATTTGAATAACAATATGTCTTTTCTTAGTTACACCTATAGTTACATAGGTATCACAGTAAATATTTTGTTCCTGTTACGTGCCCTTAGCAACGATTCATAGCAACTGATGAATACTTTAATAATGTGAATGATTGTTATTGGACCTTGCTCTTCAATGAGCAATCAGGCGCATCGCTGATTAATGCATGGATCTACAAAATACATAGTTGTGATTGCGCATCAAATCATGGATCGTTTTTATAATTGGATTGTCTAGTACAATTTGAAATCTCAAAAATTTTAATTAATAATTGTACGCTTTGGTACAATGTTTTTTAGTAATATGCTAAGTCACCGAAAATGTTTAAAAAATTTGAGAATTTTAATTTTTTAAAGCTCTTAGATGGCCCAGTCACTAAAATCATTTTGATATTGTTAGTCTATTTGTCTTTTTCAATGTATAAACGTAACAATATCGTAATGGTTTTATCCACAAATCTTTTTAGTAACTAGCTGTCCACCATGACTTCTTCCGCGTCCCGTCTTTAGGGTAATGTTATAAGATAAAAGTACTGTCGCGGATTCATTTTGAGATCGTTTAAAGAGGAATCATTCTTTCCCACATACTTATATTTTTCTCGCGCTCCCGGTGGATGTATGTAAATAATTTTTCCCGTGTTTTCAACATTTTCTTCTGTTTTTATGATGATCCTCAATAAATGTTTTAACAAGCATAAAAAGATTATTTTAATTCGATCCAGTAGTTTTTGAACTTAGCGCGTTCTAACTATCCAACTGCAGTTGTATGATATTAGTATAGATTTATTACCAAACTTTTAAATATATGTACTAAACTGTGTCCACATTGCATAAGCACCAATTACAGTGGTCCCCTCATTGTTACAATTTAACTGCAATCCAGACTCGTGTCGGATATCTGTCAGTGCGCATGCCTCTACCGAATTTTAAAGATGCGTCACAATGGAAGGAAAGTGCGTGGCCTTTGATACATTTTGGTGAGGTTGTTTTGCTATTCAATCAATTATAAACGGATTTAATTTAATGACCTATTAAGTATTATTATTATTTGGTAACATAAGTTGTAACCAGCTTTGTTAGTTAATGTTTGTCATCAAAGGTACTGTCATCATCGTGATTTATATATCGGGTTCCAAATTTGAAATATATCTATAGCTTATAAAGTCCAAACTGCTGTGCTGTGTTTTCGGTAATCCGTGACGACTGATCAATAGAAAAGTCACGAAAACGAGACTTTTCTATTGATACGCCAAGTAGTTGAAACCGCGATGAACCCACAGTTACTGGTTCGAACCCACTGCAATCAATTTCAATTCACATTGGAATTATCATCTGTTTCCTTCTACTTACGGCGTAAGGTTCATTTTCGCTTGATTTGTGTAATTGGCCTCTCAATTGTAAAATGGTGATCTTCCCCTGAAAAATGAGTGTTGCGGTTATGTTGTGGTAAAGCTATGTTTGTATAAGAGAAATACTTATGGGAGTAGGCAAATAGCTTTGTTACATAACGCACTGTAGCGCCATTTTGTCTGACTTCTCATATCGAATCGATGTTAAATCTATCTATACTTCTATACTAATATATAAAGCTGAAGAGTTTGTTTGTTTGTTGGTTGAACGCGCTTATCTCAGGAACTACGGGTTCGAATTGAAAAATTATTTTTGTTTGACAACTTTAATATTTTTTACATGTTATTGCACCTGAAGGCACACTATAATTTAAAAATCGAAAATAAATTGAAAACATTTTCGACTCGGTATCTCAATTGGTAGAGCAGCAGCACGGAACGCTGACGATGCCGGTTCATGTCCTGCCCGAGTAAAAAAAAAAAATTAAATTTAAAAAAAAAAAAAAAAAAAAAAAAAAAAGGGGGGGGGGGGGGGGGGGGGGGGGGGGGGGGGGGGGGGGGGGGGGGGGGGGGGGGGGGGGGAAAAAACCAAAAAAGCGGCAAAAAAAAGGGAAAAGGGGGGGGGGGGGGGGGGGGGGGGGGGGGGGGGGGGGGGGGAAAAAAAAAAAAAAAAAAAAAAAAAAAAAAAAAAAAAAAAAAAAAAAAAGGGGGGAAAAAGGGCGAAATAAAAAAAAAAAAAAAAAAAAAAGGGGGGGGGGGGGGGGGGGGGGGGGGGGGGGGGGGGGGGGAAAAAAAAAAAAAAAAAAGGAAGGGGAAAAAAAAGGGGGGGGGGAAAAAAAAAAAAAGGGGGGGGGGGAGGGGGGGAGAGAGGGGGAAAAAAAAAGGAAATTTTTAATTAAAAAAAAAATTTTATTTTTTTTTTTTGGGGGGGAAAGGGGGGGGAAAGGGGGAAAAAAAATCCAAAAAAAAAAAAAAAAAGCAGCACGTCTAGTTAGTTTCAACTAAGAAAAGACGCTACATTTATAGACCATTTGGTCCCATTTTTAATAAAATATATCTATACATATGTATTTATCTCAATTGCAATACTTATTCTATTTAAGTTGAGATCGTATAAATTAAGAATCTATTGTAGACTGAATGACACGGACGGGACTTGAACTACCAAAGCTTCTCTCTATTTCTACCAATGGTGGCATTTTACGGGCCCATACGAACGAATCAGATAGCCGCAATGGTAGGCATAACTAAAATATCTATACAACCGATCCTATTCGGCGATATACCATACTTCTCTGTAACGGCTCGACCGATTTTTATGAAATTTTATATGCATATTACTAAAAGATAGGGGTTATCCACACCTAACGTTCCCTCTAAATTTTCACCGCTCCATCACCAACCCCTATTTTTATAGTTGTTTTCGTAATTTAAGCATTTTTCATCCCAACCAATACTGATATCAATACCAAACTGATCAATTATATTCCCCCCCCAGCATGGAGTAGAGATGAGACCAAAGCTGGTCTTACCAGATCTTTTATATGTGTTTTACCATACACTTTTGCCGGGTCAGCTATAATATAATATGTATGTGCACTGTACGATACATTTCATACATACCAACCATTAATTTCTCGTTATTTAATAAAAACCATTAAGTACTAAAATTGTACTCAACAAATCAATAGCTCTTTCAAAAAATGTAACATTCAATTCTTTCTTCCAGAATTGAACCAGCTGAATCGAGATAAAGCCAGTTTGCCAGAAGAAGGCTGCATACGTTAGACAGAGACGAAGCTATTCTTCGCAGCACGTACTAGAAGTATTAATGGGAAGAATTGATGTCCATTCTGTAATGCTGATAGCTCTGAAATACTGTCTCCTTGATTGACTACTTCTTATTGGGGCTTCTATTAATGGTAAACATGCTTTTTAAATGCTAAGTAACCTATTTAGGGTTCGAAGCCCAGAATAAAGGTTTGAAAACTGTAATATTTTTCACATTATTATAAATTCAAATAATTCTTGCCGGGTCATAATTTTGAACCGGCATCCACATGGTTAGAGCAACAGCACGGAACGCTGTGGATGCCGGTTCAATTCCTGCCCGAGTCGTAAAATGCTTACAATCTATAATCGATTTTTAATTTAGAAAGTTTCTTCTAATAATTCAATTATTTTAGGTGAATTGTACATTGTTTTATAAATACGGAAAAATCCCTTTTTTTACAAATACGTAACAGTTTTTATATGAGTTAAATCTCTACTTAGATTAATCGATTAGTAGTCAAAGTACCTAGCAAAGCACAATTTATCGAAAGTTGAAGCAAGAATAAATCGATTTTTATTTTTTACTTTTTTTAATTTATAACACTTGCTCGCGCAAGTCCGCTGACTACTTGATATAGATTTCAGGCATCCCTGAAATCTTACATAGTCATAATAGCAAAAATCGTTATTTAAGATGGAACAACACCTTTATAACTAAGGTAAATAAAATGTATCCAATTAGATATATTTATGTATGTGACAAATTAATACAAATAAAAATGTAAAAAATGCACTCTCTAGTGAAAACTATTTTTTTTAAAAGTACAGACTAGGTCTGTACTTTCAAACGTATGTACCAAAAGCTTCTAGAAAAATTGGTCGTTAAAATTTAAAATTTTGCGAACAACATTGCAGGCCAGCAGTTTAATTGTACTCAATAAATATCAATTAAACTCACGACGATCACACGCCGCTCAATCTTACTGATTGTCTTTTATTGGACTTCTCAAAACGTGGAGATAAAATCCCGTTGCAGATGTGTAGGGGGAAAAAACACATTGATTCAGATTTCATAGAAAAAATATCTTATGAATTAAATAAAACACTTTACTGTCACGGGGAGACTCGCGAAAAATCATCCGTAACGTCAGGCCGTAGTTAAAATATTTTTCAAATAAGTATAAACTTATATTTAAATAAAACACTTTAACGGTTTAAAACGCAATATATTAGTTAAACTTATTTGAAAATGATTTTTAACTTCGGCCCGACGTTTCGGATGCTTCGGAAGTTTCATTTTCAAATAAGGAAGGGGGGGGGGGGGGGGGGGGGGGGGGGGGGGGGGGGGGGGGGGGGGGGGGGGGGGGGGGGGGGGGGGGGGGGGGGGGGGGGGGGGGGGGGGGGGGGGGGGGGGGGGGGGGGGGGGGGGGGGGGGGGGGGGGGGGGGGGGGGGGGGGGGGGGGGGGGGGGGGGGGGGGGGGGGGGGGGGGGGGGGGGGGGGGGGGGGGGGGGGGGGGGGGGGGGGGGGGGGGGGGGGGGGGGGGGGGGGGGGGGGAAAAAAAAAAAAAAAAAAAAAAAAAAAAAGGGGGGGGGGGGGGGGGGGGGGGGGGGGGGGGGGGGGGGGGGGGGGGGGGGGGGGGGGGGGGGGGGGGGGGGAAAAAAAAGGGGGGGGGGGGGGGGGGGGGGGGGGGAGGGGGGGGGGGGGGTTTGGGTACAATAGACTCGTCCAGTCTGGTCTTGACATACAGAACCAAGTCAACTTGAAAGGGGACCCCACATCATCTCGCCGTGTGACCCTGCCAAGTGATCCCAATTCCTTCGTACGACACACGCGATTGGTCAGGGAATTAACGGTGCTCATTCGTATTCCTGCTACCAATTTAGCAGTCTTCGAGCGTTCTTCGTGAGCAATTTTTGCGATCGCCCGCCCGGAAACCACTTTGGCGCAGACAAAAATTCGCATCCAAAATGGTGGACTAATGTTAAGGGAGATAATCCTATAATGGCGCCTGAGAAGTTAGTTTTCGCCAATATGGCCGCTGTTGTGTGATTTGTGCGAAAATTGGACTCGCCTTTTTTGTGTTCGCAATTTTTTTTGGACAAGGACGGTTAAAAGGTGAGGTGGTTTGTTGTGGACTCGTGTCTCGAAGGCTTTGCTCTTCCGGTAATGTACGATGCGCATGCGCTGCTGCAGTGATTTCAAGATATGCATGTCAAAATGTAGCACTTCATAGTTCTTCTAATTTGTATTCTTTGCTAACTCAATTTTGTAAATGCAACTTGCTTTACACTTGAGTAATTTTTCGTTAAGGAGAACTTCCTGATAATTTTGCGATATCTGCAATGGAAGACATGGTAGCTATCACATATTACAATTATTGTATAGTGAAGGTTTATTGTAGTACAACTTATCCTACATATAGAATATATATTTTCATATATAAGAATTTCCGTCATAAATATTTCTTGCTTCTTAATAACTTTGACCTTCATTTACCTCAAATAAATATGACCTTTAGGCTGAAGACTTCTCTAATTGTCCGGATCTCTTGTTTAAATCTTCTTTAAATTCTCTTGTTTAAATATTTATTTGTATACATTTTTCTTTATAAATTTATTTTAGGCGTTTTTTGTAAGGCTAGATATAAAACCTTTAAAGTCAAAAATTATTTATTCATGTGGGCTTTTTTTCGAACGTTAAACCATTTAAAAACTGACCCAATTTTTTCCTACCTTTATTCAAATCAACGGCAACGAACGAGAAGACTTGGCAAAAAACTCGCTGCCACTCCTGTTATCGCCAAGTTCTATTTTACGGACTTCCATACTCTATAGAATACTACATCTTCTTTCTTGTTTTGCATTTTTATCGTTTAAATATTTTTTTGCAATTTCATTACCTGTCTGAACAATAGGTTGGTATACCAAGCTTCGAATTCTCGTTCGAAAACTTACTGCGCACCATATACAATAGGTTTAGTGATAGGCTAGATGATGGGCAAATTGTTTCCTTCTAGCTTTATTAATTTATTGCCGCAGCCTTGACTGGTTAACTGACTCAAGAAAAGAGATAGAAATAGTTTAAACGCATCCCTCTTGCATATCAATTAAAGTAAAAAGTTGCGGGTTTTAGTAAATAAAATCTCTCTTTTTATCTACAACACCCTACAGGCAATGATAATTGTACAGAACTCGAGGATAGAAGTAGAACTGGTCGTAATAAAAAGGCATTTCTATCTTCTATTAGAGATGATTTTACAATTTTAAAACTCCATTAATTATTATCACTAAGCCATTTTTAGTATTATAATAAGTAACAGAGACAGAGAGAGAGGCTTTGGAATGAAGTTCCAAATCCAAATCACCAAAGCAAGTTAATACAGCGTTTTCTCTTTCCCGTACTACCGTTACAAAGAAGTTGCATAGACAAGGCACAAAATACTCAGCGTACTCAGTATTCCCTCCCTTATAACACGTTTCGGTAAATAGTCTAAAATGTAGTGTTTGTTTGTAATCAAATTTAACGATATAAATGTAGTTTTTTAATACTGTCCGAAATACCAACTATAACGGAACAGATGGCGCTAGCGTAGCATTTTTTTACTTTGACGTCAAAAATACCCTCCATCTTTAGTCTCCCCGTGACCACGGCTGCTCCAAAGCATCCGAAACTTCGGGTAGTAGTTAATTTCTAAATTTGTTAACTAATATATATCGCGTTTAAAACCGTTAAAATGTGTTATTTAAATGTAGTTTTTTTAATTCCAGGAGCCGTAGCATCCGCCTCAAACCTCGAGGCACCATCGAGCACCCCACTCGACCCCACTTCATACGACTCGAGCGCCCCATGGAGGCCATCATCTCCCTGCGAACATATCTAATCGGCAATCGTTTCACTAACAAAACCTTCCCGGGGCTAGTGCCTCACATACAGTATCACTTGTGCAGGTAATCACCAATTCGATTTAATTTAGTTAAGTAGCTTTATTAATTAAAGTATTTTTCTAAAACAGAAGAGCAGCTCGGTGGATTGAGTTAATTTTGGTATGTTGCTGTAATCGTGAACCTTGAATGGAAAAGAAATGGAATGAAAATGCGAGAAAATCCCGAAAACTAACTACTTCCTTGTCTGTTAATATCGTACGATTTTATCTGAGTGTAGATGATACAAAATACATTGGACCATAATCTAAACAACTTACTAATACAAAAATTGGACAAACACACGACCAAGAGTCTGCTGACAATTTTATTATATTAAGAGAGTATTCACAAATATTTCCCCTTACTTGCTGATTTGAGCATTTTTATAACTTCGTTTTATGCACTTATTAGAATATATTAGTACCTCTATAAAAATGGGCTATATATATTTGTATAGACAAGTATTTCTTACTTGTTTCAGGTCAAGCACAAACATGCTCTTGAAAATTGAGAACCAACTACTTCAGAGACACCGTCAGCGCGAAACCACCGGGATCAAGAAACTATATAATTCGTTCTTCGTTCTCTTTTAACCGACTCGTTCAGTTCACTCAATCGTTCATTCGTTCATTTAGTGACTCTTTAGTGCGGGCTATGGCCCTGTGATGGAATTTTTTGAAGGAAACAAAGACTATATTATGCATGAGGGCAGAAAGGATTTTTGGGAGTCCAGTGTAAGGTTGTCGGTTGGTACGGACGATTTCGGGATGTTCCTGGAAGAGAGGGACGGGAGGAAGAGGAAGTGGGAGGGGAAGGGCGAGGAAAGGGAGCAAAGGAAGGTGCCGCCAAAGAAAATTATGGGTAAGTTTATCACATCCGAAGCTCAATAACATTGATTCAAACACATTGCATGCACGCGTGCTTTTAATTAAATGCATTGCGTTTAGAACGTTAGGATCTGGGTTCGAATCCTGGGGAAATGATATTATTAAGGTGGGCACAGAAGTCTTTATAAATATCTGACCAACTAAGTGCTTCCAAATAAAGTTGATCAGTAGATGGATACAGTAATGTGTTTGCCCTGCACACCAAAATGTAAAACTTAAGTGTCAAGTTAAATACTTAATTGAGATATTATTATGAACATCTTCGCTGAAAGCCGGAACCTTATTGTTAGATCTAATTTAAAAAAAAGAATAAAACCTATTTTCGTTCGGCGTGCTGTCTGTTAAACTCTTTGGCTTCATAGATTTCTTTAATTTTTATTTAAGTTATCGTCAATGACCTTAGACGAATAGTTTCATATATAAATAAAGACCGTCGTGTAGGAACATAAAATAAAACTTGTATTCATTTTTCGTAGTTTCTTGGTAAAGTTATTTCTAAGGAAACATAAAGAAACGTATTATTTATAATTCACTGCTATCATACGGAGAGAGAGATTAAACTATTTGAAAAACCAATTAAAAGGTCTTTAAAATGTAACTAACGCGAGTTAATATAAGGTTGTCGTTCACTAAACCGAAGATTTTTAATGCCTTACATATTTAGTGCTCTAGGTTCCTAAATAGTAAGAAAAGGTAAAATATGTTACTTAAATAAAACACCGTTTAACGGTTTGAATTGTAAAATATGTAATTTAACGTATCTGGTTCTTTGTAGTAATCGTGGTCACGGTGTTTAAAAAATAAGATTTTGTTGCTAAAGATGGTTTTATTAGCTAAAAATTTATTACTCCCGGGCCCTTTGCTTGGAAAGGGCTATTACGACGTTAATCAATATTTAAACGACAACAATGCTTGGATCTAGAGGAACACGCCTTAACAAAAAACAATATGTAGTGCACTTAAAGTACGTAAAAACTGTAATAAGAAACTTGGTGATAGAAGAAATGACGGCGAGTTTCTTGCCAGTTTTTCTCGTTCGTTCTGCGCCCTTGATTTGAGAACTGGTCATAAATGTAAATTGACAGCTTTAAGGATAGGCTAAAGCGAGTTTCTTGTTTGATTAAGAGATAATGTTTATCTATTAATAGTTTCCAAATATCGTATCGTCTGAGAATATTCACAAAAGGTCTACCTAGCTAAAACAATTAAATCAATTACTCGAGAAAACAGCGATTATTATTATTGAGCAATTATTGTCCAACCATCAAAAAACACTTAAATCATATTAACCTGTGAAATTGTCGTCCTTAGAAAACTTCAAAATTTTTACACTGGCACTAGTAACAATCTTTGCCTTGCCAAGTGATGAATGATAAATAGAGGATAGTAACAGGTGGCCGAAGTAGTTTGGCGTTTGTAATAAAGTTGTTATCAAAAACAGACACAGTTTTATCTATTGTTATGACTTCTTGAGGTAATTTTATCGCAAATTATGTCGTAAAAATAATGTTTCATGAAATAACAAAATTAGTTATATAATATTCCATACATCTGGGTGGAGCGAATTACACCCCGCCCCATTCGATAAAAAAAGGCGGTAACTGACCGATGACCTTTACAACTACTAAATTGGTGATACAAATCACTTGCTAACGTGACAATTGGCATAGATTATTAAAATTGCAGAAATGGTATTGCGTTTATATATCTATACTAATATATAAAGCTGTAGAGTTTGTTTGAACGCGTTAATCTCTGAAACTACTGGTTCGAAATGAAAAAAATATTTTGTGTTGGATAGAGGATTTATCGAGGAAGGTATATAGGCTGTGGCCACTCGGAGCGACAGGAGAAACAGAGGGAAATGTGGAACAAACGGGAAAATTATTAACCTTTGAAGGCATCCGGTGCGTGCGCTACGAAAACAATTCAAGAAACCTAAAAATATGTATGAAAGGATGATTCTTGTCTAAAAGCCCAAATTAATTCCACGCGGACGAAGTCGAGAGCACAGCTAGTTTCTAATATAACTCTTTGTAACACGACAATAGGTGTTCATTATTAACTGCATATTGTAATAAACATGCATTTTAACTTTTTTGGCATCGTTTGTACCGCATTTTTACTTCATTTGAGTAAATCGGAACTATGTACTAATTTCCTACAATATGACAGACTCACAGAGGCGTATCACGAGTAGACATTAATTCACTTGTAATAATTATAACTATTATCTTTTCATAGCTATGATAAGAGATAAATGTATCAAAATACAAACTTTCGTGTAACCAGTATATTGTGGCGCGTTTCGGCAGCCGGACGCGTAGTCGCGAGTGTGAATATGAATAATTGTGCAGTATGTTGGGATATTGTGAATTTTATTATATTTGTGTTTAAAAATACTTTTAAATTGTGATTTGTATATTGCTTTACTGTGATATGTAAATGATATCTTGACATATTTAACGTATTAAAGTATTTGTATTAGGCCTTGTCTTCAATGGAAATCAAAAAGAAATGGGTGTTAGGTCGTCATATCCTTTTTTGAAAGCACGTGACTTTATTCTCGTTTGGCAAATTCGAAATGATATTAGCACGACGAAGACAACCTGCTGCTGATGAGATTTTTTAAATAATATATAATATAAGGCTGATAATAAACATGGCAATACATACAATTAATTAGTAAATTGGACACACTAATATGTCTGACGTATAACTCAAGTAAATACCGCCGAACTGTAGAGACCAGGTTTTGCTTTTTTTGTCTTCGAAAATCGTAGAATTCTGCACCAACAACATTAAAGATCCCTTGACGTAAACCGAATAAGTCGTTTATGGATTTTCGACTGTCCCTAACGTCATATAATATTTCGAGACAACCGATCACAAAAACGGTTTAATAGAGCGCTATCTCATTCCTTCATTCCCTTTCAAAGAACAAGGACAGCAAATAGCCAGTGGGCGTCACCCTTTAATTCCCTACTAACTCGTTTTGGTGAATGATTATAAAGCTTCCGTAGTAGCTATGGACGAGCCCATCAAAAAACCAGTCTATCCGTGTTTCGTAATTATCACATTGCCACTAACATCTGAGCAATAAAGATATTATTTCATGTCAATATTGTTATCAGACACGCGCGAGGCTCGACTTGGTAATTTGCTTCATCTTGTACATCAAGATAAAATTTAGTTAGCCTTAAATTAATTATAACGTGGAATTCCCAATTTATGACGTGAACCATAAAAACGATTCATCACCATCATCATCATCATCTGTAAATGTGGATATTAATCGCGTGGTAGGAATATCGAAAACCAAAGCCAAAACAGGTCTTCGCATCTTGTTTAAATATAATATAGCTGGGGTAATGCGCGTTCCGTCAAGAGCCCATACTTGTCCTCATCTATCATAAATTCGTAAGGAACACGAACAAACACAGATGGAAACATAGCCTCGACGATATTTGACTAGCATATTTCACTTACCACCAAGTGGTGGTTTGCTATTCTGTCCTCCCTCGTTATAAAAAAGAGAAACCTGTTAAAATAAAACACTTTAACGGTTTAAAACGCGATATATTAGTTAAACTTATTTGAAAATGATTTCTAACTACGGCTCGACGTTTAATATGTCGCGTTTTAAACCGTTAAAGTGTTTTATTTAAATGTGTACTACTCGCGTACACTATAGACAGTATTTAATACTTATGTTATAGCAAAAGAAACTGTGGCCTTGCAACGAATAGTTTGCAATTTTAGAAGATAAAAAACATTAATTATTTTATATTAAATGTAAAAGCGATAATTATGACCATTAATTTAGTGACTATAGCCCTTAAGCAACCCTAGACTGTAGTAACTCTAAATTCCTATTGTGGTTCTCTTTTCGGGAGAGATTTATGCTATTGGACAAGACTGTTTTATAGGACCGAAATAGTAGAACAAAGATTCTTCGAAAAATTTGAATCAACGGCAACCTTTTAAACCCACTTGGATATGCAATGCAAAGATGTACCGTACCGTACTTTGTACCGTATTTTTTTTAGATTGCTAAGACATCTATATGTATTTTCGAGAAACCTCCGAGCGATGCGAATTTAAATTAAAAATTATCGTTAAAAGTGTTATTAGACAAGACACCTTTACTAATGTAACCTGTAAATATACCATACAATAAAATGTAATACTATGTCTGTATGTCCTTAGCAACACAATTTAATAACAAACTACAGTCCGATACGGAATTTCCTATAACCGATGTAATTTTGTTTTGTGTAAATATTGACTTTCAAATTATCATCTCGATTTCATCTTAAGTCACTCGATAGTACTACGGTACGTAAACAAAGTCACGTCCTCTTAATATTTCGTCATTATAAAAAATGTGACATATAAACAGTCTCCTTGGCTCAATGGTTAACTAGCATCTGTGTCATAAATTGCTCATTGCCCGAACGTCTCGGTCGAGCTGCGCACAGAACAAATATTGCCCATCTTGCTTCACTAAAGGTGCAAATTTAAAACTGTTAAAAGTGTCCTACTCGGGTACAGATAGATGACTATATCTTAGTAGCTGACCTGGCAAACGTTATATTATGAAGAAGGCTGTGCCCGCGACATCGTTCGCGTGGGTTAGTAATTATTTTGGGCATCGTTTTAACCTCCTCAGCTTTAAAAATTATATCCTCGTCCCCTTCGAGTTCTTGCGAGTTAATCTTAAAAGATAGACATATACCGCCGCGAACATTTTTTAAAATCATTTAAAGGCTTCTTTCATACATAATTTTTTGATTTCTTGAACCGAAATTGAAAATTGATTATTTCAAATTAAATAAGTATATACGTCTTTGGCTACTGTCTATAACTTACGCGAGTAGTACATATTTACATAAAACACTTCAACGGTTTAAAACACGATATATTAGTTAAACTCCCCGTGACCACGGCGGCTGCGAGGCATCCGAAACGTGCCGAAGTTAATAATCATTTTCAAATAAGTTTAACTAATATATCGCGTTTTAAACCGTTAAAGTGTTTTATTTAAAAGTCTTTCGCTGCTTCCTGTGGTTAACATCGTAATGTAGAAACATTTCGTTTTCAAGTTGCCCAAAATCCTTAGTTCGGTGACACAAACCTGATGCGAGTTTGCTATACTAACATTTTCTGAATATTCTGGAAGCCTCCATTTTATCTCTTAATTAGATGTTTATTAATTTATTGCACTGACTATCAGATAAATAAGAAAGTCTACAACTATTAAACAATTAATTTTAATGCATTGTGCGATAATATAATCTATTTTAATATAGTTTGAGTCCTAAGAATGCTGACTTAAGTTAATCAATTTTTTTTATCAAGATTCACACCTAAGCCATTTCTTGAAAGGCGACTAAACTAAGATAGTCTTCTCTTTTATGACAGAGTTCAGCATGTCATTTAAAAGATAGTAGATGAAATTAAGATGCGTTATCGACCTATTTTGGACATTCGGAACACTACATACCACGTTGGTACACCATTAGACCATAATGGTACTTATCTAATCAATAAACACGACTTATTATCACGTTTGACGTAAAAGTAAATATTATGTAATTGACCGTCCTATGTAGTACTGGTTGTGATTTTAAATGAAATATTTTTAACGGTATAAAACGGGAAATATATTGAGTTAAGTTTATTTACAAATTATTTTAACTGACATGGTGTCCCCCCTGTGCCACGGCTGCTGCGAAGCATGCGAAACGTCAGGCCGTAGTTACAACTGTGTCAGCTACATCGTCCGCGAAGAGTAGTTATTTTGGAGTCCAAATTTGTCCAAACTTAAAAAACGATGTCCGTCGCGTCCCGTCATTATTGCAAGTTAATCTTAAAACCCCGTGATATATATATTTCACCACACTACATTAAATTATAATATTCAACATATGAAAAGTTACAAAATGTTAAATCTTTTAGGTAATCGTAAAGGTATATAAAGAAAAACGAAGCAATATTTTTTTTTATAAATCAGTTTTAAAAAAAAGGTTAGGTCATATAAAAAGATTGATAGAAATATATATTTTTACGAATACACCCCTGTCTCTGTCTGCAAGTACGCGAATTATAATCGATAAATGTAGCTTAGCTTGGCTTAACATTGCCTTTGTTTTGTTTAAGTCTTAAAGATCGAGATAGGCTGACCTATTTTGTTGAACCAGAAATCCACAAAGTATCTACCACACAATTCAGATCCAAATTTCTTAGACGTGTAGAATAAATGTGTTTCCTACCTGGGAATGGTACCCACAATCCATCTATATACTAGCATCTATGCTTAGGAGTCCGGCGTAGTTACTATTTTACCTTAGAACCGCAAAATATATGACTAACACCGAGTAGGTACAAAAAGATAGAGTTTTTATCAAAAAAAAAAAAAATTCTGTTACCGAGTAACTAAAATTCGACAGCAATCATGACATTGCATATCAACGTAGATTAAAATTAAAAATCACAACAATAATCGTTCTTAACAATAACAAAATATCGTGCGATATAACAAATGTATTAAAAAAATACATTTTACAATATTCCGATATGCTGTAGGTGTTGAGTGGTAGAAAGTGTTAAAAACTAAAGAACAAGCGAGAGTAAAATGAGAATAATCTCTGGACTCCTATCGAAACCATACAGTGTTATGTCAAAAAGAACCTATAGGTGGACAATAAAATGCTGCAGTGTCTTCTGACAGTGGACTTTGGAAATTTTGGTTTTTAAAAATTGATTTCAACGACATCTGTTGGGCGAGAAAGAGAGGAAAGAAGGGACAAAGTGTTTTCAGTTCTATGTCCGAAAATATTAGTCCTACCGCCCATCTAGTGCTGTGCGAAATCCAGAAGATATATATTTGTGTGGAACTTGTGAGCGAAGCTTTGAAGAAAAACTTTGAGTATATTACTAAACCACTTAATTAGCTCTATTTTTAAAAGTCCTTTAAAAGGTAAAATCAACTCTTGCCAGAAACGAACAGACTCAAAGATTTCACAACAAACCATGATGGTCGAAAATACGCAAGCGCAGAACACAGACCGGATGTCGGCAGCCGCCGTGCTGCAGTTTGCGGCTCGCGAAGCCAGGGAAGGAAGGAGGTTTACGGAGTTCGGTGCGCATGCGTTCGCGAGCATCACTTATAATGCTTATGGTATAGTTATTCGTAATATTATATATAAAACTAGTTGACTTAGCTAATGTTATTTTATATTTTTTTTTTTTTTTTTTTTATTATCATATTATCATAAAATACATTCATTTAATATTGATAGAATAAAAAACCATAAGGTTTAAACTGAGATGTGAGTTTACTTAACATCTAATTAGCTAAGTTTATTTAATAAATATACAAGATAACTAGCAATCTACTATTTGTCTAAGCATGCAATAAGAGAAAGAAAACAATAAGCTAAAATAACTTAAGGAAATGATCCTTTAGCTTACATTTGAAATTATTTTGGTTTATACTACCTACCAAATTGGAGGCAGGTTATTGATAAGCGAGGTATTAGGTATTGGTTGTGGTAGTAGGTTTATTGGGAGTGACAAGGTTTTGTTAATGGTGAGTGTATAAGGGTGAACAATCGGGATACGTAAAGATTCATTAAAAAAATTTTCCTTAAGTAAAGTGTATTGAACTTGATGTGTATTGGTAAAACTTATATATAAAGTATTTTGAGCGAAATTTGATAACCATAAAAATGGTTCTTGTTGATTAATTTTGTAGGAGACTAGCTGTGTCAGCGACTTCGTCCGCGTAGAATAGATAATTTAGGCATCCATGTTTCTTCCCGTCCTTTTCTTTCGCGTCCCTTCCCGTCGTTCTTACAAGTTCATCTGAAAAGATAGACATATAGCGTCGAGAACTTTTTGGGTGTCAAACAGAACTGTCCAAACGTTCCGTTTTTGTACTACGTATGTATGAAGGGAAGGCTTACAACATCCAATTTGTTAGTACCACAACACGTGTCTATTCCCACTAAAAGGCATCAAATAGGTCGGTTATAACCAGTTATCATAGAGCTTCGGGCAAAGTGCTCAGATAAGGGTAACTGGTTCATTATTTGCGAAACTAAAGATAAAGGGGCATAGGTGAAACCAACATGGCGGCGACGTACTTCTGGGGAACTAGATAGTGAATCATTGCTTTTATAATCTGTGTAATGTTTGGTAGTTTGATTTTTTACGGTACGAGATTTAAATGAAACCCCATTTACCTCTGTGGAGGGATGAATATATACTGTACGCGGTTCTTTGATTATATTATCTTTACAGAAAATTTACAGTCAAACCATTTACTTTAAATTCAAAGATTTCAAACATCATATTATTTTTATAAAATTGAAATATATTAAAAAAAAAAAAAATGGGGGGGGGGGGGGGGGGGGGGGCCCGCCCCCGCCCCGGGGGGGCCGGCCCCCAACCAACCCCCCCCCCCAAAAACCCCCCCCCCCCCCCCCCCCCCCCCCCCCCCCCCCCCCCCCCCCAAAAAATTTTAAAAATTTTATTTTACTTTTTAAAAATTTATGGGGCCCCACATGGGAAAAATATAAAAAATTTCAACCATCAAATTATTTAATAAAATGTGTGAGGCTTTCACGGCCATCGTTCAGCATATCATTCTTTCGGGCTGTTCGGCCGATGTGGACGGTATCACGTGATGGCGAAACGTCGAGAACCTCTTCTCGCTCATATCGGCCGAACAGCCCGAAAGACAATGATATGATCATATTATTTATTTTTGCAAACAACCTCCTCAGCTTTATAAATTATATTATAATATATTATATTAAGTTACCCAGTAGTACGTTGTCGCGTTCCGTCGTTCTTACGAGTTATTAAAAGATAGACAAATATTGACGCGGAAATATTTATATATTTTTTAAAATAATTTAAAGGAAAATCATTTTTAACACTAAAGTTGTATAGCTTAAAGAATTCCTCGATAAATGGTACTGGCAACTTAAAAATACTTTTTTTGTGCACTGCCCGACCGAAACAATTTACCCATTTCCCTGGGATTCGAACCCAGGCCGTTTATAATAACTATGTAAATTTTCATTGCTATCATCTTCAGATAATGGAAGTGAAAATTGGCGCTATATTAGCTATTCAGTGTTGTGGAATCCCGTTTACCCCGAGGGTTTTCGAACACATTTCTATATCCGTCCCACAGATAAGTTTTATTGGCAAGTTGTTGATTCTGTGACCTGCTCGACACGATAGATCTATCGTTTCCCCGGGATTCGAATACAGGGCCTTAACGCAATACTAGGCAATACGTTTAACCATTTTGCTACAGAAGTGGTACTTATTTAATAGACATATACAACAAACACACACCTGATTTCTTTGAATATATGGTACACAAGAAGCATTATATGTCCGTAATGGGTCATGGGCGTTTCAGCATCCCTCGGCGAGATGGGAGGTAGTGGTACAAGCTCGTCATCATCACACATGTCTCCCGGGTGGCAGGTCAACGACCTCGACCTGGATCTACCCGGAGAGCTGTCGATGAAGTAAGTAGAAGGTGACAATTAGTATATTAAAATTAATAGTTAATCATAATACAATTCAATCGGATTGAATAATCATTAATAAATATTATAATTTAATAAATTGTGTATGTACGACAAATTATGGTTAAGTTTGACTGTTTATTTTAAACTAGGATTTAATTTAAATAAAACACTTTTTAAGGTTGTTACGCGAAATTAATATGTAGGATTTTGCTTGGACGATATGGTAACTCAATTGAATAGAGCAACATCACGGAACCCTGTGTATGTCGGTTCAAGTCCTATTCGCGTCGTAATTTTTTTTACAATCTGAAAGGCATTTTTAATTTATTTAGTTTTAATCAAATAATGTTTAATTATGAGATCAATCGTGTACAACTGTTGAATCAAAAGAGAGAGCGGCGCTACAAGTGTCACAACAAGAAACTAAAAAATTGTTACGTTCCGTAACACTTATTCTAGCAAAATAACTATAGCTTATTGATGCTATGTAGCAGCTGTGGTCAGGGGGGAAACATCGAGCCGTAGTTAAAATTGTAAATTAGTTGACTAATATATTTCGCGTTTGAAACCGTTAAATGTGTTTTATGTAAAAGTATTCCATTCACTACTATAGTACACAGTACACATTTTCGTTCTTTCAGTGAAGCTCTTCTGTCACTGCCATCTTTGGCGGTGTTCAAGCAAGAGGCGCCGTCGCCCACTGGGAATGTACTCTCGCCACCACGCCGTGCCTGGCCGGCACGCAGACCTGGGGAGAGACAGGTAAATATTGATCTAGTGATTATCTTCTGCATTAGTGATACTTTTAAAGAAAGAAATAAATGTATTTACGACCATAAGCCACACAAAATTATATAAGGCTTATTACAAATTGCTACTAACCCAACTAACACACATTAGAATTAATAAATTTTAAGAAATGGATTTATGGTCTGAAAAATAAATTTTTATTATTATTATTATTATTATTACTAAATATGTATAAAATAAATTAATCATTACAGTATAAAAGATATGTTGTGTGCTAGTTGGTAGAATAGGGATAACCCATGAGTAAAAGCTAAGAGGTTTATAGTTGAAAACCCAGGTCAGGCGAAATGTTATTTGTAATTTTTTGTAGGGCAGTAGAAGGTAAGGATAGCGCTGTACCTGGCAGAGTTAGTTACAGTCATGACAGCGATAGTCATTAAAGCCCATCAAACCTCTGTAGCAGCATACTGGGTCAGCCCTAAAACCCTCTGATGAAAAAGGATATCTGGTGAAACATTTCTTGGTCGGCATATATCCCTGCTTGTAGGTTATGTCTTAGTAGGAAGAAAGAAATATCTCGGTCTGTCTGATGTAACATTCTGTTACAGGTCACTAACATGGCTATCGATAACCGCGAGCCAATGGACGAGGGTTGTCAGGAGTCGCCGACACTCAACAATACAATGATGAGTCAGCATTGTGAGTACCTTCTTATAATGACAAGTAGATTATTTTCATAAGTCATTATTTAAAATAACTTGATAAAATACCGCTGTCGATTTGATTTTAATGCTAAATTATAATTAAAATCGTGGTATATATCTATACTAATATATGTAGCTGAAGAGTTTGTTTGAACACGATTATCTCAGGAACCAATGGTTCGAATTGAATTCATTTTTACTTGGATATAGCATTTATCGATTGATACTAATCGATAATTGATGATGAGGTTTGCTAAAACAAATTTTGATGGCCAATATTCACACATAAAACTATTCTACGCGGAAGAACTCGCTGGCACAGCTAGTTGATATAGGCGATGAGCCGAAACTATTTTTTATGATAGGACAGACAAGTATGGGGCAACTTGATAATAGGTGAGATAATCATCTAAGAAACGTTCGCTGTCGACCTATTTTGACGTTGGATATTGAATAAGTACTTGCACTATAAGGAAGGTTCATGAACCTGTCTATGAGATAGGGTCTGTTTCTAGCTGATCGGATGAAGGATCTATGTTTACTATATTATTTATTGCAGCTAGCAGCCCAGAAAGCATGCAATGCCAAACGACAATGCCTCAAGGCATGATGGACATGAGCGGGTACCACTCCCCGAACGAACATGAAAATAAGAGTAAGAGATCTTTTTAATTATCATCTGTAATTTACGTTAGTGGAACTTATTAAATGAAACTCCTTTATTGGGTGCTTTACAATAGCTGTAGTCAGGACAAATATGGTTGGCGTTGCTCTGGGCAATATTTTATTGTATATTTTGCCTTAAAACCGATAAATCCGTTTGGAAAGATCTTTTTGTACATATTTTTTAGGTTTTTAAAAGAAAATATAACACGAACTTTTACTCGCATCATAAATTAAACACCGTAGCACGGTTCTATAAGGACGCCGCTAGTTTCTCCAAGTGTCAACTACAACGAAACAGGTGGCGCTAGTGTAGCGGATTTGACTTTGACATTAGGGATACTCACCTTCTTTAGTCACTGACCACGACAGCTGCAACGCATCCGAACCTTCGGACAAACATTTTTTCTCACATATATTAAATATACATTATTATAGATGCGGGCCTGTTGATGTGCAGTCCAAGCGCTTTCGACGGCTTCCTTCAGTCCCCAGCGCGCTCTGAGCCTAGCTATAAAGATGATTCCAGGTGACGATATTATATATAAAAGACTACTAAACACTAAGTTTATTACTTCACGCGCGTAGTGTCAAACAAACATTATTTCGACAACCTTCTTCGCGATAAATACCTTAACCGGTAAAGTGTTTTATATAAACTACTCACGTTAACTAAAGCCAGTATCATAATTTTATTTTAACTTAAGCTTTCTGGGGACTAACATGAAGTTACATTTATAATTATTTCCGCTTTAGGTTTCAATATGTGCTAGCAGCAGCGACATCTATTGCGACTAAGCAAAACGAAGAAACGCTGACCTATCTCAACCAGGGGCAACCCTACGAGATCAAATTGAAGAAACTCGGCGATCTGTCACACTCGAAGGGGAAAATATTGAAGGTATAAAAAAATATAAGCTTGCTCTGGTCCGATAGTAGTAAGATATGGCTAATAGACTATAATGGTCGTGAATTCGATTCCTAATTGATGAGAGAATGAGATTCTATGTTTAATTTTTTTTTTGTAGTGATGGATTACAGCTGAAAATCTGGATATTAAAATTTCGTGTTCACGAAGCACCTACAAATAAGCCGTGAAGTTTAATCTTGTTTCGGTTTAAATCTGTCCATTTCCGAATAACCAAAGCCAATATAGGTCGACTGGGGATCTTGTTTAGATATATGTCCTACTCTATCATAAAAATAAAAAATCTAAACTGATAATTTATATGTCTGATATAATCTACAGAATTACAGAAATTAGGAATGTTTGTCGATGCAACAAGCGTCAAATTAAATAATTATGTTTTGTTTATAGAGCGTAATAAAGATTTGCTTCCACGAGCGTCGTCTACAGTACATGGAACGCGAACAAATAGCGCAATGGCACGCCCAAAGACCTGGAGAGAGGATCATTGAGGTGAGTTATAAGGAAGAAAATTTTGCGGTTTATGCAGCTATATCGACCAAAACAACACTCGTTATAGGAAGATAAACAGCTTTGTTACGTAACGCGTTACTGAGCCTGCAGGTTTTAGTTTATATATTAAATTTCAATTCAACTTAGACTTTATTTAAGGTTGTCACTATATAGTACGTTAAAATGAAACACTTAACGGATTATAATGCGGAATATATTAATTAATTTATTTTTAATACAGCCAGCCGTTACTAATCTATATCTATACTAATATTATAAATGCGAGAGTAACTCTGTCTGAGAGTTGGAGTTAGAGTAGGAGTGGTGTGAGGTGAGACTGTTTCGGCAAAGTAGCATTTACATAAACAGATAGATATATATATATATATATATAAAATATAAAAAAGTCTAAAACCTGTTTTGTATATATTAATTGCATCTAGTGTCAATTGTTTTAACAAATTTTTACTCAGATTAAATTTGTTTTGAAAAGAGTTGATAGTAGAAATACATATATTTATACTTATGACAATTACAATCATATATGAGGCCGTTAGACACAGAATAGCCTAACAGCAATATTTATGACTTAACTCATTTATATACTTATAGTCTAAAATTGTTAATCAACAAATTCATATTCGCCTAAGTTAATTGCGGATTTCAATTTTCCTCCTTATTCAAATCATGTTTTTTGTCATTAGGCCACTCTGCTTCTAGCAGCATATAGTCTTAGTGTGTTGAATAGAATATTGGTTATCTGTATACATTCTCAATTCGAACCTATTCGTTCATGTTGATCCGGTCTTTAGTTCAATTTCGTTGATTTTCATTCACAGGTCGACGTTCCTCTCTCGTACGGAGTGACGCGTGTAGAACAACCGGCGGCTCTGAACGCTCTTCACGTATACTGGGATCCGACTAAAGACGTTGGAGTTTATATCAAGGTATGCATTCTGACAGAAAGATAAACCAAGACACAAATTTTTTATATACATACATATCTACACTAGTTATAAAGCTGAAGAATTAGTTTGTTTAAACAAATCTCAGGAACTACTGGTTCGAATTGAAATTTGATTTTTATGTTGCTTGGACCATTTATCGAGGAAGGCTTTAGAAAAAAAAAAAAAAAAAAAAAAGGGGGGGGGGGGAGGAAAAAAAGGGGGGGGAAGAGGGCCCCCAGGTTTCCGCGGCCCGCCCCGCGGAGGGGGCAAAAAAAACCAAAAAAGAAGTCCCAAAGGTTAAAGTTGAGGTTGAACATGACTTAAAGACGTAACGGTTAAAAGGCGAAATTTTCTTAATTAACTTATTTTCCTCCGTACATGGCCGCCGCAAGATATCCGAATTGTCGGAGGACGAACACATTTTTTTTTTTTTTTTTTTATTTAAACTTGCAATCAAACGGCCTTACATTGCGCTTAATTAACAATAAAACTTAAAGAATAAACGAGGCTAGGCCTTACAGATTGCTTACATCGCTATAACGGGTTAAATTACAGAAATGAGAAGGAAAAAAAAGGAACTTAAGATAAGATTTTTTTTTTACTTACAATTTGCTTAATACTGCTTTTTTGAAAATGTTTAATCTATTCCAACAAATATCAACGTTCCTAAAATTTGTTGTTAAAAGTTCGCAGGACCGCCAAAAAAAACCTATGTTTGGCATATTAGAGACTGGTGTTTTAGTGGAGTGGAAAAACTAGTTTTTTTGCGTGAGGAGTTTAAAACGTGGTGTGTGGAAATTAATTTTACTAAGTAATAAGATTGAGTCAATTTTGTTGTGTATAATTTTATAGAGAAAAAGTAGATCGGGATGACGTCTATTTATTAAAGATAGAAGTGATGTTTGTAAGCGCTAGTTTCATAGTCGTTAAAATAGTTACCCGTAAAGTAATCCAAAGCCTTTAGGAACTTATGCTGAATTTTTTCTATTTTATCTATATGTACAGCATACAATGGATTCCAAACAACACTTCCAAACTCTAAAATATTACGAACGTGAGAATTGTATAATATCTTTAGGGTATCAGCTTTTTTGAATGGCTTAGAGAGCGAATAATCATTCCCAACCTTTTGAATGTTTAGTTGTTATGTTGCAAAGAATGAAGGCATTGGAGTCCAGTGTCACTCCAGGTCCCTGATATTTGTAACGCGTTCTATGGCCCTTCCGCTAAGCATATACGTATGGTCTATAGCGTTAACCTTGCGTGTAAAGGTAATTATACGAGTTTTGTCGTGGTTTAGAACTAATTGATTACATCTACAATACTCTTCAAACTTGTATAAATCTTTTTGAAGTTCACAGCAGTCGGTGACGGATTTCACCATTTTGTAAATTTTTGTGTCATCAGGACAGAAGGTGACTGAGCTTTCAAAGCAGGATCCGATCGTTGACATAAGCGAAAATAGGAAGGGCCCAAGATGCGAACCCTGAGGAATTCCTGAAGGTATTGCTAGGAATGTAGAACAATGGCCCCGTAATGCTACAGCTTGACTACGATTAGAAATATAAGAATAAGCCATCTAAGTAGATCTCCGTGAATGCCAGAAGTGAGAGCTTTTTTATAAGTGTTAAATGATTGAGTTGTCAAAAGTTTGAGAAGTCAGCATAATTGGATTGGTAGCCAGAATCAAGAGCCAACAGCAAATGATCGGTATATGTAACAAGATTAGAATTAACACTACGTCCAGGAAAGAAACCATGCTGACTGGGAGAAATATGATTACGAAAGACTATTGTCAGTATTGTTTACAATTTTTTCCAGAATTTTACCTAACACACTTAATTTGGAGATCGGCTATAATTAGTAATGTCGTTTCCCCCTTTTGGAATAGGTGTAATAAGGGCTTTTTTCCAAACTAGGAAAACAGCCTTCTGAAAGTGATTTTTTAAATATTAAAGCAATAGGAGTGGTAAGATTTTAGGAGCTGTGAGATGAAAAATCGGAGTGCAAGCCATTTTTATGTCTGTGTTTACCGACTTATATGCAATGCAGTTGATTAGACTACTGTACTCTGCATGATTAAAACAGTTTATGGTTTCCCCGCGATTCGAAGTTACGATTAACTTCTGTCTCTAATCTAATTTTTTTTATATAATGCCATCATCTAACTTTTAAATAAAACACTTTAACGGTTTTAAACGCGATATATTAGTTAAACTTATTTGGAAATGATTTTTAACTTCGGCCCGACGTTTCGGATGCTTTGCAGCAGCCATGGTCACGAGGAGACTCCCCGTAATATATCGCGTTATAAACCGTTAGTGTTTTATTAAAAGTAATTTTTATTCAAATGTGTACTACTCTCGTAAACTATAGACAGTATCATCTAACTTGTAAAATATTAATGTTTTATTTTCTTTTGTCACAGGTTAATTGCATATCGACCGAATTCACGGCGAAGAAACACGGCGGAGAGAAGGGTGTGCCCTTCCGTATTCAGGTGGAGTCCTATTTGGCCAGTGAGGAGAGTATCAGACTCCACGCTGCCGCTTGTCAGATTAAGGTAAATATTCTTCAAAAGTAGTTACTGACATTTTTTGTCCTCGTTCTTTGTAGGACATTGTTGGAAAGGGACAGCGCTGTACTAATTGGTGTTTTTTTTTATGAAAGAGGACAGAGAAGCATGATGTTCACTTGACAGAAGGTAAAATACCCCAGCCATATAACATCAGAACACGATGCGCTGTCGTCCTATTTCGGCTTTAGAAATTCACAGACTGAAATATAAACGTGGTTCGTGACACGGACGAAATTTTCGATATTCCTACCACCCATTAGATATACAGATCTCCAGAAGAGATCCAATATGTTTTCAGTAAAGAAATATGTCGGTCCTGATGGGGATCGAACCCGCGACCCGTTTACTAGCCATCATTGCTACCATTAGGCCAACCGTTAAAATTACAGTACTGTGACTCATTTTCATAATTTTGTGTTTGACAGGTGTTCAAACTAAAAGGTGCCGACAGGAAACACAAGCAGGACAGAGAGAAGGTGATGCGTCGACCTCCCTCTGACATTGAAAAGTACCAGCCGGGATGTGAAGCCACTGTCTTAACGACCGTAAGTATTTAACGACCTGCAGTAGAGCGAACGACCGCCCCTGTAGCTAAATGATTAAACCCACAGGTTCGGGAAAACAATAATTTCGGTCGGGCGGCGCACAGAAGTCTGAATAACTATTAGTAAGACCAATCAGTGAAAAAGACGCGGAAATCTGTTCGCCCCATGCCCCATGCGGGGAACCGGGGCATAAAATACTCAATGTGTAGTCACTTCGACACGTCTAGATTTGCACGAGACAATACATTGCTTCGGTTGCTGTCGGACATTTAAATATGTCATCCCAGTCCTTACGCATGAGACTATAAAATATATATGACTTTACGACGGAATTGACTTCAATCTACAGATTTTCCTATACCAAATATTTTATACCATTAAAGCACACTTAAAATCTTTATATATATTGCCCTATAGTTGCCAAATTGCCATATACATTTTGATAATAATGTACATTTTTGTCACAGCTGTCAAACGATGCTCTAATGCCGCCGCCTCTGGTTACCACTTCACCGCCTTATTCGCCTGAGCTGTGGTAAGTTATCATTTATAACTACTATAATTTGTTATTGTATCAATCATTTTTAAGAGGCAAAGCATAAGACACTGAGTCTTAATTTGTAAGTGTTAAGATTGAAATTACAACGCGAGAGGCGCGTGTACCATTAGGTTATAATTCGTCGATGGCGTGTAGGACACGGTAGGTCTTTTTTAAAGGCTAAGATTCTAAGAGAATCCGTCAGAAGTATTATTAGTTTTTCCTTTTTTTCACATTGCCCACTATTTATTCGCCCCTATTGAAGTTTTATATCATGAAACCTTCATCGATAAATGGTCTAATGAACACAAACATATTTTTGGAAGTAGTTCCTGAGATTATTGCGTTCTAAGAAACAAGCTCTTAAGCTTTACAATATACATGCAGCATGGTAAATTGTTAATGGACACAAAAATCTGATTCGCCCATAAATCATCCGTATTATAGCATACAGTACAGTCACAGACCGAAATAGAACGGTAATTTTCTTCAATTGACTGTCATTTGAGACGACCGGTCAGTCATTCGGTGTAATTTATTCGGTGCTGTGAACGATCTGTTTTCGAGGAATGATTTGGGTTATTTTCGTTCACAACTCGACTGTGATACCTTTTTAAGCGTATGTATTGCGTTGTTAATACTGTTTTATGTTATAACATGGGATGGGATTAATTTTTTTTTCTACTTTTTTATCTGTCAAATGTACGAAGGTAGAATTTGTCATTCATCGCAAAGCACGGTTGATTGAAATAAATCGATCTATATAAATTAAAAAATCGATTATAAATTCGGTATCCTCAGCGTCATCTGCGGGTGCTGCCCGAGTCGTAAATGTTTTCAATTTTAACAATCGTTTTTTAATTTATAAGTTTTTGCATTGGAAATATCATAGAGTTTTAGTCCGTACACATTTATAAGCAAATTTTATTTTTTTTTTCGAAAAAAATATAAATAGTGAAAAACCGAAAATCTCTTAAAGATCGGTATTTGTTATAGTGGCGAGGGAACAACTCTACTATAAAACAAAAATAGAACAGCGCCTTTTGCGTAGTTGCTGGTACGTTACGTAATTGTATTAAAGGCCTCAGGAATTAACATACTGATATGTTACCAATTGAACTCTACATCATACAACCAAACACTATTGTAATATACAAAGGGATAAAAATGACTATTGTAATCTATCTCTTTGTCTTCTTCTTTTCAATTGTTTTGTGTTTGTAAAATCTTATTGCGAGTTTAACTATCTACTATATTCATTTTAATTGTATATTTTTTCTTCGTAAAAGGAATAAAACACATGATATGTGTTTTTTGAAGTAGGTACAGCATCACTAAATTACCAACAACTATGCCAACATTTTTAATTCATATAACAAATTTATACTTAATTTAATTCCAACATTAACAAGTGTTACTTCTATCTTGAGAGCCATTTCTTTATGTAGGTATATAGACTAGCTATGCCAGCGACTTCGTCCGCTTAGAATAGTAACTTTGGGCATCTAAATATGTTTTTGCAAATCTAAATAAATCGTAAAAGTTAAACATATACTGTGGCGGTCATTTTTAGATCATTTAAAGAGGAATTATTTTTTAATATATATTTTTTGGTTACCTTTGGAAAGCCTTAAAGAAGAATAAGGGTCCCCGTCTCTTCCACATTTCCCTCTGTATCTATATGTGCCTAAACAATGCAAAACTCTCCAGAAGGTATTTTCTGACATTAGCGCGTTCAACAAATAGGGCTACATAGTTCTATATATTATATCTATATGAATGTTCTTAATATGGCACTATGACAATCAGGACACTTATCGTCAGATCTGCAACAGATGCACGAACGCAACGCCCTCATTTCGAAACGGTCTATTTTTAGCTGACATCCGCTGGTGCCCGAAAGCGAACCCGTTCAATGGGGAAATAGCTGGTGCGAGTTAATAGCTTCAAACACGAAATGTGTTTAAAAAAGGATTATAGGCTATAGGCAGAGTGGCCCAAGTAAAAAACTAGCTTTTCAATAAGGAGGATAATAAAAACGCGCAATTAATCTAGGCAAAAATGAATTTGTACTATTTGTTTAGGGATTTTGTTAACAATTTTCTGCCACTGTGCTCTTGTAGATTAACAATTTTAGACTATGAAAATAAATAACTCGAGTCATAAAATTTCCGTTAGGTTACTCTGTCTCTAGCGGCCTCATATACACTACAACTCAGTAATAGTAACGATGCTGTATTACTTTTTACTGATATTCAGCAATAAGAAACAAGATAGTGGCCCAAATACCAAACGGTATTTAAAACCACAGTGTGGTTGTAAAGAGATACTGCGTCATGTTTGCTTGAAAGTACTTATATCTATAAACAAGACAAAGACTACAATTTTTTATATCCTTTTAAGCATACAAAATGTCATTAAAATTTTGTAAACACTCATTGATGACGCTTGTTGTATCTATACTAATGTATAAAGCTGAAGAGTTTGTTTGTTTGAACGCGCCAATCTCGAAAACTAGTGATTCGAATTAAAACATTTGGAGTGGTTAGAGCATTCATCAAGGAAGGATTTAGGCTATAAAACGTCAGGATTTGACCAACAGAATCGAAAGTACAGTAGAAAATGTGGAAGAGACGGCGACCATTCGCTGTGATTTCGGTTCAAGGTAAACAAAAAATATATTAAAGAATGATTCCTCAGTCCTACTCTCAGAAATTAATTGAAAGACTATTTTATGTTAGTTAGTAATTTTATCGAAGACGGCTAAAACATCGCCGTGTGACTAATAGGAGTAAGAAACAGTGGGAAATAAGGAAAAAATGGGGCGAATTATTCATCTCAGTGGGTTTTCGATGTGTACGCTGCAAAAACGGTTCAAGAAATCCATATGTACGACTGAAAAATGTCTGCGACACTATCGGCCTTATAACAAAAAAATCCTTAAACCAGAACTGCGGAGTCTTGGTTGAACTCTTAAACCATGGTCTAAATGAATCGAAGTTGGTACTATAGTTAAAAATATAGTTAAAGTCCAGTACAAACGTTAAACTTCGTTTTGTAATTAGGATTTCAAATAAACCAGGGTTTAAACCAGGTTTGAGAGTTAGTCCTTGTTTTGTAATTAGAGTGTATATGTCTATCTTTTAAGATTAACTTGCAGAACGGCGGGACGCGACCGATGTCGTATAAAATTTTAACACGCGCGCCATAAAAGTTGGTTTGAACCGATTGAAACTATAACAGCGAACACCTATCTATTAATTTACTCGTTATTTCGATTGCGCTGGTACGAATTGGTTGTCAAAGGCTTGTTCATACTGAAATAAATTGGCCGAGTCTGAAGATTGTCTTATTAAAGTCTTCGAAGCCCTAATTATTGTCGCTTAGCGAGTGGTACACCTTGAGTTAGTTGTCGCGGTGTGTTTAATTAACCTTAGAGATCATGTAATCCAATTTTTTAAATATATAATAGAAACATATCAATTAGTTTTTTTTTTATATTGAAAATATCGCGTTCGTACTGTAGTAAATTGATTTACTGTTAAAAGTATTTAATGTTCGTAAATATTAAATCTTTAAATAGGACTTCAAATTAATTTTTAACCATTAAAAAGATTGGTACAAACGTCGTATGTTATTTCATTTATGGTGTGATCGTAATTTTTTTAAACACCCTAAAGATAATGTCTCAACATTATTTAGAGAGAGAAATTAGAAAGTAATTTTTTGAAGCCGTTGAATAAGTGTCAATATTTCTCTGTTATATACCATTTGTCCTTATGTAATGCAATGTTCATAAGAGGCTTCAATGACTCAATAAAGCGTAATGAAGATTACTGCCACAGAAGTACGTTACAATGTTGTCTGAGGTCGCGTCTCAACGCGGCAGAGCGATCCATTTCGATTCGAAACCGTTCCCGACCGACAACCGGTAACGTCAGCTTGAATACAATAACTAGTTCTTGTCAGTTAACAAATTGGCCCTCAATTGGCCGAAACTGCAAGGCGGCAATCATTTACAATGAGTATCCGGTTCTTCGCCGATCCGGGATGTCGAGAGACTGTAGCGTTCATTTATAATTAAATCATTTACCACACCACCGATTTCGCTTTAGTCGTTACTTAAATCGATAAAATAAATCGATGAAATGCACTAGCACAACACTATTCGTGACGTTCAATGCACTAACAGAAGCCGGTGCCGTCCCACGCGAACCGAATCGAACCGGTTTCGTACTAGAGTGCGCGCCTCACTCGCGGCCAATCAACGGCCTCTGCGCTCAGTCGTTTTCGTTCACTCAACTCTCGTGTACACCGTTGCTTCGCGACATTTTGTTAATTTTATTTCTGTATACATTGCGTACTCTGTCGCTTAAAAACAATTCCAGTATCGCGAAATCGTCATCGACGCACCTATTAGAGCGCGGAGTGACAAAATAATGTTGGACAAGTGAAGTCGTCGACTGTGTTTGTGTTTTTTTCGTATCCTGATCAATGGTTGTTGAAGTGGAAAGCGGACCAGCTATGGTTGTTTCTGGTGGACGGGGATACCGCGTCGGCTCCGGAGCGTTCATCTTCTTCAATCTGACGAGGCAGGACTACAGCTGACGAGGAGTATGCTCGTGATCGAGCAAACTGTTAACGCCCGCCATATAGGTCGCGGTGTTATCCTTAAAGCTAGACTCCTCCACGGACTAGAGGCGAGGGGGTGGCGCATGAAGTTCTCCTTGCTGAAGGCCGACGTGGAGATAGAAGCAGATACAGACACGTACATAGAGATCGCGAGGAGGTTGAAAGCCGCCAATTTTAGCGTCAGGCCGTCACGTCTCCGCTTACCGTAAATATCTGGTTTATTCCGAATTTTTCGTTGTTTATCTGCTTTTAGGTGTGGTAAGGTTCCGCGAATATTGTGTTTTGTAGTTTCACTTTACTGCAATTCAAATGGAAAAATCTATGTTAATAATATGTTTATGATAAATATCAATTTAAGATGGGAGATAGTGATATGCTATTGATTTCTAGCTAGTTACTGACAGTATGAGAAATTCACACTGATGAAAAAAAATATTTGTTCACTTCTAGTCAATATTATCGTTGGATGTATTGTATGTAATTTATTGTTCATATATAAATAACGTATTAACAGCTCAATTGATCCAAGGTGAATACGAAACATCTTATTAGCTTAAGGTACTTCCGAAGATATTTTAATGAGCCATTTGTTTATGTTGAGTTATTGTTTGATTAAAATAGTAAAAAATAGATTAGTAGAAGATTTTTATGATTCCTTTACTACACACACAGTTTAAGTCCTGCCCATGTTGTAAATATTTCACTCAAAATAGATTTTTAACTTATAAAATGCCTTCACGTGCAGTTTTTTGATATAACCCAATTAAAATGTGATTAGCTACCTTATTGATGGTTCTCCTGTGATCAGAGTTGCTGCAAAGCATCTAAAACTTTAGAAAGTATTTAAAATAAGTTTATTAATACATATTCCTCCCCAAACTACTAATGCTACTGAATAATGAAAATTTAGTCTAAATTCTTCCTCTTCTGAAACCTAAAACTGGGAGTGGGCTGAAAAATAAACATTTTTACCAAAGCATTATACATCATAGTTATTTCACGAATAAAGGTAGTTATTTATACATCTGCTTGTTACAGCGCACCAAAAGTGACAAGCCCAGTTCTCTCCAACAAGCCTGTTACGTCCCAGCCTTGTAAGTTAATTTTTCATTAATCAACATAATTAATAATTAAAATTATGTTTGTTTAAATGCTATAAGCAATTAATGACTTTATTTTATTCTCTTCTTCCGTATGTTTTTGGTTTACATAGCTGACCTTTCTTTTTCGTTACATAGTATAGTTCCTTACCTAGTTTTACTTTGTTACAGCGATTATTTCTACAAACCAGATGAAACCGCTCTATTGTCAAGAGTAAGTACATAATATGTCCATAATTGATTAAATAGTTTGGAGATTCTATTAAAAACAAAATATTAACATAATAAATTTACTAACTATACTAGTATGTTATTAATTGATGGTTATTGATTAATTAAAACTTAACAATTTGGTAAAAGATCTTCAATCTTTCCTTTTTTGGTATACAAGTATGTACTTTAAGTGATTTATTATGTAATGTAGAATTAGCACTTACTGCCTTGAATATATATCTTCAGACGCTTATCTTATCTAAGCTGTTGTTTAAGATTTAAAAATAACTCTAGTTAGTTCAATAAAGAAAGGATTTATTCTTAGATTAGAATAAAATACTAGTTCAAACAACATTTATAATTATATAATTAACTGTTGGTTCTACTTACTAGGAGTAATGTATTTTTTTAATTATTCAGATTTTTTCAGTATGTGTTTCTCGGGCTTACTGAAACTTTGGAAGTTTTCATGATAAATACTTTTTATAACCAGGGTCTGCAATTTACCTATTTAATTTAAAAATCGAAAATAAATTGAGTCGTTGACTCGGTGCTCAATCGGTAGAGCAACAGCAGGGAACGCTGACGATGCCGGTTCAAGTCCTGCCTGAGTCGAATTTGTTTTTCATTTTTTAAATTATGTGCCTTCATGTGCAATAACATTTAAAAAATAATAAAGTTTTTCACCTTTTTTTTCCAGTGGTGCAGAAGTGAAAGTGGCAACACCCACATGTCACTCCCCCTGGTGCAATTCTGCCTGACTTACCACCACCCCCAGAAGATAATGACAAGGTATAGAGTATATATTTTATTGTTAAACGCCTCACCTAGTTAAGCGCAATAGGTCCCGGGTTTGAATCACTGGGAAAACAGTAGATGTACGGAATAAAACCAATCACACATGCCACACAGGGCGAAATGGGATTTCAAGTATTTGATACATATCTCACACTAGTCTGATTCGGCATTGGTGTATTCTAATATAAACTAAATATGCTGACCTATCAGTAGATATGTTGTGTAATAGAAATCTTTTCTTTCAGAACAATGGTCTATCAAAAGATGCTACAGCGAGTGAGACTCAGGCGTGGTTATCGCGACACCGTTTTTCGCAGCACGCGTCGACGTTCAGCAACTTTTCCGGAGCGGATCTTTTGCGGTAAGTTGTTAGTTTTAGATAGCGTAAGTCGTACATACCCACATAAAATTAGTCATAAATCTTGCTCAATTATCTACGTGAAACAAAATATATATTCCTAAAATGTGTACCCTACTTTATATTTAATCACGCCCATAAAAACTTTTCAATGGTCCTTCAAGCCGGATAACCAATAAGAGTTAACTAGCTTTAAGCTGCAGAAATATTATAATCTGGTCTAAATTTTCTTTTCCTTTTTAGACTTTCCCGTGACGACATAATACAGATATGCGGCCTTGCCGATGGTATTCGTCTGTACAACGCTTTGCATGCCAAGTAAGTACACTGCAAGTATAAAGCTCTTTACGGCCTGGCTTTGTCTACGTTTTATCACTTGAAGATTAGAGATTTATGAGAGGTGTGTCCCCTTGTATGGAATGAAAGCAAAAATATTCTTTTACATTATGTGTGTGTTTGTTCTACCCTAACACCAAAACTACTTTAACAATTTAGCAGGGTTTAAAACTATATTCATTTTTTATTTTGTAATTGTGTAGCAGTGAGAAAACTTGTATCACATCACTATCACTTACATCTTTGTTATATATTTAAAATACCCTACACATTTTTTCATTGTTTCGTATATATTTTCAGACGCATCGAGCCTCGTTTGACAGTTTACGTCTGCGCCAGCGGTTCAAATATATACAGCGCACTGTATCTGGACGCGTGTGTTGCCAGTGAATTGCTCCATAAGCTCAAGGGCCTGCTACACAATTCTGCTGCAAAGGTAGTTTTGTTTGATTATTAAATATGTTAGTTAATACTTATTTATTAAAATTATTGTTATTGACCCCCTATAGTCTTAAGTGTTGAAAATTTAATACAATGATTTATTTTTAGGATTGCGACACGGTTTTGGTATCGGGACCTAACGGGGCAAGAGTTCGACTCACAGATGAGTTAGTCAGACATCTACCCGACTCATCCACCTACAGACTGGAACACATTGAGAATTCACTCTTGCTCAGCCCCACTAACAACTAATTTGGAACTATTTATTTTATAATAAGTAAAAAAAAATATTCAAGCTCCAAACCAAGAAGACATCTGTATGTAATAAAAACGAACTCAGGGTTCCGTACCGTTGACAAAAATAGTGTTGGGTGAGAATAAATATATTTTAGTAAAACCTACAACTAGGTATCGGGTTCTTAAGATCCTAGTAACAGACAGACATCAAAGTTTTAATAATACCATTTTTCTTTTAATACGCAACCCTGAAATACCAAATATTGCATAAAACAATCTATTTTGTGGTTTTATAAGGAATAGGAAAATTAAATTTACTATATAAATGTTATATGTGATTTTTAGTGCCTTAAGTAACTAGCTAACATAAAAATATATTGATATGGTTCTTAAAGATATATTCACCTTCAATATAAACAATGATGATGTTATGCCCTAAGCTAATGGATTTATCCAAAGTTTTTGCCCTATGCCCTAGCTAAAGATTAGAATCTACTAACATTTCACCCCATCAATCGTTGAACTAACAAAGTGTTTTATTAATTGTATTTTGGGGACCAAATAGTCTTCACCTTTAGAATGTAAGATTTTAATATGTTAACATATTTACTAGGAAGCATGGCGGATAGTAGATTTAGGTATAGGGGGGAGGTAGCTTACTAAAAGGTCAAGTTAATGGACCATTTTACTTATTTGCCTGTGGATTGAAATATTTCAAATAAAACTGCACATTAGGAGAATGGATAGCCATCAAATTCAAATTTCAAATATACTTCAGGAAGATCAAATTAATATGCAGTCTTATGATCATTTGTCGAATAATATTGTAAATGTTTTTAACAAACAATATTAAAACAAAGTTTTAACTACTCCAAGACTAAGAAATAAAATAAAATTGTTAATAAGACCCTCAATGATGATGACAATTAGGTAGATGCCCTATTGTTTGGTTTATTTAAATGCATATTTATAACTCAATATAAAGCTGTTAAATGTACCCCCTACATAATGGAACAGACAAAATGTCTGTTAGGGTAAACCCTTTGATCAAATAACATTTGTTTTTTGGTTCAAAGGTCCCAGAATATTTTTATACAATTAAAGTGCAATTATAGTTACAGCGTCTTAGGCGCAAATTAGTTTTTATTTTTGAAAGCGCTTGTATTGAATAGGAGATTGTTTTAAGCTACCTTTGTTGTCTTATTATTCTATCGTCAAAGTTAGGACGATAGAAGAGTTAGCCTATATTCTAGTTCTATACTAAAAACTAAGTTTTTTAATAGTAATAACGGTATTCTAAGATCAATTTTACCTAGTAGAAATTGGTGCCTTGAATGTGCCTATAATATTGTAATAAAAAGTTGTAGTACACGCACGCGCGTTGCTTACGGAGTATTATTTTAGTTGTTAGTAGTTAGTATCGCATGAGTTCAACATATAGTCCTTGTGTTGTATCAATAAATATTCTAAAGTAAATTTTTGTTTTATTTTAAAAACATGTGAAGTACATAGACTACAAACCTCCCATAGAACAATAATAAATAAGACAGAATCGTTAATTAAATGGACTAACTGAGTGGAAGATATGTATGTATGAGAGATAATAATACGTTTTAACAATTCAGGTGACGATCTGATGTAAGGAAAGTTTTATATTATATCCAGGCTTCTGATATACATATAGATATCTGGAAGGTTCTAGATTCATTGTTTTGTGATGGCGACAAAAAGATGTTACTTAATATGTATATTGTTTTTTAATATACGCTTTGTATAATAATGTTAGGGCACTTCATTTTTATAATGTTCATGCCCAATGCCCATTCTTGCTCGTTTCCTGCAGTTTCTGGTGTATAGTACATAAATAAAGTAGAAAATATCTTAATAAAATATATATTTAAAATTTTACAAGGCACTGTTAAATCGGCGTATCTTATAATACTGATACAATATATAAGAATAAACTTTTACAAATTGTATGTTACAAGGCAGGTTATTTAATATTATAAAATGCAAACATTTCTTTCATTATAAAATGCGTTTAAGATTTGAAAGTATGACGCATATAGTAGTTAGCTGTTAAATATAACGTAAGTATTATTTGAGGACTTAGTGGTTGATTCTGACACCCCAATGGCCAAAACCCACTTTGGGTTGCTGTGCCAGGGAAGTGCGAAGATGTATTTTTTTATTTATATTAAAAGTCGATATTCTCATTCATAATAACTTACGTTATACTTGATCAGCCCTTGATAATAATGAAACGAGAAATGCAAAATCAGGAATGTATACGTATCTCTTAGGCCTCGATGAAAAAGTATGAAAATAATCTTTTATTGTGATGAAACTAATACTTATAGCAAACTAAAAATAACTGCTTACATAAAATAAATATTCCTTATCAAGTGTTGCCATTTACTGATAATTCAATAAAAGGCGTAATTTGTGCTCTGGGCTTTTAAAATAAATAAAATTAACCTATCCATGCTATATAACTAAAAGCATTTAAATTTTAAAACAAGTCTGGCGATATTATCGTGTGTTACAGGAATGTGATTTTAATAATCTCAATATATTATGCCCTATTATATCTTCCAAGAATCACTCGAAATATTTTATCGAAAAATCTCATTTAAACGTTGGCATCAAATCTTTTAATATCACCTTTTAAATTAATCAAGTGATTGAAATACAACTTATCACTAAATATGATTATTTACAAAATCACCTGTTAAAATAGGCAGGTACAAATAACTACCTCTAAAAGCACGAAAGCATAGCATGGCGTGTTGCCAGTTAAAAATAAGTAGATACTCGTTAAGAACCGCGAAAATGCATGAGATTTGACATGGAATGAGTGAAATGGAATCTCGACGAACATTATAAAAATATAATGTTGCCAGAATTTAGCAAACATACATAGGGTTAAGTTATAATACTATATAAAATAGTATAAGTATAAATTTTCGTGTAAAAAATATAGATTATACAATACTACAGTATACTTAACTATTGTCACCGAAGCATTCCTTACAAAGGAAATATTACCACACCACTGACATATATGAAGCAATTTGAAAAGGAGCTAATACTTTTAACACAGCTAATGCTATCATAATATTTTTATGTGAATAAAATATACCTTTATGGCTGGTATTAACGGGAGACATATAGAACAATTCAATGTTGCCAGTATGTGTCACAGCCTTATAATATTTTTTTAAACAATGTCATATTTGCTGGGACAACACGGGCTATTATATATTATGCTGTAAAATATGTCAAAATGATAACAAAATCTGCCAATACAAAATAGGAACAAGTAAGCAACGAAGAATATATATACATATTTGTAAAACATGTCAAAGACATAGATTTCACATTTTATAAATGGCAATCTGTCATATCAATGATTAGTCATTTTCAAATGACAGAAAATGGCTTAACAGGGGGGGAGTGGGCGATTCTAAAATAAGTGATATTAGATTGAAGAATTGCCCCCCCCAACGGAAATAAGTGGCATGATATATCGAAGGCAAAGGATCAGCATGTTAGTTACTAATTAACGTAATGGCATAACAATTTGACACATTGGCAATTAATTGGGGTAGTCCGGGGCAAGTTCGACGTAGTTCGCTGGCAACATCCCGGTGCGGCCGGTGCGGAGCACTTGGCCCGTCATCCAGCCCTCGTCTATGGACGTCACGTTGGATATGAGGTCGCCTTCGCGGAATGAAACCTGATGATTAAAAAAATATCTTTCCATTATTATTTTCTATTACTTTTGGTATTTTTATTATTGTTAGAGTGATGTATGCTAAGAATATAGAGTTTGTAGTTATTTTACTTAAATTTTTAATACATTTAATATCTCACTATGTCGTTATAGTTAAGTTTTTAAATTATAAACTTACTTCGTCGCTATCGTTGGCTTCATAGTCGTACATCGCAATATATACTCGCTGAAAGAAAATTTTAAAAATGTTAATTAACATAAAATAAAATATTACCCATAAACAGTAGTAGTAGAGAAGTGAGAGTGAAGATGAAATTAAACAAAACACTTGTAAGTTCTAAATGCGTAATATTATTAGCTTTTTTTTTATAGGGTAGGAAGGGATAAAGATTAATAAATTAAAAACAAGTTAACTAATATATTTCAGGTTTTAAACCGTTAAAAGTGTGATTTAAAGGACTTGCGTAAACTACAGACTTAATTCATACAAATTATTTTAAGGCCTTTATAAGTAAAGTTTCACTATGAGCATACCTGACTGTGATGATTGGTCGGTCTGCTCTGCGCATGAGTGTTAGTTTGATGCGAAATTTGTTCGTTCGCGAGCGGGTCCATGTCGGTCACTCGACCGATATGGCGCGACTGTTGCTGCTGTACCTGCTGCGCTCCTGTTCAACATAAAAGACCTTTAGTATCCCTCAATTCTCTAAGTATGAGGGGCATGGGCAGACATATTCTCGTGTCCAAAAAAGTAAATAAACATATATGACATGAAAATACATATTTTGACCTTAACTTTAAATGTAAATGAAGTAAAATTTAGATAAATAATCCCATTTCAATCCAACAAAAAGAAGGCACAGTGTAGACATGAATTATCTTAACCCAACAACGGCCTGGAAGTATAAAGACATTTTAACATTGATACAAATTACCAACCCCATATCCACACACATCACAATTTAAATCACAAATGATAGATGATGTAAGTATTTTTGGGTGAAGTATTTGCTACCTACCTTCAAGAATGTTCATGACGAAAGAAAATGTTAAAAAGTAAGAAACAAATTCTTTTAACATCTTATTTGTTTATTTTTAGAAGTATTAGCAAATTATAAAGTTCAACCGCCGAACAGGGTTCAAATCTACCCTCACTTACCTCGTTTCTCGTTGGAGCTATTGTAAATGAGAGTCGCGGAGGCCCTCTGTGTATTAGGCGGAGCCCGAGGCCCGTCGCTCAACGGATCGTAATCTTGGATCCTACCGATTTTCTGATTGCCAAAACTCTGTGATTGGGTCGCGTATTCCTCATATTTCGGAGGGTAGTTGTAGAAATCTTCCTGTTTCGTGTACTCTTGATATTGGCGGTTCACGGGCGTCTGGTAATGGTTCTTGGGCGGTAGGTTTGGCGCGTTGGCGAGCATTTCGGTCGCGTATGAGTCGATTTGGTGATGGTAATTCTCGTTCGTCGCTACGTCTATAGAATGGATGCTGTTAGCACGGCTAATGGTAGACGAGACAATGTGGTAGGAATATTGTTAGATCTTTATGTTTTTTAGATTACAAGAAATACTTCTACCACAAGTGAATGATAAACACAAAACGTATTGAAAAGTGTTTCGAATTGTCTAGTATTAATACTTAGCTTATAGTTAAATACGACCCGTACAGAAGTTTCAAAAGATAATTGCCCGCTTTTAAAATGTTCCCATACTACTTAGACATTTCAAAACGACTTAGCAACATTTCAAAAGGCTTTTACACAACAAAACTGTAGCATCCAGCACCGAACACAATGATGTGAAAATTGTGCAAAAATGAAATGCGAAAAGTGATAAAACGTGATAAGTATCGTTAGGCAATATAACTTGAAATTACATCATATTGTATTTTTAATTTTAAATTTGTCCACACCCCATAGTATCCAGGTGGTCCAAAATATGAATACTTCATGGCAAACTTTTTTTTATGTCTCTTCTCCGGTTCCATCCTCCCCCCCCTCCCATTGTTTTGTGTATTGAATGTAAAATATCTATTCTTATAGATCAAGTGCTCACCAACAATTTCACCATTTTCGTTGATCTGTCGTTGTCTCTCCATCTGTGCCTTTTTCTCTAGCTCGCCATGGTATGCGACGTTGCTAATTATTTTCGTATTCGCTTTGATTCTTAGCGTTTCAGGGTCGTCTGCTACCTGAAATAATGTATAGAACCTGTATTTAATAAAAGTGAAAAATAACTAAAACGAGTGTATAAATGAGCCATGTTGTACAGGCGGCCATGTTGATCTCAAGAAATTCAAAATGGAGGTCCTGTTTATATTGAATTACTTCGCATTGCGTGTAATTAAGGTTTTTTGTTAGGTAAATTGTGTCTGCTTGTCCTGCGATTAGAGTTACCGAATAAATAAATTATTATGAAAAACGTTTTTCAGAAGAAAAGCTTGGAAAAATATACACATCTCCAATTGGAAAGTAATAAAACGTTTGCATACATTTTTTTAAATTAGCTAACGGCTTAAGATTTTCCCATGGGCTATTATAATCAATTTTTAACCTATATTTGTATCTCTTAAGTGGCGAAAATATATTACGTAGTATTTTTTTTCTTAGAATAATAAAGTTAAACACTGACCTGTGTAAATTTCCCCTTGCTTTTCTCGAAGTCCGCGTGGTATTTGACGTTGCTCTGAATCTTCGTGTTCTCCGCGATCCGTTTTAGTTCTGGCGTTTCCGCCATTGTTGTGTGCTTCGCTTTTGGGACATGTCTGAAAATGAAATGGATATTTATAGCCATTTGTGTCGAAAAACCAAAGGTAATTTTTAAAATACGACAAACAAGGGCTCACGTGAAATATCCCAGCTATCATAACATCTAAACAAAATGCTATCCTATTTTGGCTTTGGATATTTGGAAATCCACAGACTGTAAGCGAAACGCGATCATGGCATTTTTCACATTCGATGGTGGTTCATGTCCCAGCCGAAATTTCGATGTACAGTCACATGTCACATTTCCAGACGAGATGTCAAACATGGTTCAGAAAAGTTGTAAATTAATTAGAAAATTTTTGGTTCCGGTGGTTTGCTACCAACAAGCCCAACACTATCCGTTCCTTCCAGTGGTCTCGACTGTGGGTCACGAGATCTGGGTTCAAATCCCGTATCGGACATAGATCGTATTTTTTTTTATTTTCTCAAACCCGTGCTCGGAAAGTTCAGTTATCATACCAGTGTCCCGTGGTCAATAAAACCCCACGATGGAGCAGCGTAGCTAAGCTCTGAAACCGTCTATATAAAAGAAATAATTTGCGCCCACCAGTGGGACATATGAAGTCGCAACAATTAAACAATTACACGCATTTCTAATCGAACATTAAACACAAATTACCCGCGCTCATGAGCCGCTAACGAGAAAGTCATCGGGATAAAAATAGCGAGTAAAAGTGTGCAAAATTGTCGACTTTCATTCAACGAGTTATGCTCGAGTTGGTTACGCGTGTTTTATGATTGATGGCTCTGCATGAGGACAGGCGATCGTTCAATAGGATAATCTGCGTTTATAATTCACGCATTTATAATTCTTCCGCCTACGGTGGGAAGCCTGCTAAATATTACCTTAACAATTACATTCCATATTACTAAGGATTTTTCTAGTAGTTCGTAAGTCCGAATATCCAAAGCCTAAATAGGTCGACGGCGCATCTTGTTTAGATTAGATTAGTTTAGAAGTTATATGGCTGGAGTGTTCAGCTACCACTGATGGACCCCATGCTTATCTATCATTCTCTTCACTTATATGGAGAAAAAATGAAGCAACAATATAAACGTCGAGTTGAAGTAAAAATAAGTTATGAAACAAAAGTAATATCTATATTTTTCATTGTAAACCGTTTTATATAAAGGAATACTTGAGTCCATTGTCTATGACAATCGAGTTTAAAATAAGCGTTGTAATGTTGTAATATCTTTGTGTGTAGCTCATGTATGAAATCTTTACCTTTGTTATAATATACAAGTTCCAGAAGTCTTTAGACTATATATATTATGTTTTTAAATAAACGAAGAAATAAAAAACATGTTTAATACATGTATTTATATAACCTATCTGAGTAGTGCAAAATATATTATCGGCCCTTTTAAGCTCTCACAGCCGGCCCCATCATGAGATCTAAATGACGCAAGGAATGTTCGCGATAGCACGAATGATAACACAATTAAGTACTTTTAATTTTTTATATTTTCTTTGAGTGCATTGTAGCATTATAAGGTAAGCATAGATTTTCCAAAGAAGTTGTTATTTGTAATACTTTTTTTTATATTACGTATATATTCTCCAATGGAATATTGTGGATAGTTTGTTTATATATTTGAAATTCGCATTATTTGCGCTTTGGAACTTGCAGGACTGAAACCCAACTGTTTGATCCCCTTCGTACAGCATCCAGCTATGTCTGAGTTCCGACGTGCCACATATTTTTAATGACAAATTTAGCAAACAAAATACTTAAATATTTTGTTTGCATTTTTTAGGTTTGTGGCCCTTAAGAACTTTTCTTCTTACTAAATCTTTTGGAAAACAAGGAATTGAACTCCCCCATTTATGTATGTATATTGCTTCGCTTTCCACTAGTTCTAGGCTATGGTATGATCTATTAAATTGGTCAAGCCGCATTAAGACACAAAACGACATACAATGCGCAAAGGATGTTACGTAATCCACTTTCGTTTTTACTCTTGCCATGTACGGTTGGGAATTTTACGTTTCATTGAACTGGTATGTGCTTTTATAATTCTTCGTGCTTAGCCTTTGAAAACGCGAAAACATAAAATTTCACTACTTATATCCATCCAAGAAGGAATTTATTACAGATATTATAAAAGAAATCCGGTATCTATCCCCTATATTCCCTTTGGAGCGAAGACATTAGACAAGTAGTAGAGCATACTTGTTCTTATTACAATGAATTGAGCCATACTTTTATGTGCCATGGTAAGCTCAGTTCGGAATTAATTTAAAAATCGATTAAAATTTAAAAAATTTACAACTCGGCAGGATTTAAACCGGCATCCTCAGCGGTCCGTGCTGTTGCTCTAATCTATCCATACGTACGTCTCTACTTTTGCCTGAAAAAAAAATAGGCTTTACTTCTATTCTATACTTACGCTTCACAGTAAGGTAGCTTTCCATATCCTTTGTAAGTCCTCATGTTGAGAGTCATCCCGCACTCTTGACATTTGAAGCAGCCCTTGTGCCACACCTGGAACACAGAAACACTCATTATGAGACCACAAACTTATACCCCTGGCTTTACTCGAATAAAATTTTATATAGAATGCTAACAAGTGGTTTTATTAAGAACAATTATTGGTATATAGTGAAAAGGCATAAAGTGCAAAAAGTTATAAGTTTGAAAACATTAATATTTTTTTCATTTTGCACATGAAGGCAGTGTAAATTTAAAAATCGAAAAAAATTTTCGAAGTCCTGCCCGGGATCGAAACGGTTTCATTACATTTTCGATTTTTAAATTATATAATGCCTTCATGTGCAATAACATGTAAAAAAATTAATGTTTTCAAAGGTATAAATTAATTAGCGATTATCAATTGAAAAAAATTACAACTCGGGTGGGACTTGAACCGGTATCCACAGCGTTCCGTGCTGTTGCTCCACCACTTGGCTACGGTAGTCATTTGGTTGGTTTAAAAATTTATAATAGAATTTTAATTTATTTAGTGCCATCATGTGAAAAATTATAATGTTTTCCAAGATGTATATAAAAATATGACACGTTAGACTCCGAATCCATAACCGAAAAGTTACCTAACTTATATATTTAAGTTGTATCTGTTGTATATGCGAGTTGGACACAAACAAAAGTTTCTACTTCGTTTCGTTCGTAGGTAACTTAAAATTCAAAAACCAATATACCTTTTTCACGTTTTGTACCGTTTAAAAGTGTTTCATTGTAAATTTACATTTTTATTTTAACATTAAACAGTTTGGATTAGACCGGGCAATGAAAATTAAATTGTCAGAAAATAAATAAAAGAAGGTAATCATTATTGTAAAAATTCATTACATTGATATAGGATATTTTTTTTATTTATTTTGCCGCTCGAAATAATGACACTACTTCAAAGGTCGCACAGAAATATTACAAAACGAGTTGCTTACTATCTTTCTTTAAAGGTCAGGCGTTCGTTAGAATTGCCTAACAAGTAACAGTTATCAATGTGAATGCTAAAAAACATGTTTATATATATATATAAGTTAAATAACATTTCTCCCCTGATATGGGCACATTTCTGTGTCTATTTCACTGATCTGATAAATAGTTGATCACACTTTTGTGCCCTACTCGATCGAAACAATAATATATTACTTTCCCAGGATTCGAACCCAGGATTTCTCGCGCTTAACGCAATGCTAGGCACGTTTAACATTTGCCAATAAAAAATAATTAGAATTATGATTCAATATTTAATTAATTTTTTAAGTAAAATGTAATTATGTTTTAGTATGTTGGTCTTTAGATAAATATCTATCGTTATCAAGAGAGAAGATTGAAGATGGGTACTATTTTTAAAATCATTGAAATAATTATATCGAAAGTGTTAGTGCGAGATATGGGACAGACACACCCCTGTGTCCATTTCACGTATAGGTTTATTTACAGGCAGAGACTTTGCAGAGTAATTGCATCCAATTATCATTTTAACTAGAACTATTTTTTCCTGGGATTTGAACCCATCTCACGCTTGCTTGTACCTAGATTAGTTTTGTAAACAATTGTTTTTTTGAAAAGTAATCAAGAACATAATATTGCATTACTTAATATTTTTTAAATTATAGTTTACGCCTATGTTATAACAGCCATTGTTCTAGGTCGTCTGGGCTATTTCGCGGGAGTCTTATCTTATCAGTTCATTAGTAAACAGAGGTTATCAAGAAGTAAGGTTATCGCATCTGATAAGGCATAGAGGCACCGCCCGACATCTGCGCTTCGTTACGCTCATCCTAATTTAGCGAAAATTGTTTTATATAATTGAGTATGGAAATTAACGTTACTTACGGTTACGCGTCTAACGTCTTAACACTTGTAACGTCAGTACTTTACGCGAGTAGTACACATTTAAATAAAACACTTTAACGGTTAAAATCGCGATGTATATTAGTTAAACTTATTTGGAAATTATTTTAACTACGTTTCGACGTTCCGAAGGCTTTGCGGCAGCCGTGGTGGCGGGGAGACAAAGCATCCGATACGTCGGGCGTAATATATATCGTATTTTAAACCTTTACTGTTATATTTAAAAACTCGTAACGGTTTTCAACGAAAACTATATCAGTTATTTAGATTAATTAACGCGGCAAAGCTTTTTCAAACCAGTACCATCTACTACAAACAACACTTAGACAGGATTATGTACCCTCAGTTATTCGCGTTTTAAACCGTTAAAAGTTTTTTATTTGAATGATTACTTATTACGTAAACCCGTACTGACATATTATTTTTAAGATATACATATTACATGCTATAGTCTTGGAAAACGGATTCAAAATATATAAGAATGAATCAGCTTTGGATAACCCAGTATTGTAAACCACAAAATTAATTTTAGCGGCTATATCAGAACCATTTAAGGAAACCAACAATCCTCAATCGCGTTAGCCACGCGAGACGAAATAAGTTGTCCTTACCGAGATGTGGGTCAAGCGGCAATGCGCTTGCACATGTTCCATTCCATACAGATATAATGTATTTGGACTTTTGGGTGTGAAACAGTTAGGTATGGGTCACAGATGTTGTATTATTTTAATCGGATCATTATTATTGCATGACATCCTTCTTATTTGTTTAGTTTATCGTGTATGTTTTTTATAAAGCTACATCTGTCTATAATCAACAGGTCGTGAGTTCTATTTCAACATATGTCTAAAAATAAATTTTAAATTTTCTTTAAATAAAACACTTTAACTACGTGCCGTGGTCTCCCCGTGACCACGGCTGCTGCAAAGCATCCGAAACGTCGGGCCGAAGTTAAAAATCATTTTCAAATAAGTTTAACTAATATATCGCGTTTTAAACCGTTAAAGTGTTTTATTTAAATGTGTACTACTCGCGTAATCTATAGACAGTATTTAAATTTTCTTGTTGAACATTGTCTTGACTTAAACTTTAATAGTGCGGTAGAAATATCGAAAATGCATCGGCGTTATGAAGCATTACCCACAGATGAATGTGTAAAGTGTAAATCCGATTCTATTTAAATCTGTATATTCCGAATGTCTAATGGACAATAGGACGACAGTGCATCTCGTTTAGATGTTGTATGGCTGGGTTATATGCTTGTAAATACTGTAACAAGAAACGTTGAGCTTATACCAAAGCCCTAAGTGATTTCAACATGTTTTATTTGGAATTATCAAAACTGAACTCTCTTCTTGGAATTCATGTTTATTTATACACACCTACAACGAGGTTACGCGAAATAATAATATTATTGTATTTTGTAATGCATGATTCATTTCGTATGAAGTCATATGACACTGTTTAAAATATAACTTTACCAATTGTCCATATGTTATGTATATAATAAACAGACTTTGACTATAAGAAACGCCTTGTGTATTATGGGGCATGGGGCATAAGAAATTCTGTGTGTGTTTCGCGGATAAATTGTAATACAACATAGGTAGTAAGAGCAACACCACGGAACGCTGACGGTTCTAGTCCTGCAAAAGCCGTAAAAGTTTTTTAATTTATTTTCGATTTTTATTTATATAGGTACCTAATTTATAAATCAATGAATTAGTCGAACTCTGGGACTTTCGCGTTCCAATTCAGAGCAACTATTCACTAGTTACGTTTAATGGATTTGTCTCCCTTTCACTCGAACGTCAAAATTTGACAGCCTTGTGATTTTGAATAATACCTTAATGTATCAAACGAAAATCATTAACCCAATTTTACGCAATTAATATTTTATTAAGCAAATTGGGTTTAGGTTAATCAAATTTTAATTAACTATATGGAAATATTTAGTCGCGTCTGTCTATTGGTGCATTCGAGCTTATTTTTTTGGTATTCTGGATTTTTTGGACAGCCACCTTATTACATACTTATTACATAATTGTTCATGTGTCTAGTGACCTGTACAATCGAATGTAGACAACGACATTTAGAAGCTGGGATGGATAAGTAAGAAAATTTAAAAACGTGTAGTTTGGTTGTAAGAGATATCATGTCACTCCAGTCTCAAATGTAGTCATCGGTTGGTTTCGATTATCGTCACTAATTTAGTGATCGTGTCAGCCATCTATGAAGCAAATTTGTCTGAGTGTCCTTAAGGATCATTAAATAGAAGGAACTATGTTTAGTCTTAAGTATATATAATTATTTTTTAGCACATGTGACATCTGCACAAATATAATAAACGTAGAAACGGCTATTCGGGCCACAAACGGATAATGGAATTGTAAAAGATGTTTTCTGGTGAAATTTCTTGCAAACGTATAAATAACCCTAAGTAAAACTTATTTACAAGAGACTAAAGTACGAGATATTATAACTTTTCTCACTTTTATAAATATTAACTGGTCTCTCCAGATGACATAAAATCTAGTTGTAAAATCTAGTAGGTTACGTCGTGACGTAATGTTTACCATAAGGAAATCCTGTTAATCACTGGTTTACTAATTACAAGTGTATATGCAGGTACAGTGGTTTATACATGGTTATGACTTGATTAAGAAATAGCCACTTATACTGTTCTTATCTAGTTCATACACTTTTAGGCTGTCGAGAATTGAGATAGACTTTTGTAACAGATCTAGAGAAAGAAACAATTCATATTTTTTGTATTTATAAACTTCACTACACTAAAGTTCTACGGTATTTAAATAAGTATTTTTTCATTCCTTTTTAATATTTTCATAATAACAATGGCGTGTTTTGTTTTATTTTTGTTATTATATTAATTACGAATTGTGTAGGATCTAAAAAAAGCACAAACAGATGTCGACAGTGCGTTTGTAGTTTACGCAAATTGTTTCCTACAACAGTTTTATGGATGAAAACTCGAACTATAGTACATTAGGTACAAAGACCACTTTGTTATAAAGAACACTTCATAACATAATTTACACTTATTTTGGTATAAGTGAATCTGATTTATTATTATTAATAACAGTACGATTAAGTTTCTCCGTGTATACATGCGTACATGTCAAAACTAACTATACCTACTTTTGGGATACAAATTTAGGTCGTCGCTATAGTGTTTCTAAGACTTGTTGTTTTTATAGTTTGTGTACCTTATGAATGAATAGTACGAACAGAAAAACCACTCGCAGAACGTAAACAAGAAATTGTAATTAGCGCTATCCCACTTTGAGCTAACCGGTGAAATTCGTTCCAATTTCTCTTGTACCTTCACGCGCTAAACGGAGTAATTAATACAATATTGTTCCTAAAGAAGATTTCATAGTATGGTAAGTTCAGTTATTACCTTGGGAGTTGGGATTAGAGGCATCTAGTTGGTGATTACGTCATAAGGAGTCATCGACAAGACTGTATGCAATATACAAGATAAATGTTTAAAATGTGAATGTTAGGACTCTTAAAACTAGCTGACTTGGCAAACGTTCTTTTGGCATATGAAGTATTTCAACGAAATTTGATTACCATAAAAACAGTGCGTGTGAGTTTAAATGATAGACATAAAATATACTCTCACACATGGCGAACATTTATTAAGATAATTTGAAGAATAATAAATATATCATACCTATTTCTAGGTATCTTTTTTCGTAGTACGCGCCACAGAAATCCTTTAGCATGAATCATTTTCCCTGTTTTCACCAAATTTCGCTCTTTTCTTCGGTCCCATTGGACGCAGCCTGGTTTTTTTTATAAACCGAAACCTTCTTCAATAAATGGTCCAACCAACACAAAAATACTTTTTCAATTCGAACCAGTAGTCGCTAAGATTGGCGAGTTCGAACAAACAAAATAACCAGCTTTATAATATCAGTATAGATATAGATGCGGTAGGTAATTCTAATTGAACTCCCTTTCAATAAAGTAGTCTTTATTTTACTGCTTCATGGCCTATCTGCAACTGCCTTATGTAGTCCAATATTATATCAATAAGTAAGGAACAAGCTTTAACCTAAGTGTATACTTAGCTTATCTTTCATTACATTTTTAAAGTGAAAATTTGGTTTGAAGGTAAAACTTATAACATCGCCCCACTAATATGGCTTTCCTGCAACATAATTGAACTCTGGACCCAATATACAATCAGCAAGATCTTGGCAATTACTTTCAAGGTTAAAGTCACGTCCCGAGAAATAGAAATTGACTACAATTGCGTAAACGCATAGCTATGTAAGAATTCTTGATAATTATAATAAAAAAAATATTAATTACTCGTTACAATTAAAACGTAGCACGATTAGCGGACCTTGAAGAGAACAATGGGATATGTCATTGACTCGACGATACGTTTAATGTAGGTTAGGTCTTCACAATCATGGGAAACGTTGCCGTATTTTTTCACCTCCCCAATAGTTTGACTAACATTGATATATGAGGCCGTTAGAGGCAGAGTAGCCTAACTGCAATTTTATGAAATGAATTATTTATATTTTCATAATCTAAAAATGTTTATAAGAACACAGTGACAGAAAATTGTTAACATAATTCTTGAACATATAGTAAAAATCATGTTTTTTGTTATTAGGCCACTCTGCCTCTTCTATTTGTGACTTGAACCATGACCTGTGTTTATGATAGAATCCATTGGACTATGTACTGAAAAAAGATTACCTAATAGTGAAATATCATGTACCCTTTGGGGCATGGGGTGACATCACTATGTCTATTTTGATTTCGATGTCCATGCTCAACCGAAGCAACACATCGTTTTCCTAGGATTCGAACCCAGAGCCACTAGAGCCTAACATGTGCTGGATAATGCCTTTAGCCATTGATCTACGGAAGCAGTTAGCTGCTTACTTATGAAATATAACTTTATTAGAGATTATTAAGATTTTTTTAATAAAATCATCCATCGTTATTAATTAGAAAGCTTTAAAAATCGAAAATAAATTAAAAAATTTTACTCGGCAACAAAAAAAATTTTTTCAATTTATTTTCGATTTTTAAATTATATAGTGCCTTCATGTGCAATAACATTGAAAAATATTAATTTTTGAAAGTCTTTTCTCAATAATAGCGAACACATTTCCATGTCCGTTTTATGTCTGAGAAGAAATACTCGTCCGTCATTGTGTAATTCTAACCGGAAACGATTTGGTGGTCGTAAAATCAATTTGTACGGTTTTGTTTGCGATTCTAAGAATGATTGTTACGGTCAAAAATGTTCTGTGGTAGATCGGCTCGCAACAATTTCTTTTTTGTTTTTTCAATGGTTTAAACTAAACTGGAGAAATACAATTTACTTTGTACTGTAATTATGGACCATTACTTGTTTATTTTATTATTTGTTTTTAGGTTTAATAATTGTGTCTTTTCCTTTGTCCCTTATTTAGAACAATTGGCGATATGAGAGGCACTGTTTTTTGGAATTTGCAAAAAAAACCAACTGTACAGAAGCAAGGATCTCGTTCCGTTATGTAGTTTTATTAATCTAATATAGCTTTTTAATGTATAGACAATAGCATTGTTATGATAATGTTTCAAACATTAGATAAAAACAAATATGTATTACACATCAGTGGAAATAATTAGCAGGCAATAGAATGTAGTGTATAAATCAGTTTAATGCGGTTACGTTTTCACGCAATTTTAACGACATTTTAATTTGACATGTTTATTACGAGAAATTCTTGTAATAATGTAAAAGTTAGAAAGCACATACGACAGAATTCTTCAGATATTTGCGAAGACGTTTAAAATATGTATTTAATAGAAAAAATAGGAATATACCATCCCAATTTTTCTATTTGGACACGGATCCTCAAAGTATCCACTGCATATCGTAAAGTATATCCACGTGATTGTACCTAGAATTGTACAGTCTAATTTGGATCATAGCATATAGGTTCCGTGGTGTAGTGGTTATCACATCTGCTTTACACGCAGAATATTTTTAAAGATTTTCATTTGGAGATTTAAACTTTTCGGTACTACTACTAGCTGTGCCCGCGGCTTCATTCGCGTGGAATAGTGACTTGGGGTAGAATTTTAAATTATTTAGGCTGTTCATTAATTTATGTAATTGTGCATTTATCGCAGCCAATCTATCTATGTTGCAAGTGCTACTTTGCCGCAACACTCTCACCTCACATCACTCCTACTCTCACTCTCAATCCGACTTCCAATCCCATTCCTATTCCGAAAAAACCAAAGAAGAAAGTTTCATTGTTTTAGCTTCAAAAACCACGAATTTCCATACAAACTTTCACCCCACCTTTTAACCCCTTTTTGCAAAAAAATTGCCTATGTCCTTTCTCAAGGTATAGACCATCTGTGTACCAAACTTAATTCAAATCCGTTTAGTAGTTTTAGCGTGTAAGAGTAACAAACAGACAGACAGAGTTACTTTCGCATTTATAATATTAGTAAGGATACACCTATAGAGTATTTAAAAATGTTAAAACTACTCCTCTTTAAAACAACACACAGTAGAGAACTTCAGCAAACTATTAATTTTGATTGTTGAGAAACAGGCGCATTTGTACAATTGTTCATTTCCTCATTAACAACCAAACTGCCACGAAATACCTAGTTGCGGACAATAATGGAATTACTCATACTTTTAAGCTGTAGCCTAGAATATTGCATAAGGAAAACATAGAAGGTTAGAACAAATAATTATATTGCTTGACAAAAATTGTTATAGACAAAGGCTAAACCAAAGGGATGGTGAAAAATGTGTTTTTTTGTAAATCTACTTAATAACTCGGGAACATATTTTAAAATCAATCAATTAAAAGTGGTCCGTTATCAAGATCTATTTTTAATCCTATTCATATCATTCAAAGTTATAGACAGTATTTTTTCATAAAGAAAGAGAGATACAAAGATATGAATATATCTTTGATTTTGTAGTCTTTGTATAATTAGAGATATACAGAGAGAGAGATACAAACAAGTGCAAATCAATATTATAATATGCAAAGACTGAGAGCCTCACAATTATAACACAATCAGTTTTTAATTATTTGCTTTCAACACCACAAAACTATTAGAATCACTTATATTTTTATTTAGATACATAAACACAGTTTGTCACTTAATAAATTACTTAACCAATTAAGTTAGTTAAGAGCAAGGAGCAAAAGTAATTATCAATGATTCAATCAGTGCATCATATTTATGAGTAAGACTTGCACTTGATTCATTTATGAACTTGATTTATTAGACCGTTGGATGTTTTATTGCCACAAACTTTCAACATTTCAGTGAATAGTAACTCAAGAGGTTGGTTAAATACAACAATTGTATGCCATTCATTGTAATTCTTTGTTACCATCTATTCGTTATTTATGAATTAGGTAATATTGCATGCATTATAAAACACTGTTTAAAAATGGCAATAAAAAGATTGATTGAATTTATATATTAGCAAAAATGACTGAATTAGGTATATGTTTACATATTTCTTTAACAAATTAAAGAAATTAAAAAAATATATATATAATGAACTAAATCTAACCATCATGAATGGCAAATTAATAAACTTATTATAGTTAAAAAGTTATATAGCACAAAATTAATAAAATAAATGTTTACCCTTGATAAGATAATTTTAGAAGCATCTTATCACATGAACATCGCATTTTTAATAAGCAAATAATCGTTCCATCTCCGATATAACTTATCAATAACAGTTAATGCAAGTTACGATAAAATATATTATTGCATTTTGGATTTTTTACAAGAAAAATGTCAACTTAAAATAAAGTTGATATTTCGTGATACAAGGTCACCCATATTATTTCCTAATAAAGAATATTCAGGGCGGAGACACTATTATAATAAATAATTCGTGATATGGCTATTAATATAATTTTATGAGTCACTCGTCCGGTTTTATTTTGGCCCCACGCAGAATTCAAAATTAATAACCGTCTAAAAGTATTAAAATTGAGTAACGGATCAGTTGATTAGTCTTATTTCTATAATATTAAACAAAATGAAAAACGAGAATGTGGGATTACCTTGTCCAAACATTTGAGCTCCTCAGTGGGATAAACAGTTTTTTCACATCTCGCACAAGTTTTATTCATCTTGAGGAGTTCACAAATCACTGACACAATTCAATCGCACAAAACAAGAACTAAGTTCAACAAAACTTTATCACTTTTTTAACAAAACACTCATGAGCACGATTTTAGTAGCATCCCCGAACGCGCATGCCAAAATATGACAAATGGCCGCCTTTCTGTCTTTTTTTAATTTACTTACTTGACATGGAACCTAGTCTATTGGCCAATTGACACCTTGTACTTATAAACACCAAACTTCTTTTAACCGTAAACAGATAATAAACCTATAAAAAATAATATTTTTTTATATTTTAGCCAACAGAAAAACAACTATACAATGTATCATTTTAATATGAATAATTTATGATAAAAGCTCATACAACTAAGCAGTTCGAGAACAATCATTTAGGTCATACATTGACACTTGTCCCTCTTTAAAACGGTTAGTGCTTCGTTAAACAACTGCTTGGACGTTTGAATCATATCAATAAGGTGTATGTAATCATCATGCTTTTCTTCCTCTGTCATTTTAAGTTTATCCTCCATTATTTTTAATTTTTCTTCAGCCAGTTCAAGTTTATATTTTAATTCGTCTTTATCGAGTAAATCATAACCTTCGCTGGGTGACTCGTCGGAAACGGTTTCACTAGCTTTTAAAGCAATTGCTGCGATAGAAGATTGCTTCTTAGTCAATGATGGAGCAGTTGATGGATAGATATCGAATGTTTGCTCCTTTTGAAGTGCCGTCTTTGAAGTCCTTGAGGGTCTTTTTGAGTCCTTTAGATTTTTTAATTCTTCTTCGAGTAGTGTCACTTTTCTTTCAAGTCTTCTCTTCTTTTCTTTAATTTTCCTATTAGATGTATCAAGTACTTCATATTTATGCCTCTCATCATCTATCCTTTCATTCAAAGTGATTATTAAATCAGACAGGTTTTTAATTTCGTTATCCGTAGCTGTCTTCATGGGCGTAAAGAAAACACTTTGCAAGGAACACTCCTCATATCTCAATAACTGAGCCCTCAATTCATCTATCTTTGCCGCCTTTTCTGTTGCTTGCTCCCTTAATGCATCGATTTTAGCATCAGTATTCTTTATGAGCTTTTGGTATTCAACTATTTCACCGTGCATTTTGTTCATCTTTACCGTATTCTCTTTCAATATCTCTTGATAATAGGATTCTAAACTTTTGATTTGATTCTGTAAAATACAAAAGGCTATATTATATAGATAATACAAAATCATACAAACTATGAGCACATACTAACCCTTTGCTCTTGAATGAGAAGATCGTCGTGGCTACTTTTTTCTGCATACGTTTGCATTTTTTGTCGTAAAGTAGTTGCATCGCATTCCAAATTTCTTATTCTGCATCGAGCGCCGTCTAATTTTTTCTTTAAATCAGCGTTATCCTCTTTTAAAAGTTCAAGATCTTTCATAGCCTTATCGACTTCTTTCTTTCGCTTCATTTCCAAGTCTCGTAACAACTAAAATGTTTCGTTTAATATAAAATTTAAAAAAAACGTACCTTTATTCAATGTCTTAATCACTTACAACAGACTGATCATTTCTCTTTGCTTCGAGTAAGTCCTTGTGTTTACCATTTAGTTTTTCTTCCAACACGTTGATTCTTCCTTGCAACAATGCAATTTGCTGCGCTCTTCCTTTCCAGCCGGCCAAATCATTCTGCAAATCTTTGATACTTGTGAATTTATCCCCCAATTCCTGTTGCAATATTTTTGTGGCTATAAGAATCTCGTTCTTTAATTCCAGATTTCTGTTTTTACTTTCATATAACTTCTTGTTAATGATAGTAAGTTTATTATTCAATCCTTTTACTTCGTCAGGGCTTGGATCAAACGGTTCATCTTTACAATGACATGATTCCAGTTTTTCATTCTCTTTATTAATTAAATCCATTTGGATAATTTTTCTTTCCAAGGCAGCATTTTTTGTTTTATAGCCTTCTACTTCTGCTACTAGGTGGCGATTTTGTTTACAGAGCTCTGTTATTTTCGCACTTATAACGCCTGCAGATTTTGAGGATATTGCGGGACCTGACCCAGATATAATATCACGAATACGTTGATTTAAGTCTGTTACGGTCTTATTGAGATGTTTTATTTCCTCATCTTTTGTAAAAACGCACTTTCGGAGTTCATTATTTTCACCAGTCATTATCTGAGAACGACAAACTTTTTAGAAGGTAATTCAAAACCAAATTATCTATCCTATACATTAATTTGCCATAAAATGCTACTGTACAGTTACATTTTCAATTATTTTACCTTCAGTTGTTCGATAAGATGAGCGTTTAATTCCGGAGGATACAATAAATCTTCCGGGTCTGGCTTATCTAAGCCGGCTAACATTTTTAGTTTCATTTCATCCGTTTCATCAATTTTTGCCGCCAAATCTGTAATTTTTTCATCTTTTACATTAGTTTTAGATTTAATTTTTGCAGCTGATCCTTGTTTTTTCTCCATTTTATCAATACTTTATTAAAATTAAAATTACAATATCGCTATTATTGTTATTTAAACGGATAAAAAAGTTCAACACTAACAACTATTCCTCGTAAATGTCATATTGTTTTTAAAATTTTTTTGTTTTATTTTAAAAGAGATTGAATATAATTTTAATAGACTTGTCCGAATATCCGAAAAGCCACCTAGATAGAGAATAAGCGTCTAATCTTTTGGTGGTATATTATCTATGATTCGTAATATGTCAATTGTAGATTTTTTACCTTCACTGTCAGTTATCGTATTGGCAGTGACATCAAAAATTAGATTTCGTGGCGTAGTTTGTTGATAAAGTGTGATAAATATCACAATTGTTAGTTGTGTTAATTAAGTAAATACTGAAAGTTAACATTTATCAAGGGTGAGCTGTAAGCCTAACGATAATTATTTTAACTAAAAACATTGTCTTGTACTTTTAATTTAATTTGTATTAATTAATTTTGGCTCTACCAATAATAATCAATACATTAATTCACCTGTATTAACATTATATTTGCATGCATTATCAGCAATATATGATATTGTACAGTGATTTAATATGTGATAAATGTTCTTGATCAGTATTAGCCAGAAGTTGTAACATATGTTGCATATTTCAGGAATAAACCTGAACTGTCCTCCTATCAGCCCCCATTTAAAATATTTTTTATCAATTTGCAGCGTCTGCAATGGGGATATCTGTGAGCCGGTACTCAGATATCACAAATAATGAATTGGTGGCTCGGTTCTGCTCCACAGACGTTATCAGCCCAAATGATCCTTTCTGGAATCAGCTGTTGGCATTTAATATTCAATTACCGTTGAATCCGTAAGTTTACTCTCTGTGTTATGATGATCTCTCATTTATAAGTATTTTGACTATGGTTGTTGTATTTTTGTAATCATTGGCTATGTTTTAAATACAAAGTAGCTTTGTGTAATGGGTTCACAGCTACAATTCATAACAAAAATAATTTCTTTAAAAATTAGATTAAAGTCTGTGATCTTAGATTAGCAGGAAAAGTTAATTATCAATATCTATTTCTTGTCTTACAGTGATGAGCAACTTATTTTTGACTCAAGCACGGAAGCTTTATTGCAAAAGTTTCTACAGAATAACCCACAGACGGGAAATCTTGGCTCGTTAGTTCAAGTATTCATCACTAGAGCTACAGAATTGCTAGCAGCGCCTAATACTGATAAGTAAGTTGCGGAGAGTTATTAGTTCTTACAGATATATATGTCATTTATGTACTATATATTTTATAACAAAGAGTTATATATGTAGTGTAGTAAGATAGTAAGATATATTAACGCATAAACAAGATTGGAACTTCCTGTCTAAGTAAAATACTATAAACAAACTGTTGCCTAGGCAATACACTGACTCATTTGTTTCACTTGCCCTTAAAATGCAATTATAAGAGTTTTTTTTTTCAGTGTTATGCTAGCATGGCAAAGTTATAATGCAATATTTTTTATTCGAGCTGTCACAAAATATTTAGTTGAAATGGTGCCGGAGTATGAATTATGCAAACATCTAGATGTGCAAGCTAGAATTTCAGTTGTAAGTATGAAATTGCATTATATATAATTTGTGTTATCTGTCTGTTGATCTGGGCATTTTAAAAATATTATCCTAAGATATAGATATAAAATGTTTAAGTATTTACTAAAGATGCTATAAATTTACTTTATTTTTTCTGTATTTGAAAATGGTCGTGTCTCGTATTTTAAATAGAGTCAAACAATATTTGTCTATAAAATTATCAATAAATATTTTGTTACACTTCTTGTTGCCTAAATAACTTTACCTGGATATTCTTAAGCGGCCCATAGACGATCAATATTATTGTGCAATATCCTGGGTTTTACAATAAAATTGATTGTGTGTAGACAACATTGAAGCATCTGTAGGCAAACTACACAATAATATTGATCGTCTATGGGCCGCGATATCATCTACCTAACACTGATAGATTTTTTAATATCGGGCCAATAGGCTAGTTTAATCCATCTACAGGCTTTATAATATCAGCATAAAATTATATATATTATTTTCTATGCTATTGTAATAGAATCCACCAACACAAGACCAAGAGTTAAGCACAGAGGTGCCGAGTAAACTAGTGACTGGGGAGAGTCGAGTGGAAATGCTTATTGATGCTCTTATCAGTCTCATTGTTGATGTCCCAGTGACGTAAGTATACATATTTAATACCAGCACATTATATATAGCGGTAAAGTATCTTATATAAAGAAATGGATATTGAGATAACCAAATAGGGCTTGAAATTAATTTCTAAGCTTTATAAGCCGATATATATCCAAAGAAAAAGTAGGGTGTCAGCACATCTTGTGTAGATGTTATGTAGCTGGGGTATTTCATCTCCCATCATGTGAACCCCACGCTTGTCTATCCTCCTCTATCATAAATAATAAAAATATAAATGTATTTTTTTTTATTAAGTTTTAATAATCTTTGCAGGGACAACACATACCACCTACATCTAGAGAGTATAAATACACTTCTAGTCCTTATGTCTGTCTATATGTTTGCTGGCATACATGGACAGACTAGGCTAGTTGAAACATCTCTAATTTACAGGTAAAATATAGAATTCCCTAAGCACTAAATATATAAATTACCAGTAGTCAGTAGAAAGTTACTATCTCATGTGTTTGTTTCCAGAACTCTATTCCAGGGAAGATATAGCATGCAAGCGCCATTGTTAGTAAAAACTCTCTTGAACAATTTATCCAATATGGCGCCGGCGCCCCTCCAATTCGGATCGCAGGGACCTGGCAGTCTATTAATTAATATTGCTTGTGAGTATATTTTTCAATACAACTAGTAAGTGAAGCATAGCATACTAGGTTTCTTTTTATGAATATGACTTATTTTATTACTAGCTGTGCCCGCGACTTCGTCCGCGTGAAACAGGGTAGACTTGGGATAGAATTGCTAATTATTTAGGGTGTTTATTAATTTATGTATGGGCGCATTTAAGGCAGCTAATCTATATTGTAAGTGCTACTTTGCCGCTCTCACCTCACTTCACTCCTACTCTAACTCCCACTCTCATTCCTGCACTCACTCCCACTCCAACTGCTATTCACAAAAAGCCAAAGAAGAAAGTTTTATTGTTCTAGCTTCAAAAACCACGATACAAACTTTCATCCCCCTTTTCAACTCCTAACAACCCTTTTTTGGCATCGGTTCAGTAGTTTCGCAGAATATTCGAACTAATAGTATATGATTCTTGTCGATTTAAGCATAAGTTTAATATATTATTACACTAATTATATGTAAACCATAATTTATAGACCATACATAAATTATAATTTATAGATATATTCCTAAGACTATCCAATGAATATTTGGAACCTGGTCATTTACCACATTTTGTTTCTTAGCAGTAACTAAGAAGTCAGTCAACATAAAACAAAGGATTTTCAAGACCTACATTCCTATGTACTTTTAAACCAAGAATGCCAATTAAATTTATCTAATAAAAATATCTAAGTTGTTTTTTATTATTCTAGCCTCTCTATGGAACATGTTAACCCTTAACGCGGCCGCCTCTCACACCATATACACGCAGCCGCCGTTAGACCGACACGAGCTGCTCGAGCGGTTGACGCGCGAACACCCGCTCGCGAACCAGTCTTGTCTCCTACTCCTCGCGCTCGCCAACCACTACATAAACGACGATAACTTGTACAGGTGTGCGTTGTTGAGGTGTGAAGATTCGAATGGTAAGTGTTAAATACTGTCTGTAGAGTTTCGCGCACACTAGCTGTGTCAGCGAGTTTTTCCGCGTAGAATAGTTGCTGTGGGCATTCAAAACTTGTTTTTGCAAACCCCCTCCTCATTATTATAAATATAAGCCGTTACTCACGATCATGCAAGTTAATCTTAAAAGATAGATATATAGTGTCGTGGGTTTTTTTTCCGATCACTCAAAAAGGAGCCATTCTTTCATACATTCCCACAAAAATTGATAATTTTCTCCGTTTTTTTTCCAAATTTTCCGCTGTGACTTTGAAGGTTATAGGCTATAACCTTCTTCGAAAAATGCTCTAACTAACACAAAAAGATGTTTCAATTCGAACCAGTAGTTCCTAAAAATACACAAACGAACAAACCCTTCAGCTTTATAAATTAGTATAAATAAAACATTTATCGGTATAAAACGCGATATATATTAGTCAAACTTATTAGGAAATTATTTTAGCCCTTACGGCCCCACGTTTCGGATCCTTTGTAGCAACCGTGGTCACGGGCAGACGGATTTTTAAATAATTTTAACTAATATATTTCGCGATTTTAACCGTTAGTGTTTTTTAAAAGTGTTAAAGTCAAATCCGATATCCGAAAAACGGACGAAATTTCGATATTCCTACTACCCATTTAATATCCAAAAATCCAAAATCCAACATGTTAAAAAAATTATTGAATTTAAGTTTGTGTTACAGATAACTCGTCCACAACACCTCAAAAGGACACCAATATACCGGGACAAATCACTCCGCCGAGGATAGATATGGCAGCTGTAGGTATACCATTTTATGATAGAGAATGAGAGATACGCTTGGCTTCACCTGATGGAGGATCTTAGATACATACCATATGTACCGCTAAATCAAACGCTATAAAGGCATTGAAGTTTCAGTGTGAGGAACAAGGATAGAGTGATAGTTTTTTTCTCTGTCGCTCTTGCCGGTTAAGGGAAGCAATTGTGATAAAACAATAGAGATAACACGAGAGAGACAAAGACTCTTATTTCATTATAAAGTTTGTGATAGGGTGTAAAAAAAAATATCTTAGTTCTCTCTATGGCCAGGCCAAGAGTACATCTATGGAATACCACAGTCCTATAACACCTTATTAAAGATGCACTATCGTCATATTTTGGTTCTAAACACTTTGAAATCTACGGATTGAAACTGTTACGTGAGTTTACACATAGCTTTATTGCTAGTCATAGGATATTTTTCTTTCATTCTACGTTGTGTGGAAGAGATCGCTTGTTAGCGAATAGGCCACTTCACATTTGTTATATGTCTCGTTTGTAATTTCTTTCTTGTCTTTTGTGTAATGGACTAACGAACCAAACAAAATAATATATATATAAATATAATTAAATGTATAATATTAAAGTAACAATACATATTATTTTTAAAATAATAATTAATAAATTATAAGTTTAGGCCATCAAGTAGAAAGAGGTTTTCGGCGTTTTGCCACCCCGTGTGGACGGCATCATCAGGAGATGTTGACTCCTCGATTGCTCGAAGAATTGTGAGTTGTCCGCCGCGGTCTCAGATTATATAAACCCTGACAAGCTGATGGCGAAACGTCGAGAACCTCTTCTCGCTCACATCGGCCGAACAGCCCGAATGACAATGATAAAATAATAATTATTTTTAATTATTAGATAATACAATATAACGACGATATAAAAACAAATAAACACACGTAAGTTAAAAAAAAAATATTGAAATTATTACGATGTACACCAAAATATTGACGTATAGTTATTATAGACACAGTTTTAGTAAATTTGGAGGTCTTCTCTCATTCAAAACTATGTACGTTGTGTCCTCAGCTACACAAAGCACTATGTGCTACAGCCGGTTGCGAGCATTCGACCCTGCTCCTCTACCTGATGCTGCATTCTTGTAAAGCATACAAACGGCACGTTACCAACGTGCCGCATATTGAGAACTTGGTAAGTATTAAATACTTTAGGTAAATAATTATAGCTCTATAGAAAACCATTGTCGGTTTCTTTAGAATTACTAAAGTCTAACCACTAGATTATATGAGGAAGGTGACCTTCAAAAAGGGAGGGAAATAAATTACTGCTTTTTGGTTGGCATCTGTTAAAAGTTATATGTTGCTCTGAGCTTACCCAATTTATTGTTAAAATTCGTAAAAGGGTATCAATAAACCGTCGTGTACTTTAGGAGATAAGCGTACGTAGAGACACACACACAAGATATAATACACAGGCGAAAAAAAATTGTGAATATTTTCATTTTGTCGCTCCATTTCGTGTTGTGGATAAAGCAAGACAGTTTTTGACGTTTTTATCAAATCCATTGCTTTATTGTAACGTAATTTTGTGTATATAGGGATAAGTTCAGAAATAACTCCCCGATGTAATTTTGTTGATATGATGGTTATAGGGATTTGATATATATTAGTATAAAAGTGACTATTTTTTTAAGAAGAGCCTAATTTCAAAGCAGCGACGCAAACAGATGCCCCCCGGCGGCCAGGCTGCTGCAAAGCATCCGAAATATCGAACCGTTAAACGTGTTTTGTTTAAAAGTTTTGTCTTATATAGGATTTGACGGCACTGTGATTTCTTTTTTTCAGATAATTCCCATACTGCAAGTGTTGTACAACGCACCAGACAGTAATTCGCACCACATATACATGTCACTTATAGTGCTACTTATACTTACAGAGGACGACGCCCTTATAAAAAACGTGCATTTAATTGTAAGTTTAAATATCTCATTTATAAAATTTATTCTGAAATTCACGATAAAAAGTATCAAATTCACTAGTATTATGATAATCAATACAATATAATCAATTATAAATACTTATGGAATAAAGTACATAATAAATATCTTGTGGAATTTAAAGTTTCTAAGTAAATATATATAAAATATAATATATTTTGTAATTTTGGAAGGTATTATGGTACTTATAATTTAATGAAGAAGCAATTTTTAATTTAATAAATCGAAAATAAATTGAAAAAAAAAACATTTTTTTTCGACTCGGGCAAGACTTGAACCGGCATCGTCAGCGTTCCGTGCTGTTGCTGTTGCCTGTTTTGCCCGAGGCGAAACATTTTTTCAATTTATTTTATTTATTTTCGATTTTTAAATTATATAGTGCCTTCATCTGCAATAACATGTGAGAAATATTAAAGATTTCAAACAATTTTTTAATTTCTGATTACGATAGGCTTCTATTTAATTCTTCAGGTCACTCAATTCAGCAGCGTGGGTTCGATTACCGGCTGTTTCAAATAATTTTTGCGTCATTACTTCCAGATGCTAAAAAACTTGACATGGTACAGCGAAAGATCAGTATCGGAGATATCCTTGGGTGGTTTAATGGTTCTAGTCGTGGTACGGGCGTTGCAGTACAATATGGCGAGAGTAAGAGACAAGTACTTGCATACAAACTGCTTGGCTGCTATAGCGAATATGAGCTGTAAGTGAATTATACAAATAACTGACTTATAGTAAGTGTTTAAGAAGGTCGTAGTGTGTAAATGTGTGAGTGAAAAAGATGATAATAGAAAAATAGTATAACAAAAGTAATTCTTCCAACATATAACTAAATTTTTAGTTATAAACAAAAAACAATCACAAATAGGGGTTGGTGGCAGAGATGTCAAAATTTAAAGCTGTCTTAAGATCGTCTCCCTCAGAAAATGTTTAAAATAACCCTAGTAATAATAAAATACATACTAGCTTATACCTAAACTTACTGAATATACAAATTCCAATTATCCAAAGCAAAAATAGATCAACAGCGCATTTTGTTAGATGCTATAGGCTTGTCTGTCCTTCTTGATCATAAAAAGAAATACATGTATATAAAGTTTTCATTAAAATCTGTCAAGCCGTTTCAGGTGATCCAGCGAAACTAACATTTCAATATAAAATATTTGCGTATTTTAGGTGAATTCAGAAACCTGCATCCATATGTTGCGCAAAGACTGATATCCCTATTTGAAACGTTAAGCAAGAGAAGAGCAAGATTATGTAGTGAAATAGAAGGTGAGTTTATCGTGTTGTCTCTCTCTGAGGCTAGTAATACTGAATGTGAAAGTGAGATAAAGCTATTCGCATTTCAGGTGGGGACATAAATAGTATAGAATTGCCACATCATGCCGAGGAGAAGACGGAAGAAATTGTAAGTTATTTTTAATAAAAATCTATGTATCCGATACTCGAAACAGTCTATGTGTTGAGTCTTGTTCTCGGCTGTTTTTCTATAAGTGAGCTCAGATCTAAAAATATATAATATAATGTAACTGCTATATTTGGTTATAAAATGCATTCCAATGTGTAAATTCAAAAAAAAGAAAAAAAAAAGCAAGTTTAACTAATATATCGCGTTTTAAACCGTTAAAGTGTTTTATTTAAATGTGTACTACTCGCGCAAACTATAGACAGTATTCCGCTTTACTTGTTTTATCTACAGATTATAAAAACTCTTCCGGTAGACACTTAGTCTGTTTTTATAATCTGTAGATAAAACAAGTAAAGCGGAATACTGTCTATAGTTTACGCGAGTAGTACACATTTAAATAAAACACTTTAACGGTTTAAAACGCGATATATTAGTTAAACTTGCTTTTTTTTTAGTTTAACTAATATATCGCGTTTTAAACCGTTTAAGTGTTTTATTTAAAAGTAAAGCGGACATACAAATGTTTACACGCACGAGAAACCAGATGACATTGTGATAAAAGCATGTAGTCAATCATTAAACCAATGGTAGCAATGTATGACATTTATCGAATCAATTAAAAAAAATCTGAAACACGTTGGACTGCGAATATGAATATTAAATTAGGCGGTAGGAAAATCGAAATTCCGACCGGGTCACGAACCACAGCTCACAAATGAAGCCATAAAGTTTAACCGCGTTTAGGTCTGTGGATTTCCAAATATCCAAAGCCAAAGTAGATCAGCAGCACTTGATTAGATGTTATATGACGCGTATTTCACCTACCATCTAGTGAATCCCGTGCTAAGAAAAATTACATCTCTCTCTGAAAGATAATATTTTCCCCAGATGGAACACATAGCTGTATTAGATGAAGTCTTAAGGATGCTGTTAGAGATAGTCAACTCGTGTCTGACACACCAGCTGTGCAACAACCTAAATCTGGTGTACGCCCTGCTGCACAAGAAACAGCTCTTCCAACAACATTCCCACCACAACATCGCGCAGAATATTGAAATGGTGAGAATTAATCGCGTTTTAAACCGTTAAAGTGTTTTATTTAAATGTGTATTACTCACGTAAACTACAATACTGTCTGTATTTAAATATATTCTACCTCTATCCTAATAATATTTTTAGGTGATCGGTTACTTCTCGACGCGACTACAACGGGTGCAAGAGGGTGCTGGCGGGGAATTAGGCGTGACAGAAGTATTACAATGTATTAAGAAGGGTGCAGAGCAATGGTCGAGTGACCGGCTAAAGGTACCTGTCCTTCTCACTCTTCAGTCCATACTCATTAGTCAGAGGGAGACGGCTATTGACGGGCTCGTTGGTGTAATGGTAGCAATGTACGGCTAATAATCAACGGGTCGCGGGTTCGATCCCCACCGGGTCCAACATTTTTCTAATCGATTTATCATATTTTTCGCACTTCGCCTGGAAATCTGGATATTAAATGGATCGTAAGAAACTATCACAGATGAATGAGCCGTGAAGTTTATTCGCGTGTCGGTTTCAATTTGTGGATTTCCCAATATCCAAAGTCAAAAAAAAGTTGACAGCCAACTTGTTTAGATGCTCTATTATTATTATTAGGTTAGGTTGGGCTATTCCACCTACTGTCAAGTGAGCCCCTTGCTTGTCTGTTCTCTGTAAAAAATATAGATGTCATCTCTTTAAATAATACACTTAAACGGTTAAAAACGGGATATGTATTATTTTAATTACGGCACGTCGTTTAGGATGATTTACAGCAACCGTGATCACGGGGAGACTAAGTTGGCATTTGGCGAAATCAACCTGGAACAGATGGCGCTGGCGTAGCAGTGTTTTACATTGCCATCAGAGACACCCTCCATCTTTAGTCTCCCCGTGACGACGGCTGCTGCAAAGCATCCGAAGCGTCGGGCTGTGGTTAAAATAATTTTAACTAATATATGTCACGGTTTAACCCGTTAAAGTTTGATTTAAATGTGTACCACTCGCGTCAACTACAGACAGTATGTAATCTCTCCTTTTAGAAATTTCCGGACCTGAAGTTCCGTTATGTAGAAGAGGATAGGCCAGAAGAATTCTTCACACCGTACGTGTGGTCGTTGATAAGTTCTTGTGGGAACATATACTGGGCCAGTGAGTGCGCTACTAGGGCTTCTACTGAGCTACTCGCGTGATACTTACGTTGGTGGCTATAGTTAATGGATCCAGCGATTTGTTTGGGCTGTTTAGATTTCTAGATCTGCGTAAAGCGTTTTCATTTTACCTATTAACGTAGTGTAATACCAAAGAAATTTTAACACTTGGTCAGGGGTACAGAACATTTTGTTTTAAAACACATTCTAATTCATTAGAAGGTGACGTATTGTATTGTTTGGTTTAAGGCTTTCACCTTATACAATAAAAAAAAACAATACAATATTCACTAGTTTTTATTTGCATAATGATAGACCAAATATTGACTACAGAATTTTAAATGAAGGCTTAAAATGAATAAGACATATTTTAACCAAGAAATAATGGTATTAACAAATGTTAAACTTGTTAGTATTATAAATTCTCAAATGAGTTATAAGAAATTTTGTTTTATAAAACCCCCTTAAAATTGGGCATCATTTATTTTTATCTAGGTTTCTTGGGCCGTTTTTCAATACAGATGATTTCTATAGTATTTTTGCTGTACAGTCTGTACCAATAGCGCTATGATTATATTTATTTTTGTTTATTACATTTTATTTAATTTGCATACTGACATAAGAAATATATTAATTTCATAAGTTTGTATCTATAGGGAACTGCATATCTACAGCAAAAATACTATATCTAAGTCTAAACAACAGATCTTTAAAATAAAAGAATAATTCGTGCATAAGTTAAGCACATTATAGGTACCATAAATCCATGCATTTAGAAATATTGCAATTTGTGTAATTAATAATCAATAATGTGTCAAAAGTTATACAGAGGTACTTTTTTTTCAGTTATGGCAAGAAAAATATTTGTGTATGTTAAATGTACCTATATTCTGTGCAATATTAACCTGAAAGAAATCTACAGTTGACAAATTTTCCCGCGTATTATTTTTTTAATATAACTATCACTTTTTTCTAGACTAAATTTATTTTATGGCTTGTCAACAAACATCTATCACAGTGTAAGATATTTTATAGTAATGTAGTAATAATTTATTGTAAATAATCTTTCCTTTTTGATTAGGGCAAATGAGCAAGATAATTTTTAACGAATTTTCTTACGATAAATTAAAAATCAATTATAGATTGAAAAAAAAATTACGACACGGGCACTTGAACCGGCACCCAAAGCGTTACATGTTGCTTTAACCAATTTGGCTAATGTGTCCTACACATCGATGCTATGGATGTCGGTTCAAGTTCGAACTTTTTTCAATCTATAATCGATTTTTAATTTATATAATGTGTGTTGCACATGCAAAATACATGTGCAACATATTAAAGTGGTCAAACGTAAAATATGGTGTTTTGCATATGCAACACCAGCATTAAAAAGTGTAAAAAAATATTGTGTCTTTCCACTTTCCTGGGTTAAAATTACGAGTATATGCATTTAACAATATCCTTAGTATCTCAAAAATCTTTGAAAACATTATTAGGACGCTCCTGCAATTCGACCATAGATTAGTTTTAAGTATTCGACAGGGCGAATTAATATAAAAATGTTCAATAAAATCCTATAATAAATATCTACAACAAACAACAAGTGTTTTATTTTATTGACTATACCTAATACCATAGAAAAATATTTTTTAACAAGTTAATTTTTAATTCTATGACGAGACGAGAAGCAATAAGATTTTTTAAGAAGTTTCAAGCTCTCAGCGCCCTCTTTCCTTGGGAGATAGAAACTATGTATCTTGGGATTAGGAGTCTATGGCATTTGGTAAAAGTAAAAAAATCAACTTGACACAAAGCCTTGTATCTAAAACGTGAAATTGAGTTAAAAAACATCTTTTGTTTGAATTGCGGAAATTAGAAACGTCAAATAGAACCAAAACCAATCAATCGAATTCGAAAATCGAAATATAAATTAAAATTCACGTGTGACCGCTTGTTTTGTAAATACAACGACGTTTGGTGATACACAACGAATAGTTTTAGTGTTTTATTCAAGATTCTAGTTTCCAACGAGTGCTGAAAAATAATCTAAGAAAAAGAGGGTGTCAGATTTGAACGTAAGTTAAAATTATTGTTTTAAATTTAGTTCTTGTCCTTCTAAACAGCTCATTTTATTTTGTATCAAGTACTTGTCGTCTTATCTTTAATATATCCATTTTGTTCTCTATATTATGATACGATTAATAGTAACATTAAAATTTTTACTTTATTACCCTAATAACAACAGTTAAACCATAAAACTACGACTAGTTCAAAATCACGCAAGCAGAATTTCAATGGGGCCTCTATTGAGTTGTATAAATGAAATCAAATTTATTTAAACATTAAAACACAATATTGTGTTTTCTTTTTATTATACAGGTAGACATGTAATTTTTTATTGTTTTTGCCTACCAATACTTATTTCTATTTTTCAAATGTTACTTAAAAATACAAAACATATTTAGCACATTCTTTTGATGTACATGCTCTCCGTTAACATATTAAATAGGTTGTCTTAAGGGCTCTTATGACAAAGATCTATACTGTAACCCTCTTCAAACAATTCAATATGTTCTCAACTGACTATTAGGCACTTGAAAATGGTGTTAAGAATATTATCTATGATTGGAGATCTATATTTAATTATTATGATGGATTATTTGTATTTAGTTTAATTAATACTAATTATAAATTCTTCACATCTTGGATAAGTCAGTTTCACAACGATCTAGAGCAAAGCATATAAAATGTATGCATCCTTTGCACGAAGATACAGTAGAAGTACAGATTGTATCAGACCAAAATATAAACACAATATTATATACTTCATTACATTTTGAATAATAAATTTATTTTCTTATTTATGAAATAAAATTATTTGTTTATAAAATTTGCTAACTTTCCGATTAATCTTTATGTTTTACAAATTGTTTAGACTAAGACATATTTTATCTTTAACCTGTACTAAAAATAATAAATAAAACTATATGGCCAAATAGATGGGAATAAATATTTGTTTAAAACATTGTTCCTAATTTACACATAAGTGTTCTTTCCATTTTTACTCATAAATGATTTGTCATAGTTTTGATGACTACCCTCATAAACATAAACTACAAATCGCTGGTTATGAATTATAGAACCGCGACCATTATTTATCCACTGGCGGTTCGAAAGCGTCCGTAACACCTTATTAGTTTGTCACATTTGGCACGACGTATGAACCGCGAATCCTAATTTATGACTAGGCTTAGTTCAGCGGTTTTCGTTGATAGTTTCACAATTTAATAAAAGTTGTATGATTTTTTTTAAGTTATTGAAGTCTCGTTTATATTACTGAAAATTAAACACAAAATAAAAATATATGCGTCATTTATGTGTCAAAACAATTTAAGGTTTTTTGTTTAAATCGAACAATATATATTTGTTAACTTTCGAATTTGTAATTACATTACGTAAATTAATATTTTATTTTTAATATAATTCATTAATATTATAGACAAACAGACGTTAAATTTAAATAATGCAAGCCGCATTCCCTTTTGGATATCGTTTCCCGCCAATACTTTTGACAGTGACAGACGCAATGCGCGCGCGATCGTGCGTTCGAAATTGAAACTCGTTCTTTTTGGCCAGTGCTTTGCGTTGCTTTGTACAAAAAAAAAATATCGCCTGAATAGTTGAATGTGGCTTATACTAGAACTAAAATAAGCGATCTCTTTGTCTGCGCGTATTTTACAAGAGCAATAGAAGTACCATCTGGCGAGTGTCCAAAACGTCCTACTTGGATAGTACATATACCGCAGCGACTTTATTTCCTCTCACGTTTGTATAAATTACACTTAATATATAAACTATATCAATAAATTTCCCACTATAAGACGAGATATGACCAGCGACTCGAAGTAGGCTTAGTAAAAGTTAAACAAAATTAATGGGTGTTTTGATCTCGATATTAATTTATTTTTAGATTTGATCTCTTATTTCCGACTGCAGTTGGTTGTTAAGGACGATTGTTTATTCAGTTTCTGTTTATCGAAGCTTCGTGATGTCCGGCGATCTTGGAGTATCTGTGAGATGTAAAAAAAGTGGAGGAAATGGAGTTATTGCATATGGACGGAAAAGTCATATATTGGACAAATAAATATAGACTATACTTTCTTTTACAATTCTTTGCTGAGTAGATCTTAGAACTGCCTTATTAAATACTGTCTATAGTTTACGCGAGTAGTAAACTTTTAAATAAAATACTTTAACGGTTTAAAACGCGATATATTAGTTAAACTTATTTCCGATAAACATCCGAAACGCCGGGCCGAAGATGAAAATTTCCAAATAATTTTAACTAATATATCGCGGTTTAAACCGTTAAAGTGTTTTATTTAAACTGCCTTATTATTTTAATCTTGTACCTCGGTAGATATTGAACTAGAAGCTACGTGTTATAATAGTAAACGATATATTGTACTAGATATGTTTCTTACGACAGTTAAGCGGCATATAAAGTTACCGAAAAACTATATTTTAGAAAATAGTTTAGTGGGTAAGTAGGTTCTATCTAAATTCAAATTTCAATGCTAACCTCATTGGTAAGGAAAAGTGAAAATAATAAAATTAAATGTACTTTTTTTGTCCCGTTCCACTGGTTGGGTTGGTAATGAATTTTGAAATTACTGCGCTTTTCACAAACAGTGGCGGTCAGACTGCGCGATAGTAGTTACGTACTTTTAATTTGTTTTTAAGTGTAGTTTCTAAGTGAAGTTTTATCACGATGGAGACAGCGGAATTCATAGCCAAGAGACGAGTGTTACGTGTTGTTAAAATAACGTACTGTATGTATTATTTTCTGGTGTAAAACTTGCATAAATACCTTTAAGTTTAAATAAATCCGAGGTCAACTTTTTTCTTGTTTCTAATTTAAAACTAGCGAATTTGAACATATAAGAACAGTCATACAACAAATACTAAATATAAAATTTTGCCTAAGATGAAAATAAAAATTATGGAAAAAGCTAAGCTCTGTAAAAGATGTCTATAATTTG